GGAGAGGAGAGGAGAGGAGAGGAGAGAGGGGAGAAAGAGAGGAAGGGGGGCAGTATTAGATCTGTGTATTAGGTTTTACTAGATACCTACTACAGTAATATAATACTAGACAGGGGGATAAAGCGAAGCAAAGCAAAGCAACTACGTAGTTAAAGTTAAATACAGAGTACGTAGCGTAGCTCTCTCTCTCTGCTTTCTTCCCACTACTGTATAACTTCAGTCAACCCATCGAATGCCAGACAGAGAATAAGCCGAAGCAAGACCGCCTATAAGTAATAGAATCTGCACAGCCCCCTTAGCCCAATCGCTAGACGCCTCGCATTAGTTCATCGCCTGTCTAGCATCACTGTAGTATCCAGCAAAACTAGTAGGTATACGGTACGTAGTTAGATATCCCATGAACCGGTAGGTAGGTTACACTGAACAACCCCCGGATTTCAGCTAGTAGAATCACGTAGCGCAAGCTCTGTAGAACTTGGAAATTGAGAATCTGCAGGTTTGGTGTAGGTACCTACTAGTTCACAGGATAGAATAGAATAGTGGAGAGTAAGCTCGGCTTCATTCTACTACCTACTCGCAGGTAGGTTACATTTGCTTTCGCCTAAAATCCTTGTCTAGTCGTTATTAGATCAGATCAGATCAGATCGGATCGGATGAAATAAGGTTTAGGTTTAGGTATACGAGCCCGCGTACCGCCCCCTCCGCCCCCTCCTCTTGGCAGGGCCTAGGTACGAAAGTAGTAAGCTGACAGGAGTAGAAACAGCATTGACTTAATCGGGGAGGTGGGGAAGTGGTAGGGCTTACTGCGCACAGAAGGAAGGTTGTTCCGTTGTGTATATGGTATGTCATGGCATGGTATGTATACAAGGTGTGATTTTCGTAGCGTAGATGTTTTTATTCGCTACTACTGCTTATGGTTTTTGTCTTGTGTGAAACGCGCTTTGCTGAAACGGGTAATTGGATGGAATGGATGGTTTTGGGGATTTATTGCTGCCTTGGGAAAAGGGGGTTTTGGTTAAGTTATGTTGTGTTGGGTTGTGTTGGGTAGAGGATGGTGTTTTGTTGTTGTAGTAGGGATGGAGAAGGTGCTGGGATAGTTTGTGTTTGTCTTGATCAAGATAGCTGTATGTAAGTAGGTCTGGCATGGCGCTGGGTGTTCTGTTGTGTTGCGTTGCGGGGCGAGAGACTACCTAGCGGCTCTTGTGGGGATATGGGGGACTGGTTACCTGCTGTTGGGGTGAACGAGCTGGCATCGTGCAATAGGGTTGTTGTGGTGGATTTCTTGAGCGCTTGAGGCGGTTTTGCATATGAGCAGTACGTGACACATCGTGTGATTGTTGACTTAATAGGATGCCTGATCTAGGAGTTGGGGCTGAATTAGGCAGTAATCTTAGGATTAAAGATTTTCAGCCTTCCAAGGCAGATCTACATGTAAGCAGTGCATAGCTTATTGTGGGACTGTAACCTCAATGGGATGTCTAACATAAGGGGGTGAATCAGGTCGATTATGCAAGGATGTTGTTGTGATGGATTCTCAGGCTTACGAGGTAGTACATGACGCATCGTGTGATGGTTACCTCAGCGGGGGGCTGCGTCTATATATTCTTGCCCGTTGCTCCTGGATTGATTGCCTACCAACTCAATTCCTCACTTAGTAGAGGAACTTCAACCTGTCATCTTGTCTGTCCCGTTGTGCCCATCCCCAGGAGCCCTTGAACCAGCCTCTAGGTAAGAGTGTCACACTTCCAGATAACTTTGACTTCAAGAATCCAAATGAAAACAGTTTTACTAACTACTACCCTAATAGACCTCGAATCACCTCACCACCATGAAGCTCATCACCCTCCTTACCACCGTGGGCCTATTCAGTCTCGGTTCAAGCGCCTGCAACTGTGTACACAACAATGATGCCGGCCGTTGGATCGACAAGAATTCGCCCGCAGCAGCGGCTGTTCCGTTGATTAATGCCAACGGCGGTTGCTATACAGCCACCGGCCAGGGACGTATGTGTGTCGGCCTTACGAACGGCAACCAGGCTGTCAAGGACTGCCTCGGACAGGTGGCAAGCAACTGGCAGAGCTACCATAGCGATTGGTTTCTTTGGACGTCTATTACTTGCGGTATGTTGGTTGTCGTTGTTCCTCTGACCTGTTTCTTTGCTGATTGATGGGAATAGATGATGGCAATGCACATGCCCAGCTTACAATCACTTAGTAGCGAGGTTGGGATTGGGAGTAGAGTCGATGGAAAAGGACGCTGCTAGGTGGATGGTCTTGTTAGGTGTGGTAAAGGAAAGGAGCGGAGTGGAGCACAGCGCTGAAATTAGATAGTCAATTCAACTTGACTACATTTAGTCTGTTTCATCCGCCAAAATACTTCCTTGCATCTTGCGAAACTGTGCTTTGTAATCTCGCTTTATTCCATCAACATGCCTTCCGATTTAGAAGTGCCATCTACCACTAGCAATCGCCAGTTCTTCATTGCCTGTCGTTTCTCCCCGATCGCACTCTTACGATCGACGCGCACAACGCTGGCTTGTTAGCTGAGTCCTCCGACCTTTCTACATGGTCTGATCACACGCACAAGTCTTCGAGGCTGCGCTTTGTTGAGATTATCTGGTATGCAGGCTGAACCACTTCGAGAACGAAAGTAGGTATAGGTCTGGAAGAGGGCTATGCTCACCCTATGCCCGCGAGCCATCGAAAATTTGTCTCATTTACAGGGATTACCATGGAGTTTGGTTTTTGGCCGTTTGGGGAGTAAGGGAGGTCATGTGTGCGACATGCGTTGGTGTAGTGGTATTGCTCGTTTCAACAAGCACTTAGCTGCACGATGGATACGTCTTGTAAACAGATCCTGATGGCCTGGGAAGAGGCCGAATACAGAACACAGATACACCTAATACCCGATTTCCTGCTTCGCGTGGTTCAATTCTGACTTACTGCCTGCGCGGTTACATCTTCTTTTATTCCATTTACTGCAACGTGATTGCTTCTGCATCACTCTATTGTCAATTCGGACCTGTCACCTGTACGGAAGAGAGATGGCAAGCGCGATGAAATTGCATCGTCTATGAGGACCGCGTGGCGTGAATGATTCTAGTGTTGATAGTCCCCCATGCATGGCCAAGCGTAAGGTATCGAGACTTCGATCTAGCACACATGCATCGTTCGAGGGCGACTCGACCCTCGTAACCTGTGTAGCTGTTATGGCAAACTAGCTTGCACACGAAAAGTGTGGCAGGTGTGGCTAACGTATATGTTGGTGCGCCTCTGGATAAATCTATGAATCAAGATTTTTACCGAACTGCTAGTGCCGAAGGGTTTGCCACATGTCGGCTTGATTAAATGGATTATGATTGAGGACCTTCTACTACGTTACAGCAATGACGAGTCATGAATTCTGACGGAAAGTGTTTTCGGCTTCAGGAGAAATTAATAGAAACTGCTACAACGGGAAGTACGCCACATTCGTTGAATTCATCGACATCTACTGCTGCAACACGAATCCCATGATCTTGAATAAATGCAACAAAGAGTTGTTGTCTCCATTGTCTCTATATAGAAAGATGGTTTAAAGGGCCTCCGACTACGCAAAAAGCAGTTTGCCGTCTGACCTTCCATTCAGCGCTGATGCTACTACCACAATCATCGCCAGCCTCTGATCAGGGTCATTGATTTGAGGGAATTCTGACGCTTTCCATGGCGACACATCGGTTTCAATGCTCCACTCATTGTTGCCACGCGCGACGTAGCCAACATTGATCCCGTCTACAAAGACCTCGACTTCGGTCGAAGTGTTGTGTGAAACATAGCCTGAGACAACGATAGTGCTCTTGTCGACCCGCATAGCCTCAGCATGCAACTTGGGCGCCTGTGTGTTTGCGCGTGTTCTTTTCGAGACTTTCCCATGTATGATGTCTGAATCCAAGGTTGGTGTTCGCGAAGGGACAGGGCGTTTACCTTGGGCTTGCTCAAATGCGTAGCCATAGCTCAATAGCGCATTGTCATGGTATGCTTTCGACGCAAAAGTTAGGTCTACTGGCATACGGGTGTCGTTCATAACGCCCATGACGACGCTGACGGTAGGAATACCCAGCTGACGGATCGCAGCGTTGCCATTCGATCTCGCCACACCGTTTCGCCATGCCAGCTCAGCAGCAGTCGAGTTTGTTTCTGCATCTTCTGGGCCAACGTCACCCGCAGAAGGCCAAACCACGAGATCAAGCCCGAGCTGGTCCATCCATGCCTCCAGGTCTCGTTTGCGGCGATCCTCCAGCATGTGTAGGTAGGTGCCTAGACCGGGCATGTCGAAAATGCTCCTCCCGCCGCGAATCGCTGCGGCTGCAACATAACCGTCGTAGCTACCGGAACTGTTGCTGAATGTGTTGCTCCACCGATCAGGAAGAGTGCCGGGGATCTGTGGAAATATCAAATCTGGGTCGACGTCGACAAGCCTGGTTACACTGGTTGTGTCGTTTACCATGTGCAGAAAGTCATCCCAAGCGTATGCAACAATCTCAGTGTAGTTGGGCCCACTACTGCCGTTAAAGTAGCTCGGAATGGGCCATTTGGTTCCCACCTCATTTTGAATTGGAGGGACATCGTAATTGGTGACAGCAGGGAAGTCAACTTCTTGCACCGTGGCACCAAGAGACTCTAACGTTGCGCGGGCGTCATTCCAAAGCTCACGTACTGAGTCCCGAATGTAAACCGGCACTGCTGCGGGGTCGTGCTCGCCGATAAACATACGAGGAACTCCGATGCGCTTGCCTTTGAGTGAATGTGGGTCAGCGAGCGCGAAGTAAGATGCTGGTCGGATGCTCTCAACGTGGGGAAGAGTAACGAAAGGTTGTCCTCGCCAGAAATCAGACGTGGTGTCGTTATCCGTGACGACGAGGATGTCGAGCAAAGCCAACATATCCTTGACTGTCCTGGTATGCGGAACCACGACATCGGCTGATGGCTGAAGAGGCCAATTACCACGCATGGAAAGAATACCGCGGGACGGAGTGTATGCAACAAGTCCATTGTTGGATGCTGGTGATCGCCCTGATGACACTGTCTCTTCAGCTAAGCCGAAGACTGCCATGCTCGCAGAAGTAGACGATCCGCAACCATTGGAAGAGCCAGACCCCATGGCAGCAGCAAGAAAATCCCTGTTGTAAGGACTGTCTGCTCTTCCGTACAGCCCTCGCTGCATACCACCGTTGGCCATGGGAGGCATATTAGTTTTCCCAATGGCTATGCCGCCAGCCTTCTTGATCCGGCTGATTGTAAAGGCATCCACACTAGCAGTCAAGTTCTGAAATGCAGGGGAGCCGGCAGCCACCGGGACACCGGCCAGCATATAGCTGTCTTTCGCCGTGAAGGGAATACCCTCAAGAAGAGAGCGAGTCTCTCCCGCCGTGCTTGAACGATATTCATCTGAGGCTTGCGCATCGTCAAACAATGATGGGTTCAGAACAGGAATGGCATTGAGCTGTGGTCCTCGACGTGAGTATCGCGCGATCCGATGGAGGTGTTTTGCAAGTAACTGGACCGCGTTGATCCGACCGCTGGTCAATGCGTTCTGCAATCCTTCCACGGTAGCTTCGACAATGCTGATGTCCTGGATGCATGGGTCAGTTCGCGTAATCCATACAAAGTTGAAGTTATCTTCCTTACTGCCGGCTGCACTGGGTTTGCCGAGGCGAACGAAACGAGTAATGCTACAAAACATCCTCGCAGTGTTTCGCTCGATATCAGAACCATTATGAGGTGGAGGTGAAACGAAAATGCCTATGCCACTCAGCTCACCGAACCGCATGCGTAGCTTCTCGCTGGACCGCCTGAGAGAATGATCTTATGTACTGCAGCATGATAGCCCTAAGTGGGGCATCGTGTGTAATGTCTCAAAGACAACAATCAATTACACATACTGAGGACAGCATGCGCGCGGAACAAAAATTATCATACGATTGATAAGTAATGTGGTCACGCCATTGAGTTTGCACCTCGTCGCTGTCTTGTATGTTTACAAAGCCTCTAAGCATCCTTGACAATATCAAGCTATGTAACTGTGCAACAAAGCATTTCTAGTTAGTCCTATCTTGAATCCTTGTGGGGAGAGGGGTAATAATTCAAGGCCCACAATTTGCAACAGCGATAGCGGAGGATATGTTGGATGCTCTACCTTATAGGGACATCATCTGCAGAAATATGTGGGGAGCGTGGGCGGTGAACTCACGTGTGAACTTATTGGCTTAGTGTGATTGGAATCCGCAATAAACAGATAGCATGCACAGAGACATCACTATCCTATTGAAATTTAGTCACTCTAACCTAGCCGTCGCCCCAAACCTCAGTGATGTGATAGCCTTGCAATGGCGAACGGCCACACTATCACAACATACGCCGCTAGGATAAGGTAATGGAGCGCGTTATCCGGGCCAAGCGGGTAGTTTTTGGTGCAAAGGGAAGGTGTTTTACATCTTATATCCCAAGTATACTGAAACCTTAGGCGAGAATTTACGTATAAAGAGCACAGGTAGCTTCCGACAAGATATACAATACACAGCAAGCACACCAGGAGGCTAGCCAGGAACTAAAGCTACCGTCTCAACAACTCCGAACACTGGTGTTCCCAAACTCTCAAGTCTTCGACATGATCAAACCGCTTCTTGTGGCTCTAGCTTTGCAAGCTGGGTCAATTGCCGCTCAGTTCATCGCCGACATCCGCGCTGATACCAACCGCGACGGCCGTGTGGACTTGAACGGAACATCCGACTCTGCTGGGAAGTCATTCTGGACTGCCACCCGCGGTGCGATCTTTCTCCCTAATGTTGGCGACAAGCACATGCGATGTGCCATAGCCGATCGCGTGGGGAACCCTTTAAGCAACGACGAACTGGCATATTGCAATGATGCGTCTGGCCATCTCCTTCTCGCTCCTGAATACCTTGCGCCTCTCTATACAGTACCATTGCAAGACATCTCAGACAATGCCACGGCCCAGGTTTATGTCACTCCTCGCGCTGCCTATGAGAGGACGCGTATCTTTGCTCTCGAGGACACTGCCAAACCCAATGCGACTGAATCGTGGCGTCTCGTCGATCGTCAGCTCTACTTCAATGCCACACAGCTACGTGCAGGCCTCGTCCTTGGAATTGATGGCCGAGAGTTCGTCAAAGATACGAATGTCTGGAATGGCCATGTGACTGTTCACTTCGATGTCACTGACGCCATCTCATATTCGTCGGCTCCGAAGGTGGCCACAGATGTCGTCGCCATGAAGGTAGCGCCAGTCTTGACTCACCATCCTTTGCAGCGAGTAGAGACTCTTGTGGCTACTGGAGCGAACGAGACTGATCTTGTCCAATTGGACTTTGTGTCTCAGATTGAAGCCGCCCGCCGCGCAGTCGGACTCGAGAACCCTTTACTGCTATTCAACCAATCGTCGGATATCTGGGCCCAAGACATCCTAGAGCCAGCATATGTAAGCATGCCTGGACCTAACGGACCCATTGCCCTTCGAGTCATGCTACGTTCCGCGCAATCGACGCGTACCGGCGGACGCCAAATCTTCGAACAGTTGCGAGGCCCAGGTGTGGGCGCTTTCCAGCCAGGGAGTGCAACCGGAACTGGCTTTGGATACGACACCATCAACAGCTACGGAAATCTAGAAACCATTCCTCCTCATCGGTCTAAACATGGTGTGAACTATCCAGCTGGGCGTACCATCTTCGGCAAGCATTGGGAGCAGCTGCCATCACAGCCAGTTCGAGACCTCTTGTACGGTAACGAAGTACAGACGCCATTGGTGCTTGAGACGGGTTGGCTGCTCGTCGGTCATGTAGACGAAATCGTTCAATTCCTGCCTTATGACAATGAGCTCGGATGGACAATCGCTATCGCGGATACTAGAATAGCTTTGGATGTTCTGCATGGTGTGCATTCTACTGGTAACGGCAATGTCACCGTCCTCAGTTTCAACACATCAAGAGCCGAAGCCCTCAACGCTCAACCGCCCTCGCAAGCCGGGCTGACCATGAGTGTCAATGAGATTCTGGCGAATTCAACGTTCACCGAGAATCAGGCCTACGCGCAAAGACATCTCGACGCCAACTTAGACATACTCCTCGCCGAGATCCCTCTCAACCGCAGCGACGTGATTTTCCTTCCCGCGCTATTCGAAGATCAATCAGCCGGGCCGCAATTCGTGAGACCTGATGGTCTGCACGTTTACTGGTGGCCCGTGAAGGAGGGAGAGCGGCAGTTGGGCGCATTCCTTCCGGCCGCCGTTAACGGTATCATCATTGGCCACGAGTATCTCTGCCCGGAGCCTTGGGGACCGATGGTGAATGGCCAGGATGTATTCAGGCCGTTGGTTGAGGCGGCTTATGCTAGAGCGAACATGAACGTTACGTATATTGACGATTGGCTCAGTCACCACTCAAACGGGGGGGAGATCCATTGCGGGACTAACACGCTGCGGCAAACGGATATTCCTTGGTGGGGGTAGACCTGCACAGCCCCGACGGTTACTGTGAGCAAAGGTTTTCCCAGCTCTAGGTAGCTAATCTCTATATAGACGTAGGAAACGCCTCTCTTGTTGGGAAATATCTTTCGGTTTCTATTGTCTAATCTGTAAATTCTGTTATATCAGTATTAGAACTAACTTATTGATGGAACGTATCTTACAATTAAGCCTAATAGAACATACTCTACAAAAACGTATCCTACTCAAGTACATTTGCTAAGGTTCTACCAAGCTCCACTCCACTTATTGTATATTGATGTAGCAACGTAAACGAGATCTTAAACAAAGATGATATATAGCTTACTCCTTAGGATATTTATCGTTTGGTTGATTCTCCAGTAATCACTGCGGCTTTCCTACGTTTCATCCAATTCGATCTCACAACCATTTCACGTCTATCGTCTCAAAGGTGTGTCGATATCTAGTGTGCCAACATCGGAGTTTTAAATCAAGAACATTGGGTCAGTGTGTGACGTACTTGTTAGCTCTTGAGTCGTATGAGCGGTTTTGATAGGTTGTGACTTCTCATAAGCCAACAGGCCTCTGACTTGAACCCCCTGCCATCGTCCTGTCAAAGCTGCACAATTGTGCTCGATGGGTATTTCTGCATATGTTGAGATTTTCATGTGGCGACTGCGCAGGGCGACTCATACGAATAGCTGAAGTGTTGCCAGTGGCTGTGCTCGGATCTGCAGCCGCAATGATTGGTTCCTCGCTTCAATGAGCTTCAAAGGGCAGTTTAGGCGAACGCCATCTAGAGGTTATTTGAATATCTCCTTTTATCTTGCAGTGGCGTACGAAGCTGATCTTCAGGAGAAACCAGTGCAGAGTTTGACACGCTGCTTCGAAACCTGTGTTGACGTGTTTCACTATTTCGCTATGACAATTGAGGTATCCATAAACAGCAGTTGTAGGATATACTGCAGGGTACTTGAGCTGTAAGACCCGAATCATTTGCCTCGTTCGAGACTACAAGTGATGCCTGTACTGTGTAGGTCTCCAGTGCCTCCCATGATTCATGCTGACATATGTATGACAATGTATGTACGTATCTATGACTGTATAATCGCGTCTGGGGCAAGAGTGGCGGTATTTGCTTTACCTATCGGATGTAATCTGTTGAACCAGGGGGTAGGACTGGGCTCATGAGAAGAAGCCATTGGACATGTACAAAACAAATATTGTAATGCCCCCTGAAAGTATAAGCCCTTCTCCTCGTTGCGTGCCTGTCTTTAATTCGTTGAGACTGTGGGCTACGACGGTTATGACCAATCTGTGAGTGTCCTAAAAAGTACCTACAAGTGACGAATGGCTTATTCTTCCAGGGATACCAACATGTTGCCACTACGCCACCATGAAATTCAGATATGTATGAGAACGCTAGAGCAAGAACGCCACCGTAGCTGCCTTGGTTGGACTGGAGCTTGGCCACCACGTATATAAACGCTACTACCCCAGGTGCTCAAGAAGAGACCAAATTGGACAGTACAATGGAACAGATTACTCAGATGGGCGCCAACGAAGTAAATCGTCCACACACCATGCACCGCAAAGAATGGAAAGAGAACACAGAAAGAAAATTTGTCATTGTCGCCATCAATTACCAAGTCGAATGCTTCGCCTTTTGAGAAGAAGAAATTCTGGAAGAAACTCGATGTCGTGGCGATTGGAGGCTGAGTCTTTGTATTGACTAGGGTCCCGTGAGACCACGGGGTTCATCCAGTGAGTGATACCCATCTTATGCACTCTAGTTGCGGAGGGTGCCTGCTTATTTGGGATAGCCCATAATGATGTAAGGAGTAGCATATGAGTTCTGTATGGCAGACTCGATCTGCGCCTTGAATATACTTAGTCACCGCCTGTACATTGAGTAAGATCTCAACCAGTGAGTATACCTGAAGGGAGCTAGCCAAATCAGGGACTGAGTCGCCGCGTCAGGATGCACAGACCCGGAGGTCAATGTAAGGTATCTCGGCAAATCATTAGCTTTAGGACGGCTTTCAAACACGAGGAAAGAGTATCACATGAATGATGATCCGGGGAGTAAGAAGCGAGGCAAAATGTCCATTGGGAAACACCAACCAGCCTGCTCACACTTGGGAACGACGCCGCAGATATTGCGTGGTACAGCTCGAAATACACGGACGTCTTTACCCGGCTTCACCATTTACATTCGCCATACGTCGCTTCACTCTGGTGATCGACGCCAAGGTCTCTTGAGTTTCGATAAAGTCTCGGACTACAAACAGTTGGAACGGGCCGGTTTCTCTTCGCAACACAAGATTATCGTTCTGGTTACACTACCGCTCTCCTCGGTCGTGATCTAAATCCTGAACGTTCTTCCCGTCACATCGAATGTGTCCATATCTGTCATCTTCCATCTTCCTAGGCAGGATGGTAGTGAGCACGTTACGGCTGACTTGAGAGTTCGGTAGCATCGTCCCGTCATAGGCGCCATAAATCAATAAGTAATTTCCCTCGGAACGGCGGCCCCGACCGCTAGTCGGCGCTAGCGAGATCTCCTTCGTTCTGTGCGGCGTCGAACAACCTTTCCTAACGATGTTCACGATGCGAACGAGGACGACAGTTGTTGGGTTGTATTGGAAGAGTGCTGGCACGGCTGCCTACAGCCGCTTGTCCGTGTTGCCGCCTTTTCGCCGAAAGTCGTCACACAAACGAGCTTGGAAAACCAAAACAACCTGGCTGCGAAGTGTATCCACGTACACATCCTACCAACAACGCCAAATCGACAGCCAGAGCCCTATCGCAAATCCCCGACCGGTGTATTGAAAGTCTCAAAAGATCATGTCGAACCGTCGGCTATACAAGATGTGGAAGTCATCATGATGAAAGAAGTGCAAAGACGGGGAAAAGAAAAACAGCGGTTGACAGCCTCAACAATACATCTTATCGTTGCCTCGTTTCAACAGTAATGGAAATTCGACACGAGAGAAGCTCCAACGACAAGGTCCCAAATTGAGATACTTGAGCAAACGATGTTTGAGCAGATGAAAAGGTGGAAGCGAAGGAATGTCCCACAACAAGGAGCGATGGTTTTCTCATTGAAGCGACACCTCAAACGTCGACGAGATGTGGTTGTTCAGCTATGGTGGCCATGCTACATCCAACTGGACATGCCCATGAGAGCCTGGTCTTGTTGACTGTGGTTCTGTGGCGTGACCAAAGGAACCTGCGGGGGCTCGGCTCCTTCGGACTTGCGTGGAGTTCGACGCTGAGCTGGACGTTTTTTAATCTCAGGATGGTCTTTCCTGCAATGGTTCAGAAGGGCGTCTGATCGTTGAAACACCTGCGCACAAGATTTCACTTCGCAAGAATATGTCTTGGCCCCAGTTTTCTGGTGTTTCTGCCGCCTATGTCGGCCTCTGTTTCCTTTACGGTGTTCTCCATGAAACTCTTTATCGCACCCAGGTTCATCGCAATATAGTACATTCGAGGTGGAGAGGGAAGATGCGCTCGCGGTTGATGTGGTGTCGGAGCTCGAAGGATGTGTCGATTCGACGGAAAGGTGTTGCCAATCACTGCATAATCTATTTAGGTCAGTTTTGCCCTGGGTGAGGGTGAGGTTTGTACCGAACTTACGAGGATGCTGAACCAACGAGTATGTGGGATTGATTATCCTTATCCGGCGACGGAGTCTCACATTCCACGGTCAATCTGAATGGCCCCTGATTCCCCAACCCTAGGGGCTGTCTCCGTTCGAAGACATAGTTGGAGTTCTGCGTGTGTTCTCCCTGGGGCGGGTCACTCGGGCGGATAGTCAGCATGCTGTCCGTCATTCCGTTTGTTTCCCGTATGTCGTTCACTTCTTGAGTGAATGACGTCAAGGAAGTGTCCACGCTCATGTCAAAAGAATGGAAAGACGTCGAGGAGCCAGCGCTAGCTTGCTTCGTTGACCGGTATCCCTCTATCTCCTCAAGTTGGTTCCCCGTCATGCCAATGCAAGGCTCCGTCGTTGTCGCAATATAGTCGCCACGCATATTCAAGCCAGACCAAGAAAGCTCTGCCGCGGTTATGGGCAATGCATCGAACACATCAAGGCGTTCTGGACCCAGAATCGAGGGCTTTTGTTCGGCACATGGCGGTTCCAAGTCAAGAGTCGACCGCGACTGATTGGTATACGGTTCATAGTGATCCAAACTCGGATGTGTGTACCCCACTCGCTCGGAGCCTTGAGTCGTTCCGTAAGGACTTGCCCCATTTAACGCACCTTTGTGTTCTCCGTCGACAGTACCAACGTATCGTCTTCCGCCGTTGTATGGGAACATACCATCATGGCTCCATGCCGAGGCGGTGGCAAGATCGTATTGGGGGTTATGATCCACCAACTCCCAATCCGATACAGAATCGGCTACATTCCCAACGTTCTGAGCAGACGTTACTTCAGCCCACGACCGGTGGTTGTGTGAGTAGCCGAGATGCTGATGAACGCCGTCTGTCTCGCCTGGTTGTTGGTGTTTCGAGTGCATGTTTCCGAGATAGGCCTCGTGCATGGCATACGAGGGGGATACACCGAAAGGATCACGATCGGTCGCATAATCTCCGTTGTGCAGTTTTTGCCAGGTCTGTTGTGGCATAGATTGAGGGTGGCAAAAGGGCCCGCCATGTACTTGTTGCGACTGACGTCGACTATCGGCGCTACCGCTGCCCTGGCTGCGTGGCTCGGCTTCGTTGAAGGTTGGGTACGTGTAAGGTTGATGTTTCTCTCCACTAGGAGGGGGCCTATTGCGACCTGCCATGCTAACAGCAATACGTTGCGAAGGGACACCTTAGTCTGAAAAAGAAATGCCACGAAAGAGCCGGAATGAGCGGTCAAGAGTTGGGATGGAATCCGGTTCCGTATGCAGGACACCTCTGGAACTGTGATCGTATTGGTCGACAGGGATAAACCAAAAGTGCAGGGACACTATCTCGATGAGAGTAAAAGACACTGGCGTTACGGTGTGCCGAAGGAATAGTCGGGGGTCGTGGAACAAGAAATGCATACCCTTATGCAGAAGAGCGATGGCTTAGCGTGCTAGTTAGCCTCGTACGGAAGCATGTGTCGCTCGATGACTGCGGACATGAAACGGCTTCGACGACTTCGAGCTCGAATCGGGATTAGATCACTCCGAGAAAATTCTGCCTGCGCTGTTTTGGAGAAGCGTTACGCAACAGACCACGCTGAACTACGTTCGACCTTGAGGCGGTCAAAAGTCACGACATACCTGGGGGTTAGCGCACTTGCAAAGCACCGGCACCACGATGCCTGACTCCGCCTCACTCCGTTACAGTAGCTGCTGGCTCAAGCGTACGGGGTATGGCAGATGAGCGATTGTCGAATTGGCATCAACAACACCAGAGCTTCTGAGATGCGATACGATCGACACGACCGATCAATTGTGCGGATACCTTCAAACCGGTTGACAGAGATGTTGGCCGAGACAATATTGAATATTAGCAGTATAGCCCCTGTTGTCGGAATGATCCCATTTTTGGACGGGGGACTGATGCGCTTGCTCATGATGCTTGAAAGCCAAACGGGGGGCGATCGATCCCCTTGGATACCTACAGACCCACAGACGAGAACTGCCAAGCACACTCAACGAAGAAGCTTTGAGTGTGTCATACCAAGGACCCTATCGTTTCCTGTCAGTAAGCTATGATGTTCAGTTGCCTACTTTTAACATACAGGCAATAGGCCAGGCCTCGCCACGAAGATCCAGCGGGCCCATTCTCCGCTGGATCGTGTCTGCCAGTGATGTGGAGACTGAAAGAGGGGCAAGAAAACCGCGTTCCACAAACAAGGCAAATCACAGCGAGAAAAGAACTAGCGAAACTGATCCCGAGGGGCTTTGGAGAAATCAAGCACGTTCTAGCCGCTCGACATGGATTATATTCTAACGAGAAATAACACAGCGCGATACAGCGTAGCATGGGCAGCCTTGCAGACTCTCTCATGAACCTAGCTTCATCGTTGCGCGTGGTCATGAGTAGTGGCACGGAGTGCCTCAGGAAGACCGACACGTTCTCTCAGCAGAGATTCGACTTTCCGTGAGCCCGTCCCTCCTCGCCTTAGGTTACCCACCCCAAGGAAAGGCAGCAGGGTAGATCGCAAGAGAGCAAGCCACATACCATCCCTTCTTCGGCCTCAGGCGCGAGTCAGCAACCAACGGATGTTTCATCTGGATTCCACAGCGTTTGCAACTTCGTCGCCCACTGTTTGCATCTTCTTTCTCTCGCTCTTCTAAGTGTAGTATTTGGATATTGATCTATCGGGCGTCATACTCGGTTACCATCATATACATGACAGCTGCGAACTGCGGCACCACATACAAGCGCCCGCATTGCACCAGCTAGTGCACACCGGGCCGACCACTGTGAGCATTGGTTTATGATCAGAAGCAGCTTTGAGGCCATTCTAATCCACTTTGTCGTTGGCTGGAAACGAGATACACGCCATCTTCGGTTGTCCCTGGAAGGGTTTGCGCCCGAAAAGCATTGTCATGGTGTTGCGCAATCTGCAGATGCAGGTAATGCCGACGGACGACGTGAACTGAAACAGAAGAAGATTGACTAGAGATCGCCTGTTTTGCGGGCACAGCTTCCATCCAACGGGTGTGCTCTGAATCAACAGCTCGATTCAATCCGAAAAAGGCAAAACCATATCAAATTTCCCAGGTAGCAATGGATCTTCAGCTTTCTTAGAATCCACGGCACTTGTCATGGGCGAACTCAACATTCGAGTGTGGCGGGCGCCTTCGATACCACCTTGCATCAACTTGCAGCGGCTAAACACCCTTTTCGGTGTAGCCCCACACCAATCCCAATACACATCTATGAACAACGTAAGGCTAAGACCCCGCAATTTCACAGCCGCATCATCGAGAACTACAATCCCGGCGACTCATGCCTTCGAGTGTCGCCTCGTAACTGGATATGGTGGTGTTCGTCAACCGCGCGCATGACTTGGTTATCCCTAGATGTTCCACATCACCTCTCCTCGACTCTGAGACTGAATAGTAATCTTTCAAGGCAGTAAATCTGTAGTCACAGGAGAGGGCATCGGGTCTGAACAAGATGCGGCAGGAATATAAACGGCCATATACACAGCAGTAGAATCAAGTCATCTAGGATCTGTCCTAGCAGAGAAAGACATGCGACTTAGACATACATTGGCGAATCTCTCTACTACCACATATATCATTGTGCCTGCAAGCTACCGATCGCTTGCATGACAGACTCTGCCTAACAGTACGAAAATCATAACCTTGTGGCCGCGAACTATAACGTGACAGAACCGTCCAACACTCAGCGTATGCCCCAATGTCAGGAAAATATCCTAACAACGTCTGGCTATGTCAGGTTCTAGGAAATGCAAGAGACAAACAACAGTGGACAGACAAGAGTTTATTGTCAGACACATCCTTCTCTAACTTCCGATGAAGTGTGAAAGACTAAGATGGTTTGCAGTAACGAAGAGGGCGAGCCGTTGCGGTACAGGGGGTTGTGCATGAAAAGAGGAACCTTCGTTGCAAGAACGATTCGTGCCAGGGCGCCGAAACTACTGCTATGTACGCCTGAGACAAAAAAAGAAGAGCGTGATACGTCACTATCTTCGTTCTGGAAAACTAAACTGGCGGACGTGTTACCAGACTGGGGGTAAGGAAGGCGCCTCAGCCGGACTGGCTATCGAAATGTCTACTGGTCCAACCGGAAACGCTCCTGAGAGTATGGTCTTGTTGTTCAGGCTCATGAGGACGTAAAAGGTACGTATGATGACGTCTGTAGTGTTTAAGACGTGCATCTTGTCGCCGGAATGCTGATGAGCATTCATGATCTTCACATCGATAAACTACAGGCCCCTGATCCTTATGCTTGAGGCGCTTGTGGCGTGCTAAATTTCCCTTACGATATCGGCCGCTGAACTTGATGCGACAATCATCCTTGTCGCATCGGATGACGGTCGGCGCCGAAGATGAGGCTGGTTCAGAGCTGGGACCTTGGCGTCCAGGAAGAGAGAGACATTCAGCGTTGTCAAACGATCTGTTGTGATTAGCTATGCAACAAACAACCATAGAAAACAGCACTCACAAGTTCGACTGATCAATATTCGATTCGAAAAGATTGTCTGACAATGGGGGCGGTGTCCCTTCTAGGAGCGACATCTGGTATTCTATCTCCAACGGCCTTTGGAGACGTGCCTCGACGTCTGTTGGAGTCTGTGCTGAGAGATCCCCGGACAGGTTTGTAGGCTGCGATTGTGACTGCGACATGTCACGATACGGGTGTGTTGACCGGACAGTCTCGACACTCTTTATCAGCTCTTCAATGTCCGAATAAAAAGACGTTTGAGAATTCGTTGTGTCCACACTGGATATCAAGCCGGCATCGTAACTGCGCATTATGGATTCAGTGGTATCGGAGAGGTCTATCTGAGGTTCAAATGGAATCCGTTCAATGCCCGAAAGCATTGGGGGCTCTCCTTGTCGTGTGTTCTCCGTCGACCAGGGCTCTTCATACCGGCCCATTAATGTACTATTGGTGGTTGGCATTGATGTATATCCAACAAGAGGTGGGTTGTCGTAGTGATGTGGTTGAAGTTCAAGTGACGAGCTTGAGTATACATCGGAATGGTGCATTTCTTGGGTATTGGGAAAGGCGCTGCCATCTACGGACAAATATTGACTGTGTACAGTAACAAGATCAACATTGTTTTGCGACGACCCTCCGCCAAAGCCTTCGGGGTGGTTTTGGCTGCGGTACGGAATGCTTGAGGTGGGTGCTTGCGCATAAACATTCTGGCTATTACCACCTAGACGTTGCCAGTTCGATGACGATGACGCTGTCCCGCCCCGGTTGAGGTTTGTGTATTCGTTGTCGCCGTCATCAACATACTCGACGAGTTCAGGCTGGGTTGTAAACTCAAATTGGTGCTGATGGTCGTATCCATATCCATAACTGGAGACTGGAACCAGCTCGACAAATGACAAATGACTATGGGTATCCGAGTCAGGATGCTGGTATCCTTGCTCGTGCTGTAGAGGTTGCCCGGCAGAAGCCGCCGCATATAAAGTCGAATCAAGAATCGAGCTGTAGGCAGCAGAGGCTCTATCCCAGGCTTGCTGCGGAGAGCCTTCGGAGCCTTCGAGGGAGTGAAGTGCGCTATCCTCTTCGATGTGTCGTAAGTTCCAGGTAGCTTCTGCATCATCCTCAGTTGATAAATATGCAGAGTGGCCCTCGCTTCCGTACGAGCCCTGATAGTTGCCATACCATCCAGACATGCTGGCGAGGGTTGAAGGGTAAATCTTAGTTCTTATGGTCGACTTCTCTTCTCCGACGCTCTTCTTCAGATGGCTCAAGAGCCGCGACACTACCACTGGCGATGTGTCGTAACGCTCAGCGACAGCAAGATCGACAGAAGAATATACAACTAGCTCGGTCGATACTGAACAAGAAACGGAGGTACAGGCCTTCGATTGTGACAGGGTATGTGGGAGGGGGTCGCGGTTGGTGGTGGGAACGGAGACCTCAACTTGGGTCTATCCGTACAGCTTTGCGAGCGCTGACGGGAAAGTATCCGTCGCAGGGAAGAAGGCGGCGTGGTGAACCTGAATCACAAGCCTTAACGAATGCCGTTTGTCGTGGAATGTAGCAGCCGTTCAAGAGTCGGATGCACTGGGTATTTGAGCACTTGTGATGGTCAAACAACGATGACGAACCACGCACCTTTGTTCTCTGGTCCTTTGCTCGAGCGATTACCATAGGACTCTCCGATTTATCTCACTAAGATGCTGTCTGGTCGCTGTCGATAAGCGCTCGTGACGTGGACAGATGCTGGACGAGGGTGGATACATCGAGGTCTTTGGAATAAGACTTGAGTCGACACAATGCGCACGACGAGCGGATGGGGTGACAGCGAACAACAGGTACACTGCGATCTGGAAAGCGGTGTGCACCATGCAGTGTGGCGGAGCAGTGGTTGTTCGTGAAGGACTCCATGCCATCAGGCGAATGATGGTCCGAAGTAAGTCGCCGGTGTAGGACGGGTCTACGAAAAGCCGTTAAGCCGCTCTGCACACATCGTAGCGTTGCATGATTACTTAATCTACTAGGCCAATGTCGAACGTACGTGTCAGTGAGGAGGTATCCGATGAGATTTGCAGATGCCATGCCGCATCTCCTCGATTGTCTGCTTTCATGCTATAGCTCCAAGCTCGGGTATGAAAACCTGGCCGGTCATACTCGCAGTGACGTATGATATCGCAGCTGTACGAGCGAGAAAGACTGCAGCCGAGACGATATTGCAGACAATATAAGTCGCAAAGAGGCGATGCGGAGTTCTGAAGATTTCTTCTCCAGTAAGCTGTCTACCTGAGGAAATTACACAGTACTTAGACTATAGTGCTCGAGTACGCGTGAACAAAGTCAACCGTCGGCGGAGAGAAGAACAGCTGAAGATAATAAACTACGCGTCGAAAACATGGACTAGACATATAACGAACGTCTGAACACGACAGTCGAACGACAAACGAAGCAGATTACTATGAGCAGCACACCTGGGCGATCTATATCCACACCCAGGAGATTCTCCACCATCCTTACGATCATCTACCATCTGTCATCTGCCACTGTCAATCAGGGAATCTGCATATGCATCCATGATGCTTGTAGCACACCCTCCCACCTCCATCATGGCTAGGATGAACGCAAAATCTGCAATGCAAGCGGCAAGGGGGGGCCCACCGCGGCGCTTCCAGACACGGCACACAGAAACGACCAACGCTATACTCCACCATTGTTCCGGCATGACTACACACGAGATAAAACCTTCATGCTCAAACTCAGAACGTTTGCTCTTGGTTTTGTCCAGAAATTTGCGCTATCTAGGCAAGACTTGGGAGGGACTTCTACATAATCTATAATGGAACAATATGATCCTATCAAGCATCGGCCTACTGAGTAATGATTGACCTGGAATGGCCATCCAAGACACAGCATATGGTCCGGCACAAATATGCAGGTTTTGTTCCCACTTACGCCAAAGAACAACCACTGGTTGCTGAAACAGGATAACTGGCCGCGTTCGCATGAGACTTCCACGGCAGCGCTAGAGCCTGTATGTCGTACTGTGTGTTGGTGTGTAGAAGATATAGTAAAGCTGCATCCCTAGTTTCATGCAAGCAAAGTTAGCATGCACTACTTTCAACCAGAAGCCCACTACTTGCGGAGGAGATCTAAGTTTTCAGCCCGGCCACGAAGCCTGGAAAGGTTAAAAGATTCGGATCCAGCCAGTTAAAGAGACTTGGGTTATCTTCAGCCTCTCCGTCCCCCGCCAGTGTCAATCCAAACAGCCAACATGCGGACTTCACCCATCGCCACAATGCAAGCGACAATTGATCATGCGTATCCATAGGAAGACTCTTGCTAGATTCGGTTGAGCAACCAGCTCGCAGCTTCGCTTATCCGGTCCACATTGGGAGTACGGCGGCTACCGCAACCGCCCCCATTCAGGTCGAGCCTTGGTCATAGAGAAGCTTGACCCCGCACAGGCTCGGTATTATTACTGAACGTCAGCTCTGCCTTGATACAGTATGTAGTAATTATCAAAGCACCCGATTTACAATATCAAGTTGCCAATTGTCGAATGACGTTAGACCGTTGGTGCTTTCCGTGCATGAGGAACACGACTTCTCAGCTGATGCCAACGCCACATAAGGCGACTTCAAACAGACATCGTAAACCCACAAGTGTGGCATCTTGGCATGTCGAATTCTGAATGATGATCCGAGGGCGTTGCGTACCGTAGAACTCCTGCTCGATGAATTAACGCTAGCAGGGGGGGTCAGAGGCTGAAGATAGATCAAGTATCTTTGATTGGCTCAATGAACGGTAGTGTGCGGGGAAAACTGGCGAAAATTGGGGCCCTCAACCTGTACTGAGTTTAGCACCCGTGTTGAGCCTCAGCCCTCACCTGCTAGCGTTAATCCATTGAGCAGGAGTTTTACGGTAACGTCAAGGGAACGGCCCGATCGAAATTGAATAATGATTCGAGAGACGCGTACTTAGTTATGTTGACTGCATTACTGTTAGTCCAATAATCTTGTCCGGTTAGAGCGTTAGAGCCCCGATAGGACCAACCGACTCCTAAACAGTGTAGAGCGGTTCACGCTATGACATAGTATAGGCTTTTGACGAGTCGAATTCTCGTCCCGAGACGACAGATCCAAGACGACGTCAAGCAAATATCGCGATAAATCTGATCAAATTCGAAACGTGTGTTCGGTGCAAAAGAGTCGAGAGGGTAGCATTGATGTGATAGAGTTTGGAGATCAATCCTATCGATATGTACGTCACCCTATGCTGCCTAACTTTTCAAATATCACTTACTCATGCAACAGCGCAAAGTATCCGTATCATTTAGTAGTACCCAGAACTTCGTCTTCAGTCTTGCTCAGCACCCATATCGATACTGAATATGAAAAGTAAACCTAGCTTCCATATACCTTTCTTCTGTTTCAATCTGTTGTTCTTACCGCTTGCTTCAAGCTTCTCATGGGATATCTGGAAGGTCTTTCAACCAGATTCCAATCCACGGCAGAACCCGCATTCAGAACGAAGCGTCAAGCGCATCTCACATCAGGCTGCATCCGATTCACATCAAGATGTGCTTCTCGACGATGCAACATGGTTCGATGTTGACGGCACACCATTGTTCTACGGTGCATGGCGAGCCAAACCTGGAGCAACATCTGCAGAGCCAGTATCTCGATCGAGTTTAGTGAAGTATGGGGCACGTGTGGCATGCTGGCCCAGCTCAGGTGGTATTTGGATCAAGCATGCCGATCTTGTCGACCTAAACTTTCTAGGTCTATCCCGTATCGAAGATACGCCTAGACAGTTCAACCAGACTGCAGAGGACGAGTTTTGCACGAAACTAAAGATGACGGGTCCTGAGTGGTGGAAATTGCCTGCCACTTTCGGAGAGAGGGAGCATTTAGGCAAGGAGCAGTTTACGTGCGACACGCTGGAGGATTGCTTCAGGCCAGACATCAAGAACCACTACCTTATCGCATGGCCAGAGACTGCAATGGTTGTATGCTATATCCCAATCGTACAAGCCGAGGAAAGGGGAGAGACCTCTCTCACCAGGTACTACAACGCAATGGATATGGAAGAGCGCTGCGACATGATCAGGAGCCTTGGAGGCAAATGGTGCCGCTGCAAGGCTGAGTGTCCGGATCTCAAGAATTTGGATTGGAGCTTTCGAGATCCGGGGATCGGCGGTTGTCATGATCCCCCGTTACTTATCGACGATATGGAAGCGCTTGGTGTCGGACCTGGTTCCAACTAAACGAGCAAAGTTGTCCAATGGTTTAACAGGCATTGTGGGAGGAATGCGTCGAAGAAACTTATAGGTTGTGACACATTTATTGCAGCCTAGACACTTCCAGGCATAGGAGAAACCCCAATGAAGCAAAGTTATCACTACCAACCCATTCAAGACATGTATATCAATAAAGGCATGATCAACCTTCCTGAGGCATACATGAGGCTCAGCTAGGAATCATTTGTCCTAAGTAAGAGATTGATTGCCTTTTGTAGTCATCCTGATTAAACAGATCAGGGCCCGAAGAATAAGTTTTACTCATAACAGCATTACCAGTGCTTGCTAATACAATCAGGGGACAGCTAAGAAGTTTATTCACCGACATCTTGTTTTTGTCGATCACTCCAAATCCGCTGAGTTATCTTCCATCCGCTAAGTGCGATAAGGGCCGATAGAAAGACCTCAAGAACCAGGAGTAACCGCCTATGACGTGTTCGCATCTGTATACCACATGCTCCAAGGTTCCGAATACCTGGTCTCGAGGTCTGTGCGCAGGCAGGGCATAGATCAGCATTTTGCCCATGGCTTGAAGCCAGATTGCTGGATCAGATCTACTGTGTACTGCATCAATCCAGCAACTAGCAGCATGCGTCGATTCTGTCAAATATGCGAGACATGGTTACAATGTTGTGTCTACGCCACGACATGTGTAACACCTTCTCAGGGGCTGCATGATCACAGGGCAACGCCCTTTGCCCCTTTCAGCCCTCGCTGCACGCTGCATGCAGAGAGGCAGAATTCCATGCAGCGCACGGTGGATGGCCTGCATGCTGCAGGGGGGACTCCAATACATGCTGGAGGCCTGGACGGAAGGTCTGTAATTTAGTCACCTGGTCAACTACGATTGATTTCGTACTCGGCGTTGCGAAGAACGATCTGGTAAATCCTTAGAAGTGGTATAAGGCCGTATGCCTAGCACTTCATAAACATGGCATGAGATTTACTGCATACAACGCCCATCCAATCGTAACTATCGATGATGATAATCAATATACTAATGGTACCTGATCATGTATTGAATCGCTGACAGAAGCTTCACAAGGTTCCAGCCATGTCAGACCCCCCCAACAGTTACCAGCTCGCCCAGCAAGATTACGCGATTCAAAACCACAAAAAAAAGAGACCAGCCTCTCAGAAGCGTACCATATCAACTCAACCGGTTGTTCATTTATTCATCCACTCATGATTTCATCACCCACCTTCTTGGGTTTCGGCCTTGCATCCTCTTCGTGGTGCTTTGTCCATCTGTGTTTGCGCAGTGCGTCACCACGCTTGAAGCTTTTCTCACAGACGCGACATACGATTTTCATCATATTATGGACATGGCGAATATGTCTTGTCAAGTTTCCGGCTCCGAACTTGCCGATGAATAGTTTCCTACACTGCCCACATTTGACTGGAGGGTATGTTGCAGTCGGGTGTGACACTGGAAGATGATGAGCTTCAGGCGCAACATCGGAATCATCGGTTTGGTGAATGAGAGCCCGAGATTGAGTTCCATTGGAATATCCTTCGCTCTGGATCCATTCGGCTGTAGACGATGGTTGGCTTGCGGTTGCAAATGTGTACTCATTCATTTCGTTAGAGTTAACAGCGGCTTGGCAGTGACAGTGCGAGATAGTTTCCATCATGCGAGGATCCAGACCTTGGTCGGCATGTAAATGACAATAGCTTCCAGGCTCGGAAATGAAAGGTTGCGATCGTAGTGGATCTTGATAAGCTTGGTGGGGTGGTACGAAGAACTCCGCATCAGAGGGAGATTGGCGGCGATAGTTGTTGTACGTAGGAACACCCGGAGAACCAAACCCATTTGAGGAATGAAATATCTCCACCTGGCTAGCAGTGACATGAGACTGATAGACAGGATGTGAAGAGTATTGTGGCGGCGCATCGTGTGCGCAATGTGCATGGCCCATGGGCCGACCTTGGTCCATCAATGGAGGAAAGATTCCGCTCGGCAGTTCAGTACCGTTTGAGAACTCTTGAAATGCAGGAGGAGGGTCATTGGGAGTAATGGGCGACTGCTCAAGCATCGACACTGGTGAGTGAGTAAAGGAGCTGTTTTCACTCGTTGTGCCTGGAGGTATATTCCAGTGTCCTTCGCCATAAGTTTGTATTGGTTGGACAGGTGTTGTAATCGATCCGCGAATCTGACGGGTTGTTCCATCGATATCAGCGTGTATCATTTTTGGTTGGAAGTGATATTGCGTAGGTTGGTCAATAGGATCCTCATGGAAGTCTAGGCCATAAGTACTGTTCCATCCAGCTCCAAGCTCGTAGACATTCTGTTCAGGTAGCTCAGACATCATGGACAAGTCCAGGAGTTCTTGAGGTGTTGACGTTCCGGGCAGTTCCAACACGTGTTTGTGATGAGCGTTAGAAACCTTTCGAGAGGAACGACGGAAAGACGAGCGGAACCACTCTCGAATACTTCCCCGACGAGAGGATTTCGATAAACTGTCTTGCACAGTCCGGTTTTGTGTTCCACAATTGTTACCACTCGATGAACATGCACAGTCGCTTTGGGGTGTTGTCGTTGGGTCGAGAGTAACGAGTGTGTGGTAGCTTGGCCACAAATCGTCGTTGACAGAAGACGACGTGAAGCTAATGATTGTCAGGAATGTAGTTCAGCACACAAATGAATTAGAAAGAGGGAGTACGCGCTCACTCGAACTTCCAGCGATCGTGTGATTTTTCGATCAGGAGTCGCATGCTGTCAATTGTAAGAGGATCGGCCCAGATTTAACAATCAGAGTGCAGTGATATCGAAGGACTTTTATCCACCTTAATGACTGCAGGAAGACCAGACGTCATGGTAAAAACATATTACATTTGCCCTAGAGGAATATGCTGACGATACTGCAGGAATATACAGTAACATCAGCATGCGATGTAGCGAAAACCTGCTTTCCCACGCCCTCAGCTCTCGGCGAAGGACTTCGTCGCACAAAGGGACTTTGGCGATACACTCTTCTTGTAAATTTCTCGGCAACCCCCTGGCCTACCCATGTCTGATGGGAAGGCAAAGGGCAAAGGGCAAAAGCGTACATGGTGTCACACCAACCCCTTCTAGGGTATCTCAGGACTACTTCGCAGAGCGTCCATGTGTGTGCCGATCAGTATAATGGTCTCATGTTAAGAGGACCAACAATCGTGCTTCCGCTGGTGTTGAAACCATTCAACCAATATGATCGATGCTACAGGCGTTGCTAGAGTGTTATGGTGTTAGATTCAAGCTCAATCTGTTCTAGAGCGTCGGAGGATTTACTTCCGGGTGCTCTTGAGTGGTCGAGGAGAAGGACAACATACCTGGATGCCAAGAAGCTTGTTCATCTTTGGTGAATGTAAATGATGAGTGCAGATCGGTGTCAATGTTGAGCTGTTACATTCGCCTTGTCTCCAAGATCGATACCGAAGACACCCTGTAGGGGGACTAGATCAGGCAATTCGAGAGGGCGGCAGCCCTTCCGTCCCTAGAAGTGAAGCGGGCAAAACTAGCGCGGCCGGCGCTTGGAGTAGCGAGGACTCTACGGCTTACGCAAGCGACCTGGGCAAAGGTTTCGTTCCAACTCGAGAGCATTCTGAAAATTACAGAGGGACACGCGTCGCGGGGATGTAATTGTCCGTGCGGCCACGTATGAAATGGTCTGTTGATGGATGTTGCAAGATATGATGGAATTGGAACGAAGTTGCTGCATCTTTGGGTTGAAAATTTGCTGCAACGATTCATTCTTCGATTCTTCCAGGCTCTGCTCTGAGGCATACATATACTCGAAGATGTTCAAGTTTTACAGCCCCCAAAGAAACATCCTGAATCTTACTACTCAGCCTCCGTGGAACAATAGGCGAGGCAGATCTCGAGGCAGACTCAACCTTTGGAGGTCGGGGTAGCATGCACCTACGCCGCAATTCCGGTGAAAGCAATATTCCAGGAAATCGGTGTGTCATGCCAGCAACCAGCACCAACGAGCTGGTTGCAGACATCAAACCAGGATTCGAGTCTTGTCAACTTTTGAGCGAATGGGAAAGGTGGGACCACAAGACCCTCACATGAATCAGAGTGTTTCTCGTTTAGTCCGTAAAACTAGATAATGTTTCAACGCGCCTACCCACCAGTGATTCTCGAGACACTTCCATTTGAGGCCTAGCCAACGCATGTCACGAGATATCTGGCCAACTGGCCAAACGCGATAAGAAAATAAGGCAATTACACCTACAGAGTCTAGATTCGAAGCTCCAAGACTTTTAGCTCGAGGGACCTCATTGTTTTGGGCTGATTTAGGAGGACAATGTGCTGAGTCTGATCCCGTATCCTTGAATGACGCAGGCCAATCATTGACTTGCGAACGGCCTCTTGAGTGGAGCTATCAGTTACAGGACTCTCTGATACCGAATTTCTAGTTGCCTTATTGCCTTATTGCCTGAAAAAAAGTCAGACTCGGCGTCGCAATACATGCTGATTTGGGCATGAGTTTGTGTTGTGAGGTAGGTACGATTGTAGTCTTTCGGAGTGGCCCGTGCATGGACCAGGAAACTTCCCCGCCCGCTCTCCGTGCCATGCTTGGTTCAACATCTCGCCTCTCGACGCCACCTCATTCTCATTCACTTTGCTACCCTTGCCTACGTCTTTTTGTCTTGGCAGATTCCCGTAACACCTATCGCTATCATGACTTCAGCAGACGTCGATAGGTCGAAAAATGCCGAAGCCTCGCCGTCGTTGACGACATGTACACTGAGAACGCTCAACAGGACGCCTTGAAACACGTACCATTATCCGAAACAGGCCTGGTTCTCAACCTTTGTCAGTCTAGACAACAACAGGGTCGCATAAAAAACCCGAGGCCATGAAGCCAAGGATTTTCTCATGCTCATGCCTTGCGCTTGACCTCTCAAATGAGGCTCACATCCCACATGACAGCATCCTTCTGCTGTAACCTTGAGGCTCTGAAATCGTACGACGAGGCCGATCGCACGATCGCCATCGCGCATGTCCTGTCATCCTCTGAAGGGTGCATCATCCCAAGAAGCCCGTCAGCTGTAACGGGGCACACAATTGCACCAAAACAGGAAAGATCGACAAGCAGCTCATCCCAACGCGGTCACATAAGCTCGAAACTTAATTACCGACAAACGCCATCCCCCAACAACTCCCCTGGCCGTTATGCCTCCGAGGATATTGATTTGCGACTATTTTCGAACACCCCGTTGCCGGCCGCTGTGGAGATCACTCGATTTCCGCCTGGGGAGATCGGAGGCAGGGAGTCTAGACGTCTAGACCCGAAGATCGCTCTTGAGCCAGCCCGTTTCGTGCTCTCTACCAGGGTCTTTTCTCCCCAGGTACCAACGTCATGCAGGGAGCTGTGGAAAAAAAAGGTCCATCCCATACTACCCGAGATGATCTGCACCGCATTCATGACAACCACATGTCACCTCCACCTCAGCTCTCGTGCGAGATTCCCTCCTGAACAGGTCCTCCGCTCTCTCGAGTGACTCACCTCAGGCTAAACTTATCCTCACCAAGCGCCAGAGTCCCTCGAAGCCCCACACTCTGACCGAGTCCCTCTAGAGAACCCCACATTCAATCCCCCCCCCCCGCCCAATCGTCATCCTGGCACCATCGGCTATCCCCAACTCCGACCGACCGCACGATAAGAGCCTCGCAAAAGAAAATACGCATCACGTGCGCAAACGCGGATCTGTGGGTGGGACTATTTCTGTTTCACCAGCGAGCCTGAGGGGGGGGAAAGGCACCGGTCAGCCAGAATAGATTGACGGCTTCTACTTTCAGGTTCACCGGTGAACGTGTGCTGGCATTGATGACGCGGCACGAGAGGGACCATACTGTCAGGTGGGACGTCTTGTGACGGTCGATCGCGATAGTGTCTTTGTCTTGAGAGGTGCGTGAGGCTCTGCTGGTGAGATTTTAGTGATGCGTGAGGGGAACGATGGCGGTAACTTCTATGTTTTTGGGGATTTTGCTCCACGATAGTGGTAGATTTCGTAAACGGAGTGGAAAGGAAGATGTTACGAGTATGGGATTTTACTGAATTCTCCCTCATAAGACCACCGTGATGCATGACCATGAACCATTACGCATAACCCTCGTTTGAAAAATTGAGAAAAACACCGCGCCAGATTACCCATCATGCCCCAGAATCTCACATACAAGGCTGAGTCCAAGCCCCAACCTGCCCCCATTAGTCCAAAGATCAGCACACCCTCCGTACTCAACCTCCGCCCCCATGCCACAGAAACCATGCCAACCCACCACGCCGTGCGCGCCGTATATGCCGACATCGACACCCGAAAGATCCAGCCTTCCCATCAACGCCCCGAAAAACATCGGGCAGGGGAGATATAAAGCACGCGATTGAACTCTTCTCTGGATATTGCGTATCCAGCTAACTCAGGTACTCCGCTCATCGTACACGGTGTTCCATGGCCCGGCGCGTTGGGCCTCGTGCAAGTACCTCGCTGTGGTGGTGGTTGGGGGTAGATGTTGGTTGTGCGCTTGGAGGGTTGAGGGGGAGAGGTGCTGGTGTGGAGGGGTGGGGGGTTGGTATGGCGGGGGAGGTTGTGGGTATGCGTTGGTGTGCTGAGTAGTGTGCTGATGTAAGGCGGGTGTGGAAGAGGAGCTTTGCGAGGTGTGGTGGTGGGTGGAGGAGTGAGGTGGTGGTGCCGGTGCCGGTGCTAGGGGTGCGAGATTCAACGCAGGGTTGTTGATTACGGCGTAGATTTCTGGGTTGATGGTTTCCCAGGGCCGGGGGACTGGGTGTGAGGGTTGCTGCTGCTCGTGGGTGGAGTATAGGCGGTGGGGTGGGCGGAAGGGAGGTTGTGAGTTGTAGTTGGCGTCAGAAGTCTCGGGTCTAGACGACCTGTGTTCTTGCGAGGAAGTGGCTTGGTGGTTAGACTGAGGTCGCGATCAGCACTCGTAGATATAAACAACACTGATGAACTTACTGGCTCGTTGGTAGACTGCGAAGTTGGGCGAGAGCGGTTGTGTTCTCGGCTCTGCGCGTCTCGGCTCGGGCCGTCCTGACGGACGTGAGATTTTGGGTATTTCTTTGACATATCGCGTGCAGTAAGACTTTGGTTCGGCTTAAAGCAAGGTGTGGTTCGTCCCGTTGAGGCTGGAAATGTGGCTTAGACGGTGCAGAGAGTGGTAGCCTAGACGCAACCAGATGGCAAGGTAGAAAATGGTGGCTCAGGGGTAGGAGGCTGTCAGCGTATGAGTTGACGTTGAGTTGAGTGGGTGTGGATCAGGCCAGGGACAGTTCGCAGACGATGGGTGGAGATGTAAAGGGAAAGGAACAGTGAATGTGCAGGTCAGGTGCGGTTACTTATAGACAGCGGTTTGTTCAGGACAGACTCGATCCCCGCCGGGATTGAGAGGGACTAAACAACAAACAACAGCATTTTCCGTCCCGTACGTTGAGTACGTCTTCATTTTGCCCTTTCAGGCGCCCAGGCACACTTGCGTGAAGCTTGTGATGCCTCCGGGCAGACCAGTGTCAATCCCGCTGTGATTAAATCCAGCGTTGCATTGCTTGGTATGCCTCTTGTGCGCGAAGTTTTGACTCATGCTCGACTTGCGTGTTCATCTGGCAGGACTTATCTGGAGCGACGCGTGTCGATCTTCGGGACAAGCGAAGTCCCTAGAATTAGAACCCGTTCTAGGCGTGAAGCCGGAAGGGCACACAGAACGTGATTCTGCCGACCAGTACCGCCGAACAGGGCAAGAGAAGAAAGGGCGCGAGTGAACACACGTGCGTGCCCAGTGCGGCAAATGGCAGCGGATTGGACGGAGGAGTTCAGAGGGCACCAGTGGCGTGGCACGGAAGGGCGAACGCAACGCCCCACATCTAGAACTATTTATTTTAGCAGACGACGTGAAATGGGTCGTGTAACCTTCACGATGGGGATGTGGGGTGTGGGGGTAACCCGGGGATGACACAAGCGTTTCGCTACCCTGTCCTCGGTAAACGCGCTGTCACGCGATCTACCGAGGGAACGCATCTCTTGGGCACTTCGATCATCGTATGTGCGTCATCTCCGCCGATCGGCCGTTGAAAGCAGTTGGTCCGAGTGCGCTATGCCTCCAAGCACACAACTCTAATTAGCGAGACGGTTGGAAAGATAAAATCGTTGGCAAAGAAGACGTGATGATATGAAACATGGTAGTTGTATTCGTGCACGCTAATTCAAGTTGAATATGAGAAGAAAAGAAAGCTGTCGCTTGTCGCCAATTCGTGAATACGCCGAATGCTGCCACTTGTGAGCAACGAGTAGCCTAAGTAGTGGTCGTTGAATTTCATCGATACGCCAAGGCTGTTAGGGAGTTTGACAGGTTCGAGGCGGCTGGCGCGGGCGTCCAAGCCAGCGATCCAAGCTCCAAGCCCAGTTGTGACACTGAAGGTTCAGAAGCCTTACTCTCTCTGTCAGCCACGCAAAATCTGACCGTAGTTGGTGAGACCAGAATGCCAGCGCCAGGATAGAATGGACAACATTCGCGATTGGAAGTTTTCAAGTTGGGAAGCAAAGATGCTCCAGGTCGCAGTAAATGACCTGAGTAAGTGCTTCATGAAAAGAACAATGTATCGTAAGTAAAGTGAAAGCGTGTTAAAAAACTTGCAGCTTAGCTGTTCACCGCGCTAAGGTCATCATAATCCAGGCCAGACCAATCAATCGCAAGTACTGGTCCTGTTGAAAGAAAGCGATATAGTCATCTCGAAGCGTCGCCCGTCTCTCATTTACGTGAGTCGTATACCGACTTTTTGTTTGCAGCATTCTCGATCTGTACACTTCAGTATGTGCGTAATCAAAATCATCATCGTAACTTACAAACGTGCGGTCGCCATCTTCTGCTTGTATCAGATGGCCCTCATACCTCCAACTCTCTCGATCTGCATCGCCGAGACTCATCCAGTCTTCCCCTGGCAGATTGGTTTCATTGACAAGATCCAAGACGAACGGAAATATCTTTGAGTTGTAGACGACTTCGTCGACGATATCGGCCCAAACGCCCTTGAACAAACTGCACTGTCTGAACGTGACGGATTTCAGTGTTCCTGAATGTCGCTTGAGTAATTCACTGAAATCACGTTCTTCTGCGTAGATGCCTTCAAGGCTCAGCGATTGCAGCTTGGGCCACGTCGTTCGCAAGCCAAGGCAGGCAAAGACCTGGTGTTGGAGTAAGGAGCTGTCGTACATGTGTAAAGCAGCTTTCTTCCAGTGAGTAATGTGGATAGCCAAGTACTTGAGATCCTGGGCAGCGATGAGTAGATTAGCCCGTTTGGCGAGATTTTTCGATACCACGCTGAGAGAACACCCACGGGTTTCTGTATAAAAGGCCATGTTCAGCTCGAGATGTTGTAGACGGCTGAACAGATGTAATGCAGCTTGCTCGTCGTCTGCTGTTGGCAAGTCAAAGATGGAGATAGAAAACTCAGTACCCGGTTCTCCTGTCCGCATCCGATCGACCTTGAATTTGCGAACTCCGGTATATTGGGACAGATAGATTGCACCAATGAGCTGTCGAAACGCATGCGACGAGGATGCATAGTCATAGCTTGAGCGAGCAAGCCCCTCTGGCATGTAGCGAGAGGTAGGACCGATCCCTCGCGGAAGCAGATCGCGCACAACTTTGGCCTCGATAGGAATGAAATGTGGATGAGGCGAGTACACGATTGATGTCACATGTGGCAACTGATCCAAGGCTCGTGCAATTGTTTGTATTAGAACCCCGCTGGTGACCATTTCCTGTTGATCGGTAAACAGCTCCTGGTACCGCTTCCACCTGTCAACCCGTCAGTCTGTGCTCTTTTTAAAGTGAAAGCAACTACACTCACCTGGTCTGACCAAACCAAGACGGTGGTCCTGGTTGATGTCCCTCAATTCTGGCTACTGCATGGGCATACATCCGCTCCTGCTTGGCCATGCTTTTGTTGTAGAGAGAGGAATCAAACACAATCTCTTTCACATACTTTGGGTAAATCGAGTGGAGTGAGATGTTCTGAAATGCCCCCAACGCTTTGTATCTGGCGCATGCGACTATACTGCGAAAAAGCGTTGGAGAAGCAGTGTCCCAGAACTTCTTGCAAACGCGGCGCACATTCTTGAGGTCAGATGCTGGAAGGTAAGTGAATATCTCAATGTGAAGTTCAACGGGCAGCAGGTTGAAAGCCATCTCGACGCAGAATCGTAACAAGCTGCTGAATGTTGATGTAAAGCGACGACAAGGCTGAGGGTAAGCAAGGTGGGTGTTTGCTGTTGCTGTTGCGGAGAGAAGGGTTAAAGCCGACAAGGTTAGTACGGTTCTTGGCGCGGAATCAGGTGTTCGACATCACCCAGCATGATGCACAATGATAGTGACTAGATACGAGTGAAACTATTGCTTCCGCAGTTTGTTAAGTGCTGCCATGACGCCTTCGCTCATGTCTTCCTCTATTTGTTTCCTCTTTGCTGGCTTGGACGCGATGATTTGACTTCCACTGCTGACACCCACACGACCCGTCTCTATGTCACGCATTGCCTCCTCCTCATCGTCACCCACGATGAGGTTGTCGAGATCCTCAGCAGGACGACGGTCAGGCCGCTTGTCTGCATCTGATTCAGCGGCCGCACCCAGAGAAGCTCTTTGCATGTCCATAGCCAACGGCACTGCATCGTCCAACCTCTGACGTGCCGTGGCTGCAACAGCAGTCTCTGTTGGTGGCAAGTCCTCCTCTTCCGCCATGGAGATCTCCATTGATGCAGCCGGACGACTGTCCTCGCGATTAAGACTTCTTCTTGCTGCCTTCTTGACCCTGAAAGGCTCCCTGACTGCGTTGCACCAACGCTGGACCTTCTTGTCTCCCCAGCCAGCGATGAGTCCAATCTCTTCGGGGCCTGCACTGATAGCCGTGCGAACGCTCCCAAAGTTGGAGACCAAGCCAACCGCGTCCGTCTTGTTGATGCTGCGAGGCACGGTGATGAACTCGACCATCTTCTCCGAGTACGTCGACGACTGCTGGGCACGAATGCTGGTCGGCGCAGCGTTCTCGAAGGTCTTGAACAGCTCCAGGTAGCGACCAGCTTCCTGTGCGCTCCAGCACAGCATGACGGTGACGTTGTTGACCAGTGACGTCTTTGATAGCTCCCGCAGTGACTCTTCGTGGTTCTCAATGTCGACCATGGTGAGCAAGATGCGCAGGTTGTACTGGCCCTTCAAGTCGCGGATGCGGTTGTAGATGTACTCTGGATGCAGGCGGTGGTACTTGAGGGAGAGGAACAGGGCGCATGTGGTAGCACCGACGACATAGTCAGCGGGGATGTCAGAGTACTCCCAGGCGACCGACTTGACGCCGTTCAAGATGGGGTTTCCTTTCTGCCTGGGCGAGACCAGGATGGAGCTGGGGCCGGAGCGCGAGGGCAGAGCCTGGGGCGTGGGCTGCTGCACTTTGGACGCGGTTGGATTCGCGACTTGCGCTCTGGGTGCGTTGGCTGGGGCGTGTTGGGCGACATTGCCGGGGCGGGCGCGTTGGTCATCCATGCCGACCGTACGAGGGCGACGCAGGCGACGCAGGCATTGGGCGGCGGCGTCGACGTTGGTGTCGACGTTGGTGTCGCTTGTAATTGCAGTGCTCGTAACGAAGGAGCCAGATGCGAGGGCCTGACACATGACCGCCGTGCACGTGCAGCAGTCGGAGCCCGGCTCAACCGCAAAGCCATGCCATCGTCCTGCCTTCACACCATCACCAGCCCTACCGCGCAACCGCCCACCGCACCCGTCCAGCTCACCGCCCATCCCCGAACGCACCACACTCACCACCCGCACGAATCCACGCCGAGCCACTCCTTTCTCGCATGCGCACCGCATAGAGCGTCGCCCACCCACTTGCCGCGGTCGGCGGGAGACGCCCAACACCCCAGTGCACCTCGCCTCAGCTCCTCGCACGCCCACGCCCACGTCCACGCCCACAAGCCCCCGCCCGCGCGCCTGCCCTGCCAGGAGCCACGGCCTCTATGTCGGATCACAGCGCGAAACGCCAACGCCTTGGTTCCGACGGCCGCTTCTCGCCTGCCTCGCCCTCCTTCGACATTGCTGCCAAAGCCGGCCACCAGACAAAGCTCTTTCACCCGCGCACCCCGACCTCGCCCCCATACTTCCCGATGAATCCACAGTCCAATGGAGACACTGCCAGGACTACCACCGCTGCGTCCTCGGAGAAGACCTCGCCGTCCTCGGCCCCCATGTCGCGCTCCCTCTCACAGTCGGCGACGTCGGCGACGAGCCAGCATCCGTTCCCCACGCCTGCAAGCACAGCAGGCCCTAATACCTTGGCCAACCTCGACAGCGACGGCGATGCCATTATGGGAGATGGCGTGGAAGACGATGCAACGCGGTTAGGCCGTCACAGGCTCTCCAACCACAACCGGCAAGGGGAGGCAGCTTTCTCCGAGAACGGCGGTCTGAAGGCTGCCGAGGGCGTCAGCGGCAGCCAACTGTTCAAGACGACACAAACATGCCACACCATGTCTAGACCACATGGCTCGCAAAACCTCTTCCAACTATACGGCTTGGAGACGCTTGCCAGATCAGTAGCACGTACGGACCCGGTAACAGGAGAGAAGATTAACAAGCTTCGAAAGTCCTACGAGGGTCACATCAAGAGCTTGCAGATCGCGGGCAAGCCAAAGGCTGCTAAAATGGACGGTGCCTTCTCTGGGCTGATGCATCCCGTCATGCCAGACGAGATTTGGCTGAGCCAAAAGAGACAGGGGAAGGAAGTGGAACGAGCACTGGGTGCTGAGCAGACGACGCTCAACCCAGACTTCAGCAGTCTTCTCGACGGCGCTCTAGCAGGCATGGCTCCTGGATCGCTTCCAAACGCCGACACGGCAAAGTACAGAGCGTACATTGGCACAGACGACATGGCAAAGCCAAAGCCTAGCACAGACGGACCAGCAGCCCGTGGCACGCCCCTCGCAGCGTCGACCCCAACTCCACACACCACCGCAGCGGCCAGGGCGTTCAGACCAGAAAGAGCAGGCTCCAAGCGCCACTACACCGACGCAACCTTCCAAGGCTACAGCGAGGGCTTCAACGACGAGTTCGGGGCCGACTCAACAGGCGGCGAAGACAACGGGCAAAGCAGTCTAGCCAAAAGGCGGAAGCTCCAACAATTCGAACGAACATCGCACTCTGTGGAAGTGGGCGGCACTCGACGATGACAAACTCTCCCCTCTCTCTGCGCCCATGATATCTGAGCACATTTTCTTGCAACAATACCAATACCAATACCAATACCAATAACAATAACAACAACAACATCACCTTTTAGACCATGTGGGGAACTTTCACGGACAGGCGTTTACGGACTCTTCTCGCGCGATATTCTAACCGGGGCGGTCACGATGAAATCCACAATGACGACGGTTTGATGACGAAACGGGCCTTCCCCCAAGCTGGTAGGTAGGCTCTTCTCTTCTTTTGTGGCATCTCGTCGAACAATATCTTCTTTGATCTTTTGATTTTTTTGATTTTGCATTAATTGCGTAGCGTCGGGGGGGAAGGATGGGGACAAGCAAGCAAAGCCATGGATGGATTGATGCTTTTATTCTTTTTTTTTTACTCACTTTTCAAAACCTGACTTATGGGTAAAATGGGCGTTTCGGAATGGTGCTTTGTTGCTTGCTGGACTCTTGTTTTTTTACTGCTGCTGCTGCTGCTGCTGTGGCCGCTTTGGGCTTTTGGCTTTTTTTCGCTGCTGCTGCTGTCTTCTCGCGTTCCGACGATGGGAGGAAGAGAGATTGTATGGATGTGTGTGTGTGTGTGTGCGTGTGTGCATATTTGGGCTTTGGGACGTACGACCGTTTCGCGCCTCATGATACCCTCGGGATAACTCCGCTGCTGGTGGGGAGCCTGGATATAAAAATGAAATCGAAATTTGAATTGAAACTGGACTGAACTGAATCATACAGTGTTTGGTGGACATGATTGAGACGTTGAGATTTCCAAATTCATCTCCATCTACACAGAACATAACATACAGACATAAAACAACGTAGTTTACAACCGCGCCAACAACCCCACCACCTCCCCCCTCAACTCCCCAAGCCCAACATCCCTCTTCACCCCCAGCCGCCGACACTGAACTTCCACTTCCCGCCTATCCTTCCACCCCCGCCCCAGCACGACAAGGACCGGGTACCCGATAAGATCTGCATCGCGCAGTTTCCACCCCAGGCTCTTATCCGGGCGATCATCGAGCACGACATCGATCGCTGCAGACCCCTCACTCCCGCCGCTGATCCCGGTAGACGCGCCACCCACACCACGCAACACATCATACACCTCCGCGGCCTCGGCGTCAGCAGTCTGCGGCGCCGTCAAAACCGCTGCTTCCCACGGCGCGACAACGCGCGGCCATTGCAGTCCCCGCTCATCCGCCAGCAGCGATGCCACCGCGCCAATGAGGCGCGATACACCTATCCCATGGCACCCCATCTGCAGCGCCTCCTTGGCCTGGCTGTTTGGCCCCGCGACGATCGCGTTGAGCGGCGCGCTGTACCGCGTGCCGAGGTGGAACGTGTGGGCGACTTCAATCGCTTTCTGGACTTTGAGGGTGCCGGCTGCGCAGTTCGGGCACGGGGAGCCCGGGACCGTGGGCGTGAGGTCCACGCCGGCGAGGGAAGTGGGAGTTAGTGCGCGGTCGCAGAGGACGATAGTGCGGGATGTTTTTTCGAGGAGGGGGGTGAGGGTGCTGGGCTCGATGCCGGTGTCTAGTGTGATGGGGGAGGGGAGCGCGCGCTTCACCGCGTGGAGGTTTGTGTGGGTTGCTGCGAGGGCCCAGGATGTGCGGCCGGGGGGTGTGGTGGTGGAGCAGGATGGGGGGCGGGGCACGTGGATCTGGATTGCTGTGCTGCGGTCGAGGCTGATGCCTGTGAAGATTAGCTGCTCGGGGGTGCCGGGAGGGGGCTGCGTGGGCTTCTTCTCGACGAGCTCCTCGTTGGCGATGTAGGTGCAGGCTGTGCAGCTCCAGATGTTGTCTTCCCCTTTTGTGGAGACGAAGTGGTACTCGTGGCTTAGCTTGCCGCCCATGTTCCCGGAGTCTGCGTCGGCGACTAGATACGGCAGGTTGAGTTCGGAGAAGAGGTTGTTGTATGCCTGGCGGACTTCTTCGTATGTGCTTAGTGCGGCGTCGGGTGAGTAGTCGAATGTGTAGAGATCTTTCATCAGGAACTCTTTGGCGCGGAGGAGGCCTTGCCGCGGTCGTCGTTCGTCTCGGTACTTCCTGCCTACTTGGTACAATCTGAGCGGTAGGTCTTTGTACGAATGTACCATGCCTGACACTAGGGAAGTGATCTCCTCCTCGTGAGTGGGGGAGAGGAGGAAGCCCGATTCTTTCCTGTCGTTAACGCGTAGGAGTTCCGAGTTAGTGGAGTACCGGCCTGATTGACGCCAGAGGGCTTCGGTGGTGAGAGTGGAAAGAGAGACTTTTGAGGCGGCGATGGAGTGCATGTGTTTGTCGATCAAGGCTTCGAGTTTGTTCTGCACGCGGAGGCCAAGGGGAAGTAGGTGGAAGACTCCTGAGTGTGCCTGTATGCACGTGATGAGCGGGTGGTGGTATGGAGGGGAAAGGGAAGGGGTACCTGGCGGAGGAAACCGCCTCTTATCAGCAGGGCGTGGGATTCATCTAGGCGATGTCAGGATGGTTGTCGTTGAAGTGAGTTTAGATAGATTGACCTTGGTCGCCATCTTGGGGGGAAATTCCACCCGTGGGAGTCCAGAATTTTGATAGCCGGTCTCGTGAATCGGTCTGAGTTCATGTCAGTGCGTGCGGTAAAATTCAAGTGTCATCAGCCTACAGCTATAAATCTGACATTTCCGAGTCGGTGGTTCAACCTCAGTATGCGTGGGTGATGTGCGGCTCTCCAAATGTGCACCGTCATTAGCGCGCAGTCTCACGTGCTTGATTAGACACTTTGCAGGAATTGACAGAGATGGAAGACTCCAAATAGACCGAGAAGAAGAAAACCCGAAAAAAGATAGTGTATGGGTCAATTGATGGATTGATAGTCGCGATGTGAGAGCTGCTCGCACGGACCACATTGAACATCGAACCTCGAGGTCAACCAAAATAATTTCTGGACGTCTCGTCTCGCAATTGACAACGATTCCAGCATGCCACCACGAATACCCATCCGGCCACGTGCCCTCCGCCTCGCCGTCTCCCGCCCCCTCTCCACAACAGCCACGGCGCACTACGCATCGGTAGCAACAGCCTCGACGACGACGCCCGCACCTCCACTCCACAATGTCCGCGCCGTGCCCCCAGTCCTGCGCTACCCACCGACGCAGCCGCCCTCGCACAAGCCCCCGGAAGTGCGCAAGACGCAGCTGCACCGCCAGTACCAGTCGCTGCTCAAGTCGTCGCCGCTGATCCTGATCTTCCAACACAACAACGTCAAGGCCGTCGAGCTGATGAGCATACGGCGCGAACTGGCCATTGCCCTGCGCAAAGTCGACGCCGAGCGCGCCAAGAACGGCGACGCGGACGCCGCCCTGGCCGACGAGATCAAGCTGCAGATAATCCAGACGGGCATCTTCGCCTCGGCCCTGCGCATCGTCGAGTTCTTCAACCCAGACGCCGACGACCTGGCCAGCGCCCAGCACCCCACCGACCCCCGCACGCAATCCAGCGCCCAGATCCCCAACCTGACCGCAGACGGAGAGTTCAAGCACGGCCTGTCCCGCCGCGCCTACGAGATCGCAAACAACAAGAAACTCAAACTAGAGCTCGAGCCTCTGCTGTCTGGTCCCCTCGCCGTCGTCGCTTTCCCCTCCGTCACCCCCCAGTACCTCAAGACCGTGCTCTCCATCCTCTCGCCCTCGTCCCCGGACTTCCCCGCCCCAAAACGCAGAGTCGTGCCTGACTACTACGATCCCTCGGTGCAGACAGGGCTGCAGAAACTCATGCTGCTGGGTGCGCGCGTCGAGGGCAAGGTGTTTGATGTGGCAGGTACCAAGTGGGTTGGCGGTATCGACGGGGGTATTGATGGCCTGCGAGCACAAGTTGTGCATATGCTGCAGGGTGTTGGGGGGAGTCTCACAAGTGCGCTTGAGGGCGCCAGCAGGAGTCTTTATCTCACTGTTGAGGGGAGACGGATGGATATGGAGGAGAAAGAGAAGCCTGCCGAGGAGACCAAGGACGAAAGTGCTTGAGATGTGTATATGTATATGTATGATGAGACGTGCAGTTGCTGATAGTATATGTATAGATATCGTACGCATGCCAGCATCATGCTATTATCATGCATTCTTTGGTACGAGTGCTAAGATCGTGCCTCTAGCTAAACCCATCCGATGTCTTTCAATTAGGTGAACGACGTGATTTCTGTAAGATATCCCACAACACAAGCGCAGAGTGGCGCTTTCAACTTTGGTTATACACTGCCGAGACGCTCGAGGCTGCGAGAATAATGACTTCGATGGCACCTACCTGCCCAGTTCAATCACAAGCGGCCCAATCGTCAGTGCCTGTCTCGAATGGAGACAAACACCACGCCGAAGACACATCGCGACTCTGTTCCTCTCCACAAACAACGAGCTCCGATGTTATCCACGACTTCATGAACAATGGTCGGAAGCTATTGGACCATCCGATCCCTCGCCAGCGTCAGATTCTTCGAGACTTTCTCAACGAAGCTGTTATTCCACACCTGCCTAATTCGCCTCGTTGCTTTGGGGCTGATATTGTGGATTCTAGTACCGGCGCAGATATCGCTCTCTTGGACGACCGTCAGAAGCACCTCGACTGCGCGAAGTCGATTAGGAAGACGTGTGCTGCCTGTCACGTATTCTCCAACAATTTGAATATCCCTCAATGGTATCAACGTCTCAGGGAAGAGGTGAACTTTCCGACTTCAATACAGAATTGTGCACTTGACTAACTCGATTTTGTGGTCGTAGCGACGTGCTCACAAGGCCGAGAGAAGGATAATGTCGGTTTTATGAACTATGAACATTTCCACTTCCATTGACAACACATTCTCTAGATTCCACAGAATTTATTACTACAGGGTTGGGCTTGTGTGCTTGTGTCCTGGATCCTTGCCCTCAAATTCGTTCACGCATGTCACAGTGAAACTCTATTGTGAGAATGGCGTAGTTCAGACATAGGAACCTATGGTAATGCGGATTGCATTCATTGTTCGATGCTATTACACTATAAAATGCATTCGTTGTTCGATGCAGCTACTCTAAATTGTGACCAACAGATCATGATTTGATCAAATTGTAGATCATCAGTCTGCTGGTAAGAGATGTCCGAAGACGCTTGTTTTTGTAGCGGATGTTGTTCATCGACGCCATTGGGAGGTGCAGGGGGTGGTCATTGTGTCAGTTACCTGTCCCACTTGGATTGTTGTTGGCGTCTGCCATGTCTTCGTCCTCATTGCCAAATTGAGGTTGAAGTAACAGACCGCCGCGACCGCGACCAGCAGAACCACCACGCCCAGCGCCGCGTCCACCTCTACGATCGCCTCCACGACCGCCTCCACGACCGCCACGTCCAGCGTTACCTTGGCCACGATTGGGTCGAGAACGAGCCCGAGTCGCCCCAGCTTGTTGCTGCTGAAGAGCAGTGGGAGCAAGGGGCGCTACCATCCCGGCGTTCATCTGACCCATCATGGCCGCGGCGTTCATCTGACCCATCATCATGGGATTGTACATTTGGGCAGCCATGGGGTTGTACATGGGGGCAGCCATGGGGTTGTACATGGGAGGGGCCATGTAGTTGTACATAGGGGGGGGGCCCATGGGGTTGTACATGTGAGCCATGGGATTGTACATGGCGTTGGCAGCAGCGGCGAGCATGGCCGGATCGAACGCAGGCAGTGCCTGTTGTGGAGCAGGAGCAGGAGCAGGAGCAGGTTGTGTGGGCCTCGTCGCAGACCTCGAGTTGCTCTGGCGGATGCGTCTGACATCCTGTTCTGTCAATGGGGGGGGAAAGTCACCTTTACTAACCCCCATGAAGCTGCCCATCGCTTCACTCACCCACTCCTCACAGAAGAACTCACGGTTCTGTCTCATGATCGGACAGACATCTCCGATATGGCCCTCGCGGAGGGAGTTCTCGCATAGCACACATGCGTGCTTGCATGTCCGCCAATGTTTGCGGTGGTGATCCTGGCATTCGTAACCACACCGGATGCAGCGCCTATGCTTACCTTTTACGCCAGCCGAACCAGCATTGTAGTTGAAGATCAGCTCCCAGCTGATGAGCAGTTCGTCGGTCGTGTAGTGCGCGCGTCCGGGCTGCTGCTGGTCTTTGTCATTGCCATCGCCGCCCTCATCACCGCCACCAGCGCCGTTCTTGAACACCGGTACGAGCGCGGTCGAAGAAGTGGTTGTCATAGCCATTGTGTGTGTGTGTGTGTGTGTGTGTGTGTGTGTGAGTGTGTGTGTGTGTGTGTGTGTGTGTGTCTGTGTGCGTCAGTGTGTGTGTTTGTAGGTTTGCAAATACAGAAGCTTTCAGACTGCTTGCCATGCGTGGGCTTTGCCCACACGCTAACCTAGAAAACAACGCGCTAACGCGTCTGACGTGTGAGGTGATGGTGAAGTCAACACAATACATAGCTATTACTGAGTAGGAGGAAATATACGAAGAAAGTAGAAATACTGATTGCGGTTGCTTACAGACAATTATCCTTGATCTAGATGTTCAATGTAGGCTTTGGACGGGAGAGATTTGAAGGCCTGGTACTGTTCAGGTGTTTGCTAGTGATCATTTGAGTCAAATCCTAAGCCGAATACGTGGTGTACAATGGCAGAAACACATGAAAGATGAATGGAAATTTGAGAAGTAATTAAGCTCGTCTTAGCGAACAAAGTTCACTTCTTCAGTAGCTCTACTTACATGTAATGTACAGGAGCACTAAATGACATGTTCAAGCAGGACTGTTGTGCAGTCTGCGAACTACACCGCTTGTAGATGATGTTTGTAACAAAGTTAAGAAAAGAAAACAAAGTGCTCAAGCAGTACTGTTGTGCAGCCTGCGAACTATCGCGCTTTTTTGCGACCAACAGACGAGGCGTTTTTGCCACCCTCTGGCTTTGTAGCGTCAGCAGAAAGAAGTGTATTTCTGTCTTGTATACCCTGACCCCCAGACTTGTCTCCCTGGACATCTTTCCAGATCTGCTCAAGCCTAGTTAGGTCTGGGTTAGAATATTGCTTGTTGACCTTGCCTATGTTGTCGATGTAATTTTGGAAGTCAGTATCCATAAAGACTATGATACCACCAAGTCCTCTGTAATTGCGTATATTGTTTGGACGGGTCATATCAGTGACTTTGTTGAACTGAAAAATAAACTGAGCTTGGACCTGAACGGACTTGAGAAATATCAACAACGACTCCATTGAAGTCATAGAAGTGACCAAGCCATCCAGTCCGCGGATAAGCAGCGTCACCTTTTTGCCGCGACGAGCGGGATCTTCAAAGTAGGCCCTGATAGCCCTAGTGTATTTGTTACTTGCTCTGAGGAAGGATGGCCCTTCGACAGTACGGCTAACAAGACGGACTGCCGTGACGTCTGTAAACGTGTGCCGCTCTGGACAATTCTCAACCAGGCGTCTGGCAAGTTCTATGCCTTCGTTTATTCGCCGCGTAACGTTCATCGCGGTCAACTGAGCATGCGTCAGGCCGGGATTTTGTACGCTCGACTCTGCCTTGGCTGACGAGAGTCGGCAGAGGACGTAGCAGTGCTCGCCAAATAGCAGCCCTTGTTCAGGCTCTTTGTCCTGGGCGAGGCGGGGTACTCGCACTGGGCTAAGACTCCAAGAGACTTCGCGCTCTTCTTCTTCCGCTTCTTCCTCCGCTTCTTCCTCTTCTTGTTCTTCTTCTTGTTGAAGACGGGAAACCCTCTCTCGGGCCAACTGCCGATTGCTCTTGGCCTGAACGAGGCGGGATTTTCGCACCGGCCTGAGGCTCCGAAGGATTTCGAACTCTTCTTCCTCTTCCTCTTCCTCTTCCTCTCGTCGAGGATTGAGGGTCCTTCCTCGAGCTGCTTGCTGTGTACGAGGCAGCTTATCCTCGTTGTAATGGGACTCGATCCTTGGACGAATCTCGTCTTCATCTTCTTCTTCTTCTTCTTGTTGTGGTTGAAGAAAGAAAGTCTGTTCTTCGACTGCTTGCCGTTTACGAGGTGGCTCGTCCTCGTCCGCTTCTTGTGCAGTTGCTGCAGGGGTCTGCTTATAAGGCAGCTGGGGCAGCCCCTGGGCGGCTCTGCGTACTCCTCGTCCCTTATTGACCTGCTTGCCTCTCCGGCGTTTTTTTTCTTTCCAGATTTTTGGAGGGTCAGGTATAGGAAGCCCAATTTTGGGAGGGTTCGAAGACTCACAGATCTCGCCTTCATCTACATCAAGGTGTTCCTCTGCTGAATTGCGGAGCATTGTTGCATTCATCATACTGTAGATTTGTTAATGTTGGATTGCAGTTTGTTGACCTACAGAAGCATAGATGTTGTGGTGTTCAGGCACGACGAGCTTCTGTTGCGCCCTCCGGAAGGGGCACCACGAGGATGAGCGTTGTCGTGCCTGCTGCCCCCTTGAGCAGTCTGCAGCATCGAACATCGTTGCATGCCTCAGATCTTCTACACCTCACTTCATGTCACGACGCACACTTGAACTGTCAGCGTAACCCGCTAGACTTGACGGTGCTGCGAAACGGGCGCCCCTTTTCTTCCCCTTATGTCACGACGCACACTTGAACTGTCAGCGTAACCCGCTAGACTTGACGGTGCTGTGAAACGGGCGCTTCCATTCTCCTGCTCCTACAACGCTCTTCCGCCAGCCACGACGCACACTTGAACTGTCAGCGTAACCCGCTAGACTTGACGGTGCTGTGAAACGGGCGCCTCCTCTCTCCCGCTCCTACCAACGATCTTCCGCTAGCCACGACGCACACTTGAACTGTCAGCGTAACCCGCTAGACTTGACGGTGCTGTGAAACGGGCGCTTCCATTCTCTTGCTTCTATTACGACTTTGACGGCGGTGCAAGTGTGCAAGTCCGAAGCTACAGTATCGAAGAGCTTGTGCTCACGCATGCTTTCTTGTACCATTGTTTCTTTGGGTTATTGGAGATACTGACTTCTGCAGACCATTCTTACGATAACGCAGGAAAGCCTGTCCTTCGTCTTTGCCTCTTCAAACCAACGACGATTACTTTTGTTCGTCTATTCCTCTTTGATCTTTGCACACACACGATTCGATGGCAAACCAAGCTAACTTCTTTGCAGTTTCTGTTGGCTTCAGTTCTACCATGATCCCGTTCTATTTCCACTCTGGTCGCGTACACTTGTCGATTTTATAAACCTACATCGATCTGCACAGCATCGTCCTAGCCCAGTCTTGGGTGTGTATCCAATGCCTGTTTCGCTGCTTGCATCCTAGTCGGTATCGGGGCACAGTACGCCCGTTCTATACGGCCGCATGGGCACTCGAGTGCGGATATCGATTGCGGCGGAGCATCCATGATTGCAGAACGACGCCCTTGTTCTGAGATCGGCGTATACAAATGGGCCTTCAAAGTCGCTGCGCGCGGGGTTGTACGTATCGGTGACAGCGTGGAGACCGATACAAACAACATCTAGTAGACGCTCTGGCTTGCATGTGTGTTTGGTGTCTAGGCAGTCGATATACTGAGTTGTGCAGGCTGCCTGGTAACGTCGTGAAGATTGTTAACAGGGGCTGATTATACTCGTAGTACACTTGTCGTTTGGCCTTGGCACCGGCGCAGCCGGCACTCGCAAATAACGCCACGAAAGCAATGCATTGGTCAAGCCCAATAGCCAGCTCTACTTCAAACATACACGGCTACTTTTCGTATAAAGTTCTTAACAGGTCTGACATCCGCAACAGTTTCATAAAACCCAAGATAGTGACCAGAGGCCTTTGTCTGCAGTAACAAGGCTGCAAGTCCACTCGATTATGATTGGAGCAGCATGCAACGTTGAGTTCTCACAGCCACTATAAGTTACGCGCCGTTGCACACGGGAAGAGGCAGCCCCTAAGGCTCTTGGTAATAGTCAGGTATCCGCTTCCGCCCTTCTGGTTGCCCGTGAAGCCGCTCGTTCTCACGGTCGATGTTAGGGTGGTGTCCACAGTTGCTAAACTTCGTTGTAGACGTGTCCGCGTTCAACCATAACTCCGACTTTCAGGACCTGTCGTACTTGTCCAAGTCCTTGTACGCATATGTCTCTGCATGCGAGCTGGTACACCAACTAGGGCAAACAGAGATAACACCTGGTGAACATAAACATAACCTTGCCCGAATCTACGAGAGGCTTTTCGAGTAAGGTCGGATTCTTACTGACGCTCAGGCAGTCGTTCAGGGACTACGCGTCCCCAAAGACGAGCATAGATGACGACGGCGGGTACTCACGTACACGATATCGTTGCAGATCAGGATTATGGACCACGGCCCGAATATCAACGAGTCCATGCGCGCATGCGAGTCTGAGTACGGCGACACGTCCCCGTGCAACATGGCGAACATGTTCACAAGCTCCAGAGCAGATTCGCTCAAGCGGTTGGTTGGCTATGAACCCAATGAGGTGGTGCTTGGTGTGCCGTTGAGCGCGCTCAAATCGAGGTCGTTGGTCCCATACCTGAAGAGGGCGCCTTTGACCGTGTACACGAACCAGGCCGCGCTGGAGGCCGCGAACCACTCCGCAGACAGCAATGCCTGGAGGAACTTATACAAGCCCATGGTGACGATCGACAGGCACTACACGTTGACAGGGTGCTCATGGACAACATGGTAGTCTCGGTCAGGAACATGGCCGGGGAGGACGACAGGGCCGACATGGAGCAGAGGAAGACAAAGGACATGAGGGGGTTCATTGACGTGCGATACGCCCCGCTGTCGAAGCCATCCATTCGCGTGCGCATCTTGGTGGGCGGATTCACCATTCACAATCAGGATCGAGTCCACGAAAATGCTCAATATCTCGATGTCAACCGTGGTCCGGATCGAGCCAATGAGGCTGGTCGAACGGGAGAGGAAGATGGTGCTCAAGGGCCGTTCGTCGGCTGGATGTGTGTCTACCACGACGACACGCTCAAGCTCGCCTTCATATCTTTCCTCGCCCGCAAGTACGAACGAACCTAAGCAGTACTCCTGCGCCATGTCTAGGCCCACCCCCTTGTTCTGGTACACGACCGAACATAGGCCCAACCTTGCATTCCATATGCATGTACAAGTACTATGCCGGCGTACAAAGACACGCCCAGCCTCGTGAACCCATCCACGGGCGAGAGCTTCAAGCCGAACTTGCTCGTCAACTCAAAGAACGTCACCCGCGGATTAGCAGCGTTAGTCAGGTCTATGAACCCATGCATGTCCCTGTTTGGATCTGTAGACAACTCCAGGAAGCTGCGCAAGCCCCATAGTGCAGAGGTGATGACGCTACCAGAAAAAACGGAAGGTCAACTATGTGTTACCGAGGGCGTACGTCAGCGTAGATGGGAAGATGCTCGAACTCGTGGACTGAGATAACTCCATGCCCCTGGTCATGTGCAACGACAGAATCATGGAGGTCTTGCAGCCCAGACACACGCCCCTCCTCAAGCAGCACTACCCGTCCACGATCATGAGGAGCATCGAGGTCCCACGCAGGAGGTACAGGTAAGGCACGCCCAAGCTTGGGAAGACGGAGTTATTGTCAAGATTAACGCAGCAGGTGTTCTCGTGGCCCGATCAGTCCCTACTCAACACTGACGGGCGATCATCCCCAAGGGCTCAATTTGCGAGGCGCTGCTGTGCTTTTGTACGTGCCCGAGGCCGAAGCCGCCCCTGACTGTGTGCCAATCCTGGTATTCGTTGGCGAAGCTGAGTGTGCACACAAACTCTCCAAGCCCGTGACGATGCTCAAGTTCAGGGCCCACACATGACCATGGCCCTGCTCATGATGTCGTACGTACTCGAGTCCACGTCCCTCCACACCTCGAGGAGCGCAACCTACACTGACTTGAAACAAGCCCTTGATTGAGTCCACAGACAAAAACGGCTCCACGTACGTCGACTTGCCGAAGGTCGAAGTCACCTGCGAGGGGGACACTATGCTCCCTGATGTGCGCGACTTCATACGGGCTCACGTTATCTGCAGCCAATCACGTTCACGCTTGATAACACAAGGCTGTTGATAAGCCCGAGGTGGTACGAGATGCTGAACGAGAACCCAGCTGGGATCCCGTCATGCACATAACCTGGCACGCACCTATGCGCACGATGAAGTTCTCGGACAAGCTCCTAAAGTACAGTATGGTCCTAGGTGAGCTCAAGATCACGGATGTCTGCGTATACATGGAGCAGCTCATGTCATAAGAGACGATCCTGCACTAAGACAGGGACTTAGTTGTGCGTTCAAAGGCAGTCTCAGGGTCAATGGCGATGTATGATAAGTCCAAGAGGTACATCCGACGCCGCTCTTGCAACCTGCCCGAGCCAAACGTCACGATTACCTTCCTGGTCGTGCTTGCGAGTGACTGCGTCATCTCGTACGCCCTCGTCCTTGACGCGAAGGACATGTTCGTAATATCGAACAGCACTGTGTTCAAGCTCAGATCCCCAATCGCAATCATCATATCCTTCTTAACGATGTCCGCGTTGTTAGGTGAGTGCTTGGACAACTCATCAAAATTATTTTCTGGCTCCGCTTCCTCGACATCTGGCACGAAGTCATCGCTGTCCCGTCGTCTGGCTGTTCTTGAACGGTTGGTGTTTGTGTGCTGGACGGCACATCGCCATCTTCATCCAGGAACGAATACTCGTCGTTGACGTGGTATAATATAGGACGCGGCTGGCGGCCAACGCGTGGTCGGATACGCGGTCCAGCTCGACCTCATGACAATGAGTGGCCTCTCCATTGAGGTCATAGGCTTACCAGCGTACGACCTCGACCGCGACATCACGACTCCGGCCACGCAAAACATGTCAATGTACACCAAACTCCCGTCCCGCTTCATCTCTGCAACTATGATGTCCGACATGTCGCCGATGTCCGAGACTATGCACGACTGTACGTTCAGCCTAAAGTCCGTGAGAGTGACTTCGTAATCGAATTTGTAGCAGAAGACGTACATCTTCTCACCGTCGGCCTTGTTCATGGACGTGCCCGTGTGCCTGCTCATGTCGAGAATGTCGACTACGGCATAGTCCGAGCTCTTGACCGAAGCCATGAAGTCGTAGTCCAACATACTCGCGTACTCCTTTACGATTCCGCACAACGACATGATCTTGTTCAGTACCGACCTGATAGCTGTGGCCATGACCGCGGGCAGGAGTTCAGTTCAACCTCACATGAGTACGACTCCACATCCTGACTTACGTACATGCGGCAGATCACAACTACATTCACGTCGGTGATCTCGCACGCGCGCTTGAGCTCGTCCATTTAAATAGAGTAGTACAGAAAGTTGAGAGTACCCTTGTAAAAGTACTCGTATGACACAGCGAACTTGATCCCCATCACGACTGTGTACACGGACAAGGGGAATATCATGGCCTTCCTCTTGCCCGTCCTGCAGCGCACCTTCTTGTTCGTGTTCATGCTCGCTCGAGCCCGAACACCCGTACCACCCCGTCTCCTTCATATGACACCTGCTTACGTACCCTATCATGCCCGCCTCCATCGGCTTGGCCATGCGCATAGGCATGTTCTTGTCCAACCTCAGCTCCACGTCCACATGCGGGAGCGTGACCAAGAGCATCGAGACGGAGACAAGGTCGCTCATGGGCGTATTCGAGCTTTACTGCATGGACAACAAGATAAACCACTTCTGGAACAACAGCGTGTGTACAGACACAGATGTGGAGTCGTATATGGACACAGACATAGACGAGGGCTCTAACACACAGGGGGGCGAGAGCGACAGCACGGAGATCAACAAGGGCTAGCCATCTCCTCCTGCACATCCTAAACACTGGTCCGAATACATGCACACGCACGTCTTCAACATCACGCGGGGACCGACAAGAATCACCCCTCATGACCAGGTAGAAGCGTTAAAGCCTCCGTCAGCGTCGTCAAAGGCAACAATGTGCTCCCGCATTGTACAAGTGTTGACAGGGCTTCCTTGCATGCTCGAGGTGTGGCGGAGTTCAGCAACACCGACTGCTCGAGAACAACTAGATGATGAGGAGGATAGCGATGATTTTACGCCAGATGTTGAGGAACCGGAGCCAGAAGATGATTTTGACGAAGACATAGCGGAGGACGAGGATGAAGATGAAGATAAAGATGAAGACGGAGACGATAGCGATGATGTTTCTGAAAGAGATGGATCCAATAGATGCGCCTCTTCAATCGTCGATGTCGATAACCTCGTTCCTGCTACACTAAATAGGAAGCGCCCTAAGAAAAGCGCGAAGAGCAAGTTGCCCCGTGTGCAGAGGATCGCTCTTCATAACCAGGTTGAAACGTTAAAACTCCAGTCAGCTTTGTCAGGGGTAATGGTATGCTCCCGCGTTTGTGGCGGAGTTCAGCAAGGTTGGTGGGCAGGAGCTACGGCTCAGGGACCTCTTTGGGCCGACAGACAAAAACATCAGGTCTATCCTTATAACGCGTGACCATTGGGACGTGCAAAAGACGCTACCTTATTGCGACAAGGGGGGTTTGCAGGGAGGGCTATGGCGTAGCTTCTCTGGAAGCGAGGAAGCAACCACGGTCCGCATCGTCATCAAGAACAGGATCATGTCCACCTCTATGACCATCCTCACGACTTCGATCAAATACTCGGTCAGCAGTTTCATGTACTTTGGGGATCCGCAGTACTGCATAGACCCGCTCCCGTACATGATTATGTGCAAGTGGCTTAACGAGTCGATGGACAGTCGCAGCTTCATCTTCGTGGAGTTCTTCGCAATATCGCGCCATCCTGTCGCACATAGACTTGGGGCAGGCCCCCATGACTTGTATAGACTTAAGCGTGTGATAGAACTATAAATGCTGCTGTTGCTTGAATTGTAGGCAAGACATCGAAGTCACGGAGACTCAAGTCAGCCTTAAGATCTAAGAAACTACAACTACAAACCCTACACACAAATTTAAGCCCCTAAAACTCTTTAGAATTGCGCAACTACTAGCTACGCTGTTTCTTATAGTGCTACGTGAACCTTGGAAAGGGTGTCCTTACCGTGGCGTATATATCCTCTCCAGGGGAGCTAGCTAGTTCAGTAGACCTATACATATGCATGACCAGTACCTTATGCGCCATGCAACCGTCTCACCCCCCAACATATAGCTAAGTTGTTGTTGTAGTTTGTCAGGCTGTCGGATGATTTCGCTGCACTTTGGTTCCTACATGATTTCGCTTCACCCTTGTTCCTAGTATTTCGATTTAGCCAAGAAGACAAACACAGAAGGGAATTTCGAACGAGTTTATTGATTTCCCTTGCTAGGGTTTGAAGAAAACCTGCAGTCCTAATCCCCTCCCTCATCTATATGTAAAAAGTCCAACGTTAACCATGCCCTCCACGTATCTTTTATAAAGGTAAGATAGTAAAGCACTTAGGCTGTTCTATCATCTTACCAGACCACACAACTCCCGGTTCGGCGTATTGTCCTTTTTGTCTTTTTGTACGATCTTCGGCGGTTGTTTTTGTAACAAAATGGAGGGACAGAAGGGTCCAAGGGACAATAGATCATGTGGATACTAAGCAAGTTACGTTCTTTGTGGCTCCTACCAGCTGCAAAACAATACGATTACAGTTTGTCAAAGGACACAAGGCATAAACTGCTTAAAATTCTAGGCACAAGATTCCTCCTACACTGAATAATACTGTTTTAGATGTACACTAGACAGCTAATATTGAGGTGATTCTTTAGTATTAAACGCTAGCTTAACCAGCCTTGCTTTAACGCCTAAGAAAAAAAAGAAAAAAATCTAAAGGAACTAGGTGTAGGAATAGAACAGAAATATAAATAAAAGGAGGAACTTTTTTTTGTAATTTGGTGTATATAAAATATTCTTTACAATATATATAGAGGATTTTTTACGTGTCCGTGCAACACGATTGGCTCAAATCAACCACCAATTTCATGCAAAAAGAAATGGGCCGAACCGAGAGTTGAACTCGGGACCTCCTGCAGACTTGAGCGGAAAACCCCTGGAGACATGATTAGCGAGAGTTTAGATGTGGTGGAGCGAGAGAGCCTACAAAGCAGGAATCATGCGACTAGACCATTCGGCCGGTGATTGGATGGAAAGCATCGTAACCAAGTCATACATGTACCTTTCATGAGAGTACCAATGCAAGAGGAGGCGTAAAAACGTGACTTCGTGATGGAACGCGTTCACGTCGAAACAATTGGGACGCGGCGTTCGATGTTTACGCTCTGCCAGACGCAGAAACTTTCTGAAAGTGTTAGCCCTCTGCGTCTTTCAGAGGAACCGAAACGGCCACTATGAAAGGAGGATGAACAAAGATTGTGATGCACTTGATTGAAAACGTGTGGCAAAAGTTCCGCGCACGGTGCGCGTCGCTAGTGACTAAATTATCTCTACCGGTAGATCGGACAGTCCTGACAGCATCACAATCCGCATCGAAATTCAACGGTCAAAACGGGTTGCTTGGACACATCGGTGCTTAGGAGTTGTTGATTGGTGTTTGGTGGGTATGTCTTTGCTGGTCCAAATTGTTTCGCACATTCTAACAGGAGCATCTGCAAAACGTCCAATATAGCTAACATGTTGAAAGGAATTTTCCGAGGGTATGGAAAAGCTGCAAGATGGTTTCTATGGCGAGAAGAACATGGAAGGTCTCGCAACTCAGGCAATTGCGGGGCTTCCGAGAATCGAAAGTATGGCACGAGTCAAATATCCATACGCGCGAGAAGACGACAGTCAGTCCTGCGTCGATCAAGAAACAGCAGTCAAGGACGGCCAAAAATCTGCTGTTCGAAAAACTTTGGAATCGAAGCCGTATGGAGCATTTCATACTTTGGATTAAAGGCAAACAGCGCCAGCATTTCGGACCAAAAGCTCGGATACCCGACCTTTTCCAGAGAAGAGATCAAGCGTATTTCGCGTTTGAGAGCAAGGACATGGAATGGAGAGTGCCACCTCCAGAGTCGTATCATGACCTTCTCGACGCAGCAGCCAAGGTTGGTGTCGTTGAGGAGCGCATCGGTTACATGTTCAAAGACAGGATGATCTGCATACAAGCACTCAAAAACAGCAGGAGCAATCACCCGCTGTACTTCAATGGTAGAATCATCCCAGTCGAGCGAAACAATCGACTTGCGCTTCTCGGAGATCGTGCACTAAGTTTAGCTATTTGTGAGATATGGTACAATACAGGAAACTCTACCAGTAAGTACATATTTGGTCGAAACCATGCCACCGTCCACTAATACTGTATACAGAGGAGTATTCGGACATGGACAAGGATGTCATGACTCGTTATGCATTGGACATCAAAGGTCGTGCATTGAATTTCCAGGATAGTATCTTGGTCTCAGACAGATCTGCTGGTGCTTCCAGGAACCATGTGGCTGAGACCTTCGAAGCAATTCTGGGAGCTGTGTATGTAGATTCAGGATACAAAATCCAGACTCTCAAGGACGTCATCAAAAGAATTGGCCTTGACGACCATCGGTTATTAAAGACACCTGAGGAACTGCTGCTAGAAAAAGCAAAAGCGTTGGCGCAAACTAAATTGAACCGAGCAAAAGATACCGCGACGCAAGTGCAGGAGCGAACTCGAAATCAGAAGAGATTGATAGACCAGGCGCGAGCAGAGGCTCGGGCAGAGGCGCGGGCAGAAGTGCGAGCGGAAGTGCGAGCGGAAGTGCAGGCAGAGGTGCGAGCAGAAGCGCAAGCAGAAGCGCGAGAAAAAGGGCGGGAAAAGGCGCGAGAAGCCCGAAAGGCGATGACCCAGATTCAAACGCAGGCAGACGCAGATACTGAAGTTAAAGCGGCGCCCCGACCACAGGCAACATCATATCTACAAAACCTGACCAACATGTTTTTTGGTCGAGTCCATGATAGAGAAGACGATTTTCCACAAATTTCCATCAAGGATGTGTCACAAAAGTCTACGCAGGATCAAGAAAAGCCAAAGAACACACCACCTCAGCCTGGAGCAAAGGCCGTAAAAGTTCCATCGCAGCAGGTCCAACAGCCACTGCCGATCAACAATCAAATGGAAAATCCCCTGTTTCGATCGGGCAAGTATATAGGTTATGGTGAGGACAAAAGGACGGAGCCCGTATCAGAACCCATACCTCCAACACCCACATCAAAGCCGGTGTTTCCAACACCTTCACCAAAGCCGGCACCTCCAGAACCCACACCATCACAGGAGAAGAGCACGAATGTGCCTGTACAAGTGGACCCGAAACCCGAAACCAGCTCGTCTAAAGCGACATCCAAGATAACTGCGCCTATACAGACTGAGACAAAGCTTGACACGAGCGTGCCCGTAAAGACACAAGAAAAGCCCGAAGTCAGTGTAACTACACAGATCGAGACAAAGCCTAAAGTCAGTGCACCTGCGCAGACCCGGACAGAGCCTGAAGTCAGTGTACCTACGCAGGCCCGGACGGAACCTAAAGTAACTGCGCCTGCACAGACCGAGACAAAGCCTGTGCCTACGCAGACCGAGATAAGACCAAAGGCAAGTGTATCTGCTCAGACCGAGGCAAAATCCAAAGCAAGTGTGCCTGTGCAGACTCCAGTGATACCGAAGGAGAGCGTCCCCAAACAGGTTCCGGAAAAGTCAGAGACCAGTGCAGCTGTGCAGACCAAGGTAGAACCAAAGGATAGCGCACCTATTGAGGCTCCAGCAAAAGCAAAGACCAGCGTACTTGTTCAGACTCCAGCAAAATCAGAAGCGAGCGCAGTAGTGCAATCCAAGGAAAAATCCATTGTCAGCGCACTTGTTGGGCCCGAGAAGCAAAGCAGGCGCGAAAGGCGTGCCGCCGCCAAAACCCAAAGCGCAGCAAAAGTCAAGTCAAAAGTTGAGGTATCAGAGAGGTCGAAAGCTCGAGCATCAAAAAGTTCTAAAGCTCAGATAGCAGAGAAGCCAAAAGTTCAGACAGCAGAAAAGCCAAAAGCCAAAATGGATGTCCCAAAAGCCAAAGTCGATGTCCCAAAAGCCAAAGTGGATGTCCCAAAAGCCAGAGTGGATGTCCCAAAAGCCAGAGTGGATGTCCCAAAAGCCAGAGTGGATGTCCCAAAAGCCAAAGTCGATGTCCCGAAGCCAGTAATTGCTACTCAATCAAGCCCGCAGGTGGTAAGAGCAATCGAACGAATTCAACATGCCCTTTTATTGAAAGAAACAGAAAAAGTCTCTGCAACGGAAAAGAACGAGCAAGTTTCTCCCAATGAGCAGGAAGCCCCCCTCATATCAGTGGCCGGGACACTGGCCAAGAACCTCATGACCGAGATCATGCAAACCGATCCTGAACAAGAAAAGTCGCAGCAGAAACAAGAAAAGCAAGAAAGCTTCCTGGAAGCCCTCGAACGCCAACGGGAGATCACGCTGGCCCGCGCGCAAAAGATAGAGGCCACAAAAGACGCCTGGCTCGAAGCATCGCAGACTGGCTTCGCGCAGGGACACGTTGTTCTTTCGATTCTCCGTGCGAAGCGGCGCGAGCAGGTCAGGCAGGAGAGAGAGGAGAGTAGGTTGCAGAAGAAGGAGAGGAAGAGGGAGAGGAGGGAGAAGAAGGCGATTGAGCAACTGGAGCGCAATAAGTCGAGTGGATCAAAGGATAACAGGTTGTGGCATGATATGATGCAAGATGTCAATGACACCTTGATGAAAGAAGGGGGGGATGCGCCGCGCACAGCCGGGGAAGATCAGGTCGTTCAGGACAAGCCGTCCATCGATGTGATCGAGAAGATCTCAGACGCAGTCAAAGACACCGATACACCGGACGTTATTCACCAGCAGAACGCCAAGGTAGTCCCGTCACAGGAAAGCACCCTCACACAAGACGAAATCTTCGAGTCCGACATGGAGAGATTTCTGGCCGACATCGCCCAGACCCACAGTTCCGAGGACAAGTCCCCGTCTTACGACCAGATCCAGGAGAATGATGGTACGCCATCCTCAGTGACACCTGTACTTGGAGCTCTCCCCACTTCCCCGAAGCCAACACAAAAGCAACGTTCAGCACTGCGGGCAAAAAGATGGCAGCTTCAACAACAGAGAATGAAAGCATTGGGGACTGATGGGCAAGCGGCTGCTGCAGAAGGGGAAGGAGATGAGCAGGTCAGCGCCGAGGAGGAGACTTTGGTCGATACCAACGAACAAACAGAAGAGCGCGAACCTTTGGAGGCCGAAGGGAAAGCTGAGGGTAACGGGGCCAAGGAAGATGTTGAAGCCGTACAGATTGGCTTCAAGGAACTTGGACAAATCGATAACGGCGAAACTGCAAACGCTGAGGCTGGATGTGAGGTTAAAGAGATGGAGCAAATCGATGGCATCGAGGGCACAGCATCTGAAGTCAGCGCCGAGGTCAAAGAGTTTGAAGAAGTCGACAATGTCGACACCTCGACGACTGAATTTAGCCATGAGATTGAAGAGCCTACACAACTCGCCGATATCGAAGCCACAGAGTCTGAAGCCAGCGCTGAGATCGAAGTATCTGAGCAGGTCGATGACACTGAAACAACATCAGCGGAAGCCAGGCATGAGGTTGAAGGGGTCGAAGAGATCGAAGAAAACGACAACACCACAACCACATCCACAGAAACTAGGCATGAGGTTGAAGAGATGAAACGAGCCGACGATTTCGACACCCCAGCGGCTGAACTCAGCCACGAGCCAGAAAGTGTCGAACCAGATGATCGCGTCGAAACTACAAAGGTAGAATCTAGCGACGAGACCAAAGAGTTTGGAAAAGTAGACAACATCGACGCCCCGGCCGAAGTCAGCAATGAGGTCGACGAAGTCGAAACTGATAAGGTCGAAGTTAGCCATGAAGTCTCACCCACAAAGGCCCAAGAATTCTCACCCCCAGAAGCCCAAGACGTCAAAGTCACAGAGACCAAAACCAGCCTTGAGATCCAAGAAACCACAGCCACGAACCTCACACCCGAGTCCAAGCCCCTAAAACTCTCCAGAATCGCACAACTGCTAGCCAAGAGCAACAACCCGACAAGAGGTCAATCGTAAACACCGACGACGTGACTTTGCCGTTCCTTAGGGTCCTACCTTTTCGGATCTGCACCGTATGCTAGATAAGTGGAGGACTTTTGAGCGTCATTCCAAGGCCCTGTGAGCTGGAGTCAGCGTTGGCGCTTAGGGAATAAGAAAGAGGGAGTTCGTGCGAAACCAGTTCGCGTAGTAGAAGAGAGGTTGGAAGTTTGTATACTATGCGAGATACAAGATATGTTGTATACAGCAGACGTTGGACCAATGGGTAGTTGGGCTGCGACTTGTGTGTGTTGCTATCACCAAAGATGCAGTTATTGCGGAGTAGAGCAGACATAAACCATCGGAGTTGAAAGACAGCGGATGGGTTTAGCTAGACGCACGATCCTAGCACTCGTACCAAAGAATGCATGATGATAGCGTGATGCTGGCACGCGTGCGATATCTATACATCGTACAAGGTCAAGACTCACATAGCCTTCAGTTCACATGTGGCACTAGGTATTTTACACCGCAGAATTAGGTAAATCTACACTTTACACCGCGTATATATGTACTTAGTAATTTTCTTAGATTTCTTATTACCAGCACTACTTTTAATCGCAACAACGTAGCTCCGGCCTACCCCACATAAGCTGAAAACTCAACAACTAACACTATCTCATCTACACGCTCACAATTGAGCCTACCCACGAGCCCACCCACGATGGAGCCCACCCACAAGCCCACCCATGAGCCCACCCACGAGCCCACCTATAATCGAGCTGGATTTCAACTCACAATCAAGCTTGGATTTGAGCTCACAATCAAGTTTATAGGTAGGTTATATAGATCTACATAGAATAAACAAATTGTATATATAAATTATCTGTAAATCTACAAAAAATTATGTAATATGTATAATACTATATGTAATTTTACCTCACGTTTTACACCGCAATGCGGTGTAAAACACAGTCTTTCTTCTGTGTTTTTTACACCCCAAAGCTGCGGGGTAATTTACCCGATTTTGTACCTCAGTGCCACCCATATACCCAGGCATCCTGATCCCCTCCTTATCACCACCCCCCACCAAACCCCTCACTCCCGGTTCGGCCCATTATCCTTTTTGTCTTTTTACACGACCTTTGGCGGTTGTTTTGAGCTTCTTTTTGCCTTTTTGCACGGTCTTGGCGGTGGTCTTGGCGGTCTCGCTTTTGCGCCTTCCTGGGGTAGGTTTTTTTGTTCTTGATCTCTTTTCTCAGGGCTGTGAGACTAGGGAAGCACTATCTTGGTCAACTGTAAAAGCGGAAAGCTACATTATTTGTGGTTACTACAAGCCGCAAAACTACACAATCAGAATTTGTTAAAGTGTACCTAAGGCGTATACAGCTTAAGATCCTGTCACAAGAGTCCCATACTAAACTTAGTTGTAGTTGTTAAGCTGTTGCATGATCTCGCTGCACCCTGGTTCATGGTATTTCGATTGGCCGGGAGGCACCTTTGCAGGTCGACAAGACTCGGCTCATCAGTAGTTCTGGCAGGTACATAGCAGTCTATCCTTTCAAGATACGAGACGTGGAATATAACTTACACTCAAAAAATATACACATGAATCATCTGGGAAGTGTTTGATCGCCCAGCTATTCGACCCCACGAGTTGGGCAATACTCTTTACATAACCTGTCGAAGTTTACCTACATTGTCATATATACATTTTATAGCCCTAGCATTTCTCTTGCAAGAAAATGGACACTCGCCAGATCTAACTCAATATGCACATGGCATGTCGGTTAAACAATAACACACACGTACGATTGACTGTGTTTCTAAATTAGTTGACCACATACAGACGTCAAGACGAACCGACGTGTATGTTTACTGCTATTTCTACGGCAAAGGTCCAAGTCGTCTAGCGATTGATCACAGGATGGCATTATACGCAAAGAGGACCAAAAAAAGAGTGACGCGTGGAGAGGCTACTGTATCTTCAGCTCGAAGTGAAAGGACACGCCCATGGAATACGCCTTGTCACAACGAAACGAGGGAATTGATCGAATGAAACAGATGGAAGTTGATACCTTGGGTAGGTGACAGGTGCATGAGCGATTGCACATCGCACGGCTAATTATCTAGGATAGATGCGTCCGGCATGATTAGACGACGGCAGATAGAAAGAGATTGCCTCTAGTCGAAAGGCTTGAGACTACGTCGGCTTCACCATAAAGCCGATATGAGAGGTTGAAAACGACAAATCAAGCATCGTCTCTACTTGGACACTTACCTCGGTTTCTATCGCGCAAGCAAAAGGCTCAGACCACTGCTTGTGACTTGCCGCTGTTCTCTTCGAAAATTGCTGAATGAAGATAATTGAAGCTCCCAACAGCGACCGAGGCTTGGTGCAAACCCTCTTACAGCCTCCAGGTCACAACTCATCTGAAAAAGGGGCATGGAGAGATAGCGGAAAAGTTCAAGTCGGCATTTGATGCGGAACTCAAACCAAGGCTAACTAGAGAGTCTAGCATCTAAGCAGCCGTGGCCTATCTCCAATGATAAGTTGCAACACGCGACGTCGTTGGCTTCGATATTGACCTACAAACGCCAACTGTGCCAGCCCAGTGTCAGCTTCAGCTCGTTGAGACAACGGCAAATTCCGTTCTTTGGTACTAAATGCTGCTCGTAGAACATGGCCCACAAGGGTGTGGCAGCAAGACTTACGGAACACCGATAACTCAATCAGCCTCGCATGCCGACAGAGTGTCCCATGTGACGCTCAAAACGTGGAAATGAGATCCTACTAACGGCCTCATGCGGGTGCTGATTGGCCTGTTAGTCGATCTTCTTGCGAAAGCAGCTTTAGCGTAAAGATGATCGCGTGCCATCGCGGCAGTAGTGTTGTCCTGATGCCATGGAAACTCTCGATCTTGGACGAGTTTTGCTGTGTTCTGTCAGAACGTTTCCAAAGAAGGGGTTCTCGCAGGAAGAACTAAGACTGCGCTTGAACACAATGCCGCACGCCATTCGATTGACGCGTTCAACTAGTGGTGACAATAAAAGCAAGATAGCGAATAGCGACATTGCGAACATCTCATTTGTGTTCCAGTCTGGCCGTGATCATCTGGGCACGACGCAATCTTAAATCTTAGGCTGACCTAGCCGCCCTACATCGTGAACATTTCGTATCATATAGAGCCGGGGATCCTCACTTTTTTTGTCCATCTCTTTTGCTCGCATTCTCGTACCCACACTCTTTTATTGTTTTTCTGCTCGTCATTCGCTACTCCACCGAACACGTGGTCCATACTCGCTCTCGGTCGCTCACCGGTGTCAATCCCTCGTTTATCTTGATATCGACAATCAGTCATGCTTTTCAAGGCTGTTGCTGCTTTGGCCGCTTTGGTCATGAGCGCGTCTGCACAAACAACAACCATCTCGTATGCGACTACAATGAACACACGATGCATGTGACTGGATCTGACCCTAACGTAGTCCTGATGTTCGGAATTCGGTCGTGATGGCACTCGCGACCGCGTTGCCCGCAGACTCTATCAGCTATGCGCTCGCATCTTCTGACGCATTCGCATCGGCGATTGGTTCTTCACTTTCTGCTGGCAATACACCTGCGTGGTACGAGGCTCTACCTTCCGACGTGAAGAGTATCCTACCTGCCATGTACCCCGTAGCTGCTGTCGAGAACAACACGCTCTCTTATACGCCATCCTCAAGCGCCACGCCATCCTCAAGCGCCATGCCGACTGGCCACAACAGCACTGCTTCGCGTTCCAGCAGTGCACTGCCGACGAATACACAGCCGACGAGTGCACAATTTACAGGCGGCGCATCACACCCTAGTGCTGCGATCGGTGCTGGTATAGCTGGAGTCATCGGTTTCCTCGTTGTTGTCGCTCTTTGAACGAGAGCTCAACGCGCATAGTTACGTGTTTCAACGGGGAGGAAACATCTTCAACAACGGCGCGACGGTTCTGGCCGTTCATTCACGACGCGACGTTATTCTTTTTTGTGGGGGACTTCGCTTTATACCCTCCCTTCGGTGGGCTTTGATGATTGACTTTGACGATTGGATTTGATGGATTTGATGGATTTGATGGATTTGATGGCTTCGGCTGTAATATTTTTTCATGGATGACGAATGGTGGTTTGGAGCTGAATGGCTGGCTTGCTGAAGAGAGACGTGTTTTACATAGCTTCGAGATAATCTGTAATTCGTTGGTGCGCTCGACTTTTCGAACTTCTTGAACCGAGCATGAGAGACTTTGAGGAAAAGTGAGAGGGTGGTCAGTTTAAGGATTGTTGAGCAAGAGCAAGCTGGGATAATGCGTCACCATGACCGTGCAGTCGACACGCGCCTTCTCGACCCACATCTGGAACCCCTGTATGTCAGAGCATCTAGCCTTACTCATAATTTACTCATGGTTGTATCAACACTCTTGGCTTTTGTCTGTTCAAGTCGACTCGCAGTGCTCACCGTTGTTAGACTGAGGAGACAACATCATTCACCTTAAAGCCTGTATGGTCGGCTCTCGGTCAATCGAAATACCAGGAACCAAGGTGCAGCAAAAACAAGCAACAGCTTAACAAATACAACTGTGTTTAGTGTAAAAATCTTGCGCCTAGATTTATAACTGTATGCGCCTTACGTATACATTTTTGTATTTTACTTGTGTAGTTTTGCAGCTTGTAGGAGCTACAAAGAATGCAGCTTACTTCCCGCTTTTGCAATTGACCGAGAGGTCGGGTCATTAGGCCGGGATGTTCATTGTCAACAAACCTTCTTTGGTACTTCCTAGTTTCGAATATGGGACATAATATAGGTTATGACAATGGCAGGTCGTGCAGAAACTTCATCATCGTGTACATGCTTACAACTCATGAATATTGCCGACGTCCACCCTGTCGCTTTGTGGAAGATGAAGGATATTGTAGTGAGCATTTGTGGGCATGTCTGAACTACGCCATTATCATAATAGAGTTTCACTGATGTGACGTGCGTGAAGAAGGATCTTGAAGCCAAGAAGAATAAAGAGAACATGAAGTGTCAGAGGGAGGTATGGAAGTTAGGACCGAGATGCTTGAAGGAGCGAATGCTTGTATTGCTAGGTAAGATCGAAGCTCGATGGCATCTTGCATTGATATAGGAAGCTTCATGACTGAAACCGACTGTCTTTCAACGATGCCCCGATAGAAGAAATAGGCAGAGGAATGTGCGTAACACGGCAATGAGATGGCTACTCAGAATAACTGGTCGGAGAAGACCTGGTCTCTCATTACTGGCAAAGTGCTAGGTATGAGACAATGAATGTATCTCACCATCAAACCATCTTCTTCATTGGTACCTCGAAGACGGTCTGCAGGCGAGCAACGACAAAAGCCGTCTGGAATCAATCTTCGCTAGTCGTATAACTGCAAGCAACCATAAATGACGGTTGATGAGTAGATATTCTAGCGTGAGGAACTTGGAAAAAGTCTTTCACGTCACGTCTCACGAGTGAGGGCAGGAGTAACAAATCTCATTAGTCGCCGTACTCCAAAAGCCTTCGTGGTATCATTTCGAAAGAAACCTTCGACAAGGCCGAATGACGGCGAATCCATTGTTCGAGCTAGAAGCCGGTAAAACGCCCCTACTTTTTCATACGCATGTCGCATGCCCGAATCGTATGAACCGATGATATGCATTCCGTCCGCTCGAAAGGAAGGAGACGGCCCGCGCCGATGTCCCCAGGCATGACAGCCGTGAAAGTGTCGTCAACTCAAGAAAGCACAAAATGCTTATGCCTCCCTCTTCTTCTTGGCGGCCTCGCGACCGGCACCCTTGCGCTCCAGAATCTGCTCACGGTCCTTGTCAAGCTTCAGCTTGGTAACGACGACCTTGGAGGGAGCGATAGGGATGGGGACGGATTGGCCGTTGCTCTTCTCGCGAACAACTGTGGGTTGTGTCAGCGTGACCACATGCGAAAAGTTTTTCGAGAAAACATACTGCCGTTGACGTGGATGCAGTACTTGAGACGGTAAACGGTGGAGATCTTGCCCTCACGTCCCTTGTTGCTGCCGCGCACGATGGTGATCTCGTCCTGCAAAGTTTTAGCACACAAAGGCAAGCAGAGGGAGAAACAAATGATACTTACATCCTTGCGGACGGGGATGCTGCGTACACCGTACTTTTCGCGGAGCTCCTTACTCAATGGCGCCTGAAGGTTGTTAGAACATGTCCATCCAAGGTGTTCTAAGTCTCTTCATACGCTCATGATGACCCGACGCACACTACTCGGCGCACCGAAGTGCGCCTTTCGCGATTTGCGGCGAGAGCTCGCGATTTGTGCCTGAACCTTGGTCATTGTTGCTGTTGAATTGGCGTTTGTCGGGTTAGTAGGAAAGTTCGTGGTCGCGAGTCTGCAAATATTGGAGGTTGATGAGTGTGAGACTTCGCTTCGCAAATCGGGCTTGGCATAGAAAAAGTCCGACTTGAAGGTCACGTGCAAGTCGACTCGGCGCGAATAACGTAATTAACGCGACCTGCCGACGATCTCCCATCTCACCACGCGTCGCGAGCCCCTCTCACTCTCACCTGGCGCTGCGTCCGCGCATACTTGCCGCGACAAACACAGCTAACGCGCCGTCGCCGTCGCCCGCGACAACTCCCACAACTCTCCAGTCTCGTTCATGTCGCGCCAACTCGTGACATCCATGGACTGACATATCGACCCACACGGCGGCGCAGATAGAAATCCTTCAAGATGGCTTCCAACAACTACAACCCATACAACTACTCTTATGAGCAAAGTTCTGCGCCACAATACTCGGCATACCAGACTGCACCTGCCTCAAACAATGCTTCGCAGTCGTCCCGTCAATACCAGCCAACGCCGCCTCCGCCAACAACACAGTCCACAAACTACATGTCATATCCGGCGCAGTCTTACGGCACACAGAGAAATGGTTATATCTCAGGCCAGGATAATTCCTGGAATGGCAGCACTTACGGTGCCACTCGTGAGACGACCAGTCGCGCTGCCGAAGTTCTTCACAACATGAGCAATACTTCGTACGCCCCAAGTACCACCTCGTCGAACCAGCCCGGGTTCACAGCGACAAATGCCGCGACGTCCCATTCACGGTACTCTACCGGCCCCTCGCACTCGCCCCAGGTGCAGACACACCCCACACAGTCCTCCTATGGGCAGTTGCAAGCACGTCCACACAGTGTTAACACAAATTCCACCCAGGGAACTGCAAGCCGGGGGCTGCCATTACCAGCAGCGCAAATGGGTTATTCTTCACAAGGGACGCAACAACAACGTTCTGCGAGTCCCGCGCAGCCTCAATATAGCCACAGTGCCACAAGTTCTGCCAGAAGCGCTGCCATGAACGCCGTAGCATCTCAGCAGTACACTGATTATAACCAGAGGCAGCTTCCGAATGCAGAGTCCTCGCGTACAAATCAGAGCTCCACAACCTCGAACTCCTACAATTATGCAGACGCCCAGACAATCTCTCCACCCACTGCCTCAATTTCTCCAGCCCCTACACCCAGCGTCTCGGAACCTTACAATGGCCAGAGCACAACCACGGTAGACCCTATGGCCGTGTACGACCCATGGCCAGAGTACCAGCGGAAGCAGGCGGCGTTACGTGCCCAGAAGGCGGCTGAGGATGCAGCGCGCGCGGAAGAAGAGAGAATCGCTGAAGAGGCGCGCAAGGCTGAAGAAGAGAAGCAGGAGGAGGAGCGCAAACGCCAAGAAGAGGAGGAGGGAAAGGCACGACAGTCGGCGATTGCAGCAAGTCAACCAAAACAGAGGAAGAAGGCGCAGAGGCAGCAGTCCAACGTCGTTGAAGCTAGCCCAGCTGCGGCAGGCACTTCTGATGAACCGAATGAACTCGAAGCGCAAATCCGTGCTATGATGGCCAAGATGCGGGAACTAAATGGCAAAGATCCCGCACTCCTCGCGCGTATATGGGAGGAAGAGAGGAGAGCAAAAGCACCTGCCAAGTCGCCAACTGTACAGACCAAGCCAACTCCTCAGCCTGCCACTGCGCAACCCGTACAGGCTGCTCAGGTGAGCGCCCCACAGGTAGTCAGCCAAAGAAACAAGGCCGCCTCCAGAGAACTTGCTGCTGCGAGTGTTGTAAAACCTGCTGCGCCAATTTCGGCCCAGCCTCTGCCAGCGAGGCCGCAGGCTCAGGCAAATACCCGCGGCGGTAATACCATTTGGCCTCCGGAGAGGAAAACTTCACTAGCAACTGCGGCCGCAACGTACTTGAGCGGCCTGAATTCAAACCATCCTATAGACGCTCCCCAGATCTTGAGCATACTGGATAGTAATCCGTCTTACATTGAGCTGTGTGAGCAACTAGAACAGCGGGGACTAAAGCTTGACCGTGCAGCATTCGCGAAGACTTTGCTCACTGCAGTACCAGATGTTAATTCTGCATCTCGCAAGGCAGCACCTCAGCCTGCATCACTAGTAAATGGTGTACAGAAGGCCCCAGTGCCTGCTGCCGTCATGAAGAAAGATCTCGTTGCGGCAAATTTACATCATACACCTGCGGCTGCTTCGCCAGCGCCCAGGGTCTCGTATCCACCATCCCCGGGCAACGTTTCTGTCATGGAATCGCCTGCTCCGGTGGCTGAGATGGTACCCATCAGAGCAGATCTGAAACCTCCTGCTAACAAGGAAGAAGCGGCCAGGAAGCGTAACTTAAGTGACCTAGTCGATTTGACTATGCTCTCAGACGAAGAAGACCTCGGCCCCCCTCAAAAGAGACTCAATGTTGGGTCTACGTATCAGTCCACTTACCCCCAAATACAGGATGCTATGAACGTGGACGAGCAACCTGCGGTTAACAACTTCCCCACGGCCAGCGTCCCGTCTCGCCCTGCTCTGGAACCAACGACGCACGCAGTAAAGCTGCCTCCGAATGACTTGGGCCACAGGTCCGTCGTTCAGGTCCTTGATAAGCGTAAAGCCCTTCGTCGCAACACATACAATCCCGCAACAATTGCCCGCGACGTGCTCCTTGCTTGTGGAAGGTTCCCAGGTGAGCGGCAACTCAATCAGCACCTTGATGTGATGAGGCAACACATACCTCAAATAACAAATGACTCCGACCTCAGCACGATCAGGTGGGACCTGATCGACCCTGGGTCTCCACCACCAGGTTATTTTGTCAACAGCGTCCAGGCTTTGACAGAGGATGCAGACGATGAGGAGGATTCAGAGAACGAAGACGGCCAAGCGCGGCCACGGTCTAGGTCGCACACAATCGGTGGAGAGAGTGGGGCAAGGGCCCAAGCTTTACCTCAAGCAATCAACCCGTTCACGAAACAAAAGCGACGCGGTCGACCACCGCGCCAATCCCTACCCACCCCAACACTACCCAAAACGCCGAATCGCCCGTCCGACCCTACGACGATGAGCGCGAGTGCTTCACGTGCTGCTGGCGTTGGATATTCAGCTTTCCGCTCTGTCGAGTTAGGGGAGGATGGGAAGCCTGTACCTAAGAAGAAGGGCCGTCCAGTTGGCTGGCGCAAGGCCATCCACGGCTCTGCTGCCGCGCAAGCACAACCTGCCGCGAACGGGCACACCGGCCCCGTTCAACATCAACCTTCGCAGCCGAGCGGCCTACGAAACGTCAGGACCGATGGAGCAAACGAGCCGATCCGTATTGATTCTCGCTCACCCAGCGTCGCGAACCGTAACCCTCAGTACCAGTCGTACAAATGCAAGTGGCAGAAGTGTAATGTTGAACTGCACAATCTTGAAACACTCCAGAAGCATGTCTACAAGGTACACCGAAAGGAGACGTTGCGCAACACGCTGGAGTGCTTGTGGAGCAACTGTGGCAGTGAAGTCACCAGGCATGACCCCACGACGAGCTCGATAACCGAGCGACACGCGCCCCTTGCTTTCGACAACGAGGACAGGTGGCGCGAACACATTCAACGGACTCATATCGATCCATTGTCGTGGGAGCTGGGTGACGGACCGGCTAGCGGTCTCTCTGGTAGGAAGGCACTCCGCCCGGATAGATCAGACGCTGAGATTCTGACTGGTTAATCAGACGCTCACGACTCTGACGCCTATCTAAGTGATGCCCAAGGTCGTCGTGTCACACCGCGCATTGAAGTTGACCCTAAACGCTTTACTGCAGGAAACTTGTCAGTCCACGGCTCGGCACCTGCGCCTCGTGGCCGTGGTCGTCCCCCGAAAAACGTCCAAGAGCAGGAGGCTCGCGACGTGCACAACCGGCTGGTCTCGCAGAAGAAACGCATGGGTGGGCCAGGCATGGACCGTGGCGGTGCAACGCTGGTCAACGACAAGCGCAGAAGAGGGTTAAGTGACAACGACGAGACGGAGGAGGAGCTTGTGGATGCGGAAGATTAGAAGGAGGGAAGGATTCAGAGGTCATGCATCAGCGTTTAAGCGACATTGCCATTCGATACCCCGATAATACGTAGTAGTGTTCCACATGGCTTCCCATGGCCCAACAAATCCAAATGATACGTGATGCGTATGCGCCCAAAACACCTCCCTTGCCCAACATGGCGAGTCTTCCATGGTGCCCTGTCGACTTTTGCGTGGTATCAATTCCTTCCCCCGTCCCTTTCTTCGAGCTCACTGGCTCGTCCGGCACATGTTCCACTATCCCTGTTGGATATGTTCAGATCTTGACCTTCTTGGCCGCAGCTTTCGGTTTCTGGGCCGCGGCGTGCTCTTCCGAGTTGACTTCGAGGAAGTGGTATAGGACGATGAGCATCATGGCGGCGCTTCCGAGGAAGATGGCGAGCGAGTAGAGTTGGGCGTCTGTTATCATTTTGGGGGCTGCCGCGCGTCGGTGGTGAGGATGGGGAGGGTGGAGGTTGGAGGGGTTGGAGGCCTGCTGTGGGAAGGTCAGTGGGACAATTGGTGAGAGGGAGGTGGACATCGACATACGGGAGCTGCAGAGGGCAAGTCGGGGTGTGGCTTCGGGGCTTCTGGGGAGCGCGTTGTCAAGGCCACCTTGAGCTTCGGACGTGCTGGATGCGCCGCTGGCTCGTGCGCACAGGTTCAAGTCCATCCGCCCGCTGCCCGCCGCCTGCGCCACTAAAACTCCACCCCACACATCGTCATTCTCGGTTTGCAGTTTGACACACACAGACGGCCCCGACACGCCTCGACGCCGCCCGCCATCGCATCAAGCGCAACCAGACGTGTTCCGAGCCACGGGAGAATTTTAGACACCACACTCATTTACCCCGCCACCACCGCCCACGATGCCTCCCAAGGGCAAGGGCGAGCAGCCCAAGGTGAAGAAAGTCGCCGTCGACAAAACTTTTGGCATGAAAAACAAAAAAGGTGGAGCAGCCCAGAAGCAGATTAAGCAAATCAAGGCCACCGAAGCCTCGGGCGGCTCGCCTGCAGACAAGAAAAAGGCCGCCGAGAAGGAGCAGCGCGAAAAGGACAAGCTCGCCGCCGAGCAGGCCCGCAGGGAAGTCGCAGACCTCTTCAAGCCCGTCCAGGTCCAGAAGGTGCCCTTTGGCGTCGACCCCAAGACGATCCTCTGCCAGTTTTTCAAAAAGGGCAACTGCGAAAAAGGGAAAAAATGCAAGTTCAGCCACGACCTCAACGTCGAGCGCAAGACGGAGAAGAGGAGTCTGTACACGGACAACCGTGACAAGGAGGAGGAGGAAGAGGAGGAGCAGAAGAAGAAGGACAACATCGACGACTGGGACGAGGAGAAGCTGCGACAGGTCGTCTTGAGCAAACACGGGAACCCCAAGACAACGACGGATAAAGTGTGCAAGTACTTTATCCAGGCCATCGAGGACCAGAAGTATGGTTGGTTCTGGGTGTGTCCGAATGGAGGTGACAAGTGCATGTACAAGCACTCCTTACCACCTGGGTATGTCTTCCGACCCTTCTCTCTTACATGTCCACCTATATACATAATTATACAACACACCACTAACATCACCCCAGCTTCGTAATCAAAACCAAAGAACAACGCGCCGCCGAAAAAGCCCTCATGGCAAACTCGCCCCTCAACACCCTCACCCTCGAAGACTTCCTCGAATCAGAGCGCCACAAGCTAACCGGCACCCTAACCCCCGTCACCGTCGAAACCTTTGCGAAATGGAAGAAGGAGCGCATGGACAAGAAGCAAGCCGAGGAGGAGGCCAAGAAGATGAAGGACGCAACCGGCAGAGCGCTCTTCGAAAAGGGCGACTGGCAAGTCGACAGCGACGCGGACAGCGACGACGATGACGACGACGACGAGATCTGGAACCTCGAGGCTATGCGCAGAGAGACGGAGGCGGCCCGCGCGAGGAAGGAGGAGGAGAGGATGGCCGCCATGGGCATTGTGTCTTGAACACGCTGAATATCCCACCCCCCGAGACTGGGCGAGCGAGGGGCGCGACAAAGGGGTTGAGGAGAGGAGGGGAGATGGCTTGGACAGACAGTGCTTCCGCCCACACAATGCTGCAAAAGCTTGTTGCAGCACCCCCTCCCCCCTCCATCGCCGAGGAAAGCACGGCAGAGATTGCAACACTGGTCAGCCCATGCTCTGCTCTGCTCTGCTTGCAGTCGCATTGCGTACGATTCTACCAATCTTTACGCGCCCTTGCTGCTTGTAGGAATAGCGCTTGCTTCATCCTCATCGCAGGCTGCGTCTTCTGGTGTTTGGGCGCCATGGACTTTATTTTTGACTTGAGGAATTCATAGTACCATCTATCTGTCTATCTATTAGTTAGCAAGTTAGTAAGCCAACTAGCTGTCGCAATAAGAATTCAGACGAAGACTTTTCAGATCCATACGTATTGATCGAGTAGTCGAGAAGAGTCCAACGTGTGTTTGTATGTCGTGAATCAGCAAAGAGGCCAGTAAGCACAACACGATGGTGAGAAAAAATCAGAACTTATTTCCGTCTATGCTTCGACTCCATGGAAGATTCATCCCACACACACGTCTCAATCAACCAATCCACCAACTCATCTACTCTTTCTTATGCACACACACACATACACACCCAACTCGTCCCGACTCAACCCAACCTCTCCCCATGACATCACCACTAATCAACCATCCACCAGAACAGCATGCATGCATTACAACGACATTTCGTCGCCGGAAAACGAGGAATCACATCCACCTATCCATCCATCCATGCACCACCACCACCACCACCACCCTGACAAGAGCTTTTTGACGCCCAGGGCACATGCAAACATGGTCCCAAGAAAGCCCCGGGTATCCGAAAGAAAGAGACAAGGGAGGGGGTTCTTAGTTGAAATCGGCCGAGTAGGAGAAGCCGCGGAACTCTTCTTGCATGGCTTGCGACAGCACTGTGATATCTGTTAGCGGGAGGAAACATCTTGACATGGAGTATAAAAAAAGGTGGGGGGGAGGGGGATAAAATGGGCACGTACCGGACTGCACAGGCGTAAGAACCGGCGTTACACTGGTAAACTCCGTGTCGAAGTTGCTAGTATCTGTCGGGCTGGTGATTTGCGGGATGAAGGGGGCGGGGACGCGCTTGTTGTAGATGTCGTCCCAGTTTGTGTTTCTGAAGAAAGCGTGGGACATGATTTCCTGCGCGTCCGTGGGGCCCGAGCCGAGCCGTAGCTCGGGCTCGCGGGTGAGCAGTTTTTGGAGGATCGAGACCGAGTCGCGGGGCATGTGGATGGGGTATAGTGGCTCGTCGGCGAGGATGGCATCATAAATCTCGTCTTCGTCTTCACCACGGAATGGCGATTGTTGGAGGAGCATTTGGTAGATCAGAACACCGAATGCCCACCAGTCGACAGCTCGGCCGTATTTCTTATCCAGAAGAATCTTGGGACGTCATGTCAGCAATTGGCCTTTGCTCGTAAATGGGAATAAACTCACCTCCGGTGCCATGAACTCAGGTGTACCGCAGAATGTGCTTGTAGTCGATCCGTACCACATCTCTTCCTTGCACAGACCATAATCCGCAATCTTGATATGCCCGTCCATCGTGAGCAAAATGTTATCCAACTTCAAATCTCGATAGATGACACCGTTCTCATGGAAATACTTGAGCGCAAGACACACTTCAGCTGCATAAAACCTGACCCGATATTAGTGGTGTATGCATGGGAAAGGGACAAAACTTACTGAGCACGTTTGGTGCCAAACGTTCCCCTCTGAATATGCAACATCAGATCGCCACCGCTGATATACTCCATAACAAAGTATACTCGAGTTTCGGTCTGGAAACAAGCATGTAAGCTCAGCAGGAAAGGATGACGCTCCTTGTTTGCGATCAGGAAGACCCTCTTTTCCGAGCGCGTGCTCTCAACCTCGTCGTTCTCGATGATGAATTCTTTCTTCAAAACCTTGATAGCATATAGTTGTTTTGAACTCTTAGTCTCCGCCAGCATGACCTTTCCGAAATTGCCCTTGCCAAGCACTGCCAAAAAGTTGAAGTGGTCTAGCCCAATTCTCCTCCCTGTACCTTGCGTGGTTGCTGAAGGAGTGACCTTGTTCTCTGGGGCTTTTGTCATAGCAGACATGGGTTGAGTTTGCTGTTGTTTCGGCTGTTGCGGCTTCACCTCGGGTTGTTGAGCAGGCGCTTGTGGTTGATACTGTGGTTGGTGCTGAGCCGGAGGTTGTTGAGACTGCGATTGTGGCGGTGGTTGAGGCAGAGGACCAGATTGCTTCTGCTGATACGGTGCTGGTACCGGCTGTTGGTGGGATGGCGGATAGTTTGGAATTTTAGCGTAGTCTTCAGGATTGTACTTAGCATGTTGGGATGCTTGCTGTTGTGGTATGCGTTGATCCTGTGGATAACCCCCCGATGTCCTCTGGCTTGGTGACGGATATTCGGATTGTGTACGCTGATACCCAGGAGCAGTAACCTTGTTCATCGCGGCGGCAGCGGCAGCCACAGGTGCCGGGTGAGATGCTTGACGTGGGCCCGGAGCAGGTCGCGGTGAAGTGGGCGAAGTAGGTGTAGTAGTCGAGCTTGATGTCGAGAACGACGCTCGCGCTGCATCTATCGAAGACGAGGATGCTGAGTACGAGTGCTGCTGTGACGGGGCACTAGGCGGGGTATTGTATTGTGACTCCTGTCCAGGTGGAGACGAGTACTGTTGTTGCGAAGGGTTGGGTAATGGCTTTGTTGGCTGCGCGGGTCGTAGCGTGCGTTGGGACATACTTGTACCTGTCACCGATTGCCCCTTTCTTGTCCTCTTTATCTCGATCAGAGCCTGATTTGCTACTTCCATGGACATACCACAAAAGTCTGGCACAAAGTGAACGCAGTGAGCATGGCAAGTACTACCACATTCTACAATCGTTAGTAATGTTGTCATTGCCAATAGGGGGTTGTCCCGTACCTGTACACTTTTTGGTTTGTTTTCGACCAAATGGAAGAACGTAACCGCAATGGCAACACCAATTGGCGCCCATGTTGTTGAAAGTTTCAAATCGATGGGGAATTCGATGATTGAGCTTAGCTTCGTCTGGATCGGTTTCGGCGTTTGACTGCGTGATACACTTGGTGACTACCTTGGTATAGCACTTCTTATGGCAAGTGTAATTGCAGTCAGAACACTGCATCCCGGCAGCGTACTTGAGAAACTCGCCGCAAAGAGCGCAACGCATGATGTTGTAGAACTGCTGTTGCACGAATTTGTGACCATACTGCTCAATGACTTCCTCTTTACGCTGACGGACAGCACCTTTTCGACCGAGTCCAACGTCAAATGGTTGCTTGTTGGGTGTGTATTTGGCTTGAATTGTGTCAGTACAGGAAAAATATGAAAGTTTGGAGAACACTTACCAAAAGACATGGTGAGGTGAATGCGTCCAACTGGCTCCAATGAAAACCAGTCGTCTATCATGACGGGTCCTGTCTGAGGTTGTGCGCCTCCAGCAGGTTTCAGGGCACCAGCGTTGTTCTGCCCAGGAGGCGGCTGGAATTGGAGGTCAGGCTGAATGCCGGCATGGCCAGACATCTTGTCGGCAGCGACCCAACCAGAGTTCTGAAGCTCAGTTTCGATTTTCTTTCGACGCATCTCTTCGGCGACGTCTGAAATACGCACCCAAAGCATACCTATGGGGAGCAGATGGTCACCAGTCTTGTCGTAAACTGTGATTTCGATTTCGTTCGCTTTGTCGATGTCAAATTCATGCACTTCGTCGGTCCAGCGATCGTTCCTGGATGGCTTGGTACGTCCCTTGATCAAGTCCTCGACTTTGATGTTGACAAATGTTTCTGGACCGCGACTAAATCTACCGGTCGCTGCGTGGTCGACGTCGGCAACAGCGTGGATGCGCAAAGTCAGGTGACCGCTCAAGGGTTTCCTCTGAGTTGGAACGTTTAGACTGTCGTCTAGCACCAGCGTCAGTATCCAGTCTCGCCAGAGCAGCGACAACCGAGCTTACCATCACCGCCATCGGTTCCGTCAATGTCGACGTGCAGATCCTCATAGCGCTTCAGCGATTGCTTCAACAGCTGGACCTTTTGGCTGCTCTCGATGCGCTTTGATTCGGCGTCGGCCTTGCTCTTGCGGTCGCCCTCCATCTGGTACAGGCGCACCATCTTCTCGATTCCGTCCTTGTACTGCTTCTCGACGCTGAGCTTGAACTCGAGCTGCGAGAGCATGAGCTGGATGCGGGGTCCCAGGTGCTCTGTATCGTATTTGATGAGATCTGCACAAGATCAGCATGACGACACGGTCCCATGGATACGATGCGTATACGCACCAAGCTTGCTGTAGTTGGGGCGCTTGTTCGGGGTCCCGGGCGCTGCCGTGTATGGCGCACGCGGGGGCATCAGGCCGTCGCCGGCGACATTGCCGTACTGGCCCTGGGGTCCGCTCTGTCGCGCAGCATCTGGAGAGGTGTAGCTGTTCCAGCCCTCTTTGGGGGGCGGGGTCAGCGGGTTGTTGGTGTTGCGCGAGCCCGACGCACCTGGCTGCAAGCTCATGCTCTCGACGCCCGACGTGGTCCGCTGCACCGACAGGTCCCGCAGCTTCGACTCGAAGTAGTCGATGTTCCGCCGGCCATCTTTGATCTGCGAGTCGAGGCGCGAGAGCACGGCGGGGTTGTTGGTCGACTGGCGCATGGCATTGGCGGCGTTGATCAGGGCCTTTTCCCTGTCGATCTTGTGCTGCACATTGGCGACGGTCTGGTCGACGCTCGACATGGCGGCGGGCGTCTCGGGAGTCGGCGAAGAAGGCGGGGGCTGCGTTTCTCCGCCGAGGGGGGCGGCGAGGTCGGGGTGGAGGTGGAGGTAGAGGTGCAGGTGCTGGTGCAGGTGCAGGTGGAGGTGTGATGGCGTGCCTGGACAAAGAGCGCAGGCTGCAACGGAATTGCGTCGACGCCCAAGCGGGCTGCCGTCGTGCAAGGCAATGGGCTGCTGTGCGCGTGTAGCCTCGCCGCGACGTCCCGGGCAAGATTGGCGCCGCCTGTTGCTGCTGCGGGTCGACGAGGGCAATGCCGGGCGCTGGTGGTGTCGTCAAAACCTAGCAGTAGTGGGTGAACGGCGATTTGATTTAGCTCTCTGCGCGAACGTGACTGAGCGATCCGCCCCACAATCTCCCTGGTCGTGCAGAGACGCCTGGCGGGAATGGCTGGAGGTGCGCCTTCGTCGCTGGACGTCGTATCTTGATAAACTGCAGGCGGCGGCCGGCGGGCGACTTGTAGGCAAGGTTTGGTATGACGAGCCAGGTGTTAGTGGGGTCATCAGGCCGTGTCCAAGATAGTCAGTCCGTTTAGTGTGAATCAGCTGTGTGGGTTCTTGGTCTACCAGCTATCTCTAACCACTGGGGAAAGAGCTAATAGACATGGACGACAATATCTGACTTGGTCGACCGGTGCGACATCATGTGAAGGCCAAGCACTCTTCAACGTGGTTCACAGCACCATCTGGCCAGGTTTTCACGTTGTCTGAGCACATTTCCCATTGTCGTAATCAACATAGGGGATGATAACAAAGACTTGGTCTAGTCGCGGGGACTGGCTCCATTTTGACTCCACCTGTGAAGCTGCGCAATGTACATCGAGCAATGTTTTATTTTCACAGTTACAAAGGGTGCGGCCCAGAGCAAATTAGATATACGGTGTATACAGTAGCGTCTTAGCTTAAAAATCTTGTCCTATTCTAGTAAGCATTAATTAATTCTGCTAAATCCTTATATAAACAGTTATTTGTATAGGAATTATAGAGATTTTAAGCTTAAATTTAAAGCTAGTAATAACTGTAGTTATTCTAAAAAGTTATTATTACTTCTATAATTAAGTACTTTATGTGCTAAGTCTTTAAATAATCTTATTTTAAATTACTATTCTATATAATTGTAGAGCTCTAGATTAAATTACTATAATAGTTATACCTAATACTTAGCCTTAAGCTTAGCCTCCTTTAATACACTATTTACGTTATAGTAAGTTAAGAAACCTTTAAGCCTACTAAAATAGTACTTAATTAGGTATAAATTAGGTAACTAAAGAGAGTAAGGAGTAAATTGTATATTAGCTTCTTTAATAGAAGTAGTAAGGTACTGTTAAGCAGTATAGTGTAACCTAATATTATCTTTAATAAAGAATATAAAATACCTAGAATTTTTCTTATATACTATTTTATAGTACTTAATTAGGTGCTTCTTAAAGATATTTTTAGTGTACTAAATAGTATTTATTTCTTTCTACTACTTATAGGAGTAGAGCTTAGCTTTAAAAACTGCCTTAGGCTTCTTATAGTTATAAAAGCTAGCTTTATAAGCTTGTTTAAGTCTCTTAGTAGTAAGAGCTATATTATAATTATTAATCTTTTTATTAATTACTTAAAGTTTAAAGTACTTCTAGGTACCTAGTTTAAGTGCACGCTATTACTAGCAGCCTATATAGAGGCCTATAGTTTAATTCTTCTTATTAACGCTTTGCTTAATCTATTTTTACTTCTTTTTATTAGGTAAAGTCTAAATAATGTATAGGTAACGTAGTAAGCAGCGTATATATATAGAGGTAGTAGCATAGATTATAAGCTTAAAGTATAGCTTAATAATAGGTAGAGCGTACTTATTAGTATTAATCTTATAGCTTTTAAGGTATAAAAATCTCTATTTACTGCCTAAGTAATTAACACTGCTAAAGGCCTTTAAGGTCTTATTATAGAAGATAAATATAACCTTATATAAAAAGTTATATATAGCTTATATCTATAATAGCTATAATGTGTACTAATATTATAACTCTTTATTACTATTATTAAGCACTATTTTCTTTAGCTAAACGTATTAAATAATCTTATAATTATATTTATTATTACAGTAATAATAAGTAACGCGCTTAATAATAAAGTATAATAGTAAGCTTATATTAAGCTCTTCTAAAGCTAGGGCAGCAGCTATATAGAGCTTCTTGTATAGGTAATCTAGGATAGCTATTCTAATCTTTTTTAAGGTATTAAAGCTATTAATAACGCAAGGCTTCTTACCTAGGTATTTACAGTAATTAGGTATACTTTATAAAAGTTATATAAGATTAGTTAGATTATTAGCGCGTTTATAAGCTTATTTAAGAATATTAGAAATAGTAGATTTTAAAATAGGTAAAATAGCTGCAATTTTGTTAGTTTTAGAGCTAGAAATTGCCTATAATATAATAACAGCTCTCTAGAGTGCTAGGGAAGTATCTATAGTAATTTTAGTCTTTAGTATAACTGTTTAAAGCTAAAATTAAGGTTAGTATTAAGGTGTTTAGTAATAGTATTATAAAGTTATTAGGTAGTAATTAAATTAAGATTAATTAATTAGCTTGTTAAGTAAGACGCTAAGCTACATTAGGCGGGCGGTAACTTACCGTATACACCGTATATCCAATTTGCTCTAGGCCGCACCCTTTGTATGCCTAGACACCAAATCGAGGAATGCTGTTAATTTCCGAAAGAAAACGAACGTCTATTACTGGAAAATCAGAGTATAAAAACACGATCTCTTGCGCGCCTGGTAAAAATGCAACCAGATCCGTTGTAATGACAGCACTTCCAACTGATGCGTGAAAGTAGGCGAGCGAGTCTCATATCACATGACTTCAAGAGTGATATCCCTCAAACTTCCAAACTCGACATCGCCCTGGGCCTATTTTCCTTCAGTTCAGTTCAAGTAAACATTCGTATGTATTAGTATCATGGACGCACTATGAATGCCCAAATTCATTGGCCTTGCGAAGCCTAGGTAGGGTTTCAGAAGTATTTTCAACACCTTCATCATTGGGTCGCAGATATGTGGTTCAGACGCCATCCGTTAATCGACATACTTGCGGAGGCAACTGTTTTCCCTATGGCAAACACGACTAGAGATTCCGGGGTGCATCTCCGATCTGCTCGCCAACCGTCTTGAACAAATGCTCGTCGGTTCCAAGCGAAGTATCCGTTTTAGGCATTGTACATGTTTGCAGATCGGCTCCGTTCCATCGATCCCACGTCGCACGGCCAATGTTCTACGAGATCATGATCGTAGCACGGTTGTCACGCGGCCCGTTCTCGAATATTAATACATATCGGAGAGGGCAGCATAAACCACGACTACTGGAGGGTCCTTATAGGTAGATAGAAGCCAAGAGGGCGCCAGTACGCACTACTGCGATCAACGTTCTGCGAATGGCATGAACGCAAGCCTATCTCCTTCGAGAGGCTGTTCCGGTAGACTACTCAATGCAATGCCGGACATACGCAGGTTCGTGTCAAATGCCCTGGCCAATGACACCAGCCACTCAAAAACCCCGCACCGTGTTTGTGTCTGCATCGTGATAAGCTCATGCGCCTGGCGCGCTGGTGAACGACGTCTACTGTCTAGGGACCCTGTTCTCGCCAAACCAACAGCACACACACTCTAAGATCGCTGTGGCTGGTGATCGGTGGTCTGAGAGGAGAGAAAATCAGCCCCCAACAGCAACAACTGGGCACACATGAGGCTTGGTAACACTGTCGCTGCAGGGAATGCACCCCACGTGTCAGCACAGAATTTCCTGGGCGTGACAGCTCACGTTTGGATCGAGGCACAGTGCGAGAGGGTTTGAGGGGGAGAATCTAGACGACGGGTTCTTCTGGTCGGGCCGCTCCTAACTGCCGTGCTGATGGATGGCAGTGCATACAACGGTCAGACAAACAGCAGGTTGAGCGTTGGCCGTGTCTGGTGTCGCGGCTGGGCGGAATGAGGCTGCTCGTCTGGGGAATCGGCCCAGCAGTTTATGGCGCTCTTGCAGCTGCGCGAGGAATGGCGACTGTCCGTAGCATGCCATCCATGCGCCGTGTCGAACATGACATGTATGTAGAAGCGGCTGCTTAGCGTCGAACAGCCCCGGTTCCATTCGGTCGTGCCAGTGGAATAGGTTAATACCCGACGTGTGCTCGCAGCAGTACTTTGACGCCTTGGATCACCAATTCGAGCGTCAGCAAGCGGCTCGCCCGCTCATGAGCTGAGGACAGCGCAACACGGAGCGCTTGCTGCGCTCTGATTGATCGTCCACATCCCTGGAATTTCCGTCTTCGCGACCAACCTTCTCGGCACCTTAGACCCCGTCACCTTGCCTTGCCGGCCCGCGTCGCAGCGTCTGTCAAAGAACACGCGCCGCCCATGGCCCCATCGATAGACCGCAGAAATCCTCTCAGCAGCTCGCGACGCCCGGAACAAACCGTCAAAATTAATTCCTTTACAGGGCTGGGCGCCCCAGGCGCGCTTTCTCCCGCTGGAGATAGTGCACCGCGCCTGTCTGGGGTACATCAACTGCTGCACCGACCGCCCTCTCCTGCGGCTCAGCAGCCTTCTCCTCTGACCCAAGCTTCGCCGTCCACGGTGGAAGCATCGCCACTGCAGACCCCAGGCTCTCTTATCGCCAATGGTGGTGCAGACACGACGGGACGCCGACCAGAATCTTCCACTAGAATGCGGTCTTCCATTGCATGTACTAAATGTCGAAAGAGCAAGACCAAGTGTGACAACAAAGGTCTTGGCAGCACCTGCTCGAGTTGCGCAATCTCGGGCAAGGAGTGCACCTACCCATCCACAACCACCACTGGCAGCTCACAGCGGCGAGAGAGCATAAATGCTACTGGCGAACATGATGTGAGTTTAGTAATTTCGTCTTCATCGCTGCTGTTCTCTTGACTGCTGCTTGTTGCCTAAGGTCTGGCTGGACCCTGACATTACACGAGCAATAAGCACATGCCTTTCGCCTGACAACCTCCATCGACTCCTTGTTGTGTTCACGATAGAACATATTTGGCTAATCGTGCCCTCAGCAGGGCCCGCCGAAGAAGCGCAAGAAACCTTTGGCACCCACAATCATTGCCGCCAATAGTCCAAAGGATGGGTTGGGAACCTATGCTGATGCCCTCGAGTCCCCTCTACTTACCCCCAAAATCTGGAAAGAGCTTGTCAGTACAACCCCTTCTCCTCCATGCGTTATCCTCACAAAGTTCAGTTCGAGATATACGAAAAGCATTTCGCCACCGACTTCCCCTTCCTGCACAAACGGACATTTCTGAGCTCCCTTCAACATCCAACCCCGGTCGCCTCTCCCGATGTCAAAGCTGAATCACCTTCTTCAACTCGACTTCCACATGCACCTTTACTACTGGCCTTCCTTACTCAGACTGCTCGCTTCCACCCTGAGCTAGCATCGCTAATGGGCAGCCCTTCTGCCACCTCTGAATTCTATGCAGAAGCCACACGTCGGCAGATGGCTTACGACTTCCCTGGTGAACCATCGCTAGAAAAGACACAGGCTCTTCTCATGCTCGGATTTCATGAATGGAATGAAGTGGAAAATCGAAAAGGTTGGGTCAAGATTCGCACCGCCATAAGCTGCGCGCAAGCCCTTGGCTATCAGTACGATGCCGACTTGGATGACATGATCGAAGCTGTGGCCAAAGACGCGGAGGACAAAACCTCGGAAAAAGACCAGTTTATCAAGCGGGAGATTCAACGCCGCACCTTCTGGAGCTGTTTTATTATGGACCGGTATTTGAGTTGTGGAAAAGATCGACCGCAGATGCTGAGTGTAGACGATTTGCAAAGGATTCAGTTACCCTGCAGCGACAAGGCCTTCAACCATGGTCAGAAAGTCAGGACTAGATTTCTCGGCGAGTACAATGAGAACTATCAGGAGCGAAGAGAGAAGGTGCGCCGTCTAGCCATTCGCCGTCACGAGGAGCGAAATGGGGTTCAACGAGACAACCGATCAAGTTATGTCGATGATGTGAAATGGGAGATAGGGGAACACGAAGGAGAACTCAGCTGGTACATTCAAGCAGTCGAACATTTTGCTAAAGTCATGAGGTGGTGTGTTCCTCCAGGTAGACGGTAAGCTGCGCAACAAAATTGATTCTAGCAGGCTTGCACGACTAACATGGTTCAGACGCTCTGGGGAAAAGAATCCATGGGACGACAACTCTACGTTCAAAAAGTTGGAAAATGACCAAAAGCGCCTCAAGGATGCTCTGCCTAGTGATCTCCAACTCACACCCGAAAATACGGAAGATCATATCTACGCAAGAACATGGAGGAACTATGTTCTTATACATGCTCTTTACTCACTTTGCACCATATCTCTTTACAGAGAGTACATGGCTTTTGCTCCATGGCGACTAACAGCACCTCAGGGTCCGCTAGATGAGCCACTAATCACCGATTCTCCACCCTCGCCAGATTATTGGGCTAATCAGGCCCGTAGCTGCTTCGGAGCTGCTAGGGGGTTTGCCGACCTCCTCCAATCGTGTCAGTCTTTGAACGTCTTGGTAGAAACGCCCATAGCCGGGTTTACTACCTACATTGTAGCATGGTGTGGTAAGTGGTGCTGCCCTCTTCATCTGTCTACTCTGCTTACAAACGTAGCCTTGTATTGTCACAATTTCCCACGCATGGATCCCGATCGTGCTCTGGACTCGCGGCTTCAACGGAGTGTATGGCAACTCTCCAACGACATCATTCTTAGTATGGAAGCTCGCTTCAAGATTGCGCGTGTTTGGATCGGTGATCTACAGTACCTGCATGACTTTTGGCGCGAGAGTAGAGCAGAGTTCAAAGCAGCTGGGGGATCTCCTGAAAGCACAACCAGCGACAGTGGCGGTGGACTGAAACACTATTCCGAGCACTTTGAAAGGCCACAGAAAGAGTTTGGTAGTTTCCATAACAACAGGTCAAGCCTGAGAGGTTACAGTAAAACCGTAATTGTGCTACAACATGATTCAGATTCCAATCACCGACCTGAAGCGAGCGGCTCCGATGCCACCGCTCCGAAGCGTGAAAGAGGCGCGGTACCCGAAAGCAACCCAGTCGCTCCATCGACATTCTCCCCCTCGTTCACCCCCGTCAACGGCGCCGCAAACCCAGTAACTCCAGACTCGGTCCACGAACAATACACTGCAGCCAATAGTTATCCGCAGCAGAAGTACGGCGGGCATCGGGTCCAGAGCCACGTCTCCCATCCAGAGTCTACTCACGCATACCACCACTCGTATTCCCAACCCTACGCCTCTTCAAGCCAGCCCTACGTCCCGCTCGGCTCTCACACCATGTCGGACCTGCGCGCAAGCCAGACTCCGCACCATATCCAACCCCCCGCCCCCGCCACCGCAGGCCCAGCATCATACACGTCGTCATCAGCGCAGCGCCAACACAGCAACGCAGAACAACTCAACCGCCTCGAGCAGATAAACAACATGTCTGCCGGCGGTGGCGAACTGCAATATCTAGCCCAAGGAAACGGATTCTCGGGAGGAGGAGACGGCACAGAGGGCATGTTTATGGACATTTCCAACACGTACTACTTTCCACAGCCCCAGAGTTACTACCTGTACCAGAATTAGCGGGGTCGTGGGCTCGTTCCTTACACGCCTGGTTGACAAGGCATTTTCGCCCCATATAGTGTCGTCCTCTTTGTGTGGCGGGAAGAGACTCCTGCCATCGCGTACACGGTAGATATTGTTTTCCTTGCTTTGGATGCATGTAACGCCTTTGTCTGTTTGGGAGGGATCCATTGAGGGGGTGCATTTGGAGGGTGCATATGGGGGTTGGCACGCAACGCAGCGCAACGCAACGTACGCATTCTGATGAGAATCAACGGAGTTTGGCTTTTTGGCTTCTGTGATATCACGTTGGGTGGCTTCTCGCTTCAGAATATTGGTGAAATATAATACCCTCGCTCGCTGTTTTCTTGCAGATGTGAACTGGAGATCCTCTCTGAGCCGTCGCGTGTACGACGCCCAACCCTTCAAGAAGTCGTGTCCCCACCAAGACTCGCTGCTCTACCCTTCCTATTTGCCCTCTCACTACTCTCGCCATACGCCTCCGCGCCATACGACGACCTCACTTCCCCTCTACTTCCACTTTTCCGCAATCCCCCACCGCCCGCATGATCAAACGGCTTTCTCCTCCTTACCAGCTGATATCCGCGATCCAACTCGACCTCGATAGCGCAGCGAATCTTCAGCGCCGTGACCGCAGGCCACACACTCCTCTCGCCCCTGCGAATCCAGTAGTCGACCGCGTCTTTCGTTGGATTCTCCAACAGCTTGAAGAAATCACCGGGCGTGAGCTCGGGTACCAACGTCAAGCTCGCTCCGGGTACGTTCTCGTCCAGCAGGAAACGGCGTATGGAGGGGGACAGGTAGCCGAGCTCGTCGAGCTGGTGCAGGCGGTGCTGGACTTCGAGGACGATCAGGCGTAGAATGGGCATGCTGAGGCGCCAGCGGCCGTCTTGCCGGGGGTTCGGGTGGTGCAGGTCCGAGCGCAGGAAGGGGGCGAGGTAAGGGCGTGCTTGGGAGACGATGAAGTGGTTTACGTTGAAGAGCTCGGCGATGCGGTGGAGGGGGGAGTTGCGGTCTGAGTAGGAAGCGTGGGTCCAGGGGCGAAAGGTGGTGTCTGATGCAGGAGACCAGGGGACGATTTGGTTGTTTTCATCTTTGCACATCAGCGTTACCGAGTGATAGAGTGTTGAGGAAGATGTTGCGTTCGAGGCGAGAGCAGCGGACCATATGAGCTGGAGAAAGTCAGTGCGTGTTTAGGTTGATGCGAAAGACAAAGGAGACGTACGACGTTTGGTGCGGTGAGGTAGTTGAGCAAATTCGGCACGCCCGCTCCGCTACTCGTAGTAACGGTGATGTTTAGCACTCTTTTAGTTCTCGTGTACGCTTCTTCAAACGTCATGTCCCCCACGTTAGCCCTGAGAAGCTTTTCCAGCACGCCGACGTCGAGAAAATGGCCTTCACCCCACCACCGCTTCATGCGTCGGAGAAACGTCTCTAGCCACCCACTCTTCCCAGCACCTTGTCTGTAAGACCGGTTCGTAAAGGCTGTCAAGTCGATGTTCTTCCCGGACAGGAATTCTAGGAGCTCATCTTCGGTGTGGACTCCCACCAATGCTGCAATAAGAGCGCCCGTGGCGGTTCCGGCGATGATGCGTGGGAGCAGACCGCGGAGGTGCAGCGCTTTTACCACACCCAGATGGCAAAGCCCAAATATTGCTCCACCCTGTAACACCAGTGCTGATCGTCCAAATGCCTGCCTTGTATCGTGTAGAACATCCAGCTTCGCCTGGTTCGTCAACCCAGTGTCTGAGCTTGTTGTGGTGGGATACTGCGTGAGGTATTCAATAGCGTATGCAACCTGAGTAACATAGTCCTCGATGAGCAGTTTCGTCCCACCATATGCACGATTAAAAAGGCGCGAAGCCGTTATGTTTCCAAGGTTGCGGACGAGACCACTTCGAAGGAGGTTGACGAGCCCAAGGATGTCGTTGTCTTCGAGGGCTTCAAGAAGAGCCGTGTAGCGGTTGTGGATAAGACGGTGGTCGTAGTACTTGCTAGTAGCATTCTGGCGCCTTGTAGTCCCAGCTGTCAGCACATGTCAAACCATCTGAGGTACCACCAAACCATACCACAAATCATAGTCAAGACACTCGTCGAGATGATACGAGGCAGCCTCCCACTCCTCAAACAGCCTCGCGTCTGCAATAGCTTCCAGGAGGAGATCTCGTCTGCTCTTCTGCCTCCACCAAGCCCAGAGTTTCTTGAGCAAGTCAGCGTTCCACGCGAGGGCATCCAGAGTTTCTTGGAACAACGTACTCGCTGCCAAAAGAAAGCCACCTCAAAGAAGCAGCTCAGCAAGCTCCATAAGAAAGCTGCCACTCCAGCCATGGTTGTGGTATGGCATGTTGTCTTGTTGACTGTTGAATGCCATTGAGCTGCCAGCGTGGACACAGCTGCAGCTTTCACATGCTCGACGCGTCGGGTCAGGACGTCACTCCGAAAGTTGGGGAAGAGCGGTCCGCGCACCGGCCAAGTCGCGTGTCGCTCCTTTTGGAAGGCAAACGGACAACACACTGCAAACACGTCTGGTTCATCTCATCTTTCTCATTGTATCATTGGGCTTTGATCTCCACATTTGTCGTTTGCACATATTAGATCGCTGTTGGCCATTCGACAGGACTATCGACCAATTCTTGCTGCCCTGCCAAATTCTCAACGCATATCGCAGTTCCATTACTGGCGCTCGACAAGGAAGCCTTACGTCTTCAGCAGCGATAACTGTCACCGCAAAAATAGACAATTAGAAATTTGTGAGAGTGTACGCGAGGCGTATACTGCTAACCATCCCAGCACAGGATTCCTACACTAAACTTAGATATAGGTGTCAAGTTGTTACAGGATTGCGCTGCATCCTAGTTCTGATAATCTCAACTAACTGAGAGGGCCTCTGGTGTTGTCAGTTTAGGAGGCGATGTGGCCCGGGGAAGGATCGAAGAAAATTGCATAAAACAGTGGATGAAAATATAAAGGTTCTAGTTCCAATTTCTTACATCGAAACAACACAAGACCGGTCGTTTAGCTCAGTTGGTTAGAGCGTGGTGCTAATAACGCCAAGGTCGCGAGTTCGACCCTCGTAATGACCATTTTTTTCGTGTCACATCGCTCTGTGGACATCTGCATTTCTTTTTGGGTGTCCGCTCTTCGAGTGGCTTGGCAAGGCTGTCTTTTGGAATGGAGACTCAAACGCCACCCGAGCGCTACCCAAGCGCCCCTTCTTTCTGTTCATCATACAAAGAGTGCAGCAGGGGACAATGCACATATACAGTAATGTGGATATACGTAATATATGTAAACAAGGTCATGAGACTCATCGTCAGTCAAATGTCTGAGATTGGCAAATTAATAAGTCCACAGGTTATCCACATTGAGCTTGGCTGCACCCCTTTGTACATGGCACGGGGGAGTCTCCTATCTCTATTAAACGCTCTAGTATCCTCTCACATCACAAGGCAGAATGACTCTGATTTTGAGAACAGCAAGCAGTAGCACTACTCTGTAGAACTGGCTTGTTCCACAGAGCCAAGTAATGTCCTAAGGAGATACCTCGGTGTTCCGAGCCCTATGCAGCTTGAAAGCTCGTCAAAGTATCCAATAACAATTGAAGGCAGACGTTGCACCACTAAGCATTTTGAAAAACTCTGATGGCACTCACACACCAACCACTTCTCTTGCTGGAGAATCGAGACAGTCAACCGTAAACTGCATCCGCGGTGAGAACAACGGCAGGCCTGAACGAAGATATCTCATGGGAAGCGTATACGGCAAACACCGTGCCGGGATGTGGGGGCGTTAAGACTACCCTAAGAGGTAGCGTGGACGTAACTCGCCGTTCTTGTCAGCTTGGAGTTTCTTGCGCTAGAAGGCCTCTTGAGCTAGAACCTGTCACGCTCATATGATTTGACAAGGAGCTCTCGGCTGGGGCAAGTTTGAATCTGTATTGCCGTGCAGCAGTTCCGCCCCCCGCACCCTTGAACTCCAGTTTTGACGCCATACACAACCGATTTATGTTGCCGACCACCATCCAATCCCGGATTGCCCTGCCATGACCATCATATCTAACTATGGTGGAGTCGTTAGTGAGCCCTTAAGAAGGGGCCTCATCGCTGTTGCTTCAGTAGTTAATTCAATTTACTTCTTCATCAACTTTCTTCACAAGTGAGCGCTGTTCATTGCGGATTTTCATTCAACTATCTCGTATATTCTTTGACCTCACATTGTATAACATGGCGGTGGAAAAATACGACGTTGTCATTGTTGGCGCAGGGCCAGTCGGCCTCTGCTTCGCATCATGTCTTGCGCGATGGGGCTACAAGATCAAGCACATCGACAATCGAGCAGAGCCAACGCCCACAGGACGAGCAGATGGAATCCAGCCCCGATCGCTGGAGCTTCTGCGGAATATGGGCCTGAAGCGCCAGATTATGGCGCACGAGCCTGCCAAGGTGTACGAAGTCGCGTTTTGGGATCCGGCGGCCAAGGGCATTGTGCAGACAGGAACATGGGCTAGTTGCCCCAAGTTCATTGATGCGCGGTACCCCTTTACAACGCTGCTGCACCAGGGTTTAATTGAGCGTATATTCATCGACGACATTGAGAAGAGCGGCACAAAACTTCAGCGATCGTGGACTATCGCTGGTTTCAACAATGACGGAAAGGACCCCGTATACCCGGTTGAGGTCAACCTAGCTCACGTGAATGGCGAGCAGACCGAGACTGTACGAGCCAAATACCTCTTCAGCGGAGAAGGTGCGAGGAGTTTCGTACGGGAGAAGTTGGGCGTCAACATGATTTACAAGAACCCTGTTGCGCATGTCTGGGGTGTCATGGATGGTGTTGTGCGGACAAACTTCCCTGACATCAAGGTACGACCCCATCTTATGAATCATGATCGTTTCTTATTCTAACAAATTCCAGATGAAATGCACGATTCACTCAGATGCCGGTTCGATCATGGTCATTCCTCGCGAAAACAACATGGTTCGATTGTACATCCAAGTTGCCTCCTCAACCGACAAGGACTGGGATCCCCGCAAGACCAAGACCGCAGAAGAGGTTCAAAAGCTAGCACAAGCAATCATGAAGCCGTATACCATCACCTGGGACCGTGTGGAGTGGTATTCCGTTTACCCCATCGGCCAAGGTATCGCCGAACGCTACACCCTGGACGAGCGCGTCTTCATGGGCGGCGATGTCTGCCACACGCATTCGCCGAAAGCGGGGCAAGGAATGAACACTGCATTCTTAGACGCCGTAAACCTTGCCTGGAAGATCCACCACGTCGAGTCTGGGTTCGCAAACCGTTCGCTGCTCTCCACCTACGAGTCCGAGCGCAAGCTCATCGCCGAGACACTCCTGGACTTTGACGCCCGTTACGCCAAGCTCTTCTCCACACGCCTTCCCTCTGCAGGTGAAGTCGCCGGCGCACATGGCGAAGCAGCTTCCGACAACGAGTTCATCAAAACATTCAAAGCGTCCTGCGAATTCACATCCGGCTTCGGCGTAGCATACAACCCCAACCAAATAAACTGGGGCCCCGAACATCCCGCACAACACCCGCTGATTCTCGCACAAGGGAAGGGTACTACCCAGCGTACTGGCTACATCCTCACCAACGCGACAGTAACACGCGTCGTCGACGCCAATGTCGTGCATTTGGAGCAGGAAGTCCCCCTCAATGGGTCCTACAGGATATATGTCTTCGGTGGTGCACTGGCCAAGACAACAGCAGCAATCAAAGACCTGGCGACAAACCTCTCCGCGCCAACGTCCTTCTTCACCGCCTTCCAGCATGAAGACATCAAGACAGTCGATCGCTACCATGAGCGACACAACCCTCACAGCAACCTCTATACCTTCAACATCATAATCAACGCGCCTCGCAGTAAGATCCACATCGACGAGCAGCTGCCCGAGATGTTCGCGCGCTACGCAGACCACGTTTACGCCGACGACGTGTGGGACCAGCGCGTTCCTAACGCCAAGGCATCTGGGCACGCGAAGATGGGACTTAGCGAGGAGGCAGGTGGTGTTGTGGTTGTGCGACCTGATGGGTATGTTGGTGTTGTTGTGGGGCTCGAGGAGGGCAGTGGAACGGCAGATGCGCTTAATCAATACTTCTCTGTTGCTACAGGGAAGAAGTTGGGTGGTGAGAGGGCGACCTTGTGAGTTTGCCGTGTGACGTTTTATATCCTTGAAAATGGGCTGGAGATTGTATATAGCGATGTTTCGATATTCTTGTATATGTTGTCAGTAGTCATTGTCAATACTATATGTTATAATGATACCATTAAAGTCGCCATTTTTTTTTCTTATGTGAGTCCTCTTCGTTGACGCAAAGTTCAAGCTGGCTGGGGATGCGTTCTATGGATAGGAATGAAACAGGGAAAAAAAAGGTGACTGATTCATCTTGGAAATTACTTGCTTGAGGGATAGACACTATCATCAGCACACAACCAATTGTCAACCTTTGTCAAGTTGTTTTGTACGAATACTATCCGAAACGAACCCTTTTAATAGTCGTTACGGTTGACGAAATTGGCACGAATGATATGTGGGTGAATATTCCAATTGTGAGTCTGTAATTGACTGTCAAGTCGACGCAAAAGCAAAGAAAGAGTCAAGAGTGAGATAAGTTAACTCGTGTACACATGATGATAGCTCCCACCGCATTGCCTCGAGGAAATTTACATGGTCCTGATAAATTCTCTGCAACAGGACGTCGTTTTCGAAGTCTTCCCGTTTCCCCAGAAGATTTTCCGCACGAAGCCATGTACCGCGCAAATTATAAGCCCCGAACTTGCCACACACAGTATTCCATCAAAGCAAAGTCTTTGAAGCGGACCAGCAATCACTCCTCCTGAGCCCCATACTCTTCCACTATCTGGCGCAATACATCACATACCCATATCACAACCACCCCCCAGTTCCCCGCAGTCAAACTCCTTTTCAGCTTGGGTTCTCCTCTCGATACCTGTCTGGCACGATCGGAGAATTCAAAGTGCAAACCCTGAAGTTTCTTGCACTCCACTGTTAGAAGGTGACACGCCTGTGCAAAGTCCATGGCCCCCTCATCTGTAGGTCCTTTCTCGAGCCATTCGCACACGATCACCATGTACGTCAAGTGATGGAGGTTCGGACAATGGGCTGTAATGAAGGAGATGGAGGTTGTGTCTAGTGCGACGCAAGAGCCATCGATGTTTTGGTGTGGTTCAGGTGTGAGTGTTATGGATGTGAGGTAGGTGAATATCAGCGACTGGAGAGTTGAACTGGGGAAAACATCAGCATAGCTTTTGTGTAAAAGACTCATTGTGCGACATACCTGCTGACTTGAGATGCTGGGTCGTTAGATAAGACGTACTCGAAATAGACATCCATTTGGTCGAATAGTAGATGTAGCAATTCATTCCGAATGGCCTTGTTCACATGGAGCAGACCAGACTCGATTAGCATTCTTCTCGACGGCTATCCCGATTATCAACATGACTGCAACGAATCGTCCAATGATAGTAGACACTTACAAATTCTCCCCCCACCTGCACGCTCAAGCCTCGAAACAGACCGTCGATCCCGTCTTGAGGACGAGATATAAGTTGCTTGATCCTCCGCTTGACCACGAACTCGCCCGGCAGCGCATGAAATGCCATCGGCCACTTGGCATCCTCGTGAAAGATGATATGAGATTTGTATGCACAGCCGTGGGTGTGACCGAGACAATCTACCCAGACATGACCGCTAACGGGGAAGTTGCAGAAGGAGTAGATTATGTGGCGAAGTTCGGGAGGGAGGCGGGAGAGGAAGTTGGGGTGTGAATTGGAAAGGGTTGTTGAGGGTATGACAGAAATCATGGTTGAGGAGTTCGAAGTCATGATGGTTGAGGTGACTGTAGTTGAACTCTCGGTGGTTGAGTAACACGATGATGGTTGAGCATTTTTACAGCGATGGAGAAAACACAATTTTATATCGATGGTGGCTGGCCAAGAGTAGTCAAGGCAGATGCGTACTTCGCTGTCGCCTTGCTATGCATGGACCAAGAGAGTGAAAGTACTTCTCCAAACAACGCAGTCTCAGCCTTTCCATGTTTACATTTCTGACTGACTAGAAAAGCGAGTTCACTGTGTCGCAAACGCCAAGTAAGTAGTCGTTATTCTTGTAATAGCTCTTGCACCGCAAAACCCTCTTGTTTTCCTGTGGAGTCGAAAACTTTGGGACACACAGAAGTGGACATGAACAATAGGCGTATAGATCTTGGAAGTAGATCATAGTCGACATCAACCATATCATTGTAAGGCATAGAGGTAGCTAGGAGGATAGAATATACCAAAAGAAGAGAGACAGTGACTGACGATAGCGGTGTACAATCAAATAGATGTCGAACAAACGAGACAATCTTTTAGAGAAGAACCGCAGTATAACTGCGCAGTCAATTTTTTATATCAGGCAACCATAACGACACGCCTACAGTTGGTTCGCTTTACAAGCCTTCCTCCTCGATAAATCACACGAACAACTTTTATTCCACCATAACAATTTTCTCGAGTGGAATCTGCCGCCATCTAATCCACGCTTGCATACCATTTCAAGCAGTCTCATCACTTACTCACAAGACTGTAAACAAAACATGTTTCATGAAGTAAGAAAACATTAATGCCGTCTAGCAAGTCGAAACGACAGAAAGAAAGTTTCCAAATTAGATACGCAACATTTCCCAACACTAAGCACAGAGTTTGATATCATTTTCCATTTCTGTAGCAATTCTTGTTTTGTATCGGTTATTATCGTGTCGTGTTCAGCTACTTGCCGCAGTCCCTATCTCCCGGAATTTCGATATGCCGAGGGAATGGATACTTTGTAGCACTGCAGAATCTGTGGGGTGATGGTAGAAAAACCCTCGACTCATGGGACTTGCCGCGTCATCCAACCGAGCAGGAGAACACGCATGTTCAAAAAGATTCATGGTTGTGGTTGTATGTCCGTACGTACTCGCGTCAAACCAAGATAACATACCGGTTTATCACATCACATCTCAAGCAGGGGAGCAATCCTTACACCCACACCCTGAGGTAAGCGAACATGTCAGTCGCGGAAGAAGTCCCCATTGGAACCAGTTCAGCTCCAACATATAGGAGTATTTACGGCGTAATGAGCCCCTTGACCCTGCTAGACGTGTGAGACGGGTCGGCGGAGAAGGACGGCGCTATTCTCCATTACGTTCAAAAGTCCTGTTGCGGAGGATTTACGATTGGCGTTTATCTCTAGTAGATACCTGTGATTACCGGTAGATGCTCATCGGTGAATTCCCACCCTCTGCATACCTTGCGTATAGTTGAGAAGTAATATAATCTGCATGATGGAAAAGATATGTGCATATGCAGCAGAGATAGCAGGGTTCACACACCAGGGATCGGAAACCATTGCCGGTCAGATCTGACGCAATGATCAAGAAAGGCCAGGCCCTCAAGCCACAGATTACCGTTGAACGCGCGAAGGTCTCGAGTCATTGTAAAGAGCGGGGGTTGTGAGAACTATGGGCATTGTAGGTTTGGGCCAAGACAAAGATAGTATTTAGAAGTGCCGTGCTTGACTCCCCTCCGGTTGTAGCGACCCTGAAGGCGATGGCTAGATCTAGTTAGCCCCGCTAGATTCCCCAGACTCTATGTATGCTGGTAAGGTTGATGTAAATACTGTAAAACACTAGACTCTTGTAAATTGCCGAAAGGGCGTTACTCCGAATCAAATCGGACCTACACTCCTACACCATGCCAACTGATTGTACTCTGGCCCAATAGTCGTCAAAAATGGCGTGGGTCTAGCCTTACTCATAGACCCAACCTCTTGTGATGCACGTTTATTAGTCATCATCTCTCTAACCTTTCAACCTCACCGACGTGATATCATTGGTTAGCCCTTTTCTCAATCGCCTGATGTGATAGATCTGTTCACATAACACCCATTCGACTTTGTTTTTTTCCTCGTCTGACGTACTTATTGATGAAATATTTGGTGCAGGGTTTCTGTACGCGTGGAAGTAGCTAGTAACCCATGAACACCCAGCAGCATATGCTTCAATTGCCGTGATTGCTCGTGAAACTTTACCGTTGCTTTGTTTTCCGACTATGGTTCGGGGCTCGTATCCGAAGAGTATGTGATTGGTAGACGAAAAGAAGGGCCGCTCCAAGACTTATCTCGGGAATGCAGCCACGTTGATGCTACCGAGGGCTCTGTAAGACCTTTGTAATGGATTTTGGAGGAGCTACAGATGACAAACGAGGACGACGTTGATTGGTCCGGTCAGCGATTCCGCGTAGTCATGGTAGCCCACCTGCAGCGACGGTATGCAGGGAGAGAAATTGTTAGTGGGTTGCGGGATGACATGGCTCTGAACCATAGGCTCGAATATGCGACTTGTTGAAATCGACATGGGCTTCTACGATACCGGTACCAATCAACGGCTGTGACGTCATATAGTGATTGCCACTTTACGAGATCATGCTCCACTAGATAGAGGATCCCCACTGTATGCTTGAAAGCATCGAACTCCGATCAACTCGGAATGGTGAACCGTGTTCGTTGTATTCTCAATACTTCGTTCCATACTGAACTCGTCCGATGCAGGGGTAAAGGGTTCGCGTCGAGGTCGACACGGGAGCGCGATACTCCAAACGCTTAGTTCTACCGAAACGTTGCACCATCCATCGTTGCCAAGACTAGAGGATACACGCCGATCCAGGAGATCGGAGTTCCAACCGTATGGCTGGCAACATGGGTATCGAGAAGGTGGACTGGACGAACGTTTCTAGCAGCGCAAATGCGCATGATTGAAGCAACGCTATGCTGAAAGTGACATCAATGACACACCTATGACACCGAAAGCAAGGCTACATGGACTTCACCCTACAACCTTTACAGATGGCTCTCATGTTTTTGCTGATCGTTAGAAAGGGATTTAGTAACTAGCTAGGGGTAACGACAGATTAATGATCCATGGTTGTACCATGATACTGCGCTAACTAAACGCAGACATCAGTATCCTAAGCATCTCGTACCTAAGCTATCCAAGGATGTATTTAGCCCTGGAAGAAACTAGGTAGCTGATTCGATAGTTTCTCGAAGACGAGAGTGTGACAAGAAAAAAAACCTCACAAGCGCATACGAATGGAATAGGGCATTGTAATGCATATTTAACTTAGTGCATAAGTTTTGTGGAGGCTTTACAAATGTCCGATGAACGCTGACGACTGTATTGAAGAACACTAGGGGACCAATCAGATACTTCAGGAGCAGACGCTGCGAGCCTAAGAAGATTTAGCAGGTACTACAGAGTTGCGCGTTTTCTCGCGTCGAGCTAAAAACCGGGAATAGTGTGACAGTAGAATGCAACTAACGTAGTATTAAATCCACAGAACCACGCAGTTTAGTGAGACCCCGAAGCTGCAAGAACTTCAATAGCTTCTCCTGGGTGCATTGCTCTCTTCTTAGTCTGTGTAGATGTGGCGTTGTGGTAGTGTTACTTGTTTAGACATCGAGCTTCCGGCTTTCAGCTTTGCGCAAGAGTATGTCTCACTTAAGCCTCCTCAGATAGACACAGACCGTGTATAGATTCGCAGATGCATAGCGTGTTGTCTTGAAACCGCCATTTGCCTGCAGAGCCACGGTAGTAGAAGTATCGTGATAAACTTTGTTCGTTCTCTCGTTTGGATGGACAACAGAGCGCAGCCACCTTCTTGCAGGGGAAGAGGATCAGGGACTGGCAGCACTGAGAGATCTCCCAGCCATTAAGATTGACGATCCGCGGAGATTGACGAGCCAAGAACCCAGGGAATATCCGATTCTTACCATACTGGCGGGTGACCTATTCTATCCGTATTGTCGTGATGAGATTCGCAGTTTACCCTGAGGTAGTACCGGTCAACTTCAGATTCGCATCCGTACTCCATAGATGCAGCAGCGTATCGGCAGCGGCTTGCTTGCAACATCTGGCATTGCTGCAGTCGACCAAATGGTATCCAAGTGTTCTTCGAAATGATAATCCGTTATCAAGTTCCCGTGCAGGATGATCTGCCCGCGACGGATCCGTTCTACGTTTCATCCAGACTTACCTCAATGGCGCAATGATTTGAGACGAAGTTTTTGTGCCGAAGATCATGGTAGAAGCTTTGCCTTGTTGCTCCCAGCGTGGTTCATCGACGGCTTTGACAACACCAGAAGCAGGTATGCTTCGTAATGGGTTGGTGGATTATACGTGATACGAAACTTGCGAAATTTGCCAATCTCAGCGGTTCGGGCAATGTTCTTTTTTTCTACGGGCGCATCGTGGATTGCCGTTTCGGGAATGACAAGCCACGTACCAGGGATCAGGCAGGGCCGTGATTCGCCAGGATCGGTGACATCATCGACCGATCTCCCGCCGAGGATTCAAAGCAGGGTCGATCGGGCAGCAGGAAAGGGGAGTGTACCTGACGGGTTCCCTGCATAAACAGGGCGACAGAAAAAGAACTGTCCCTTAGGCGTCAGCGATCGCGATCAGAGATGAGTAGGGCCGGAGCAAAAGCAAGCAGGAGACAAGATGGGCGCAAAACGGATCGACTAGGAGGAGCGATCAAGGGCGATCAATTCGATTGCAACTGCAGGATTCGATCGAGCTGCTGTTTCAAGCACCGCCGCGTGGAGGTGTCCGGTCTGGAACAAACGGTCATCCGCAAAATTTGAGACTCGAGCAGGGTCTGTGGCTGGAGAGAAGCGAATTGTGCAAGAGTGACGTCGGGCGTCGTTCGCGGACGTCGATTGACTGCGGTTCCGTCGATGCCGCTAAGCAGTGGTCTGAGCCCGTTTGCCAGGATCCACAACGCCTGCCAAAACCCTGATTTTAAATCACATGACGCTTGGCACAACGTTATGCCACCCGCGCTGCCTCGCCCTTGCTGGGGGTCCTTTGGATACCGAGGGAAGGGGGCTGCGGCAGTCACACAGCCCGTCCGCCTGTGGTCACGACAGAGCGCAGGCCTGGGCTGGTGGCGGGCTGTACTGTACTAGGCGAGCAAGCAGCGTGGGCATGCCGCAGCGTGCATCTCCTATCCTTGCACGGAGTCGTCGTGGCTGCTGCGACCGCTTGTTAGAAGCAGTTGGCGGAATCTTCGGAAATGCGACGGCGCGTGAGCTGGCAGAGGGCGGCATCTGCTGCGAGTGGTGCCGTGCAAGCTGGCTCCTTGAATGTGAGAGAGTCTTGGTCGCTTGATCTGATCGATCCACCCCCCCAGCATTGCCTGAGCCGGCATGCCTCCGCGATGGAGTATTGGCCGAGTCGGACTTGCGCTCTCGTGCATTCACCATGGCGCCGCTTGACTTCACCGAGAGCAGATACGAAGCGTTCGGCGCAGGCTGGGTATGCTGGTCGCGGCGAAGAGTTCCGGCGCAGTAAACCGCATTGCCAAAAGCCCGTAACCGTACGTCGACCGAAAAAGTCTGGGATGTGATGCGATCGTCGGGGTGCAGCTGGCGCTAATTTGACCTGACTCTTAGCCCCCGCCTAGGCCCGAATGCATCATGGGAATTCTGGCATCGACTTCTGCATCCCTGTCGCCGAAACCCTGTCTGCTAGCTGACTTCGAGCTGCCCTGAGTTCCCTCATCCGTTCCTGTCCAGTATTAAACAGTCACCAGTCCCGCGCGTCAGACGTACATCCAGTAAGCTCACGCCCAAAACAAAAAAACGCTCCCATCCCCCTCACTCAAGCATCTTCCACACAAACATCTGTATCCTGTTCTGCCATCACCAGCCCTCTCGTCACCGACCTCACTGTTGCGACGGCCTATTCAACCCCACCCACACCGTGCCCACATCCACCTCGCTGTCACTCTGGCAATTGCGTTTTCCTTTTCGCGCTTTTCCCACGTGTCTGCGTGCCTTCCCCGCGAATTCGATCGTCTCTCAACCACTGGCGCGCATCTGTGCTGTTCTGCTGAATAACCATGGACGGACAGGACGCTTCTGGTCGCCGCGTTAGCCTCTTGAACGACAACCCACAGGCCCCACCACTCATTCGCCTACCCTCCATATCGCCTTCTCTTCGCTCAAGAACATCAAGCTACACATCGTCGCGCGTCGGCTCACCACCCACGCCTTATCTGGTGCGCAGCAACTCTTCTGACTCAGTCGAATCAATGCAGACCCCATCGCCCATCACCCCGGATTTCAATTTCGATTCTCATGGACTGGAGTCGCCAGTCTTCGCTCAGGCTGGCTTCTTCTCTCAGCAAAAGGACTTTGCTTCGGCTTACCCACCTGTCCCCCAGCCCTCAGGACCACTGCCATACCATCCTACGGGCGCCTCACAGGCTGCTGTCTACTTCCAGCCTCAGCAACAAACAATAGAACCCCGAGTTGCGCCGCCATCAGCATCATCCAACGCTCGTCCCAAGAAGAACAGCTACCCCTGCCCCCTGGCGCAGCAGTACAACTGCAGCGATTACTTCACCACATCTGGTCATGCTGCTCGCCACGCCAAGAAGCACACAGGGAAAAAGGATGCGTTCTGCCCAGAGTGCAACAAGGCTTTCACACGCAAAGACAATATGGAGCAGCATCGTCGCACACATCAAAGCGGCCGAAACGCCACAAAAGGGAGCGACAATGGTGTGAAGAAGCCCAAACATCAGGCCAAGCGGCCCAGGCCATCTCCTATCCAGTCATCGATACCTTCCATGTCATCACTAGCTTTGGTAGATCCGTCCCTGCCCGTCAGTCCAGTGGAGCAGAGTTTTATCGCCCCCGCAGTACAACCCATGGATACATATATGGAGTTTACACAACGATCGCCGTACCCGGACCCCACTGCTTTCTCCATGAACGGTTACAATATTGGGTCGTTTAACAATGGCCTCGATGCTCTTGCGATTGCTGCCAGTGGAGAAAAGCGCAAGTTCGAGTCTTGATCATTCGCAATCTTTCCGAATCTGTTCTTCACTTCCACTAGACTCTTTCCTGTCTGAAAAGTCCGGTATCGCAAGTAATAATCCTGAAAGCTTAGCCTGGAGTCAGGTACTGGGGTACGAGTCAAAGATTATGGCGTTCAAAATTTGGGCTTCGCAATAGACTCTCGCCATCAAGGCTTCAAATTACCCACCATTTTTTACTTCTATTGTGTATTTTCTTTATAGCCTGGTTCACCTCGGTATCTTTTGACCTTGGGTGACGATGTACGGGTGGCGTTTTTTTCATCATGCTGTTCCGATATCTTCAAGGGTGGCAGTGAGGCAGAACGGTAGTGGGGGCAACAATCAGGAACACACATGGTATACCCGCCCTTTCGCAAGTGGCACAGCATAGGTTTTGCTCTCTATAGCGAGACATGATCAAACGATTATGGCCAGGCGGATGGCGTGATCACACAAACAAATCAAAGATAATTTTATTGATTCACTTGATTTTTTGACATTGTACGTGGTCTAACGCTGAAGATCTTGACGAAAACTACTCACTTCCCCTCACGAGATTCCATGGTTGAAGTGCCAGATATTGGTCGTATTCATCAGACTGGAACCTGAGTATAACAGATTGGTTTTTGCTTCTGCGGTACTTACCAAACGACTCAATGCTGACAGACACGCAACATCCGATGATCTGCAGTGTGCATACGGAGCATGAAACTAATCACACCCCAAATAAACGGCTACACTGCCAATAAAGAGCATCACGACAGCTATCCGATAGCCTGCTCGTATATGTACAACACAGGCCTGCCACGGTATGGTTCGCACTAAGCCTTGCTTTTCCTCTCGTCCCCTCTTTCCCCATATCTCTCTTTGTCCGAATAAACAATCACGAGAGGTTCGCGTGTACCAAACTTCCCTCCCCTCCACATCATCCACATCTACAGCCACGTCCGCCCCCCACCTCCCCGACCCTGCCTCGCGAACACGGCACGATACCACAGTTTTTTTGCTCGCATTTAAGGTTTTGTACTGGTATCCGGTCCAATTAGCGTACCAAGTAAACGACTATCGAACTGCAGTCCCCCTCAATTCTCAACGTCTGCAAGCCATAAACCTTGTTCGAGTGGCTCTCTTGACCCTGCAGATCGGTTAGCTAGCTAGCAAGCAAGCAGCTCACGGACACGTGCTGCGGACGCGCCGAACGAGGGGGGTGGAGGTGCGCCCGTAGTGTACGATTGGCGGGGTTCCGCGCAGCCGCGGTTGTAGTACTCCGTTTACAACTACGTGGTTGAGGTGGGTCAGTTTCCCTTCCTTCAGAGGAGGTTGAGGGGGAACCGGGCGCCACGGATGAGTGGGGTGGGGGCCGCGATAGTGAGTTAGTCTTGACGTCAAGGTGAGTATAGACTTGCGTCAACAAAGACATGTATAGCCGGTAGTTTGAGGTTGTTTGTGTGTGTTTTGCCCTTCCCCTCTTCTCGCCTCGCCTTTCCTCGCATCCTACTCAATGTTTGGTCCGGATCAGTTCGGATGGACTATCTCTCTTCATTCCTTCTCGTACCTACGCTTACATGCAGATTCGCGGGTTCGATCTGCGTTCAATATCGCCGCCGCGCGTGCGTGCATCCTCGCATGCTTTTGCGGACAACGCAACACGAGCAAGCACAAACTTCCCCAGGCGAGGTGAGACGAGTTGTCGTATAGGAAACATTGCTACCATGTCTCTTTTCGTCTCTTCTCTTCTCTGTCTCTCTGTTTTCTCCCCACCCCTGCCGCGGCAGCGAAATAATATGCGCAGTTTCAAAACAGATTGACGCGAGCTCTTCTCTCCTCTTTTCGTGGACTGTTGAGACCCGGCGAAACGACGATCACGACATGACATGATATGTGAGGGTTTGGCAAACCATTCACTTTTCCGTCCTTAGTTTCTTTTTTTTTGCGCGTCCATCTCTGTCCTGTTATTTCCAATTCCAACGTTTCAGTTTCAATTCCCTGCTCAATCAATACAAACATTCTCCATCTTCGTCAACCGACCAACCGACCCATCCACCATCTCCTACAAACCAAACCCTCTGTTCCACACACCACCACTGACCCTCCCCGTATCACAACATCCGCGGTCCCTACCCACGCATACCCCGACCCAGGTCTCCGGACCCCCGGTGTATCTCTGAATCGCGCGCACGCGCATGCAGTGCCCCATCGTCAATCTGCCCGTCGTCCCTCCCATCTCTCGCCGCAGGCCTCAAAATAGATTGCAACGACAGGATGCGCGCCGCGATGCAGGGACGTCGCAATAAGGAGTCTGCCTTGCAGGTCGCTTGTTTCAGGGGCGCGTGAGCCGACTCCCCGCCCATCGGTCGGACATGGGGTGCGATCGGGCGATCTTCCACGCCTCACGATTGCGGATCGGACGAGGCACGACGAGGTGAGCCCATGTGAGGCTGAAGAGTTTGTTAAAGTAGCGGTGATGTGTTCCTTGTTTTTTTTGGGGCGGCGATACTCGATGGGCGTTGCGTGATGTGCCTTCTAACGTATGCCCCGTGAGAGGAGCCTCTTGTTTCACGCAAAGGCGCTGTGGGGTGTTGACCGCCCTTGTAGCGAGCGCAGGCGTTGCCGTACGACGTTGCACTGTCTCACCGAGCGAGAACGGACGGGTATCTAGACGGACTAGTCCACGCAGCCAGCGCAACATGATGCTGCGCACTCAGGAGGGAGGTTAGACGTGTATGAGCCGGGGCAGACGAGTAACTAGGTATACGATGCTCGACATCCACCAGAGAGAGAACGTCGTTGTACCTGTACAAACGCGTTGATATTTGTCTGCCTGCACAGAGACCCACGCTCACCGATCGATTTACTCGTGGGACCTTCAAACTCTATCATTCATTCATCCCTCCTTTCTTCCTTCCCCAACATATCACCCCACTCACATCTCAACAAAACACTACTGACCCATCATCTCGTAAGATCCCATGTTGTGCTTCTCCAGCATCGACGGACAGATTCCGTGGCACGGTGGCTGACACCGCCTCCATGCCGCCAGAGGGCGATCGGGTCGAAGATAAGCTAGAAGCACAAGAGTCTGCACGAAGGCCGCGAAACAAGGCCCCGGGGAGCAGAAATGCATGTGTTGGACAAGTTAGTCAAGGGGGCACAGCACACATGTCATGCAGAGGTAGCTTGAACGGACGGTAGAAGACATTTGACAACAAGGCATGCACGTACATACATGCCGTGAGAAGTAAAACGATGCGGGTTACCGACGCCATTGCACCGGCTTGACTGTTGACGTTGACATTGACACTGACACCGACAAGACCATGTGCTCCCTGCTAGCTGGGATCTACATACAACCGACATTCTCGTCCCCCTCGCGCTGTGCCCTGCGTGGTGGAACCCCTCGGTTGCGGCACGCCGCTCCGTTACCGTTTGCAAATGCGTCGGCCCGCTGTTGTACCTGAGACATGGGCGGGGGTGGGCTCTTCCGCGTTGAAGAGAGCGTGCAGCCTGGCGTTACAGTCGTGCCTGTTTCACTGCTGCAGACATGATAAGGGGCGACATGTATCGCGTACAGAATGCGAGATGAGAAACGCAGCGCCTGTGCGAGCCCATGAGTTTCAGACCGCCTTCCTCCTTGTCCGTACATATGCGCATATAGATTTGTTTCCGATGGTGAGGGCCAGGATTTCGGAAGCGAGATCGAGGGGACTGCGCCGCTCGGCGGAGGGATCGACGTGGTCCGTTGTTTCCACTTCCGCTTCGCCCAAGCTCAACCAATATTGGCGGTATGCAGGTACTTTGTGAAACTCATATCGTCGTCTTGCGACGCGTTGCTGTTCTTCAGCGCATCCTGGTATCGCTGCTGGAGACCGTTTTCCGGATCATCCTCATCTTCGTCCTCGTCATAGTCGTAGCCATTATACATTTCGTCGTCCTCGTTCCCATCCTCTGCGTCACTGACCGTTTCCGGCTCCTCTTTGAAGGGCCCCGTCTTCTTTGGTTTCGGCTTTGTGCCCGCACCGCCGACCTTCATGTCCTTCATGAGCTTGTCGAGTTCGCGTTGACGAGTGACTTGTTTCTGCTGTTCTCGCTCTGCTCTGCGGCGCTCGAGCTCGGGCTTGTAGTCGCGTTCGAATTCTTCCTTCTTCTCTGCTACGCCTTTGAAGAACAAGTCCATGCCGTCACCTGTCATGGCGCTCACGCCTACGACGCTGAGGTGCTTGTAGAATTCCTCCAGCACGAGAGACATGCTGTTTAGGAGACTGGACATGTAGCCGCTACCGCCCCCACCGGCCTCACCGCCAAAGCTGCCGCCTTCCTCTTCATTTCGAAGGGCAGTTTGGAAGGCCTCGAAGTCGGTCATCCATTCTTTGGCGAATTCGGCGTCTTGTGCGTCGGTCTTGTTGAAGACGAGAATCATGGGGAGTTTCGTCTTGTATAGGATCGAGCAGGCGTAGAGCATGTTGGACATGAATGTGCTGGTGCTTGTTGTGCGTGGTGTGTCGATGATGTATGCAATGACGGTGGGAAATGTGCTGGCCAGACTCGACAGCAAAATCTCTCCACTCGCAGACCAGACGAAGACCTCGATCTGGCCCGGTGTGTCAACCAGGATGTGCTTCACCTGCTGTTGCGCGGGTGCCGCTTGCTTCTCCTTCCCGCTGTTTGTCATGAACTCGACTGTTGTCTGCTCCGCCTCCTTCACCGGCTCTGGCGCCTGGGTCCGCTTCTCCAGCAGGCCAATCACCTGATCGATCTTGGTGCTGAACAGATTCAGACTCGTCAGGATGCCGCCGTTGGGGCCCAGGTTGAACTGCTTCATGACTTCCTTGTAGTTTACACTGTCGCGGATATCGATATTGGGCGTGAACGGCACGTGGTGGACGGCGGGATCGAGGTTTATGATGTAGGGCGGTGTGTGGGTGGACTTTGACACGGACGGTTCGCGTTGTGTAGGGTCGGGGTGTGTGTAAAGGTGCGAGACGAGGCGCTGCATGAATGTCGTCTTTCCGGAGCCAGCCATGCCTACACAGACTATAGCCACAGGAGGGCTGGAAGTGCTTGAGCCGGGCGCAGAGCCCTCGGGTGCTTGTTCAGAAGACATTGTCGCGACGAGCTTCTGCTTCTTCACAAGGATCTGGGTATGAAGAAGACGGTGGTTCTGATGTAGAGCACGTGGCGCTAGATTACGTGTCTCAGATAAGCTTCCCGTATGTCTTCTGTATGTAGATGTAGGTGTGGACGGGAAAGGAGTGTGGTGTTGCTGATATGCTTGTTCCCTCGGAAATTCTTTGGCGGGGCTGTGACGCGCTAGCAGTCGGCGTCGGTGATGTCAAAGCTCCATAAACTTTGGCCGTGCACCAGCTCGCATCACACCTCACTCTCGACACGCTGGGACATATCGGCCTTTATCGCGGCAATGGGGCTGGAAGATTTTGAAAAAGAGCTTGCGCAGAGCAAGAAACAGGATGGGAAAAAGAAGCGCGACAGAAGTAGAAGTCGCGACAGACACCATCGCGAACATCGACATAAGCATTCACGTCACCACCGCGACGACGATGACCGAGAGGGACACAAAAGCAAGCGATCGCGACACCATCGAGAGACGTCGGAAGAGCGTGTACGCAGGAAACAAAAGGAAAAGGGACGCGATGAGGGCCACAAGGAGCGATCACACCGGAAGAGCAAAGACCGACGCAGCGCGTCTCCTTCCAGCGAGGACGAGGATCGTCTGACACGAAAGCGCAAGTCGCGTCACTACGAAGAAGACGAGTCGTCTGCAGACGAAGTACCGCAGGAGAGGGACTATGCGCCGCCGGACGACACCCTCCTCGACCAGCAGCTCCAAGATGCAGCAGATGCGAACCTGCAACGCGACGACTGGATGCAGGCGCCGTCTTCCATGGACGTCGACTACGTGCAACGGAAGAAGCGGGAAGAAAAGACGACATACGTGAAAGCTTCCGAAGACCACCAAGATGCGCTGAAGGGAGGATTAAACACTCACCTGGCCCACGCGGATAATCAGGAGCAAGACATACAAAAAGAACCAGCACAACGCGAAGTCAACTACACATTTGGCGATGCTGGGTCGCAATGGCGCATGATGAAGCTCAAGGGCATATATCGGGTCGCCCAAGAGTCGGAACGCAGTGTCGAAGAGGTGGCCATGGAGAAGTATGGCGACCTACGGGACTTCGATGAAGCGCGGGAAGAAGAGATCGAGGTGGATCGAAGAAACATGTACGGCAAGGACTATGTTGGCAAAGAGAAGCCTTCTGGTGAGCTTTATGAAGAGCGGAGATTGAAGGCAAACATCCATCGACCAGCCCGACAGCATCACGAAGCGGAAGACCTACCACAGGGCGAAGTCGTGCCAGATCAGCAGCCAACAGTCATTCTCAGTCAGACTGAATTGAACAAGCTCAAGGCCCAGATGATGAAGGCCAAGATGAAAAAGGCACCAGACGCCGCCAGGCTTGAGGCAGAATACAATGCAGCATCTGCGCATTCCGCTGGAGGTGGTCAGAGCCGCGACGTGGTAGTGCTAAACGCAATGGACAACCGCATGCTTGCCGGTGGCCGACAAGGCGAGGTTACGGCAATTACAAACAAGCGCGGCACAGAGCGTGGCACCGTCAAGGAGAACGAAGACATGAGCATCGAGGACATGGTGCGGCAGGAGCGGCGAACAAAGGGGCAAAACGAGGGCCTACTTCTCGCTGAAAAGATCGGCAAAGACGCAAAGTTCGACGTACGTATCTCTTCCAACCTCCTCACATCACAATATACTAACACACCACCTAGAACGACCTCGACTACCTCGACGACAACGCCTCGAAACTCGCCTCCCGCGCCCCCAAATCCACAATCAGCCTCCGCAACCAAGCAATCGAAGACTACCAGCGCACAACCCGCATCCTAGACGCCTGCCCCCTCTGCCACCACGAAGACAAATCCCCGCCCCAGCCCCCGCTCGCCCCGCTAGTCTCCCTCGCAACACGCACCTTCCTAACCCTCCCCACAGAGCCCGAAATCAGCACCGGCGGCGCCGTCATCGTGCCCATCCAGCACCGCACCAACCTCCTCGAATGCGACGACGACGAATGGGAAGAGCTGCGCAACTTCATGAAGTGCCTCACCAGAATGTACCACGACCAGGGCCGCGACGTCGTCTTCTACGAAAACGCTGCCCACCCCGGACGCAAAGGCCACGCTGCGCTAAACGCTGTGCCTATCCCTTTTGACCTTGGTGAAACGAGCCCGGCCTTCTTCCGCGAGGCTATCCTCTCCTCCGATGCGGAGTGGAGCCAGCATAAGCCTATTATCGATACGCTGAAGGCGTCGAGGTCGGGCATGGGCAAGGCGGCGTTTCGTAGGAGCTTGGCGAAGGAGATGCCGTATTTCCACGTCTGGTTTGAACTTGATGGTGGGATGGGGCATGTGGTGGAGGATGAGCGGCAGTGGCCGCGGGGCGACTTGTTTGCGCGTGAGGTGCTGGGCGGGATGCTGGATGTTGGTGTTGAGGTGGTGAAGCGGCAGGGGCGGTGGGTCAAGGGGGACCGGAGGGTCGAGGCGTGGAGGAAGGGGTGGCGCAAGTTTGACTGGACGAGGGTGCTTACAGAGGGGTGAAGAAGTGAAGCAAATTAATGTTTGCGCATGGGTATATCGAACAGGTTGTGTTATATTGAGGACACAGATGCGAGCAATCAACGTCTATCCACCCAACAAATTCACCTGCCAGAATCTCTTCAGCTTAATCTATATACATCTAAAGCCAACAAACCCCCTCTCACCCCAACCCATCCCACTCATCCACCCCCAACCCCAACCGCCCCCTCAATCCTCCCCACACACTCCCCAAACCCAACCAACGCATCCAGATCCGTCCCACACACCCCACGAATCGTCACCTCATCCCCATCCTGCAGAAACATGCGCTCCTCGCCGCCGCTCAGCGCAATCGCCCGCTTGCCGTTCTCGCTCTGCTCGATGAAGCTGCCGTACTCGGCGGGCGAGGTGCCGCTGATGGTGCCCGAGCCGAGCAGGTCGCCGGGCCGGAAGGGACAGCCGGTGATGGTGTGGTGGGCGAGCATTTGCGGGAAGGACCAGAGGAGGTTGCGCGCGTTGACGCGGGTTAGTGTTGTTGGGGGGGAGGGGGCAGACGCTGTGGGGGTTTTAGTTGGTTGGTTGGTTGGGAAGAGGAGTGGGAGGGGGTGAGGTGCAGAAAGAAGAAAGATGAAAAAGGGGGCAGTATGAGGAAGTGGGAGGTAAAACAGGGGGTATAACAACTTACTCTTAAGATCAACCTGAAGGTTAATATCATACACAGACCTCTCATCCCTCTCCCTCAAATACGGCAACACGTCCACATCATTGCGCAGTCCCTCAGTCTTAAACGGCTCCAGCGCCTCCGCAAGAACAACCCACGTGCTGATCGTCGTGGCGAAATTCTTCGCATTAAACGGGCCCAGGGGCACATACTCCCAGGCCTGAATATCGCGCGCAGACCAATCGTTCATCAGCACGACGCCGAACAGATTCTGTTCTGCCTGGTCGATCGGGATCGGCACGCCCTGCTCGTTTGAGCCGCACACAAACGCGCCCAGTTCGAGCTCCATGTCGAGTTTTTGGCACGGGGAGAGCGTGGGGACTTTGGGCACGGCGCCGGGGTCGAGCAGGATCTGCCCGTTGGGCCGCCGGATGGGCGTCCCTGAGGGCACGACGGAGGAGGCGCGGCCGTGGTAGCCGACGGGGAGGTGTTTGTAATTCGGCTGCAGGGCGTTCTCGGGCCCGCGAAAGATGACGCCGCAGTTGTAGGCGTGGTTTAGGCCGGCGAAGAAGTCGGTGTAGTCGCCTATTTTGAAGGGGAGGTGTGTTTTCACATCGCTGAGGGGGAGGAGGGTGGCTTTTTGGAGGGTGGGGTTGTTTTTTAAAATGTCTGGGTAGGGGGTGGTGTCGAGGAAGACGCTTTGGATGTACTTTCGTACTATGGAGTGGATGGGTCGGCCGAGGGCTGCGAAGTCGTTTAGGGAGGGCTGCGAGAAGACGGCTTGATGGGGCTGGATTGTTGAGAGGTCTGAGAAGCCGTTGTTTGCTGCGAAGGCTGAGAGGTCGAGAGCATGGTCTCCGATGGCAATTGCTACGCGGGGGGAGGTGGAAGATGCGGTTGATATGATGCCAAATGGAATGTTTGCCAGTGAGAAGTGTGATCCCCGGGGAATACTGAACCAAGATTTGAGGGGAGACATGTTGAAAGACCTGGTGTGGTATTCTTGCTGTGAAGACTGAAATTATGATTTGCCTTGCGAATATCAAACCTCTGTCAACACTGAGATTCAACACAACAAAGCTCAAGGTGTTCGCCAAGCTCGGCGATGCCCTACAACAATGTGTAATTCCGAAACCGTTGTTCCGCACATGTTTTGCACGCCGACACGGCTGGTGACGGAGGTGGATGTAGACGGGGCGCTCGGAAAGGTTCCGCTGTTAACCTCGTGTGGGGTAAGCCGATCGCCCCAAGACGCGGAGGACATCACCACTGACTTCTCCGCTTTCTTCACAAGACGACGGAATTTGAAGCCGCATATTGCCGCCTTCTGCAGCTGCCATGGCTAGGAAGAATATTGTTTATGGTGTGATCCACGCACCCCGCAGACATTCAAGGTCTCGGTCGCATACATTGGAAGCAACTGCAGCCGTGAGCGCGAGGTTTAAAAGAGCTATATATACCGTCAAGAATAGACAATAGACAATCTCGAGGAATTGCTGAGGTCTGATCAAACGATTACCTACGATGCCTTCGACACAATTCGCGTTTAAGGAAAAGTACCAATATCAAAATGGCTTCGGCTCCTATCACGAGTACGCCTCAACCACTGTGCACTTTGTTAGCGACCCACTGACACCATTCCAACAGGTCTGAAGCGGTAGAAGGCGCGCTCCCCATCGGCACCAACTCGCCCCAAAAACCACCATACGGGCTATACGCCGAGAAGCTCTCGGGAACCGCCTTCACAGCCCCCCGCCACGAGAACCAGCAAACATGGCTCTACCGCATCCTCCCCTCATGCGGCCACAGTAACTTCGAGGCGCGCGAATCAAAGACGTTCAACACCAACCCCGAGAACAAGCCATGGGAGAAGATCCACTTCATCCCCAACCAACTGCGATGGGACCCCTTCGACCTCGACGAGTCGGTCGACTGGGTGCACTCGCTGCATCTGGTTGCCGGCGCGGGAGACCCCACGATGAAGACGGGCGTGGGCTACTTTATCTTCGCGGCTGGGAAAGATATGGCGTCGAATGAGGCGTTTTACTCGGCAGACGGCGACTTTTTGATCGTCGCCCAGCACGGCGTTCTCGATATCCAAACAGAGCTGGGCCACATCGTCGTCCGCCCTAATGAAATCTGCGTCATCCCCCGCGGCATCCGATACCGCGTCACGCTCCCCGAGGGCCCCGTGCGAGGCTACATCCTCGAGCTGTACCAGGGCCACTTCCAGCTGCCGGAACTGGGGCCCATCGGCTCCAACGGGCTAGCCAACGCGCGGGACTTCCAAGCCCCCCTCGCCGCCTTCGACGAAGACACATCCACAGAATGGCACATACTGGCAAAATTCGCCGGCCACCTCTACGCAGCAAAGCAGCAACACACGCCCTTTGACGTCGTCGCCTGGCACGGCCTATACTACCCGTACAAGTACGACCTAGGCCGCTTCAACACCATCGGCAGCATCTCCTACGACCACCCCGACCCCAGCATCTTCACGGTGCTAACCGCGCCGTCACCCCACCCGGGCACCGCAGTCGCAGACTTCGTCATCTTCCCCCCACGCTGGCTCGTCGCAGAACACACATTCCGCCCCCCCTGGTACCACCGCAACACAATGTCCGAGTTCATGGGCCTGATCGGCGGCCAGTACGACGCAAAAACAGGTGGTGGCTTCCAGCCCGCCGGCGCCTCGCTGCACAACGTCATGTCTGGCCATGGGCCCGACGCGGCGACGCATGAGAAGGCGTCGAATGCCGAGCTGCAGCCGCATAAAGTCGGCGAGGGTAGTATGGCGTTTATGTTCGAGAGTTACCTCATGATTGGCGTTACGGATTGGGGGCTCAAGACTTGTCAGAAGGTGCAGGAGGATTATAATGCGGAGAGTTGGGCGCCGTTGAAGGCGCATTTTCAGAGACCGGGGCCGGCGAGGATTGAGAATGGGGTGGAGGCGGTGAGGGAGGGGGAGGAGGGGGATAAGGCTACGGTGCCGCATTATACGTAATGGAGATTTTTTGTCCAAGGGAACTATACTTATATCCGTGGACGTTTATTCTAAAATCTGTTGTTGTTGGTTCAGTCTATCGAGTCCTAAAGTCAAGACGAGTACATACCCATACGTTGACCAGTCTCGTCCTTCCCATCCCACACTAATCAACACATCAACATTGGCAAGACTTAACAATGACAAATCCATGTATAACGACACAGACCAAAATATCTGATTTGATTGTGAGAAAGATAGCCAAAAAAACGCCAGGCTATGCATGTAGATAAACAATCCATAACCGACCGCACCGAACCTTTTCAGTCAGTCCAGCCACAACTAACGATGATAATGGTACAAAGATCCAAACGGCCATATATCCAGACCCCTTCACTCCACTCCACTCTACTCCTCATCCTCATCATCATCCACAACCCTCCTCCGCTTCGTCCTACTAATCACCACCTCATCATCGTCATCATCATCCTCAGCAGCAGCAGCCGCAGCATTATGATTCCCGCCGCGACTCCTCTTCGGACTGGGCAAGATGCCATCATCCAGATCATCGTCATCGTCGTCGACGATCTCCGGTTCCTCATCACTCCGCGCGATGAAGTCCGATTCCTCGTCGTAGTCGTCCTCGCGCGTCTTGCCGCTGCGGCCATAGTCCTCGTCGTCGCTCCAGTCGCGGCGTGCGCCCTTTGCGCGGGGCTTCTTGAAGCGCATAGCGCCGACGGCGTCGTCCTCGAGGTCGCCGATGCTGAGGCCCGCGGTGCGCCCGCCGGTGCGGCCGATGGTGCGCGTGGAGCGCTCTGCCTGGCGTGCTTCGTGCTTCTCGCGGGCGCGGGCCTGGCGCTGGCGCTCTTTGAACGTGGCTTCCTCGCGCTGGCGCTGCAGGTCCGGGTCCTCGTTGACGTCGACAAAGGAGATGGCCTGGTCTGCGTCGTCGCGGCCGCGCGATGCGGCGGCGGCGAGGTCGTTTTGCAGTTTCTCCAGGGCGGCGTCTTTGAGGTTTGCGGCGGGCACGACGGTTAGCGATGTGGTGAACTTGTTGGTGACGCGCATGACGTTTGCTTCCTCGTAGGGGGCCACGAGGTACGTGTAGCCCTCCTTCTCGGCCTTGTGGGACTTTGCCTTGAGCGAGGTGGGCGTGGGCAGCTTGGGGTTGACCTGCGGCGGGGCGAGGGTGTTGGCGTCGATGTCGAAGTGGGTCGTGGGGTCGTTTGCGAACTGCAGGGTCAGCGAGCCGTCGGACCAGCGCAGGACGCGGGCGTTGGACTGCAGGTGGGCGTGGTTCGAGGGCGAGCGGCGCCAGCGGATCGTCGACAGGGCCGTGTTGTAGGCGGAGAAGTGCTCCGAGGCGGCGTGGCGCGAGTGGTGGTCCGTCGTCGGCGGCTGGAACGTCTTGTGGTCGAAGGCCGTCTTCTCGAACGAGGCGAAGCGCGGCACCTTGAGCAGGTACAGCTCGCCGTCGCTGGGCTCGGGCACGGCGTGGCGCGCGAGGTCGGCGTCCATGAAGGCGAACGTGTGCTGCTCGCCCTCGCCCTCGTCGTCGACGGGCTCGGGCGCCCTGGCCGCGTCCGCCCGGCCCTCATCGTCGCCCGAGTCGAGCTCTTCGTCGTCGAGCTTGCGCTGTTCACTATATTTATATATTATGTCAGCTGTGAAGGTGCTGACGGGCGCGGGCAACCCACGCTGGCGCCTCTTCATCCGCGTCGGCTCCATCGCCAAAGAGGTCGTCCTCGTCGTCGTCGAGTCCCTTCTCCTCGACTGTGTCGCGCGGTGTCCCATTCTCCTCAATTGCGGGCGGGGGCGTCAGTCCTGCGGCATCGTCGTCTGAGAGGCCCGCGTCGGACATGGTCGCGGTCGGACAGCTCCTTGGTCTTGGTCTTGGTCTTGGTCTTGCTCCTTCTCTTTCTCGTGCTGGTCGGGTCGGGCGCGCAGGGATGGTCGACGCGCAGGTAACGATCGAACGCGATAGCGGTGAGAGGACGGGACAGGAAACGACGCGCAATCGACTCGCTCGTGGACGGGCAGACGTGACGGAACAAAGTCCCAAAAGTCGCAGCCAGGCGCGCTTGCGTCCATCGGGAGTAGCGCGGGCCCCTGCTGCTATGCAGATGGCAGCGGGTCCAAAAGTTCGAGACAAGTCACCATCAACCTCCCCTCTGGCCTCTCTGGCTTCTGCATATCTTTCCTGACCGCCCAGCCCGCTACTTCTCTGCACTCTGCACATCTTCGGGCACATCTCCCTCCCCAACTGCCGCCCATCATGGCGTCCTTCTTCTCCAGCGTGTGAGTGCTTGGCATCCCCCCCAATGCTCCCCCGTCCACCACCCCAGCTCGTTGCATCTTTCATATCCCACCCCCAAGCTCGCCGCTTTGTTTTGTCTTGCTCTCACATCTCCCTGCTGGCACGCCGCCGATTTCGGACTATCGACTTTGCCTTATCCTAACTCGCCTAATTAGACGTCAAGGACTGGCTGGCCGTTCAAACAAGAGCAACAACCAGCAACAGCAACAACAACAACAGCAACAGGGGGGCAAGACTGGCACTCCCTCGCCCACTGCTCAATACTCTGCATCTCCCACTTTCCAGCAGCCTTCCAGTGTCCCTCCCATGCCCCATTCGCCTGCACAGTCTTCTGCAATGTCGTATGAAGGTCCGTCGGAAGGTTCCGCCCAATCTGGCTCGCGCAGACCGCCTTTCTTCTTCCGCGAGGAGTACTCCAACTTGATCGTCAAGGGCAACTTTATGACTCTGGCTGCCAAACCAAAGCTTGTTGAAGAGGGAGAATGGCTTGCACATCAAGGTATGCTAATCTCTCAAATAAATCATGTCGACTTGTGCTGAACATGTGACCAGTCGTTGAGCAGTACCGCCTACTCGAGCAAATGATCGATGTCATCAAGGTAATAGACGACCGAACAGGCAAGCCCATCTGCAACCCAGACGTCTGCCCAACCATGTCCGCCAGCGGGTAAGTTCATCTCCACGCCCACATCACCCTACAGCGACTAACACCCCCCCTCCAAAGCCACACCTACACCTGGCTAGACAACCAAAAGAAGCCCATCAAAATCCCCGCCATCCAATACATCAACCTCGTGCAAAAATGGATCGTCGGCAAGATCAACGACTCAACCCTCTTCCCCACAGACACCACCTCCGTCACAATGGCCGCCCCAACCTACGCCTCAGGCTCCCTCGGCACCGCAAACGCCGCGCCCCAACCCCTCGGCCCCACCAGCCTCGACGCGCCCCTCTCCCAGCTCGCCGGCCGCGAATGGATGGGCAAATCCTCGGGCTTCCCAGAGTCCTTCGAGAGCGACCTCAAGAGCATCTACCGCCAGATGATGCGCTGCTACGCACACATCTACCACGGCCACTGGCTCGACCCCTTCTGGAACGTCAGCGCTTACAAGGAACTCAACACCTGCTTTATTCACTTTGTTAACGTCGGCTTGCTGTTCAAGTTGATTGGTGACAAGGAGATTGAGCCCATGCAGCCTTTGGTCGATCTTTGGGCGGAGAAGGGTCTGCTTCCCCCGGCTGTCAAGGAGGTCGTGCCCCCGAGGAGCTCCGGTGGTCCTCCCGCGACGGCCTCTTGATGTGCGTGTCTTGACAAGGACACCGCTTGGACTCGCTGTTTGATATGGCAGAGTGGTGTGTCGGACTTCATAGGGTGCATCTATCTCGCCATGTCTTTTTTTTTCATTACATGGTATAACGGAGTACATGGGATTGGGCGTTCAAGGGCTCAGATAAGGAATGAAACTATCTTGCATGGAACAATAGATACCTAACGCTTTGACGAAAACCGACCCTAAAGTTATCGATTTTCGCCTTGCTTTTTTTTCCCATGGGCGTGTTTCATTTCGAACTCCTGAATGCTTATATCCGTTCCAGTACTTTCAATCAATCACTTGTCAAAACATGTTTCAAAACCCAACACACACACGCAATCGTCTATACTAAGAAGAGACTCAAATTGGGGGATGATAGCATGTAAATTAACCAGAGAGACAGTACTTGTTTCCGTTTGAACCACAGCAGCTCACGCAAACTCCAATGGTGAAAAGGAAATGCGTCCGTTCCACCATCCGGTTGGAAAACACTCAATCAAATGCACACTTTCTTCCGACATCGTTGCTTCACTAAGGCATGGCGAGGACCAGCCACACACGAGGTTTTTCATCATCATACATCTGGACTTGCAGACGTCGACGTCGACAGCTCGCTACGTATATCGAACGTGGGGATACCTTAGTTGTGGCCAGCCTTGCGGAGAGAGTTGCTCAACCATTCGAGACCCTCGTACAGACCGTCACCCGAGGTGGCGCAAGTCGACTGGATGTACTGTGCACAGTATTAGCTTTGCACTTTATAGAGCGGCAGTCGAATCCACATACCCAAGCACGTTGTCGGAGGCTGTGCAGACCAAGCTTGTCAGTAATCTCGGCAGCGTTCATGGCGTTCTGAGGGTATTGTAAGTCATGTTTGTCCGCTTTGACCATCAGTTCCTAAAACATACGGGCAAATCCTGCTTGTTCGCAAAGACCAGGAGAAGAGCGTCCCTAAGCTCATCCTCGTTCAGCATGCGCTGGAGCTCCTCGCGGGCCTCAACAACACGATCGCGATCGTTGCTGTCAACAACGAAGATGATACCCTGGGTGTTCTGGAAGTAATGCCTCCACAGAGGTCGGATCTTGTCCTGACCTCCGACATCCCACACAGTGAACTGAATGTTCTTGTACTCGACTGTCTCGACGTTGAACCCTGAAATCTACTGTTAGCGCAACGTTCGTATACTCGTAATCATGCAGGGGCTCGACGTACCAATAGTGGGGATGGTAGTGACGATTTCACCAAGCTTGAGCTTGTACAGAATTGTGGTCTTTCCGGCAGCGTCCAAGCCCACCATCAGAATGCGCATCTCCTTCTTTCCCCATAGCTTATCGAAAAGCTTCGAGAATGTGAGACCCATGGTTGCGGTGGGTGTAGTATGTGAGAAAGGGTGTGGTGTGAGGCGGTGAGTAGACTCTCGAACCTGCAACGCCGAGTATTAGTACCAGATAGAGAGACGTGGTGTCGTGTCGTGTCGTCAACGGCTAGTAAGGAAAGTAGAGTGGGCGTGGTATGGGCGGGTGTATCTTGAGCGCCTGATGCGGCATCGAGGGTTGGGGCGTCTGGGATCGCTGACCAGACCAGACACCCGCCAAGGATAAACAAAGTCGGAGAGGGGTGCGCGGGGCAGTAGCGATTGACTTACGGTGGAGTTCAAGAGAGCCGGTGCTGGTTGAAGATGGTGCGGGTGGGTTGACGATGTAGTCTAACTGATGCACAGGAAGGGCTGGGGAGAAGAGACGTTGAGAGCAGGCGACGAAAAAGTTGGCACGTGCGGGAGACACGTGACAGAGCGCTTATCGAATCTCTGGCTGAGTTGCGGTGAACAGTAGAGCGTCAATCTCTTGCGAGTTTGCGCCTTCTTTTATGACGGCCGCTGACGATATTGACACGTTTTCGCTTCCTCCTGAGCGGAAAACGGAAGCGTAGGCAGCAAGTTAATTGTCTGGGGCGATCTCTTTAGCTGCCCCAGGATTGCGTGAGCTCGAGTGCTCCACCTGCCCGCGCTATGAACTGCGGACAGACCGCAGTGTTAAAACAGACGTCCAGCAAAGAACGCGACAGCGGGAACATATTTTCTCTGTTCCATATCAAGTACAGTCGTAACGGACACTGCTTGGAACGGGTTTCCAACTACGTCGTCTCCGTCTGCAACCTCATTCGAAGCAATGTAGCATCCTGTAGGCAACAGCAATTGAGAACAGCACGAGCACTTTCGAGCTGATATCACTTCTGTTCATAGCTCATCGAATCAAAGCATGAAGCATATGTAGCGTGTACACGTTATGTTGTACCCGATCGAAGTAAGCCACTTGTTACCTGTTGGCATCTCTCAAGAAGTTCACGAACCAGTCAAAGATATCCTACAAGTGACTCTCGCCGTTAAAAAGAAGGATATTGCTTTTCATGATAAGAACGGCAAACCGAAGTTTATGCTATGAAGAGTTGTTGATGTGGAGAGACACTGTCCGAGATGTAGAAGAGTGACACTGATCGATTGACTCTCCCATCGCTACATCCCACCAACAATTCTCAAGAAGTCCCTCCACAGTCCACGGCCACCAAAGAAACCCCATCACTCCACCTCAATCGACAGCAATATCTTTTCGAACTCGTCGTTAATCATCAGAATCTTCATTTCGGCGGCGGCCTACTCCAAACCAGTCAGCACAATGATTTCCACCAACGAGCCCAGATATCCAGCCCAGCGCAACCCTTACGAAAAGTCCCCCCAAGCCTGTCGCGCAGCATGCGCATCAACTCGGACATCACGGGTCCAGTACCGAGTTCGCGCTGCGTGTACAGCACGTGCACCCATGTGTTGCTCGCGCTGGGGCTGTCGTAGACGATGAGGTGCGCGCGGTACACGAAGGCGCTGGGTTGGGGCGATGCGGGCGATGAGGGCGATGTGAGCTCGCGACAGAAAACAACGTCGAAGGTTGCGGTTGGGGAGTAGCTGACGCCGAATACTGCGCGGGCGTGGGCTGCGCGGAGATGTCAGTGTGGTAGGTGGGTTGGGAGGGGAGGACGTACAGATTATTTGGGCCTTCATCTCCTTCTCCCATTGTAGGGCCACGAGGTGATCTGCGACTGACATCATCTGCGGATGGGACGCAATCTGGCGGGGAGCGATCTGGCGGGGATGTACTGAAGTGTTGATAGTGGGAAATAACGGTACGTGGGGAGGTGCTGGGGGATTTGGAACCTCTGGGGCTACGCCGTTGGTCAAGGGGATTTCGAGTCGGTCGATATCCATGTTGTTGGTATGGATAGCGTGTAGCAGTGATAGAAGTTGGGTGGTGATGCTCTGTGAGGAAGAGAGATGTTTGACAGACGGAAGTGCGGGATGTAAGTCTGGTGATGTGGTGAGGAAGGGGACATGGTGGATATGTCGAGGGAAGGGGTGAGTGCAGTGTAATGACTTTCTAGGTTGGGGGTAAGTGCAGGAACTACTGGATGGGAAGTAAGTTTGGACGAAGCACTGCGTTACGGTTGTAGACTGTCAAAGGGAATAATTTAACTATTTAAGTTTTACTACTAAGACTGGCAAGAGGCAAAACGCTTGGGCTCGATTCAACTTTCTGCATACAAAGTAGACAGTTGTGTGGCCTTTGAAGATCATACAATCGAGAGTAAAGGTCAGGAGAGCAGTGGAATGGTCCACCGTGAAGGCGGTCAAGGATTTGAAACGATGAAGCAAGCCTTGCCAAAAGGACCAGAAGGTTCTCAGATGCCCTTACGAGAAAGGCGATGGAAGATACAACATTCCCCCTGCCACTAGTCAGTTCCACGTGTTTTCCAGACCCAGTCACGGAAACTTACCGGCCATCTGCTCGGCATGCTCCCGCCACCTGCGATAAAACAGCTCCAACGCCTGCTGCTCACTCGCTCCCATCTCGCCTTCGTCTAGCAACTCGTACTCGTGATGAATATCCACAGGAATGGCGACTAAGGCTACAGGATGGTATCCGGTGCGGGTATAATTGACATTTACACTAAAAGTGCAGTCAATAGTGAACCTGGAACCGTACAGAAGGCGAATTAGATCTGCATGGACGTTAGCTAGGAAACGCTGCATGATCCAAGATCTTGAATGCGTACCAAGGATCAACTCCTTCAATCTGTTGATCACGCTAACATCATCGACAGGAGCCATGGCTGAGTGGAGTGGATGTGTCTCGAGATGAGTTCCGCTTGAGTTGAGGATAAATTTTCAGAACAGTAGATTGCCTTAGTGTTATATACCTAAAGGTCTTAGCATGCCGAAACTTTCAGTGAAACTCGCAGTGAGACGTGTAGCAAGAATCGCATTGAAAGGCGAATTACAAAGCAAGCTTTTACTTTCACATGCCGTACAGCGTGAAGGGTTGCTATCATTTATTCGCCTATCGATACATAATGATTTCTAGCCACTCTTGAGGTCGTCTTTCTTAGCTTGTGGGATGTGACCAGTAAGATATAGTTCTTTACAGGGCGTGTGGCTACCAAAGAAGCGCCGAGATATGTTCGCAGGTATCACAATAATCCATAATCCGCCAGAATTAGACTGCTGAATGGAAAGAAACTCTGTTTCCAGACGAGATTCTCAGACGTCCTTGTGAGGACAGCGGTGGGAGATGTTGATGAAGTGAGTAACCTCTGGTGATATAGAACTGGAGGGCCCTATTGTCAAGCATCAGGATTTCTAACCTTCACGCCGTTGTAGATCCATCCCTCGCCCATTTTGTCTATGACTAGTCAGTTCCGCATGTTTTTCAGGCACAGTTATGGGAACTCACTAGTTACCTGGTCCACCTGACCCTGCACTTTACGATACAGTAACTCTACTGCCTGCTGTGTGCTTGATCCTGTATCACCTTCGACCAATAGCTTCCACTCTGCGTGCGATCCTGGATGAATGTAGACGATTGCCTGGGCGTTGTACTCGATTTCGTTGAGAGTGCCCCCAGAATGGAAACGGCTCGTGATCACACTGAAAGTGCAGGCAGAAGCATACTTGGGGCCATACAAAGCTTGGACTTGGTCTGGGTAGGTGTTAGAAGATATCGTATCCTTGAAAGAAAGTTTGGGTGTTTACCAAGAATCAGCTTTTTCAACTTCTCGATCACTTTGATTTCGTCGACACGGGCCATGATTGGGTAGATGCTGGTTTTTGGAAGAGGGTTGTTGAAGTTGAAGGTCAGATCGTGATGGTCGTTGTTTATATACCCAAGGTTTTAGCATGTGGAATCTCGCGGTGAATGGCGAATTGCAGGCTGAGTGAGTGAGTTTGAACGTTGGCATGTTGAACATGGTAAATGCTTGCTGAGACTCTTGCTTGTACATCTTGACGTTAGACATTACCACGTAAACGATCATTTATCCATGAATATTGAATTGTTCCTTTAGTTTTTTAAGGTTGCCTTCTTGAGCTCAACCTGATCCATCTCATGAACCAGCGGGGTGCAGCTATTGGGGGTATAGTTGTGAATGACAAGCTAATAACTACGCTACAGCAGCACACTCAACCCATGATGTCTAAGAGTAAGACTGATGAATGGAAAGAAGCTCTGTCCTCAGACGCAAGCGTGTGCTTGTCTGGAGGCGTGATTAGGTAATACTCGGACGGAGTTTCCATCCAGATATCGCCGACGGACTTCTCAGAGCTCCGCCGCCATGCCCGTCATCACTCTCCAAACTTCACAATGGCGTCGCGCACCCGACTGGCAGCCTCCACGGCTTCCAGCTTACTACGAACCACACGGCCAACAACTTTCTCAAGGATAACGCCGTGTGCTGCTGCTCTGAGCACCTCCTCTATCCGCAGCTTCTCGCAGCTCAACTCGCATTCCGCCACGAACCCTGCCAGCGTCTTCTCCTCACCTGGTGGCTCCCAATCTGGACCTCCTACATACTTCTCATCACATAAGCGCACTCCAACAAACACCGTCATCCGGTTCGTACCACAGCAGACAGCATGGATCGTCGAGCGTATGGGAAAGTTCAACCGCATACTGGAGCCTGGTCTTGCTGTCCTGATCCCGTTTATCGACCGGATAGCCTATGTCAAGAGCTTGAAGGAGAATGCCCTGGAGATCCCTAGCCAGAGCGCCATCACCGCGGACAACGTGACACTGGAGCTTGACGGTGTTCTGTACACGAGGGTGTTTGATGCATACAAGGCGAGGTAGGCTTTTCAGTGTAGGGATGCGCTGGTACAGAAGTGTATGCTGACATGACACAGCTACGGTGTCGAAGACGCCGAGTACGCCATCTCCCAGCTCGCGCAGACGACCATGCGATCCGAAATCGGTCAGCTCTCGCTCGACCACGTCCTGAAAGAGCGCGCCAACCTAAACGCAAACATCACCGCCGCTATCAACGAGGCAGCTCAAGACTGGGGCGTCACCTGCCTGCGATACGAGATCCGCGATATCCACGCACCAGAACCCGTCGTCGAAGCTATGCACCGCCAGGTCACCGCCGAGCGCTCGAAGCGTGCTGAAATCTTGGAGTCAGAAGGTCAGAGACAGTCTGCTATCAACATCGCCGAGGGAAAGAAGCAGTCGGTCATTCTTGCATCTGAGGCTTTGAGGGCAGAGCAGATCAACTTGGCAAACGGAGAGGCTGAGGCTATTCTGCTGAAGGCCCAGGCTACTGCAGGTGGTATCGATGCCGTTGCGCAGGCGATCACAAAAGGAGAAGGCGCTGCACAGAACGCTGTCTCGCTCTCTGTTGCAGAGAAGTACGTCGACGCCTTCGCAAACCTGGCCAAGGAGGGCACAAGCGTTATTGTTCCTGGCAACGTTGGGGACATTGGCAGCATGATTGCCAGCGCCATGGCAGTGTACGGCAAGGTCAATGACGCGTCAGCCAAGAACATGGCGACAAAGATGGTACAAGGCGGAAGCCAAGATACTCAAGCCAACAAGAGGATCGCGGACTCTGGAAGCGAAAACAGAACTGGCGGGGTACATGAAGAGATCAACAAGATCATGGATCAACGACTGAACAAGAAGTAAACGCACAGTACGAGCAAGACTAGATCAGTTGCATAACCAGGGAAGGAGAATGGAGCATCGGACAGGATACGACAGGGTTGTACATTATGTCATGCTGTATCACTAGCGAGCGTCATGTAAGCATTGGGTTCATGGGGTATGAAATGCAAAAGCAAGCGATTTCACGGATTCTCTTCTCTTTGCCGCAGGGATTTGGCTGGAAGCCAGTGTCTTCTCAGCGAGTCTCCCCTCTTCTTGCGCAGAAACTCTACACTCGAACAATAGTAGAGAATAGACTACTTGGACATCTCATCACTACCATGGAATGTGGGAGGACTTGCGCCTTGCCCAACCCCCAGTGCCAAACCCAAGTCCAAACACCCTACAAGCACCCTACCCCCTCACCCTAACCTCTCCACAACCTCCCCAACCAACCGCGCAATCTGCCCCCCATCCTCCCAAATCCAATCATGCCCCCCCTTCAAATCCCTAACCTCCAGCACCCTCCCCCCCTCCCGCTCCTCATCCCCATCCTCCATGACAATCGACCACCCCTGCCTATCCAGCGCAACACACATAACATCCCGCTGCGCGCGCTCGATAAGCTCGTCATCATAGCTATGCGCCAGTATCATCAGCCTGCCCTCAGGCCACGTCTGGGTAGAGTATTTCCCTGCGACGGGCGATGCGGGGAGGTACGCGGAAGCATCTGCCCCGAATGCGCCGGCGATGAAGGACGCATAGATTGCGGCGATGGGAGCTGGACAGGCGGGCGGGACGTGGTTGGCGAGGAGTAATGGGATGTTGTATATGCCTGCTATGAGGATCAGGGACTCAGGGCGTGTTGTGTTTCCATGGTCGATGCCGATGCCCGCGACGTGTTGGAGCAGCAGTGTTGCTCCGCACGAGTGGCCGACGCCTATCCAGCGCTTTACGCCGTAGTTTTGCGCGAGGTACTCTAGGCCGAGGGCGATGTCGCGGACGTGTGTTGGGTGTTGCGCGGTGCGGTTTGGGTCTGTGGGCGAGCTGGGGTCTGTGGGGTGCGTGGAGTAGGGCGAGAGACGGTAGTTTAGGGAGGCTATGCCTGCGATTTTGGGGGGGAAGGGGGAGGAGAGGTGCTTGATGGTGGGTTCAACGCATCGGGCGTCTTGGGTGGGGTCGCGCCAGGCGCCGCCGTGGATGTAGCTGCTTCATGATTAATGTTGTGCTGTGATGCTTGCTGGTTTGACGAATTGGTAGAAATGATGTTGTATGATAGGTAAGGGTTGGAGGTGGGGATGGTGGATACTTACACAATCCATATCGAATTGGTGGGATCTGACTGTTCAAGTGGCCGAGGAAGCCATATGTCAAGTGTTTGAAGGCGATTCCCAGAATCGCTATAAGGGATCGAAGGGATGTGTCTGGGGTAAACGGGAGCAGAGCCGGGGTCAGCGTTCGTCGTCATGTTTCACGATAAGAGAGACGAGTTGATGTGTAGTGGGGGTTCTTTGAACTTCAAGCCTCACTGCATAAGAGACCCACAACATGGACAAGAATGTTGATTTGAACGTGGCAGTATATTGATTTTTTTGCACTTTCAAACGACTTGAAGAGCTGTTGCTCAAACTATTACTTCCTATCCCTACTCATTCCAAAGCCATACAGGCAAAAACCAAGCGCCGAGAAAATGCGACGCGATCCAAGGTATCTCAAACAAAGTACGATAATCCTCAACACAACGTCACCATCAAAAACAATTCAACTCTTACATGACCTAACCACCGGACCTCTCATGTGCGATGCCACGCGACGTGAGTGCACGGTGTATATGTGCCGTGTTATCTCAGTGCAACACCAAGAGCTTACTCAAACCACGCTTACAAGAACGCGGCCATGAGAGCACCGAAACCAAGGAGGCCACCCGCTGCGACCTGAACGTTGGAAGCAGCACCCTGGGAGCTCGATGCGGAACCGGAGCCAGTGGCAGAGCCGGAAGCAGAGCCGGACCTGGTCGCGGCTCCAGAGCCAGAAGCACCGCTGCCAGTTGCGGTGGCAGCAGAACTGGTGGGAGCGTTAAGGATAACGGTCGTGCTGCTGTCGGCGCTGACAATGTAGGAGATCAGGCTGGTGTTGTTGCCGCCGGCGGGGAGAGGGATGGTCCAGATACCGGGAGCAACGGCGGGGATCGAGGCAGCGACACCGACATTGGAGGCAGCGACACCGACGTTGGAGGCAGCAGCGGGTTGCGAAGTGATCACAGATGGCTGGGCGGTGGCGGCAGCAGGACCACCGGTAACCACACCCAGGGAGTTGGTCTGGGTGAGGTAGTTGGTCTGAGGAGCAGGGTCGATGGAAGACTGTGTAGTGTTAGTTCCGTCTTATGAACATTCAGGTATGATAAACGTACCGACTGGGCAACAGCGGCACCAGCAAAAGCAGCAACGGAGACGAAGATGGAGGAACGCATTTTGCTTGTTTGTTTGGGTAGTGATTAAAACTTAGAGTGAAACTGTGCGAGTATTCCTTTTGGTGGTATTAAAACGATAGTCGAGGCGGGTAGTCCGGTATAACGACAGTATATAGATGTATGTGTTGAAGTGATGGGTGAGAGAAAAGCCATTCGTCGCCCAGGGGAACGCGCCCTTTTATTATTGCTTTCACCCGCACCCCAGAAAATGGACCAGGGGCAATGCCCTAGCAACCGCGCCTCACCCAAAGGAGCGCGCCCTGCAGGGATTATAGTTCAAGCCAAGACCCACCGTGCCGAGAATAGCAGCGAGCCAGACAGTCGTTGCTTGCGATGCTTACCACTGTGGCCACTGACAAGCCCACATTTTCCATTGAATCGACCAGATCTTAGCCGCATGATCAATTACCTAGTTTGAGGCTGTGATGGGGAACTCGGAAGAGACCGAAGTCTCTCAAGATCCGCTGCGTGAACGGACTTGCCACGCGGGTTTCAGAGTCTCTCGCAATGTTCCACACACGGGCATTCTGTGGAAACACCTCGCATCTTTTGATGTCACGTTCATACCATTCCCGCTCATCCAGACGATCCTCATAAAACATCGAGCCGAACCAGAACAATTCCACCAGCTGAAGCAAAGCCACTCTTCCAGCCGCAATCGATAACAACGCTTTCTAGCTCGCCTTGCCCCCGCCAAACCCACCGCCTGTTGGAGAGGCAAAATCTATTGTGCGCTACAATTTACTAAATTTAGTCTTCTGCGTTTCTCGTGTTCGTAAGATTCGTCATTTGATGTAGTTAGGGTTACTGACAGGGGACGGAAGGTAAGCGAAATGGGTGATATTCTTGCCCTCCCTTTTTCCGTGACACGACGTTTGAGTTTGAGTTTGTGAAGCGAGTCTAGATGAGCTGAGATCTGCAGAGAACCGTGACTGTGTCTCCGCCGAGTTGTTCTGTGGAGGAAGAGCTGAGCACGTCAGCCCTATTGCCGCCCGACTCAGCCCCTGGCCACTGCCGAGACATGCCATCACGCTATGGTAGTCTTTCGCCTTTTTATGCACCGCTTCTTCGCAGCAACATCAGTAACAGTGAATCATTCAAAGCTATTCTTACTCCGGGACTGACGGGGCATATGTCCGATTGCTGGTGGATCTCGCCAGAGTGGTCGAAGTTGGAGCCTGCCGGTTACTAATAGCACGCCATGAGATAGACAATGTTGCGTGACACAGCTACTACTAACTCTGCGGTCTCACGTGGTATTCGACACTCTATCGAAAGCAACATCCTTCCCAAGTCTCCGACAGGTCGTCTGGGAACCATCATACAAGTCGGATTTGCTACTTCTTGAACCTCGTTCTATTCATTCCTATGCCTATTAGGGCATGTCACTGATTGACATTGAGAAATTGATCAACGGTGATGCTCAGACGTGCACAGTTCAATGAACAAGATCTACTTGCACTTCGTAATGATCCTCATATCGTACAAAGACCAACAGTTTTCTCCACTTTCAACCATTGCAACCAACGTGCATCTACAGGATCTCGTTGATGAACCGAGCTTGATCCACACTCCCCTCAAGGCCACCCAACGCACATCTCGTGGGCCATCTGAGCTCATCAATAATATCCCCAAAATCATCGACACCAAGGTATTTCGGGCGACCTCAATTGGGCGTTTCCCTCCACATACTTTGACATATTTGTCAGAACTTCTCATAAACAGGATGTGAAACGAGCTTCTTGCGTGTTACCCTCGGAAGGTCTGCGAGCCATAGGCTAGAAACTTTGCGGTATCTAATCAAGGTTCAGTTCGACCTTGATGGCCGCCGAATAATGGGTATATTGATGGTCTACAGTACAGCATCCGGTTGCTCGTCGATACCCTGGTAAAACAAGGATAGTTCTGGATACCGAACACTGCGAGCGTCATACTCATTCCTGATCGCCTTCCATAACCCACCGTTCAACCTATTGGAACGATTGTTGAGAAGTATTCGCAGATCATACCGCGCAGTCCTTGGAGCAGCACAGTGCAGGGCTTCACTGTGAACTTGCCGAAACTTATGTACACGCACTTCGGGACCGCGATTTTGAGTGAACCAAATAGAACTTTTCGCCCGTCAGCCAGCTACTTTACCACCATACAAACCTTTCTGATAATGAGCCTGAACTGACTTTCTCCTAGCACCTCCTCATCAACCACTGGACTCCCTTCATCATCTCGTACTATGCCTTTTCGGCCTTGATACTAGGAGAAATATCACCCACACCAACCGTTCACGATGATCACACTAAAACAAACTCTGGTATCTATATAAATTTACATTACTTTTATCTAATATCCAACCTCCACATCCTCCACCGTCCATACATAAAAGCCCAAACTCCTGACTCCAACACCCTCGAGACTCTTCCCCCCTTAGCAAACGCGCCCCACAGAACCCAAAAGTCCTAACTCCCCTCATCACCAGACTTCCACACCTCTCCTCCACTGCCACGTTTCAATGTCTGGAATAACCCCCATACGAGCGACTCAAGCCCCTCCCAACCACCTCCTTAGCACTCGTAGGAAGTCTGAGGCGCGGGTTGTGCGTTTCGATTTCTCGCATGCGAGCGCGAGTATTCGCAGCGGCGATGTCGGACCTGGTACGCGGTTTGCTGGGGATATGCTCTTGCGGCGAAGATTCGTTCTTCTGAGTCGGACGTGCGTGGGTGGAGTCGAGAGCCTCGGGGTTGGGGATAGGAGGGCTTGGAGATGGGTTATCAGAAGTGGATAGTATCACATCTGCAGGACTGTCGACGTCCTCCGCAAAGACATCATCTATCTTGGGGAAAGACACAACCTGATCCTTTGCTTCGGAAGACTCGACTCGAAGAGATGGCGAAACTTGAGCTGCGTCGATGACATCCGCATCGACAAGTCGAGGAGTAGGCATGACCGCGTCTCCAGACTCGGAGGTAGTTTGAGACCAGGGGGGCACAGAATCCACGCTGAAGAACTCGGAGAGCGATACGGGTTTCCCGGCCAGGGCTGGTGGTAGAGTCTTGACTGGCGTAATAACGGGTAGTGAAAAGCCGAATGCTGGAACGGATGGGTATTTGCTGATTTGTGTTAGTCGGTGATTGCATTTGGTTTGAGTCATTTTTGGCTTACATGTCAGTTGTCCTTTGGTCGAACACTTTGGGAGACTTGGACGCCCAACGACTACCAAGTAGACCTGGCATCTTGAATGTCTGGGTTTGATTGTGGCCTTTGAGGTAGGAAGAGAGTCGTTAGTAGAGAAATCGAAATGGGGAGGATTATACTGGTGACAATCGGGGTGACTTGGACCAGAAAGAGACTAAAACTGCAGAAGTTGAAATCCAAAGGAAGTAATCATTAGGAAGCGAAAGACCGAGTAAAGTATACCCGACATACGAAGGAACGGATCCATTCCGTACAGGTGAGTGGAAGACATACAGACAGTAAGTCGCATCTGTAGAGTCCGAAGACGTGATAGAAGGCAGTAAGTTTAGCAAAAATCAAAGAAAAGTGAAACAGGTAGGAAACTGGGCGGACAGTGTGATAATTCTGTTCCGAAAATAATTGTTGAAATCACTGCCAGTGTTCACCTGAGAGCCAATCCACAACCACCAACTCCCCCAGATCCACATCACTGCAATCATCTCGAACCCCTTACCACCATCACCGCCGCCCCCAACCCCGCAATCTACCACTTCTCAACAGCAGGCCTCAGATCAATCTCCCAAGTAAAGTTAGTCTTAGGCTGCGTATGCAGCCACCAGTAATCGTTCGCAATCTACACGTCCACATCAGCCCAACTCCCTTAATCACACCACAAAAAAACCAACATACCGCATCAGCGCTCAACTTAGCCTCAGACGGCATATCCTTCAGCCACTCCTTCGTCTTCGGCGTATCAATAACACCATCAATAATCGCATGCGCAACATGCACACCCTGGGGCCCAAACTCCTTCGCCAGACTCTGGCTCAGCGCGCGCACCGCCCACTTCCCCGTCGAAAAGCTCGCCATCAACGCGCTGCTCTTAACCGACGCCGTGGCGCCCGTGAAGATCAGAGACGGCGGATGCTCGGCCTTGAGTTCCACGCCTCTGAGCAAGAGGGGCAGGAAAGACTGCGAGAATAGTACCGAGCCCATGGCGCTAACGGCGAAACTATCCTGGAACGCAGACCCGGGGATTTCAAGGAAGGGTTTGCGCAGAAAGCCGCCGCTTGCGTTGAAGATTGCGGCTGCGGCGCCGACGTCCGGGCCGAATTCTTTCTTGATTGCTTCGACGGCGTTCTTGAGGCTTGAGGAGTCGGAGACGTCGGTGCTGATGCCGATTGCTTTGCCGCCGTTGGAGTTTATTTCTTTGGCTAGGGACTCGAAGCTTTCTGGCTTGCGGGCGAGGAGGACCACGGGGTATGCGGATGCGAATTTGCGGGCTACGGCGGCTCCGGTGCCGGGACCGACGCCGGCGATGATGGAGATGAGTTTGGAAGCCATGGTGGTGTTGTGGATAGCTGGAGGATGTTGAAGTAGATAGTGGATTGTTTAGCCTGGGAAGGGGGAACAGAAAACTAGTTATAAGAAAAGGAGCTTTAACTGAGACTATTCCACTGCTTTGTACCTAGAGGATTATCTGATAGTTGTATGGATCGCAATCCCAGGTCAAGATGGCGAGCACATGGAGTTAGTGAAGTGGGGTTCACGTCATGATTTATAAGCACGTGATTATAACGCAGGTTGTTGGACTTTGGCAGTTGATCTTATTGGTATGTTGTCGTTGCTTCGTCGGGATATTCGCTGTGTCTACGTTTTGGTCATGTCTCATCCACTACGACCCGCTATGCCGGTCACGCTCTTCCTGCTCGTCCCACCTGAAGTATCTCACCCGTAAGCTTGTCGTCACTCCTCAATACTGGCCAGCTGGTACCGTCTGCCTTTGCGAGCGTCATCTCCAGCTTGGTGCCCAAGATCCTGAACTTGCTTTCCTTTGGATCGATGCTGGCGAAGAGTGGAAGCTGGGTCTGGTAACGTTTGTTGTCTGTTGTCCGTAGGTCGAGATCTACTTGGGTAGGTTGAAAGTCGACAACTGCAGTGGACTTGTCGATCTTCTTGAGGAACAGTGAGGCGACCACGGAAGTGGCGGTCTGGTAGAAGTCATGTCTACGTAACAGTCAGTCATATGCGACTCGATGTAGAAAGCAACGTCCTTACCTCACAGTCTCCAACTTTTCCTCTCCACCCTCCTTGCCCTTCTTACCACTCCCCACGAAGAGATGCCTCTCTTTTGTCTTGCATCCTTCGATGTTCATGAACTGATCAAACTCCAGCACCCGTCTCTTGCAGCAACTCCATCCCTTGCTGCCTTCGTGGAAGATTGGAGCGCCAGGGTGATGTACACACTTCTCCCCTTCCCTATCTCCACCATTGTGTGTCTGACCACAGCCCTTCCTCCTGCAGGTCATGCCTTCCTTGAGCGCGAGGCTTGGGTCATCGTCCTCTGACTCTGGCGGCGGAGCTTCTGCGACTGGTGGACGAGGGGCGGCCTGTGCGGTAGGAAGACGAGGAGCGGGCGTTGGCAGCGATTCCTCCAACGAGCCAAGGTTGACTTGTGTGCCATTGGGGACCTCAGGCGCCTGGGCAGGTTCTGGTGCCGGTGTGTCGTCGACGTCGGTGTGAGTGCCCTTTGTGCAGGGCTCGATTTCGAGGAACTCGTCAAAGGTCAGGACGCGGGGTTTGCAGCATTTCCAGCCTGTATTGAACAGTCAGCTTCACGTGTCGTGGGTTAGAACATCCTGTCCCGCCCTCACCTTTCTGCCCCTCATGGAAGACTGGCGGTCCGGAATGGTAGACGCACTCCTCGTTCTCGTCTTCGTATGTCTTGCCGCAGCCCTTGTGCACGCACTTTTTCGCCATGTTTGGGGAATATGATATTGAGCGGCGTGGTGAACTGTTGCGCGTTGCTTGTGTTTGTGTTTGTGTTTGTGCACGCACCGAACATTCTCGAACGATGTCATCGGCCAGGGCTTAGCGTCGGCTAAAATTAAGCTCACTTTGGGGTTGTAAGGCTGGTGCTCCTCCACACTCTCGACGTTGGCATCCAATTATCGTACTTTCGAGAAACACTCACCTTAGCTGTGCATAAACACCATGTTCCGTGCTACATCTCGCCTCCGTGAGTGCCGCATAACTTTCTTCACTCGGAGTCCATGCGGTCTGTGTGATTCGGCGAAAGCAGTTGTCCAGAATGTAAAAGCAAAAAGACCTCTGGAATACAAGGAAATCAACGTCATGGATCCAGGTCAGGAGGATTGGAAAGCAGTCTACGAGTTCGACACGCCGGTGGTAAGCTGTAACTGATATGTGTATTTATCCGGCAGAGTACCTGAATGGGTAACCAGATCCACATCGATAAGGCGGAGGCCTCGGAAACGACAACTTCATCGTTGAAGCTTATGCATCGATTCAAAGAAGAGGATGTTACGAGTCTGATGGACAAGGCAGAGCAGTCGTAGATCAAGACCTTTTTATCTTAGGATATGCGTATCCAAAACGGTCCTCCGCGACAAACATGTATGAAGGTCATCTTCATCCTTGCACCTCCGCACTCACTACATCCGGCAGAATGTCTCTTCGAGAGTTTCCCCATGAAACTGCCTAGTCTCAAGTCTCAAGCCTCGGAATGATAAGAGCTTCATCTAGCGCGGGGTAGCCTCCATAAGCATCGGGTGCGGGAGAGGGGTACGTAACTACTCGGCTCATGCTGACACGGCGCCCATCATCTCATGCTGACATGACGCTTCTCTCATCCAGACATGTACTATCAGTATCAAAGCAATCCGTCAGATCTCTCCGTACTTCTTTCAAGTCCTTCCCAGCCCATTCATTTCATATCCACCCCGTCATCCCCAGAACCAGAACCATGAACTCCCTCCAAGAAGCAAACAGAATATACAAGGCGTTCCAGAAGGGCGGCCCATCGTTCGGAGGATGGCAGGTACGTCACATCCGCTCATCTCACACTCATCACTGACAAAAAACACAGATGCTCCCGGGAACAAATCATTCCCGTGCAATTGCTCGTTCGGGAGTCGACTGGATCTGCATTGACTGTGAACACGGCAACATCGACGGTACGAATCCAGCCACATCAATATCAGACCCGACCAACTGACACCGCAAAGATGGCGAAATGCACGAAGCAGTCGTAGCCATAGCCCGCGAGGGAGTCTCCCCTATCATCCGCATAGCCGCCAACGAGCCATGGATGGTAAAACGTAAGCACCCCATACACACCAATCCAGCCTGTCCAACTAACACCTCTCCCCAGGCGCCCTCGACACCGGCGCCCACGGCATCGTAGTCCCACTAATCTACACCGTGGCCGACGCCCAAAAGCTCATCAACTCCGCAAAGTTCCCACCCGAAGGAACCCGAGGTTTCGGCTCCCCCTTCGCGCCGCAAGTCTTCGGCAACCAGCCCATGTCCCACTACCTCCTGAACGCAAACACCTCCCTCATAACAATCGTGCAGATCGAAACCGCCTCGGCCCTGGCCGCCGTGCGCGAGATAGCCGCGCTTCCCGGCGTCGACTGCCTTCTCATCGGCCCGTTTGATCTGGGGAATAATATCGGGCGCCCCGTGTTGGGCGAGATGCATCAGGAGCTTAAGGATGCGATTGAGGCGATTAAAGAGGCGGCGCATGCCGAGGGGAAGAAGGTGGGTATTTATTGCACGAGTGGGGAGCAGGCGAGGATGTATGCTGAGAGGGGGTTTGATATGATTAGTATCGCGACGGACTTTATTGCTATTACGCAGACTTTTGCGCAGACACTGGCTGTGGCTGGTAATAAGGCAGGCGGAGAGGAGAAGAAGAAGGGTGATACAGGATACGATGGGCGGTGAGGGGAGGCTTCTTCTCACGCGAAAATACATGTCAATCGTTCTTCACAAAACCAGTTTCAAGACTTTTGATATGTGTTGCCACTAACGCTCTTACTCGACCAGTTCTATGCTCCTCTCTGTGCTGCACACAACACACTCTCGACTGCGAGTATGAGTGTTCGTTGCTTGTGCAGTGCCGTGAAGTCATATCACTCGTTACCCGCATGCTTACCAAGAATAGATAAAGGAAGGACTCTAACCGCCAGAATGGGTATAAAACAGCCGCTAGATGCTCTTCATGCAGATAAAAACACCAAAAAGAAACATGTACTGTTGTCGCAGTCGAGATCGAGTAATGAAACCGTGGCGACGGCAAGAGGGCGGTAGTAGGATATAGGTAGTGGTGAAGACACCTGCAAGGTTGAACAACACGAGAGGATCAGCCCTGCGAAAGGTGACTTCAATGATGTCGGTCAAGGAGAAAGTCTTTACGTCAATCACCCAACGTACTGCTGGCGAGGTGTAGGCTTCGACTTCTTGCGTCGCGAAGTTGGCACCATGCGACCACCCTGCGCGATCTGCCCGTTGCCGTTGCTACGTGACATGGTGCAGACGGGCCTGTCTTCGTTCGAGGACATGGATGCCAGGGCGAAGGAGTCGGTATTGTGTCCGTAGTAGATCAGTATACCTCCGTACATCTTCTTGACGCCCAGGATACCAATGGCGCCGGCGGAGTTGCTGTTCTTGACGCTGGGATGTCCTGTGATCCAAGTTAAGATTGGTCTTGATAAGATGTAGACAAACTTACCCATGAACTCATTCTCAATCATGGCTCTGAGAGCTTCGTCCTCTGTCACCTCGACGTACTCTCCTCCTCTGTTCTTTCTGACACTCTGGAAAAGTCGTTCAGCGCAGACTGTAGCAGCCATCGTCGTTGCCATATGCTCGCCAGTCCCGCTCGTAACTGTTGCCACACTTGTTTGCTCAGGATCATCAGGGTCGACAGGGATGACAGCAGCACCGACGCCAACGAGAGCCGCCGGGCCGACACGTCCTCGATATTTCATTCCAATGCCACCGGAAGAGGCACCACAAGCAATTCTACCCCAGCTATCCACGGCAATCGCGCCAACCGTGTCAGTGATATGATCTGGCTTTTCAGGCTCTAACGGTTGCGGGCCGGCTGGAGTAGGCGGAAGCGGAGCTGTTTCCTTGACATGGCTCAAGGGAGTGCAAACGCCAGGCGATGGTGACTCGATGTGTTTCTGCACGGGTGTGTCTGGTAATGGAGTGTTGACGGCAACAGCTGTTGAGGCATACGCTGAAAACGCTGTCACGGTTTTCACGCTAGAGGTCGAGTCGGATTCCTCCCCAGAGCCGTCGCCCATGTTAGGATTTTCCAGAATATGAGATGGACCCCTATACTGACTCAGTGTGGGTACCTTCTGAGTGCTGTTGATAAAAGCGTTGCGAGAAGATTCCGCAACCGTATTAGATTGGACTTCGCCAGGTACTTGAGACTGAGCAGATATACCAGACATGACACTCTGCTCCTCAGCGGGCCAGGAGCCCGACGAATTCTCAGATTGGGTCAACGAAGGGTTGGAGACATCAGGCGAGACTTCCTCAGTAGGGTAGTACACCATCTCGTCGGAAGGAACAGGCGAGGGCGACTGAAACCGAGCAGGGTAACTTCCGAGCAAGTTTTGTGTATGTTGTTCTCGCATCCTCTTTCTGATCTGCTCTTCGTCTGGTGCAATGTCGGTTCGTATTCTCCAGCACGACGGGTGATTCCCAGCCTTCCTGGCCTTGCGTTCAGCAGACTTCAGGTCGGAACGCCATCGAACCCAGCGCTCTTTCGCGGCTGGCGATATCAGCGCATCATGAGGTAGAACAGGCATGCCCATCTCGACCGCGAATTCGGTGGCACCCTGAGCAACCAAGAGATTGGGTGGGACGCGGCGAAGGGTTAGCGAATGCATCGTGTGCTCGTAGACTAGCCGGGCAAGGGAGATGGGGTTCTTGATCTCTGGCCATATTGGTGAGTAGATGTCTCAGAGTAGGGTTGCAAGCAACGTACGGGCTACAGCACCGACAGCTCCACTGCGACCAAAATGATCCACGATAGAGGCATCACATTCCACTACGCCGTCCATAGCCAAGTTGCTTCCGTAGCCTGCGTTGGTGATCTCTCGATCTTCGAGTGTTTTGATGGCGACCTCGACAGCCTCCATCGCAGATCCACCGTTTCTCAAGATCAACATGGCGATTTGCGCGGCACTAAAGTGAAGTCAGTGATTCATGTCTTGCATGACTTGAACAATGAATGCACTTGCTCATTACATGCTTCAAGATGGATCCTCTCATTCTGATGACTGTGGTATCCGGCACCCGCATGAACGTATATACAGCACACATCGTCATTGGGCGGACTACGCGTTGCCTTGCGTGTGTGCTGTTCCGCTGGAAGTGCTCCGTCAATGGTCGCATGATGACGGGTAGGGGCAGACATGTTCTTAGGGGCGGACACGCGTCGACGGAAGTCGCGAAATCGCGGACTTAGTTTATCCAGGGCTGCACTGGCCACCGCTTTGTGAGGGTCTCCGATCGTGACAGGAGTTAGAGTTAGGTGTTTGTAGATGGTCGAAAGTCGAGCAGGCGAGTGATGGAACGGTCGGTCTGGCTCAGGAAGTAGACCTTCCCGCGGTATCTACGGTCTGCAAGCGGGAGATAATAAGAAATCCGGTCTGAGACGGCGGTCAAGCGATCATTAGTGATTTAATAGGTTGAAGCGGAATTGCGAGAAGAGAGGTGAGGAATAAGTAAAATTGAGATAGGTCAGAGAAGGAAGCTGAAGAATGGAAAGTGAATGAGAAACGCCTCAGCGACGATGCAGTCAACCCCGGGGTTCCTAGAGCTGTGTGAGAGCAATGCGAGTGGGACGGCGCTGTAGGGTTGTGTCAGTGAGTGAGAGAGGCATGTACGGTGAGCCAAGGATCGAAATGGCAATTTCTCCTTCCTCTGGAGTTGCTCAGACGATGCGGTGGCGTATCACGTATCAATTGCTTAGATGTAGCAGGCATCTCAGTCTAAAGAAGAAGGAGCGAGCGTGTTTGTGTGTTTGCATCTGCACTACATTCTCCGCTCTTGGCGCCATCAGCGGGCGGAGCTGTGCCTGATTCGCGACACCCACTGCCAACCTGTGCCATCCCACTACTCTGACGAAGACACATCCACGTCGACGCCCTGTGCAAGCAGGTACTCCCAAACCGACAACCGTGTCTAATTGCTCCGTGAGCAACCGCAAATATGGCGTCTCAAACCCCCGCCGTTGTCATGGACAAGTAAGCTCCCAGCTGCCCGCGGGCGTCTACGCTACGACCGAGTACTGACGTTAGCCTCCAGCGGTACGGGATATTCGAAGCTCGGTATGCATCCCGCTCACGGTATCTTGGCCGGCTCGTACTGACAGTCGACCCCAGGATTCGCCGGCAACGACTCCCCCTCCTTCGTTTTCCCCACTGCCATAGCCACCAAAGGCCCAACAGGCGGTAGCGGCGGCTCAGGCTCTGGACGGCCAGCAGTCGCGAACAAGCCCACGTATTTGACGGGCGGTGCAGGGCCTGGTGGACATCTCTCTGGGAAGCGAGGCACGGAAGACTTGGACTACTTCATCGGTGACGAGGCCCTCTCCGCAGCCGCAGGTGCGGGATACGGCATCAACTACCCAATTCGACATGGCCAGATAGACAACTGGGTACGAGCAGTGCACAAATGACGACGATGGGCGCTGATATTAGGTAGGACCTTATGGAACGTTTTTGGTCCAACTCGATCTTCAAGTACTTGAGGGTGGAGCCGGAGGACCACCACTTCCTCCTCACCGAGCCTGTAAGCTACGCGGCTTTCTCTATTCACATTGTCATTTCTAACCCGAGACCAGCCACTGAACCCTCCGGAAAACCGTGAAGCTACCGCCGAGATCATGTTCGAGTCCTTCAACGTTGCCGGTCTGTACATCGCCGTACAAGCTGTTCTTGCCCTGGCTGCCTCATGGACAAGCTCCAAGGTCCAGGACCGATCGCTCACCGGTACCGTCATCGACTCCGGAGCAGGTGTCACACACGTTATTCCCGTCGCCGAGGGCTACGTCATTGGCTCGTCGATCAAGAGCGTGCCCATTGCAGGTCGCGACATCACCAACTTTGTACAATCCCTCCTGCGAGAGCGCGGCGAGCCCGACTCGTCTCTTCAGACTGCAGAGCGCATCAAAGAAGAGTTCTGTTATGTGTGCCCCGATATTGTCAAGGAGTTTGCACGCTTCGACCGCGAGCCCGAGGATCGATTCAAGAAGTACACGGTCAACCACCCGAACGGCAAGTCGGCAACGGTCGACGTCGGATATGAGCGATTTTTGGCACCTGAGATCTTTTTCAACCCCGAGATTTATTCTTCGGATTTCCTGACCCCGCTTCCCACCATCGTCGACACCGTTATCCAGACGTCCCCCATCGACGTGCGTAGAGGACTGTACAAGAACATTGTGCTCTCGGGAGGTTCTACGCTATACAAGGACTTTGGACGACGCTTGCAGCGCGACATCCGACACCTGGTGGATGCGAGGATCAAGGCGTCAGAAGCTAAGAGCGGAGGCGCGAAGAGTGGTGGTTTGGACGTTCAGGTCATCTCGCACAAGAGGCAAAGACACGGCCCGTGGTTTGGAGGCAGTTTGCTCGGCCAGACGCCCGAGTTCAAAAGTTACTGCCACACGAAAGCAGAGTACGATGAGATTGGCCCCAGCATTGTCCGGAGGTTCGCACTGCTGGGAGGGCCGGGCAGCACGTAAGCACAATTTGGTGAGGCGTGTGAGCGATAAGTGGAGATGTTGGGAGACTGCTGTTGAGCGTGAATGTGGTCATTACACACAATCTATCCAGATGATGATGCATTCACAACACGAATTCTCTGCATGCCATGAGTCGACACTTGATCATATACTTCATATACCTTACCACATATACATGCCCCCCTAATCACACATAGCCAATCCCAACCCAAAACAAAGATCAAGCCCCCTCCTTCTCCACCTCGCCGACTGAACCCTCCTTCCGCCTCAACACAGCAACCCCCTCCACATGCCCCGTCTGCGGAAAAAAATCAAACCCACACACACTCTCAATCTCATAGCACCCCTCACCCACCCCACACCCCCCGTCCACGCCCGCCATCCCGCCAACCAACACCCCAATATCCCTTGCCTGCGTATGCACATTGCAGCTCACATACACCACTCTCGCGGGCCCGTACTGCACGAGTTGCTTCAGGAACGACTCATCGCACCCTTTGCGGGGCGGGTCGAGCATAACGACCGTCTCTGCGGCGGGGGACTCAATGGCCGCGAAGAGGTGAGATGCGTCTGCGGCGAGGAAACGGGTTGAAGATGGTGATAGGTTGTTTAGAGCTGCGTTTGTAGTGGCCGAGGCGATGGAGGAGGATGATATGTCTATTCCCAGCGACGATTTGAAGAGCGAGGAGAGGGTTATTGTGAAGAGGCCGCTGCCTGAGTAGGCGTCTATTAGGTGTGTGATTTTATGTCCCGGGGTGTTGGCGGGGACGATGTGCGAGCGGATGTATGCTGTGAAGACGGGGAGGATGGAGTTGTTGTTCTGGAAGAAGGAGCCGGCGGGGTTTACGAATGCGAAGTCGTCGATGTATTCTGTTGTTTTGTCGTTTGGGTTTGTGACGCAGGTTTTGCGGTGGATGTGCGTGTTGTGGTCTTCTATGATGGCGTCTGCGTCGTTTGCGTCGGAGGAGGGCGTGTAGTCTGCTTTGGGGATGCGTTGGGTTGTTTCGCGGAGGAGGAGGGTGGCGCCTTTGTGGTACTTTGGGAGCTCGGCGGCCACGCGGGCCCGCTCGCGTTTGTTGCCTGCGCGGATTGCGGCCGTGCCGATGGGGCAGTCTTCGATGTCCATGGTGATGCGCGTGCCTTTTTTCATGAAGCCGATTGCTGGCACCTCCTTGTGGGAGCGTCTGATGCCGTGGCGGCCGTCGCTTCTCCTGGCGTCTGGGGGGCCGTCGAAGTGGGGGGTGAGTTTTGTGCGGTATCCGTATTGTAGGGGGGAACCGATGGTGTCGCCGATTGCGGGGATGAGCTCCGGGGGGAGGTTGGAGAAGTTCTTGTAGGCTTTCTCCACTATGGACTTTTTGTGTTGCAGCTGGAACTCGTAGGGCAGCATCTGGAACTGACATCCTGAGCAGGTGGAGAAGTAGGGGCACTTGACTAGGGACTCGTCGCGGTGTGGTGAGGACTTGACGACTTTGACAAAGTCGGCCATGGAGTACTTTTCCTTTTCGAAATGTTTGAAGATCTTGGCCGTCACTGTGTCTCCTGGTGCTGTGAATGGGATGACATAAACTTGGTCCGAGTCCGAGCCCTCCTGGAACCCAATGCCGTCGCCAGTCGAAGAGATCTCTTTGATTGTGACTTCGATCTCAGAAAGCTTCTCGGGGAGTTCGCTTGTCACCTCTTTTCCTTCTCTTTCCAAATTGAGCTTCTGAATGAGCGCCGTGACATCCCCCAGCAGAATCTCGTCGTTGCTCCCGTTGGTCTTCAAGATGGTGCTATTCTCGGCATGACCGTTCTTCATCCTCTTATTTTTGAACCTGTAGCTTCCCCGTGATTCTTCCTCGCTCCTCAATGGTGTTTCTGCGAATCTCTTTGCGCCATTGCTCTCGATGGGCGCCACATTGTCCGCCGAGGAAGCCATGCTGCAGCGTGCTATGGGGAATGATCTACCACCGGTCAACAGCGTCCGCAACGGTCGAGAAAAAGTTCGAGAGAGCATGCCAGGGAAAGAAAAGTTTAGTTAGTCACTGTGAAGAGCAAGGCGGCGATTGGCTAGCGGCTTAGTCAGGTCGATTTTGCGGTTCGAACTTCACTCTGGCAGCGGGTGCAGCACCACGTCTGGCCGCCCAATTCGCCCGTACACGCTCAGCCGGCTCTTGCTCGCAGGGTCCCGAGCATCATGAGCGTCTGCCGCCCCGCCAGATGTCTCTTCGCCAAGGCCACGACGAGCTCACTCCCGAAGCCATGTCCAGTGCGCTCCTTCCACTCGTCGACGCCGCGACCCGCCCGCAAACGGAGACCGCACTACCCCTCGATCAAGGCCGATGACCTGGCGCTGCTCAACCAGGCCGCCGAGGCAGAGTACCCCAAGTACGACACGGACGAGACCAGCCTGCTCGCCAAAAAATACACGCCCTCGCAGATCGCCGCCATCAAGGCCGCCGAGTCGGCAATCGACCCGCGCGATGTCTACTCGCAGGGCCAGCGCCGCACCGACCCGTGGCGGCTGAACTACGAGGACGACCTCGCCGAGGTCGACCCCGTGACGGACCACCGCGAGCGCCTGGGCCCCGACGACATTGTGGGCAAGAAGTCGTTCCGGCTCGCAAACGACGTGGAGCGCGACGAGGCCATGTCGCGCATCGCCACGGAGAACCTGGCCAAGATGTACCCCGACGGCGTGCCCGAGGGCCAATTGGACCCCGCCGAGGAGCAGCGGCTGCAGGACGCCATGGAGGCGGCCCTCACCCAGGCCGCGCTGGACCCCCGCGCCACATACACGTCGACGAACCCCGCCGCCCTCGACGCCCTGGCCGACCCGCGCCACTCGGCCGTCATGCCCGACCTCCCGCGCCTGGAAAACCGCATGGTGCGCCAGACACGCCGCCTGTCGACGGAAGAGGAGGAGGACCCCCGCCAGAAGCGCCTCCTGCTGTACATGGGCTGGGACAAGGCCAAGCTGCGCAACATTCGCACAAAGACGCTCGTCGTCCACGGCGTCACAAACCAGACCCGCATGGGCAAGATCAGGAGCTTGTACTACCTGACCATTGCGGGCAACCAGGACGGCCTGCTCGGCGTGGGGGAAGGCAAGTCAGTCGAGCCCGACGAAGGGCGCAAGCAGAGCATCATGTCGGCCATCAGGAACATGCGGCCCGTGCCCCGCTACGAGAACAGGACCACCTTCGGCGACCTGGAGATGAAGGTCGGCGCGACAAAGGTGCAGCTGTATGCCCGCCCGCCTGGTATGAATCCTCCATGCCACTACAATCTTCCCCACACGCTAATTATATTACCTAGGCTTCGGTCTCCGCGTCCAACACCTCATCTTCGAACTCGCCCGCGCCGCAGGCATCCAGGACCTCGCTGCCCGCACCCCCCGCTCGCGCAACAAAATGAACGTCATCAAGGCGACGTGGGAGGCGCTCACGACGCAGAAGCTGCCCGATGAGATTGCGCGCGCGCGCGGGAAGAAGCTGGTTGATGTAAGGAAGGTGTATTATGGTGGGAGTGTGCATTAGCATAGCTTGTATTTGTATGATAAAAACTCTTGTATCATATCATATCATAGCATATCCTATCGAGTGCATTGGCCGATCCATAAAGCATCGGCATTGTAGATGTAGCATTGTACATCCATCCATCCACCACCAGTGTCTACCACATACATGCTCTGCCACCCGTTTTCTCGATAGGAAATTTACAAGGGAAAGGGAAGGGGTATCATGTTTCTCATCGTAACCTGTCTGCACACCTTACTTACTTCATCCTCCACATCTGCCAATCTCCCCTCCTGTGACAGTTCAATCCTCCTCCTCCTCCTCCCCCTCTTCCCCCGGCTCCCGTATCTGCTGATTCAAAACAATACTATACACGCTCGCCTTAAGCAGCGTAAACACAAGACTCGTCTTGCGCTCCAGCCCGCGCAGTCCATCTAGTATCGCGGCACTGGGTGCGTCGGAGAGGGAGGAGAGGAGTGTTGACATCTAGTCGTACATGGATGTGTTAGTGTGGGGATGATGGCTGTATGGGTAGGATTGATATAGGGTGGGGAGATATACGGTATTCAGATTCCCCAGCAAGCGTGCATATTCATCCAAAACTTCTTGCTCGAGCGGTGACAGGGCGTCGCTGTCTGCTCCTGCTGTGTTGTTGTTGTCTTGGGAGGTGCTGAAGTAGGGGTCTTGCGGGGGTGTGGACATTGTGCTGCTGTTTTGGTGATACGGGATGGTGGATATTCGATATTCGATGTCGATTATGGGGAGGAGGTTGGTGTATTTCGGTATGCGAGTTGGCAAGTCTGGGAGTGTGGAATGAGGGTGCTGCGAGGTGAATGGCTGTCTGCGAATCGGTCGGCGCGGGGGAGACGCGACGGGAACTTGACTTGACTTGACGTGTGCGTCCGTGCGCTCGCAGCATAGACATATCAAAAAGTATCGGCCAGAGCAAAGCAGAGCAACGTAAAAGTAAACGGAGAAATGGGATCAAGATACTGTCACTTGCACTACTACCACCACCACTCTTACTCTACTACTACTATTCCTACGCCCCAACGTCCTCCCACCTACCAGGCTATAAATATATTTTCCACGCAAAAGAATGCACCCAGCACAATAATAACCCTTGCAAAACGCCCAAGATTCTGTACAAGTGGCCTCATTACCGCAGAGAAACCAGAGAGCGCGAAAAAGAAAAGAGCAGAAAGAGAAGAAAGACTACAAGATTCCCCCGTAAACGCCGCTGCCATAGAGCTACATGTATAGCCGAGTAAAAGTAAACCACCCTGCCAAAGGAGTGAAGCAGGGGCCCAATGTCATCTTGAACGCCTGAAATGGTACAAACACGCCGAGTGAGGAGAGCATGATTTTCGGGGACAAAACCCACCACCTGTATCAGTATGGGGAAATGCCAAGTTCACGACCCCATATCATCGCCTGGAGTTAGTCTCCTGCAGCTCGAGATATTGCTGGTCTGATTCCTGGTGGTGATGGTCATCGCCGTCGTGGTGCAGTGTGACGCTGTTGAACTCTTCAAAGGGGTCTGCGATCTCGCCCATGGGTGTGGCGAGCCCAGAGTCGAGGGGAACGCCTTTGTTCCTCGCGGCGCCAATGTCTACGCTGTGGCTTTCCTTGACGTTGCGGAAGTTGGGCGTTTCGACGCCTTGGCCCTGGTGCGGGACGATGGGAGGCTTCATGTGACGCAGCAGTGCCCATTGCGTGGTGCGGAAGAAGGGTGCCGTCTTGATGTCCGAGGCACCGGCGCGGGAGCCAAGTCGTCGAGTTTCGTCCTTGATGAGGAGCTTGCGGATCAATCCCTTGCAGAGGCTACAAAATGTTAATGTCTGATCTGAAAACTTTGTGAGTCGACTTACTTGGACACGGCTGGCGAACCAGACCCCTCCGGGAACGGCACCTCGTCTCGGAGGATGTTGGCAAAAGTCGCATTACGATTTTTGCCCTTGAAAGGCGTCGTTCCGAAGAGCATCTCGTAGACCAAGATGCCCAGCGTCCACCAATCAACCGCACTGGTATGCCCGCAGCCCTTGATGACCTCTGGCGCAATGTACTCTTCTGTGCCCACAAACGAGTTCGTCCGGAAGTTTGCTATACAGGTTTTGGTGTCGATTATGGGCAGGTTGCTCGACGACGTGCCGCTTCGACCGCTCAGGATCATGGTCGGGCGACCCCCGGGGTCTGACTGCTTGGACAAGTCGAAGTCTGACAGCATAATGTGGCCAGACTGATGCAGCAGGATGTCTATGGAGATTAGCATTTAAATTAGTCGAGGGAGGGTTTGACGTACTTTCTGGCTTCAGATCTCGGTAGATGAAGCCCATGAGATGCAGGTACTCCAACGCAGCCGTCACCTCGGCGGCGTAGAAACGCGCAGCATCCTCGTCTACGCACTTGTTGGGTCGCGTCTGCAGCGCTCGGAAGAACTCGCCGCCGCTGCAGTACTCCATGCAGAGGTAGAGGTGGTCTTCGGATTGAAACGAGTGGTAGAGAGTAACAATAAAGGGGTGGTTGCTGGTCGCGAGGATTTCCTGTTCGGCCAAGGCGCGCTTGATCTTGTTGCGCTTGATCATTTCTTTCTTGCTCAGGACTGGAAGCTGTTAGCGCAGTTGGGAGGGGGACAATGAACAACCGTACCCTTCATGGCGTACAGCCGACTCGACTTCTTCTCTCGCACCAGGTAGACCTTGCCGACGTCGCCCTTCCCGATCAGCTTGATCTTGTCGAAGCTGCCCGGGCCCACCTCGACGTTGCGGACCTTGATCGAGTTGGAGCTGTATGTTCTCCGGAACGCGACCGAATTGCGGATCGCGCCTGGAGACGGGATGGGCTTGAGGGTGTCGACGGGCGCGAGGTGCGTCTGGTCGGGCTGCAGCGTCTCGACCATGCTCAGCGTCGAGGCATTGGAATTGTGCAGCAGCGGCTGCTTGCCAAGCTCTGCCGTCTGGGGTCGCTCAGCAGACTTGCCCGACGAGAAAAGGCCCTGGGCATTGGGTGCCGAGGCTACGCGTCGCAGCTTGCGTGCCAGCTCCTCCTTTCCGGCGGCCGTGGCCTGGTCGTTGGCGCCGCTGGCAGCCTCGGTGTGGATGGTCGGGATGGCCGGGGTGTCGGGCGGCGAGGGTGGCACGCTGCCTTCGTTGTGGTGGCGCAGCTCGGGGGGGCCCTGGTGGGCAAAGTAGGGGTTGGCGTGGGCCGTGGGCGAGACGGCGTCGTCGAGGTGGTTGCCCTCGCTGGCGACCGTGTGCGAGCGGTTGCGCGACATGTGCGGAATGAAGCGCGACTGGCGGAAGCCCGACTTCTCCGTCTTGGACGTCGAGGCAGCGCCATTGCCCTCGTCCGAGTGCTTGCGGGTCTCGCCACTGCTGTTGATGCGGAAGAAGTTCTTGATGCGCTGCGACACCTGGCTGTTGGACCCGTTGACGGGCTTGTTCGTCGACAGCGACACGCCCGAGAAGGTGCGCTTGTCCGACATGGTGGTTGTGTGGCGGGTGGGAGAGCTGGGGGCTGCGTCCTGCGATATGCTGTAGGTTGGATGTAGACGGTGCCTCAGTGAGCCATGACCGCACCAGCCGTCAAGTCAATGTCTGGTACTGGGGTGGGAAAGAATGGCGCCGTCACGGGACAGGGTCGACTAGAGGAAGGCAGACGCCACACTTGATGCTGATGCTGCTACAATGCCTCTCGTCAAGTCAAGTCACGTCTCGGCTCGTCTCTTCTGCTGTCCTGGTCGGCTGAGGGATGAGGAGAAGTCGTCGCCGAGCACCAGCCCATGTCATGTCACGGCCGCGACCTAGCCAGAAACGCAACGGCGAATCATCGACGGCCCCTTCCGTGCTCTCCAGCATGACATCCGCTCGAGATTGGTAAGCACACCACCCGGACATCACTGCCGCTGCACACCCGGTGCCTAAGCTGCACTGCCAGCCTGCTTTGAAATAGATATCGACACTCAGCCTCACGGTTACGGTATAGCTGTCCTGAGTGCACAGAACCACCCTGAAGACCATGTTTGCCTGTCCATGTGCTGTTCGTCATCCATCACCACCACCGCCTGACAATTCACCAACCACTGCCGTTTGACGCCAACCTGTTCTAGAACCTTTCCCATTTGGCCAGACCGTGCACCACCGCCTCACTCCACATTCACAGAAGACAATTCAAGAGACGCGTCAATCGCAAGTCGAATGCATCAGATTACTGATATACAAGAGTTGAACATGTCCATCTGCTAGTCATATAAAATGTGTAAGACATGGCCAAGCCTCGAGGCAACGCAGACATAAACTGAACCGGAAGAACATCTCCATCCATCCGCGTCCATGACCATGCACCACCTCAGTCATCTCCGCCATGCCCTCTGCATCCAAAGCCATGTCGAGCAAGGGAAAAGAAAGGAAGAAAAATGTTCGCAGACTCGTAAATATTCACACTCTTCGCTGGGTTTTCCATGTTGCCATTGACCAACGCCACAAGCCACGCTTGGGAAATACTAACGCTGCCTGTTGAGAAAAATGTCCAGAATATGTATAGCAAATAGGCGTGCTCCTCGGAAACACGACGCGGAAACAATCTGCCAAAAGAAGGAAAGGGAAAACAAGGATACCAGGATATGACATGGTCGTAGTCGTCTCCATCCAACGCGTGCTCCACTAGACACCGTTAATCAGAGCGAAAGGACCGTTCAGTTTCGAGAGCCGGTCTTGCGATACTCCTCAATCTCCTCCAACTCTGTCCTCCTGATGTTCTGGAATCGCTCTCGCCATTTCTGTGAGCGGGCTTTCTTGTCTTCGGGTGACATGGTGCGTACATCGTCCTTCTTGACGCGTCTGAACTTGTTTGTCACTTGTTCGAGTTTCGCTTTCGCCGGTGAGTGTTCTCCAGACTTCTTCGGCGAGCTCGGCGCATTGGCAGGTGAGCATGTCGTGCTGTCTCTGCCAGCTCCGCTTGCCTTCGTAGGCGAATGTACAGCCTTCTGCTTGCCCTTCCCGCCGGACACCTTGAAGCAAGACGCGCCGACTTCTTCGCTCTCGGCCGGAGTGTGAGCTTCCATGAAACGACTGCCCATAGAAGTGCGAGCTTCGTCGACATGCGTGTCCATGACCATTCCTGCAAGATCGTCCATTGCGCCATCCAGTCCCGACACGCGGTGGTTAGTAACTTGGCGACCCATAGGCATGGCGTCTCTACCAAATCTGGTTGGGCCCAGTTCATTTGGTGTCGGGTAGAACCGCTGCATGGGCAATGGGATGCCATTAGTGTGGTTGTTGAGCTGGTTGCCAGAGAAATGTCGTCCAAACACCCCATTCGAAACAAATGTATCCGCGCGGGACGGAACACAGTTATCATGAACCCTCTTGCCCGTCTCTCGTTCGGCGTTTGGGAAAAAACTCTGTCGATGTTCAGATGCGGGTCTATCGGGGAACAGTCCGGCGGCGCTGAGATACTTCGCGCTTGAAGCGTTCCGCTGGCGTACGTCTTGAACAACTTCTTTACAGAGCGTGTAGGCGCCTGTGTTGTTTCTGGTACTCTCTTGCAGGCTGTAGGCTGAGTCTCGATGAGGATTTGTGATGTTGCCCATTGCGGAGTGAACGTTCTCCTGGCTCCCACCTGGAGGTTTGCTGCGACCAAAGGTCATACTGACGGCAGAGTCGTGGGGCGTGGAACCAGCTGCCAGGCCGCGAATCGAAGGAGTGCGAGAGTCAATACCTCGCAAATACTGATCACGGACAGCGGACTCCTCGCGGATCCTCCTGGCTTCATCAGACAGAAAATGAAGAAGGCCTTGAATGTAGCCCTGGAGGACCTCAGGAATATCAGGGATACCGATGTGATCGTAGCCGGCCTGGTATCCTTCCTGATACGTGGAAGGCAGGTGCCTCACGGCTTTGCTGGAGAAAGGATGGTCCTCATCTGTGCCAGTATGTTGGTCCGAGTTCGTCTGAATGAGCACGTTGCCACTCGAGATAGAACTCGACGTATCAGCACCTGTGATGGCAGACTGCTCCTGCATGCTGCTGGAAGGCTGACTCGAGAGCCCTTGTTGGAAGGAGGAGTGAGGTGGCTGTTTGCCGAAAGCCTCCGGCCATGATGTGAGTTTCGATACCGGCTCGTTGTTCCTTGAACGGCCAGAGTTGCCTTCATTCCATGGGCTAGCAGGCCAATTCTTCTCTGGTGTAGACGGAACGGCCGACTTGTCATTCGAGGCCTCCTTGAGGTCATCGGCCCTTGGAGCGACTCGTGTGGATGAGTACTCGTGAGTATTCATAGGGAAAAAGTCTTGTGTATCGATGCTGGACAGGCTAGGCTTCTGGGACAGAGCTCGACGCTCATGCTTATCCAAGTGCAGTGCCTCTTGGTTACGCCAGGGTGATCGCTTTGCTGGCGAAGGCGTAGGAGGATCGCCGCTGTTGGTAGGTCCAGAGTCGGTGAAAGGCTCATACGTAGGGCTCTTTGGATTCAGAATGGACGTGCCTTGCTTCGTTGCGTTCTCGCGAGGTGGCTTGATCTCGATAGCATGAGAGCGACGGCTTGCTTCTCCAGGGGAATGTGGTGCAACTGTTGCGGCTGGTACAAACGGGGTTGAATCCACAGCAGGAAAGCTGGGGAAGGTGCCAAACGGTGGTGGATACATCATCATAGATGCGTACGGGTTTGCCGTGGAAAGAGCGTACATGGGCTGTGCAACGGGCGGCTGTGCTTGCGGTACAAACGATGGCATTGGCACTGAGCCCGGGGCTGCGCCAAATGACCCTTGGAAGGTGTTGGCCTGCATTGGTGCAGTGCCGTTGTTCTCGAAGGTTGTGATTTGCTTTCGGAGACCATCAAGCTCAACGATCAGACATCTCTTCTTCTCGATCATTCCCGCTCGCCACGCCTCGCTCTGGTGGCTGGCTTGTAGTACTTCGGTTTGCTCGACTGTTCGAAGTTCTTGTCTCTTGAAGTTCTGTTGCGCCTTCAGTGTAGGCAAGTCCAATCCTGCAAACGGTGTGTGCGTGTTGGAGCGCTGAGGGCAAAACGGCATCCCAGGCAGGTCACCAGGTACAGACAATGTGGCTGTGTCTGGCATCGATTTGGCGACCGTATCCATGACAGTGGTGTCACCTGGCGGCGTGGTAGAGGTGCTCGGATTGACAGTCGGCAGCGCAAACATGCGATCGCCGACAAAGACAACAGGCTGGCCGCCCATGATCTCAATGCGAGCGGTGCTGTTGGTGTTTGGTTGGGGTTGCATCGACATAACGTTGCCGGGAGCGACGCGTAGTGCTTGCGGCCTGTAGGTTCCGTCGCCGAAGCGCGAGGTGCCCAACGTTGTAAGGTCGCTGGGAACGATTCGCCCACCTGCAGTGACTCGCATACCCGGTGGACTGCCGTGTTCTTTGAGCAACTTCTCGGCCTTTCCTCGCTTGATTGAGGGAGAAGGCGACGGTCTCTTCTGCGGTGCAGTTCCAGCGGCTGGTGCGATGGGTGGCCGTAGACTCCTGCTCGACGAGACGCGAATCAGGTTCGCAGAGGCGGATACGGACGGGCGCAAAACGTGTTCTAAGTGAACAAAATGGTCAGTCTTGATGTTGACAGGTCAAGAGGAGGAGACGGGAGAGGCATGTGTTGGGAGCTCGATCGGTGAGGTAGCAGAAATGTCGATGTTTGGTGGGTGAGCGAGCCAAAGAGACTTAAACGGTGTGCCAAGGACAACAGGAGTGATGAGGTGAGGCATGCATGGTGAAGGATGAAAGGTGAAGTGATCGATCACTGACCTTTGATGACGTCCTCATCGGCGAACTTGTCTATCGACACAGCTGATTCCGAGACCGAGTCGCGAAGCGCGAGCAATTCTTCAACCTTGTATGCGAGAGACATCGTAGATGGTCCGCCCACCGAGTAGGCAGACAACGAGCTGTCCATGTGACTGGGCGTTGGTATTAGAGGTCCAATGAGAGGACAGTTCGAGCAAGCAGCGAGACGTGAGATGGTTGGGTGCAAATATCCTGGCATTGTCAACACAGATTTGCGAGACGGGATGTAAATCAAAGTGGAAAAATTGTGGATGCAGATACATGGCTAAGGAGTAGGGATAGCGACATACCTCAAAGTTGATGGATGGTGGAGTGCAAAGCGAACAAGAACGAACGACAGCTATCCAAAAGCCGAAGAGCAGCAATGCGAAAGAAGACGGGTGAACAAGAAGATGGAAGACGAATGAGTGTGTTGTTGAAGAAAGGAACGGGAGAAACGGTTGGGTTCTTAGTTATAGCCCGCATCCCGACGCGCCTCCCCGGGATGACGCATAAGGGTTAAGAGGATCGGGAAAGAGAAGACGGGATCAAAAGGTGGGGAGCAAGATGGATAGGTGAGATCGTGAGATCCGCAGCAGGGGACACCGATGGAGGTGACTAGCCAAGATGCCGAAGGAAGGAAGGGGTGATGGGCACTCACATTCTACCGCAGTATGGAAACACTAAGGGCTCAAGGTCTGTAGAAGTAAAGGACACATCGAAAGCGTATCACAAGAACAACAAGAACATACAAATTTGAAAGTGAGGTGACTTTTGAAGGCTATGGAACATGAAAACTCGGAATCGTAAGAAACGCTCCAAACAAATTCGAAGATGACCTTCATGTATGATCCGAACGCCTGCGCTATACATACAATGGGTACGATTTGGGGAGCTAAATTTGGTGTAATAGCTGCCAGGGTACCACATCAATAATCGACTTTTGTCCGGCTTGCTGTCTCCTTGGGACGCTTTCATCTTCTACGCGTACTTCGTGTCGTCGGCACCGACTCGAAAGCATCGTCATCATCAGAAATCTCGTCGTCGCTCTATGTTAACTGTCAGCGAGATATCCACAATTCCGTTTCTAGCGAAGTCGCTACTTACCGGCTCAGCAACCTTTTTGCCACGTGCTCCAGCAGCTCGCGTGGGCTGACTGCGCTGTGAAGATGGTTGCGAGAAGTTTAGCGTCGTTTGTTTGGCTGTGGCTGGTGCTCGTGTGCGTGTAGTAGTTGTTGTCTTCTTCACGGGCGACTTCGCTCTTGATGGTGCCTTTGCGGTTGCAGCGGGTTTCTTTGCGGTCTTAGGTGCTGGCCTTACGAAGAGGTTGTCCGCACTCTCTTCGTCATCGTCGCTAATCATGATTGCATCACCATCCTCATCTTCCTCTTCTTCTTCAACAACCTTCTTCTTTCCGCGTCCACCCTTAGCAGCGGTAGCAGCTGTGGCAGCCTTTTTAGTAACTGCTGGTGTCTGCCGAGTAGTAGCCGCTGCTTTTCCGCGGCCTCGTGCGGCAGGTTTCTTTGCAGGAACGGAGGCCAGGCTGTTATCGTCGTTGTCATCTTTCTCGTTGTCAGAACGGATGAGCGCGCCCGGTTGCTCACCCCATGGCCCTTCCTCATCGCTGTCCCAAGAGCTGGGTTTAGGTTTGAGCTTCGACCTTCGAGTCTTCTTGAGCTGACCGGATTCGAACATAGTTTCCAGTTTCGCTTTATGCTGCTCCATCTCATTGATAATCTCGGCCTCGTCGACTTCGTTAGCCTCCATCAAGTGCTTCAACTGGTTGGCAAGACTTTCATTCACGAACATCTCCATAGCATGCTTGTCATCCTTATCCACATACTGAGAAACGGCGTCTCCAAATGAATTTTGTGGTAGGATCGTCAGAGACTGTGCGGTAAGAAACTCCTTCACTAGCTCGTCTACTTTCACGTTGGTGAGGCTTATCTCAGCCAATACTGCTTCATCGGGCATTTCGGAGTTGTTCTTGAGAGCACCTGTATTATGTTAGAGACAAATCACCGAGAAATTGGCATGACACTTACGGGTCACTGGCTTCTTCTTGCGGTGAAACTGCACCACATCATTTACATTGGCGACTTTGCCTTGGAATCGATTCGATATACGCTGTGGGTTTTCGCAATGAAACTCGCCAGGTTGTGGAGCTGTGTATTCCACGCGTAATCGGATTAGGGGCAGAGGAACTTCGATGTCGTCGCCCTCATCTCGACCGTCCTGAAGCGCAAGCCATTCGCTCTTGGCCTCTTCAATCATGTCTTCCACGACTTGGTTGAGATACTGGGTGATCTTGGCTCGGTTATCTGTCATTCGCCAGATTTCCTTGTCTTTGATCTCCTTTTCCTCAGCTAGCACGATTTCTCTCATAAGAAAGGGGCGAACAGTCTTCAGACGAATTGGCTCGACTGTGAACTCCTTGCCTGTAACGTTGAGTATTGCGACATGCTTCGGTACTGCTTCCCCGGGCATCAAAGACGTCGCCACTGAAGACCCAGGCTGCATGACGTGGAATCCCATCTCAGGGTTGTATCGGGGATCAACTAAGCATTCGTGCTCATGACCCCATACGACAAGGTCCATGAAATCTGGCAGAAAGTTCTCGGGAAGATAGCTGGTAGGCGTATGTGCGTGGTGGTTCTGATGAACGCTCATCACGTTAAACCACTCGTCCTTTTGAGTCCCCGGTTGGAAGAATTTAACGTTCCCGTCGCGCCACGTATGGAAGAGTCGCTCATCTCGGACATTGCTCAGACCATAGAGCGCCAGCTTTGTGCGCCCTTTCTGCAGTAGGACTGGTTTCACTGCGATTTTGTCGACCTCAGGAGTACGCCCAAAATAATTGACAAGACCAGACGCCTGCAAGAGGTCCAACGGCGAGAACGAGCCCTCGCCAGATGGGTCGTCATGATTGCCATGTATCGCAAATACGGGGATGGCGATATTCATGTCCTCGTCCTCGTAATTGACGTGGTCAAAGATCCCCCCAAAGTTCTCGCTGGCATCGCTCAGCATCTCCAGCTCGCATGGCTTCTCTCCCAGGCAGTTCATACGCAGCGATCGCATAACATGATACATTGACTTCCTCGACGGCTTGTTCTCGTGAAAGAGATCTCCCGCATGTAACACCATATCCACATCATGCTCTTTTGCTAAGCACATGACCTCGTGGAACGTCTTCCAGCTGTCGTCCTTGCGGTTTGCATCGCGTTCGTTGTATCCGACATGGCTGTCTGTAGCAATAAGAACTCGTATAGTATCTGCGCCTGTATATATCGTCAGCCTAGTTAGTGTCTGATCTGGTGTACATGAAGCTCACCTCGCTGCGGGCCTCGATTTCGTGGCGGCATAGTGGGGGTCTAATTCTGGGAAGATGTTCAGGTGAGCTTCCTACAGTGCAACGCCGAGAAGTTGTATGTGCGGTACAGTATTGATTTCACCCACGCTGCAACCTTGTTCATAAAAAGCGCATATCATGTCGAACTAGGCATACATTCACCGTCTCGCGACGCGCCGATGGAGCCGTTAGCGTGATACACCAACTCACGTGGTCGCGACATGGACGGGAAAATCGGGAATCATTTGCCGACTCACCATCCACGCCGTACGTCGCAATGCTATCCACACGGGCGCTCTGCTCTCGATCGGTCTGGAAAGGTAAGGTATCGTGCTTTGTCTGGTGTCAAAAAGCGGGCTTGCTAACTCGTGCGCAGGACCCAACATCGTCCCGTCAGTCTTCCTGTCTCTCCAACACTCCGCGAACGAACATCTCGCTAAGTAGATCAAAGGCTCCCAATAGCACGTGCGAAGCCCGGAGAGCGACAGATTCCGATCAAGACGCAAGCACGCTCTGCGACGATCCTGCCAAACTTTGTCGGCCTCAAGTTTCAGATCCACACCGGCAAGAATTATCTAGACATCACCATCACAGAGGATATGGTCGGCCACAAGCTGGGGGAATTTGCGCCGTACGTCTTGTCCATATTGCCCCTCAGTTGCTGCAGAGCGCAAGACGGGGGTGTCACGGCTGACAGTAGGCTGGCAGAACCCGGAAGAACTTCACATACAAGCAGACGAAGAACAGGTAAAGGTTGGCATCGCGTTGCATCAGATGGGAGTTCGGGTATCAATGGTTTTTTTGGAAGCCAAAAAATGTACTCATATCGTACAAATGTGATCAGCCCAATGTCTGTGTAAAACCATGCGCCTGTGAAACCGCCCCAACGCCTGAAAGTTTAATCGAAATGTCCAGCCGAAACCTCTACCGATAGAACTCGCCGCGCTTGATGTTGACGCCATACTCGCCCACTGCCATGCCCAGGTCCTCCATAGTCAGAACAGTGCGTCCTTGACCTCCACCCTGGCCGCCGCCTCCAAAACCTGGACGCGCGATGCCAAGGTTGTAGTCCTTCGCCTTTGCACCAGCGTCCTTCCCGCCCTGCGCTCCACCTGGGGCTGCCGCACCCTGCGGTCCTGCCGCACCTCCTAGTCCGCCCATAGGATTGTTACTCGTAGTGTTGGATGACCGGATGCGTGAGAACTGGTATGCATCGGCGGCGATGTCTGCGATGAACTTCTGCGTCGCAAGGGCAAGGAGGCGAGCGAGATGCTGCGACGTCTGAGGTGGGGGTGGTAGACCGGCACGTGTCAAGTAGTAGTTGGTGACCGCATCGGGTATCTGAGGCTGTTGTTAGCATGCATGTCTCTCGCTGCACGTGCAGGGTGACGCAAACATACAATCGGCGCATACTCGTCCATCTTCCCCAGAAACTCTCGCAGTGTGGCGTCCTTCTTCGCTGGTATCCGCGCTTCAAAGGCCGTCGCGCCATCTGTGACTCCGTTTGTTGCTGGCGGCTCCGTGTCGTTTGCGCCGTCGAGGTTCATGGCGTCAGGTTGTGTCGCGTCGGGGTTGATCTCATCCTCGACCGTCGGGTCCAACTCCTCGTTCTCCATAACGGTATCGGGCGGGGGCTGTGACGTAGTATCGGCCATTCTCAGGTCGTCAGGTGAGAGGTGTGAAGGTACAAACAAACGAATGGGTTGTGTAAAAGGGCAAGTGGCTGTACGATGAGGTGGGTGCTGCGGAGACGGCGCGGGAGTGAGTGCCAATGCGCGAGTAGCAAGGGGCCATTGCTCAGCCCTACCCGTCCCTCATCAACCGTTCCCCACGTCCAGACTTCTTCACCTCCAAACACATGTGGTATTACTGATTGAGACAATGTAGTTATAGTGAATGATATGACTACTGCCGGCAACTGATTTGGCCGTGATGCTCACGTTTGGACCTGACCATTCAAGCACCTAAACACTGACATGACATTCAACTTTGCGAGATATCGAAACCCCATGGCAACATTGTTAGTCAGTTTCAATGAAATGGTTGTTCTCTTCCAGGTACTCTGTCAATCTCACTCCGTTATTGTCTCGACCAGTGTGACGAGGCCTTGATATTGACGACGCTGTCTTCTGACTTTACTATGAATCGCGGTTTTGTGAAAGTTTTTCTCAAGAAGTTGCTCAACGCAAAAAACTATCTCGTAGCTAACAAGAGCTTGAACAAACTTAATCTCTAAGTTCCCAGCAAATTCCCGTCAGCTGTGGAGAAAAATTAGAGGGATGTATCTTCGCTCGGAGCTTGTAGCGCCTTGCCCTCTATTACGACACCCTCCTTGCGAGTTTTTCATCACGGTTATTGCATCTCCTACACAACATAGATCTCTGCGGAACAAGACCAGGGCGAAGATAAAGAGGCTACGGAGAGTCAGGTACGGGATGTCAGAGATGTCAGAACAGAGAATGTGTATGTCGTTTCCTTGCATTGCACCGATGTGCTAGACATGTCATTTTCAAGCACAGGAAGCAGCTGGTACAGACAAAGAGGGTTAGCACGTGTTGACTTTTGTGCAGAAAATGACCGCATAGCCTAAGTTGTGTTTAGTTATGGATGCAAAAGAGGTTTAGGACTTCATGTAGCATTTGAGGAGCTTGTTGTGCAGTGTAATGGCGACAAACAACGCTTGTCGTAATTCCTCCATAGATGCGGAGAGTCCGGTATCGAGTTTGCTACCCTCTAGACTGTGACAGAATACATGATTTCCGGCAGTGTGGGAGGTTATTGATTGTATAAAATCAGTCTGTAACAAATAGACGAGATTGTCAACGACAGCCTATCGCCCCGCCCTGCACTGACCATGACCGATGTGGTTCAAAAGCTCAAGGAGCCACAGAGGTGCTCCTTTGGAGGGGCTGGAAGTGCTTGCTAGCGTGGACTATGCATTTTCAAGCCCAAACGCCACAAAACTCCCCACTCGGCATGGCAACATGGCGCATGGCTAATGTCAATGCACATGGACATATTGCTCACATGCTCGGCAGAATTCGGAAGCTCAATGGCCGCAACCCATTCTTCCGTAGGTACAGGGATTGCCCGCTCACGCACGCCCGGAAATGTCAAAGGACGCGTCCAGCCAATACTTCGGTGTAGCTTGGTGCAGTCGGAGTGGCTGAGATGCCTATGTAACAAATGCAATGGTGAAAAGCTGCAGGCAGCGCCTCAAATGAGGGGTCTTCGATGACGTCGAATCTGTCGGTGCCATTGCCATTAGCCTTTTGCAAAACGGCACAACCATGACAGTGAAGGCACATGGTCATGTAGCATACAAGCCTGGCTTGGCCGACGGAGATGTCCCTGCTTAGATTCGTGCTCAGCGCGTTCCTCGGATGTCTATTCTGTCTAGTGAAAAAAGTGCAAAGTGCGGGCCGCAAAATCTTGCCGCTTGATTGACTTTCTCCCCTCCATCTCGCACACACGACAACCAATATTCGTCCACTGGCCCCCGGTTACCTCGAATTCGTCGCCTACGACTCTCGGGACGCCGCCTCAGTCGCTTTGTGTTGTTGCCTGCCCGTCAGACTCGCTGCCGTGACCTCGATATTCGAGTGCCTGGAGCCCGACTCGCTACACAGCGTCCCTCTCCCGCGCGATCAGCCTACGACGCTCCTGCGAACCTGCTGCTTCCGTGCACTGTAGGCCCCGCCAAATAGTCTGTCCAGACTTGTGCCAGAGGTCAGTTTTCTTGCCCGCGTACACACCCACCCAAACCCCCGCCGCCTCCCGTCCGCTTGCTGTCTGCCCGCTTGTGCGCCTGGAGCCTGTCTGGAGCGCGGCGACTTTCTTGCTCGCCTTCCGCTTCTGTACTGGGCTATGTCGAGCATTGGCTCTTGCCCGCGGTCGTTCCTGCCCCTCCCGGATCTAGTGCCGGCCCGCGCATGCGATTCGACTTTTTGTTTACAAACCCCTCCTCGTCTTGTGCTGCCCGCGACCGCACCGCCGTACCCTTGCTGCGCCGACCCATGCTGACGTCTCAGATCACAGCCCGCATACGTTGTTCCAGTCGCCGGGAATTTCTCCGACAAGCACTCATCTTTCCTCCACGCCCTCCGTAGCACATCGTACTCGCGCTGCTCGTAGCAGTTTCGCCGTGTAACAAGAACCCACAGACGTTCAACGCGCAGCTTGGTGGCAGCACAGGGTATTACGTGCGGAGAGGTTACCAGTGCACCTCTCCGGACATCTCAGCACCAGCGCCAGTACTGGTCAGCAGAACCCCGTGCGCCCGTCGAAAAGACCAGCGCTCTTCTACGCCTTCCTAGTCGAACTCCACACATCGTTGAGACGTATACCCACAGCCGCCATGGCAGCCACATTTTCCTACGCGCAAGCCGCAAAGGGCATTTCACCAGCTCCCGCGAGCAAGCCAACATCTGGCTCCGCTACTCCAGCTAAGGATACCACCTCCACGCCTCCACCTACCACCCTCGCCTCGGTGAGGAGTTGGGCCGACGACGCCGAGAGCGAGTCCGTGACTGAGAAGCCTACGACTGAACCTGAAACCGACTCGCAGACGTCACCAAAAGCAGCCGAACCATTGCAGTCTGTCGAGACCTCTAGCGTATCCTCGCCAGATCTAGGCGCTTTGTCCGCCTCCACAGTGACCAAGGACGACGATGTGTCGTCGCAGCCCATTGCATCTTCCGAGTCGACATGGGACAACAAGTCCCAGGCCTCCACTTCAGTCGACAAGACGGTGGAGCCGGCAGAGAAGACCTCGGAGAAGGTTAAGAAGGGCAAAAACGCTGTCGTCAAGCCCCTCCAAGAGGCACCCCTGCCAACCGTGAACATTTGGAAACTGCGGGCGGACGAGCAAAAGGCCAAGGTGCACAAGACGGGACCTTCCCCTATCGCGAACAACCAGTCTCAGGGACCTACGGGAGCGGCAACCAAGAAGGCCAACTCCAGTACAAAAGAAAGCTCTGTAGCTGGTGACAGCAGGAACAAAGCACACGAGGAGGACAAAGCTGTCCAAGCCAAAAAGGATGGAAAGAGCGAAGTTGAGTCTAAGAAGGGTGTCAAGGGCAGGCCCTTGGACAAGGACACCAGATCAGCGTCAACTGTTCTACCTCCGCCCCCTCACCGTGATCAGGAGTCATGGCCAACACCGGAGAGTGTGGTGGATGAAGACCGCAAGAAGTCTCAGGGGAAGGGAGAGAAGGTCGAGAAAGATCGCAAGGACGTTGTGACTGCTGGGACCTCCGGCAAGCATGAGTGGGTGAAAGTTCCGTACACCCCGTCGGTTGTTTTCAATACGCCATTACCAAACGCAGCGAATCCGCGCAGAGGTGGGAGACCTGGAGGCCGAGGAGGAGCACAAACCGGTGGCAGGCCTACCAGCTTTGGCAGCAATGGTACCGGACAACCCGAAAAGGACGGATCATCGGCTGTTGTGTTGAACGGCGATCAGACACAGCGGGAGCGAGGCGAAGGAGACGCTCCAGGGGACGCATCCCCGAAGTCGAAGCCTACGGGCAACACTGCATCCCCAACCTCAAAAGATCAGGTGCCGACGGCTTCTGGAGAGAAACCCTCGAGCTCCACCAACCTTGCAGCATCTGAAGCTGACGCACAGGCTGGGACACCTTTGGTGAAAGACGAGTCTCAGGGCCACCACCAGAGCAATGGCCATTCTCGCCAGTACTCGAACAAGCCCTACAAGAGTCGACGGGGCGACTTTTCTGGTGCAGGGGAGCGGAGAAGGGAGGGTGGAGGATCGCCACCCAAGGATGGTACTTCTGACGACCGCCGATTTGCCGCATCAACACACACAGAAACCTCGGGAGACGGCGAGCGACGAGGATTCCAGGATGGCCCCAATGGTCACTCGTCCAAGCAAGGTCGCTATGGTACATACTCTGGCGGTCGCGAACGCGTTCGTGGAGGCGGTCGCGGCGCCAGAGGGAGCTACTCCAACGGCCATCAATTCGGGCATGGGCATGGCCACCAGTCATCGTCATCATTTTCGTTGGGACCACGGTCACCGACCTCCTTCAACCCCGAGAGCTTCTTCCCGGCTCCTCAGGGCAAGTTCCGCAACAGCCACCGTTCGCAGTCTATGACTACAGATCCTTTCCGATACACTTACCAAGGCGGACCTCCAGGTCCACCTATGCAGCCTTTTAACCCATACGACTACAGCATGATGCAGCCGATGGGTGCTTTGGCGTACAGTCCCTATGGCGTGGATCAACACGCGTTATTCGCCATGATTACTACCCAAGTGTAGGTGCTCTGCTGCTCTGATATGAACGGACTTGCTAACATTGGCAAGGGATTATTATTTCTCGGTTGATAACCTGCTCAAGGATATGTTCCTTCGTAAGCACATGGACTCGCAGGGCTTCGTGTCTCTTGAGTTCATTGCTGGCTTCAACCGCATTAAGCATCTATCGACAGATCTCGACATGATCAAGCTCGTTTGCCAGCAATCGAGCATTGTCGAGTACCGTACTGGCGACGATGGCCTGGATAGGCTACGCTGTAAAGATGGTTGGGACAAGTGGGTTCTCAACATGGCAGAGCGAGCCGAGACAGCACAGAACGAGGGGCCCAAGGAGCTTCACAAGCCCGCCGTCCCACAACCCAACGGATTCGACCAGTCCAGCCTACCTCAATATCCCGTGATGCCCATCATGGACATGTATGGTAACGAAGGGCCGTATCCGCAGACAAATGGCTATCATCCTGTGATTGCTCAAGATGCTGTACCAACACCGGCGGAGGCCTTGTCAAGTGCTGAAGACGCGAATGGTACGGTCATTCCCAACGGTCATCCGATCGAGAGTCCGACAAAGGCTGTGAGTGGAGAACCCGATTCTTTTTCTGATGCTCAACTGGAAAACTTGACTGTCATTGTGCGCAAGCAACACCAGTCACGAAGACCAGTTTTGCCTTCCTGCACTTCTCGAACCTTTTCTAATGGCTCCATCGATAGTAAACATGGCGCACAAGGAGAGTTGGATGAGGGAACCAGTCGCTCATCCGAGCCCTATGGTGTTGGTTCCTCCGAACGGTAAGCTTACAATGCTCTCAGTATGCCTCAGCTCAAGAATGTCTATGCTGGTGGAACCATCAATGGGAAACATTTGCTGACGCTATGGTAGTGTCGATAGCAATTTTGCAGAGCGCCTTCTAAGTATCTCAAGCCCGTTCAGATCGACTTCACCAACCCCCGTTCGCCTCTATTGGGTCAAAGACCAAGAGGATCCTGTTAATTCGATTCCTTCCGATTCTTCTCACGAACCATACCATCATCTGCGATCGAAAGCGTTGCAGCAACGTCAAAATTCTCCCTTTGGTACCACTCCTTACGACATGGATGTTCTTTACCAGTTTTGGTCTCATTTTCTTATCCGTAATTTCAACACACGAATGTACGACGAATTCCGATATCTTGCTTTCGAAGATTCTAGCCATCGCATGACAGATTTTGGGCTTTCAAATCTGATCAAGTTCTACGGGCAGTCTTTGTTATCCTCTAAGGGCGTTATTCGGCAACGTGTGGCTCACGATTACGTTGATTTGGTGAAGGGGACAGACAAGTATGGCCGTTCAGCTTTCAACCAACTACAGTCGGCCTTTCGTAACGGCGGCTTTGAACCTCGTAGTTGGAAGCGTATTAGCGACTGGCTGGACGGCGACCTCCTGGCTTCACTGGAACTATAGTAACTCGTGGCTTGTTATTGCGATTCTCATCTCGGCTTATGTTGCCTCTTATGCTACCCTGGGCGAGATTCGGGCGTTTTAAACAATACACCAAAAAGTTTGTGCCTAGGCGTTGGCACATGGATGGTTTTCGATAGACCTTCTGCACACAACCCGGTTTTTTTCTTCAAATGTTCTTATGATTTACAAATACCACAACGATATACTTTCTGGAACCTTGGGGACTTGGCTCTAGTTTCCGTTTGACCAAGGGTTTGCAATTGGACATGGCATTGTGGCTGGCGTCTTTTATCTGTTTTGCATGTTCGCTCTCCCGTTACCGATTCCCCTGTTCAGATCTTCTCCTCTCGGCATACCGGCATTCGTATTTTTGATACGCAGAATCCTTTCTTTTCTCTCCGGCTGCATCTGGTATTACATACACTAAAAAGCGACAAGTGTATGGGCTTTGTGTGGGTGGGCTTTTGTAAAAGTACGAAAATGAGCTACAACATTTGACTGGGAACCACGCTTCACCCTGGAAATGCATTTCATGTGAATTTGACATGACCAGAAGGCTTCGATGACCAGCAATGCACAATCTCCTTGGCGAGGAAGTTCAAAGCATGTGATGGTGGGTGAGTAGCGTCATACTGACCGGCCGGCAACTGCCGGGTGGCGAGACCCTGCGCCTCATTAGCATTACCCCGTCTCCACGCTTCCAACTCAACCACGACTCACCCCTCCCAACTACCCCGTGTAGGTACTGGGTACACGATATTCATCATGGCACCTGTTCTGGGGCGTTTGCATTCGCTGATAGCCAGGAATGCGAAAACATTCCAGTGAGTCTTTTGCAGCATCCTTCGTAGACGACAGCGCGCTGACGTATCCAGGGCTGCCTGGCGACATGCTGCGAAGCATATACAAAACCAGCTGCCAGCGAGCGCACGACCTACCCAAGCCCAGTTGCAACCAATCCTTGTGAGAAATGGCCCGAAACATGCTGTCCATCGTATTGCGCTGCTCAAGCAGAGCAAAGGCCGGTGGTACACGACCCATAGCGCCATCACCGCCACTGTGAAACGATTCACAACATCCGCCCGACCTGCAGGCGTCAAGTTTGACAAGTCAGCTTTTCCCAAGTCACGAATCGGCACCATTCTCAGCACGCAGAGCGGACGCGCACCCTTTGCCTCGACTCTCCGCCCGAATCTGACTGGCGGAACACTTGGCCGAAGTGCTGGAGGATATGCGTGGGGCTCTGGCAAAACCGGAGGTGCTCGATACTTTTCACACGGTCCAGCCGCGCCTGCTCAGGTCATCAGCAATGTTTCCCAGGCAGTGCGAGCATTTTTGATCTCGGGCCAGAAGGCGCAGTTCAACGGCATCGATTCACGCACGGGAGAGAAACGTTTCAAATCCGTCTCTGCTCTGCAAGACCAGGTCAACCGAACTCTAAACAAAGTGCCTAAGGCTACCCCAGGCTCGTACATTACCTTCAACATCAACCCCACCGTCACGGCCTTGACCGCCGGCGGATTTAAGGGCTTTGGCTCCTTCGTCCAGGAGAAGGAATCGCTCAACAACGAGGGCCTTTTGGATATCCTCTCTGTCGACTTTTCCCGAGCAGTCAAAGAGCTAGCAGCTGTTTTGGCAGACCTGCAACGTTTATCAGAGCTGGGAGACTTACCCATCTCCTACGAGCACTCAACGCTGAAGGTACATTTCCCGGGCTGTGACGCTCAGACGGTGGAGACGATCTGTAACGATTTTGATGTTCAACGGGGAGTGGTTTGTCAAGACGAGAATTTCGATGCCTTCGTTGGCACAGACATCGCCTTGCTATTTCCCTTCGCTTCCAGCAGGACACCCTCAGAATGCTCGTTTCTTGAGAAGCCCGTTGCTGGTCGGCAGCATGTTCAACCAATTATTGACTGGCAACACATGCTCACGCCGTCTGTGTTAAGTTCAGATGCCTACTCGACGCATTCAGAGAATGGATTTGATGATTTTGTGGATCTTGATGAAGAGAACCCATGGTTGTCGGAGTCGCTATCTGGATACGAAAGTCTTCACACCAGCGAGGTAGGAGACACGGACCTGCACACCCCTTTCGAGTACCAAGGTGTGGAAGGCATGTATAGATTCCTGGCACAGTGCGAGTCGGGCGCCAGCGTCAGATAGAGGAATGCCATTGAGATGGGCGTTTGGTTTGGATTATCCCATGGTCCGCTGGAATAAACCCGCGGATGTCGGGCCGGCTATTAGCCAGTTGAATCGCATCGGCAAGTCGGTGTTATGCCCCACGTTAGAGTTCATTTAGTGTAGAGTTTTGATTTTGATGTTCTCTAGACCTGTGCCACACGATCCTATTGGCCGAATCCGCGGGTTTATTCCAGCGGACCATGGGATACCAGTCGGCTTCAGATTGTCACGACAGCGTTGAATTTTTATGAACTCATATATGAAAAACTCCTTCTCTGTGCAGTGAACACAAACACCGGCTTACACAATTCGTGCTGAGGCTATCTCTTCGCCAGCCATTCGTCTTGCACTTGCCCATGACACACGCGAACATGTTCCGGATATAGCAACGGTCACATCCGTAGCGGCGGCGGCCATTAAAGGAAGCCGTCCTCTCGCCTCCTTATGCCCGCAGACTTTGTCATATTTCTACTTCACTGACCAATGAGAGACGGATGAATTAGCGAAGGGTTTTATGACGCTCATGTAAAAGTTTCCGCGGATTGGTTTATTCCCGAGTCGCGATTCACTACCGATAATATTTCCCAGCCTTTGAAAGGCGGTGATGACTCGACCAGTCTTTTTGTTGGTTGCTTAGACACTATGGATTTTCATAAAAAGTGATATACCGCCCTTCAGTATTCAACAACGTCGTTGCTCATAATTTGTTTTTCGAGTTTGCACGTTTTTTGAAGGCGAATCACTTCCGAAGCAAAACGGAAATGGCCCGACAACCAGGACAGGGGAACTCAGGGGACGTGGCGAGCATAGAAGGGGCGGAAAAGAGAACGGGGACTATGAACGTCGGGAACGGCCTCCAGGCACAAACAGGCATCGAAAAAGAAGGGAGAAGAACGACAGGAGAGGAGGGACGCGTCCAGCAGAGTGTGGAAAAGACAGTCGACGTCCCACCAAATGGAGGATACGGATGGGTTTGCGTCGCGGCCTCTTTTATAATCAACGGGTAAGAACACAACGTCGTACTCTAGATACAGCGTAGACTAACTTCCACCAGGCACACATGGGGTCTCAACAGCGCCTATTCCATCTTCCTGGCCTACTACCTCGCAAACAATGTATTTCCTAATGCAACCCCGTTACAATACGCCTTCATAGGCGGTCTGTCCATTTCACAAGCCCTCATCGTCTCACCTGTTGCCACGCTCACCACGCGCCTCTTCGGCACCCGGACTACTCTTTTCATCGGCATCGGTTTCGAAACAATCTCCTTCATCGGCGCTAGTTTTGCCACGCACATATGGCATCTTTTCTTAAGCCAAGGCGTTTGCTTCGGCTGGGGTATGGGCTTCCTGTTCGTCGGCAGCGTAGGCGTATCCGCGCAATGGTTCACCACACGTCGCAGCCTTGCCAACGGCGTAGCGGCGGCAGGATCCGGGATCGGTGGCCTTATCTACAGCTTGGGCGCGCAGGCGATGATCAAAAACATCGGACTACCATGGGCGTTCCGCACACTGGCCGTCATTGCATTTGTGATAAACTCCATCTGCGCGCTACTCATCCGGGACCGCAACAAGCAGATTGGCAGCTCGCAGTTGTCGTTCGATCACACGCTTTTCGCAAAACCGCAGTTCTTGGGTCTCATGGCGTTTGGGTTCTTGTCCATGCTGGCTTATGTTGTTCTGCTGTTTTCGTTGCCTAACTACGCCCGCACCGTGGGGCTTACGTCAACGCAAGGATCCATCGTCGGCGCGATGCTCAATTTGGGTCAGGCGTTGGGACGTCCTTGTATTGGGTACTACTCTGATTCTTTTGGACGGCTGAACATGGCTTCAACGATGACGTTCTTGGCAGGTCTGTTCGCGCTGGTGATATGGATGTTCGCGAAGAGCTTTGGAGTGCTCATCTTTTTCGGCCTCATTGGAGGAAGTGTGGCGGGTACATTCTGGGCTGTTGTTGCGCCGGTTACGACGGAAATCATGGGGATTGTGGATTTGCCGAGTGCATTGAGTATCACGTGGTTGGTGTTGGTATTACCTACGACTTGTAAGTTTCCCCCCTTTTTTCTGCTATGGTTTACGCGGTTGCTGACGGATTTATCAGTCTCCGAAGCTATTAGTCTCAAGATTGTGAGCCTGAATGGTGGAAGTTATACTGGCGCGATCATCTACACGGGAGTCATGTATATCGCCGCTGCTGCTTGCTTGTGGGCTGTGAGGGCGTGGAAGATTGGCGAGTTGGAGGAGAAGGCTGCAGCGGGAGATAACGACTTCCGAAAGAGCCCCTTCTTGAAGAGAATGATCATATGGCAGAGGGTGTGAGCGTTGATCGAGGGACTGCCATTTGGGCACTGCATGTTTGGTGTATTGGGTGCATCTAGATGTTGACATGGGTGGATCGTAGTGTATCCACCTGAAGTACGGCATATTCACCATCTCCACACATTGGCCTTGTGAGCAGATTTGGTGGATACAACGTAGAATAATTTTCAAAAGTGGAAAAGCGGGGCATACACTGTACTTCAAGGGGGAACCACTGTACGCGTAGAGTTCAGAAATTCGAACGACACCGACCACTCACCATCGCAGCAAGTGGCAGGTTTCAGATATGTCGTGCTTACGGCCAGTTGGTGACCTGTACGTCTGATTCGACTCAAAAGGTAGGCCACTGTAAGGCCATCCGACGCGTTGTGCTCTATGAACCGCGTTCCGAATCATGATTTGCCGGGTCTCTCGTGACAGACGTCCATGTGAAAAACCACTCGACGACGTCAAAAAACGCTGGAGCCAGGGTGGAAGGCACTGTACCCCAAATGTACCACTCATGTGCGACTTTGCATGTGGCCTTGGCGATCCGAAGCGTTCGTCCACCAGTCGCGTCGACCCCTAATAACCACGCTGGCGTGCATACACCGTGCATGCACTAGCGTCATGTAATCCATCTCCTCCTGACTTTGTAACCCTCCCTCCACCAGCCCTGTTCGAGCTTGTAACTGCTGCCACTGCGGGATGCATGCTCGTCCTGTCGTCTCCAGACCAGCACCTTGCAGTTCCATGTCGCTCCTTTAGGCTTTCGGCTACGCGCGTTTCCTTTCTCATACATAATTATTTAGCCATTGATCGTTGAATGCACGCTCGACGCATTCCCTCGTCCCCGTCCTCGCCGCCCCCGCCCTCCTCGCCGCCCGCGTTCCCGCAGACGTTCGGCGACGCGAGCTTCTCCCCAGAGGCGCGAGGTGCTCTCTCCCCCACGCAGACGCTGTGGACGGCCCAGTCGCCCACCCTCACCCTCGGCCACTCGAGCCCAGAGCTCCCTCCGCTCTTCTCCCGCTCGGCCCTTGGAGGCAACCCGCGCACGCCCTCGACTGCTGCGAGGCACGAACGCACGGACACGTCGTATTACACGGCCAGCTGGGGCAGCCCCTATCGCAACTCACCCCCGACCTTCGACCACCAACGCCACGCTTCGGCGCACTTTGGCAGCGACGACCTGGACGAGGGCTCATCAAGTCTCCAGTTTGGGCTCGAGCATCTGCTTCCGCCGCGACTTGGTGTTGAGGACGACTCGCCGAACCGGTTCAATCTCGACCATCTCATCCCGCGATTGGAGCAGAACGCATCGCCCAACCGTTTCACCCTTGAGCATCTGATCCAGTCTCGGCTGCCACATATCGAGACTCCCACCAGAGAACCCACCCCGTGCGTATCCGACTCCAACCCGACCTCCGAAGAGTGGATCCACCACTTCTTGAGCGAGCGTTGGAACCGCGACAAGAACGACTGGAAAAGCGAGAGTGGTGACATTCGCCCGGAAATCGAACCGCAACACAAGCAAAACCTTGCTGCCCCAGAATCGCCCACAAGAGGTCACAAGGCCCGAAGCTTCAACAAAACCCTGAACCAGCAGGACTTTTGGCGCCACTTCAGCAGCGATCAGAAGGAAGCTTTTGGCAAGATGATGGCATCCAAGTATGCAGAGTCCCCTGTCGCCCCACACCTGTCTGGGGCCTCGGGACACGATCTTCCTACTCTTCGGACAGCCATGCCACAGAACATCCACGCGGAGAGGTCGCCAATTTCACCCCAGTTGCTGACACCCTCGAAACCAACTGAGTCAATGCGCGAATCGCTGAACAAGACGCCAACCCCCTTCGATTCGGTGCGACAGCCTACCCCTCGCACGCGCAAGAAGGTCATGGTCAAGGGCAAAGGATGCATCATCTCGATCCCGCACGATATCCCCAGAGGTACACCTGGATACCCTCCCAAGCCTATGAGCGCGGAAGCGGTACACACGAAACTGCAGCAATTCCAGAATCAGGGATACGACACCAATGGTTTTGGTCATTGGAGGGGTGAGAACTCAGCGGGAGATCCGCCACACAATCGAGCCATATGGCCAGAGGAGGATGATGTGCGCGCAGAGAGAGCCAATGCAAAATCCCAATTTCGAGTCCGTGTGGCTAAGAAGGCTGAGTGGGACACGTATGTGAATTCTTTGCTGGAAGCGAAGCTTGCGGCACTGGGCGTCAGTCAGGGTGGCGAGGACGATATGCCGATGCCTATGTCGAGATCGGGCTCTACACAGCAATACCCAGGTCTGCCTTTCTCGCCTCCACTGCCTCCGTCATCAGCTGGCAGTCATATCCGTATGAGGCAGGGAAGCATTGTAACAGGCCCTTTCCCACATGGACCTTCGCCAGGGCACATGTCTCGACAATCAATTGCTTCGCCAGGGCATATGACTCGACAGTCGATCGCCTCACCAGGATACATGATGGGACACATGTCTCGACAATCTATGGCATCGCCAGCTGCTTTTTCCAATGTGCGTCCAAACATGCACATGCACCGTCACTCCACGTTTGCATCGCCTGCCAATTTTGCTCAGCATGCAATTTCTCCCTCTGGTACATGGTCTCCAAGTGGCTACTTTGGATCCCAGGATGGACGGGGCCCATCGCCTGGTCTACCTATGGGCAGGCCCGAGTACTCTAACCTTCCATCCCCTCTTACTCCGTTTGGCATGAGACCTAACCAGCAATTCTCTAATGCGCCGCCGCATAATGATGACCTGATGGCTCAGATGCAAATGCAGCAACAGCAGCTTCAGACGCAACTCTTCCAACAACAACAGCAGCAGCACCTACAGCAACAGCAACAACAGCAACAGCAACTCTTGGGCCTACGACCGTCATCTACACTTGCAGAAGTGCCCGAAGACGAAGGCGAGGAAGATGAACTACCCGCGCTGAAACATGCTGTCCAATCTGTTCCGGAGATCGCTGTACCAACTCCTCGCCATCGTCACAACATTAGCGAGAATCTTGAGCGTGAGGCAGCTGATGCTGAGTATCATCTGGAAGAGGCCATCGACAAGCAGTTCGCAGAGGGAGGAGACTTTAATACAGAACACGAGACCACTGGACAATTCAAGCCTTCGAAGGCTGTTACTAATTCTTCGTGGGATAGTTCTCGCGCTATCTTGCATCAGCCACAGCCTCATAGCAGAGCCCATTCCATCACCAAGTCCCAACAACCCAGGTCTTTTGCGTTCCCTGCGCAGCAACAACAGAACCCTCGTGAGAATAGCGATGGGGCTAGGACCACTGGTTCCGTTAACTCGATTCCCAGCCTGGAAGATGGCGAGATTCGTGAAACAACCCAGACTTCGACGCAACATTCCAAGGTTTCGTCGCAGGTCAGCAATCCATGGAAAGACAACAAGTTCGCTACTGTCAATCCTGCGGTGCACAGCAAGCACGCCTCGCGCTCATCGATCTCGAAGCTTAACGTGGAAGCCAAGGAGTTCAAATTCAACCCCGCGGCCTCGTTCAATCCCGGAACGTTTTCGTCTGGTTTTGCATTTGCGCCTGCGCCTGCGGTCAAATCGCCTGCTGATGCCTTGCCCCGAGGCAACAAGCCTAGTATCGATGGTATATCTAGCTTCAATGTCACGGCGCCTGCCTTCAAGCCAACTGCGCCGACGTTCCAGCCTGTTGCAGAGATTCCCGTCAAGCCTGTGGAGGCAACTCCTGCCTCACCTGTAACAGAAGTCACTGAAACCAAACCTGTTGATACGAACGGTTCTGCTTTCCCCTCCAGCGGGTTCAACTTTTCTAGCCCACCTTCCATCAAGCCAGATGCGGCAAGCTTCAACAATACCCTGTCTGGTGATCCCGATAAGCCAACACCTGCCCCAACCAGCTTCTCTTCGAAGATCTTCGGAGACGTCAATATCTCGGCTAGCGACATTGTTAAGCCAGCCATGCGCTCCAAAGCTGTTCCAATTGTGCGTCCAGATGATACGCAGCAGAAGACACCCGAGAAGGCGACGGAGGATGTGGAAGAACGAGAGGATGAGGAGGGACGTCCCATGCAGGCTGAGGGTCGAGAGAAGCGTGTCAGGCGCAACCGTACGGATGGCGATGATGTGCCTAAATTCGCATTGCAACCTATCCTTCCATCTCAGCCCACCATCGAAGCGAAATATCTTCAACCCTCCGAGTCGATCTCGAAACTTGGGGCTGATGATCTGCCAGACGATAAAGAAAACCTGTCGCCCAACAAGGAACGAACGAAAGCGAAGGCGAAGAGTCCGGATCCTCTTGTCTTGCAGCGCGACACGCATACCACCAAGGCCGCCAAGTCTACTTCTCAAGCCGAGATGTCGGTCACTAGCCCTCTTGATGGAAAGACATCTGTTGAAAGCGATGAGCGTACTCCTACCATTGACAAGGTACAACGGGAAAAGAAACATGCGCATCAGAAGAGCTCATTGTCCGCCGCCGCGGAACCGTTCGAGCTCCGGTCTGAAGCTCCTGGCAGTACTGATTACGATTTCGGCTTCCACGTTACGAAGCCATCTCAGAACAGGGAAATTGAGAGAGCTCAGGATATCCTATCCAAGTTTGCAGATACGCCGTCCAGATACACAAGCAGGAGTCCGGCAACGACTTTCCAACCCAGCGATGCTGGATCCTGGAAGACAGCCGCTTCGCGCAGACGTGCACCTTACCCTGAGAGCGAGAGCGTTGACTTCGACCCATCCTTCAATGATATCGATGCTGTCATGAAACATATGAACGAGGAGGGTTCTGACTTTGGCGTTGAGCGCGATGACGACTCCTGGGCAAATTCTTCTCCTGGAAGAACAGCGCTGGACTTCAACCGCACTGACCTACGGCCCACCACAAACTCGCGTAGCGACGCTCCAAGTCCCAGCCCTCGCAGACTCTTCCCTCTAAGGAATGTGCAAGGGTCGGCGACATCACTCCAAGATCCATTCGACGATGACCGCGCCGCCATTGCATACGATTCCACCGTGCATCGCCTGAACAACGCAGACGAGGTGCCAATAAGCGACTGGGACGAAGGCCTCCTGACTGAAGGAGAAGACAGGCTTCACATGCGCAGTCGTTTCTTTGACCAGCATGTTGATGACATTATGGGTCGACTTCTGCAGAACCGTCTCGGCCCTCTTGAACAGAATTTGCAGAACATTCAAAATTCACTGGTCACGATGTCGCAGGGACCGAAACGCAGTCGGCGAAGCATGTCCACAGAACGTCTGGATAGCGATGCTGATGACGAAGATGATGATGTTGGTGCTGACTCCCAGTACCGCCCTCGATCTCCGAGGAAGGACAGAAAACTGGACAAGATCCGGGCTGTTGTCACGGAAGCACTTGCTGCGCATCAGCCAACCGCTGTACCTGTTCAGCACGTTGCTGCTGAGGAAATCCGAGCCATGGTGAATGAAGCCTTGGCGGCACATGCCCCTCCTTCGGCTTCTGAGCAAATCAAACCAGAGACGCTCCGCTCGATCGTTGCCGATGCTCTTTCGGCTCATTCGCTGGCAACCCCGATCGAACCGCAACTTGAAGCTGTCCAGCCAGATACGATTCGTTCTATCGTCACTGAAGCGTTGGCTCTCCACAAGCCAGCTGCTCTTGAGGCTCCTATCGACATCCCCCAACCTCAAATCGATATGTCTGAGATGTATCAAATTGTTGGAAGTCTCAAGGCTTCTATTGCGCAAGCTACCAACAACCACTTGCAGGCGCAAGATGTTCGCGAACTCGTTGATGATGCCTTCAAGCGTCAAAGTGTCGAGGTCGCCAAACGCGAGGATACTCAGGCTCTTCAAGAGAAGGATGCCCGTATTGCTGAACTAGAAGCAATGCTCAAGGAGGCTACTCTACGCTCCGAGTCTGAAGCGGAGGCACGCATGGCGCTTGAGGTCCGGGAAGTGGATACTTCACGTTTGCTCAAGGTTACCGAAGAAGAGCTCGTTCTCCTTCAAAAGTCGGCCGTCGAAGATGAAACCAAGATCCGAGTTTTGGAAGAAGACCGAGATGTCACCCGCCGTACCCTCGACGCATACGAGGTCAACAGTGATGAGATTCGTGTTAGAGTTTCAGCTCTTGATGCTGAAAACGAGGAACTCAAGCTCAAGACAATTGTGTTGAAGGCATCTGAGGAGGAAACTCAAAACAGGCTTGACGCCATCACTGCCGAGAACGACGCACTAACTTCTACACTGGAGGAGCATCGTCTGTCCGCTAGTAAATGGCGAACCCAAGTTCAGGAGTCGAAGGAGGAGAACGATAAACTACGCAAGGCGATCGATCAAACACGCTACCAAGCTGAAGAGTCTACGCGCGTCCGTGAATTCATGCGCTCCAAGCTCGAGAAACTGCAGGAAGACATGGTCATGGTCTCCCAGCAGATCGCTGCTGAACGCGCTCAATGGCACAAGAACGACGAGATATCTATGAAGAAGTACGAGGTTCTCAGTGCTCGCATCGAAGCCGAGGGACGAACACGTGAGAGGTTGGAGAGAGAACTTGAGCGTCTCGAGACTCAAGAACGCGAAGGCATGAAGCTCAGGATGCATCTCGAACAGACCCAGAATCACAACGCCAGGCTCGAGGAGGCTCTTGAACAACTCCGAACTGAATCCTTGGAGCATCAAAAGAACGCCGCGAGGTACGAACGCGACATGCGAGAGGCGAGGGATGCAGCTCATGTTGAAATCCGACGCACTCGTGTGCTCTTGGAGGCCGACATCGATGCAGCCAACAACCAGGTCAACATTGTCCGACATGACCTCGAAAGTCAAAACGCCCGCATCCGCGCTGAGCTCGACAGCGTCCGACTGGATACCGACACCCTCAAAGAGAAACACGAGCTTGATTTGGAGGCAGCATCCGATGCTAAGAAACAAGCTCTCCTCGAAGCACACGAGAGCAGGAAGCACAGCCTTCACGAGCAGCAACGAGCCTTTGAACGTCAACTCGAGCATATCCAACATGAGCATGCTCGTACCCTCAATTTCGCGCGTGAGGACAGGGAGCGTGCAGAATCCTTCCACAATGACAAGCTTGCGCTCGCTGATGCCAAGACGGATCACTTGAAGGACAAGGTTGCTCTTCTGGAGGAGAAGTTACAAATCGCCAAGGAGGCTGCCAGTGCTGCTATCGCAGCTGCATCGAAATCTCCGATACCTACCTCCTCGAACAACTCTAGTGGGCCGGAGAAGATCTCACCTCAAGCACTGCGCGAGTCTATCGCGGTGTTGCAAGACCAACTTCAGGAGCGTGAATCACGCATTGAATCTTTCGAACACCAACTGGCGGAGATTGACACGGATGCACCAGCCAAGCTCAAGGAGCGCGACTCGGAGGTCAGCTGGCTTCGCGAGCTACTCGGCGTCCGCATTGACGATCTGAACGACCTCATCAGTGCCCTCGCCCAGCCAACCTTTGACCGCGAGAACGTCCGTGATGCGGCTATTCGTATCCGCACAAATCTGCAGATGGAGCAGCAAGAGAAAGAACGCCAGATCACAGGCGGTCAGCAGTCTTTCCCTACCCTTGCCACGCTCACCAATTTTGCATCGCCTAAGGCTGTCCAGTTTGCCGCCGCATTTGGAAACTGGCGCAAAGGCCGTGAGAACGCTACCTCCGCCCTCGCAGGCTCGTCAAGCGCTTACTCGCGCAACCAAACACCATCTCGTGCCGCCCCTCAACCCGGGCAGTCGTTCCTATCCGGACTTATGACCCCACCCACGTCGAACCTGCGGCGCACCTCTGACCTTTCAGCATCGTCAGTGCGTCCACACAATCCGCGCTCAAGCTCCTCGAGCTCACGCGGCTCGACAGAGGCTGGGTTCCCCACCCTGGGCAAACAACCGGTGGCCCCAAGTACGCCACCACTAATGAGGAAGGCGAATTACGACCGTGATGCAGAGGTCGAGTCGTTTTCTGAGAACGGTTTCTACGACGATGATAGCATGGTCGATGGCGAAGTCGATGGCGATCTTACGCCCCTTGGACTGAACTTTGGACATGATTTGAGGCGGTAAACCCATCAACACAACATGGCAATATTTCCTATGTATGTTTTTTCTTTACTGGGCTCGAAACGAGCTTCTCTTTTGTATGTGTCTGCCCTTCCCTTTGGTTTTAATTTCGCGCTTCGTCTTGTACCTAATGCTTGCTTGCTCGCACACTTTGTTTGGCTGTTGTCTCTTTAGCGCCCATTGTTAGCATACCTTGTTATGGTTGGATATACCCCCAAGATCGATTGGAATATTTCTGGCCTCAGATTGTATACTTTGTTGCGTACTTTTTTCTTTGCGTTTATGTCGGTATCGGTGGAGGGGCTGGGAAATGGCGGTAATGCTCGGGATTAGGTAACAATATATCTCTAGAGCTGTAATCTGGTTGATATGCTTTGTGTCAATTACCGTGTTCATGCTTGAAACTTTGATGATCACCAATGCACTCTAGGCATAGATCATGTGAGTATGTGCTGGGGGTTTCTGGAGAGAGTAGACACGATAGTAGAATCATCTTCAAGCTTTGAATGCCGCTCTCCATGTATAGCTTCTCCTGAAATTTGTATCGTATCCTGATTTTATAGTACATATCGCATGTCTGAGAAGCAAACAGATGCGCAGGATTAATACCAAGTAATCTAGAATTAAGCCCGTCAGGCCATGAAGATGAAGAGTCTAATGTAGAATGTACAACGCCCGAAAAATTCCAGCCCCAAATACACCACCATGTCATCTCTCTAAGAAAGCCCTGTCCAAAGTTCTGTTGTCCTCACTGTCGTAGAGCTCTCTCGCAAGCTTGTCTATTCTCTACGTTTTCTTGACCTTCGTCTGCGTATCCTAGGTCCACAGCCATTTGCGGCACTTCGACGCACCACACAAGCAAGGAATGGCGCCCTCACCAGGCTCATCGATCGTCTCATCGTCGTCTTTGTCAAGGTAGTCGAAAGTCAGCTCTTCGCCAGCAGGAATGAAGTGGCACGCAAAGAACGCAATATCATACACTCTACAATCGTGCTTGTTGTAGCTGACAGTGTACTGACGACAATTCGGCTCACAGGAGTGATTAATGAACTTGGAGGGGCCGCCCATAAACTCGCCATCGACGACGTAAATATCCTGTGGTGCAAGGTTCTCCGACTCTGCAAATTTGTCGAGGGAGTACAGATATGAAGCTTTGGCCTTGGAGGAGGCTTCCTCACGGCGCGTGGCTTCCGCGTCGGTGATTATCTCGCCGCGGTACGTGTCGATGAATTGGCCTTCGTGGAGGTCTTCCCTGCACCGTAGACCCCAGCCTCGTCCGCTGGGCGTCTTGAATATCTCAACCTCGACGGTGCGGCCAAACTGCACGTTCTTGTTGCGGCAGCTCGGACCGCACCTGCAGTTGTTGTTGCACTCGTAGATGGGATTGCGGGACTTTAGGTAGAAGTTCACCAAACAGCCAGCGCGCTGGACTTTCGTACCCTCGGCGAAGTAGGGGAATTTCTTCGGATAGCCCATTAGCGAGCCACCGGTGGCGAGGGCCAGCTCGTACTCTTCCCTCGTGTCTGGATCTGTGATGCGTGACTCGTCGACGGCAGCGTACTCAAGACAGTCGCATTTCTTCGTGTACTCGCAGCCGATGTCGCGGCCCATATGTGGGGAGCATTTCTGACACCCTACTTGCGAATCTAACGAAGCTCGATGGACACCTGGCGCGAGGACGTAGTCCATGATGTATCGAAACCGCAAGGACGGCGTGGACGAATCCATCGAGTTGAATAGCGAGATCGGCTTGCCAGGTACCCTGTTTAGGCGCCGAACATACTCAGCGCGAATCAGCATGTTTGTTGTCTCGACTTTGGAATCACGTGCTGCTCTCATCATGTCTGAAGTAGGGAGTGTACGGGTGTCGAGCTTCTGGATTCCGGCACCGGATGCCTATTGCTTGGTCAGTGATATTAGTGGATGGCAAGGTATGACACTGACAGGACGGCAGTATATGAACCCATTCTCGGTCGAATCCAGGATCCCGTTGTACACATCAATGCTGGGCACAGGTGTTGGGTTAGAGGAAGTCGACACTGACGACGATCGCGAGAGCGACGGGGTCTGACTTCTTTGGTGAAGTCTACCCTCGAAGGGTGATGGCCGACGCTCAACATCCAGTCCTGTATCTGGGCTTTTTCGCTTGCGAGATGCACCCTGAGGGAGCGAAACTTGTGATGGCCTTTAATAGGTCAGTTAAATGATCACAGTGTTGAGACTAAACTGTCTTACTTTGGTCTCGAATCCAAGTAATCTTGAACTTCTTCTAGGCATCGGGACAGCACGTTGATAGAGTGCCAACTGAGAGGTGGCGTTGTAGTTGAGTGGCTTGTCTCCCATCGTACTAAGAACTGCTCAACCTAAAGGAGCAACATCAGATCGACAGCGCACGGACCATGTTTTGATGAGGCTACTTACTCCGTCTTGTACGCGATTACATACGATGGAGTGGACCTAGAAAGAGAAAGTGTTAAAAGACGCGTTAAAACGATGTTAAAGCGTCTTTTACCTTGTCTACTGCTACTCGGCTCGTGCTGCGGCCATCTGTGGGTATGACGACCATTGCTGGCATGTCTTCCCTGCATCGTGTAAGCGTTGTTGATAGACCCTTAGTTCAATGCTCGAATCGTCTTAGCAATAATGCTTTTTCTAAACTCTATATCCCGACAGCGGAGATATTCTGTTAGGTCAACAAACAGAGCGGCGAAGATCTTACCGTGATTAGATAGAGAACTAGACCTCTAGAACATTAGCAGCTTCTAAATCTTCTTAGAAGCAATAACTTACAGTCACTAGTTGTTCTATCTAACTTTTGTTTATGTCTAGGGTGTGTAGGGCAATATAGAAGGTGCAGTAACTCTAGTTGTTTGTTAGGCTAGGCAGCAGACGCTAGTGTGTTTTGCTTAGTCATTGCGTAAGGGTTTAAGAAAAAAATTAGTTAATTATAATACATAAGTGTAACTAGAGAACTAAAAATCCCAATAGTAAAAAGGTCTTTTTCCTATCCTAAATAAGTTTCTAGGCTCTAGCATAGCTATTTTTGTGTTTGTTATTTTCTTAGGCATTTGCAAACCTACAGTTGCACTACGTTCGAGCAGGTTAGATGCGCAGGCCAACCTAGCAGGGGTCTTATCTGGTATTAGGTGCTTGATCTGCTACTAACCAAGCACGTTGTCACCAATTCGCTGTTGTATCTTAACGTTTCCCGTTTCAATAGAAGCATATTTGCAGCTTTAAGACATAGTAAGTTTCTAGACGTTTTTTTTAAATTTTCAAATACCAGCCGGCTGTTCATGTCAGGCACCACAAGGCTCAAGTTCGCGGTTTCCACGCTAGTTCACCAGGCGCCTTATCGATAAGAAAAAGTTTATGCATCGACGTCCCGATTCTACAGACTACCGCAGAACAATCCAACAACGACAGAACCAAATATGTCAGACACGCAGACCAATCCTTTTATCAAAAGCCTCGCTTCGAGTGGTATGCATCCCCCACCTTTCGCGTACGAGCGGACTATGCGCTAACACCGCATTCGCAGAGAAGAAGATTCGCGACAATGCCCTGGAGTCGCTGCGAACCTACCTCACAGCGCAGAAACAGATTGCAGAGCTAGATCTGTTAAAACTATGGAAAGGTCTTTTCTACTGCCTGTGGATGCAAGACAAACCCGCGCTACAACAGCAGCTCTCCCGCGACCTCGCCGCCCTCGTCCCCGTCCTGCGCAAAGCTGTCGTCTTGCCTTTCATCCGCGCCTTCTGGCTGACTATGGCGCGCGAATGGTCGCATATCGAAGCACTGAGACTAGACAAATATCTCTATCTCATTCGCCAGTACCTCAACACTTCGTTCACGTTTCTTGCGCGCAGGCATTGGAAGACAACGGTGCTGCAGGAGTGGAATAATATTGTGGAGGAAACGCCGCTGGAGCCGACGAACATGAAGATCCCGAACGGGCTGCGATACCACGTGTTGGATATCTGGGTCGACGAACTGGCGAAGGTGGAGGAAGGGTGGGAGAAAGAGGAAAAACGAGAGACTTTGGAGACGTTGGTACAGCCCATTGAGAAGCTGGCCAAGGAGGGCAAATTAAAGGTTCTGAGGGTCGCGGCGAAGGAGTGTCTCGCGGATGAGCGCCTACGGGCCTGGAGAGGGCAGGAGGATGAGGAGATGGTGGATGAAGAGGAAGAGGAAGAGGAGGAGTGGGGAGGATTTGAGTAGGGGGTTCTGCTGACTATTGGAGACATGGAGAAGAGTTGCATATCTTTCCAGCGAGGCGTTTACGGTGGTCGCATTGTTTTTTGGGGTATGCTAAAAGTTTGGGTTTCAGGCTGCGTTGGAAGTCGTCTAGAACCTATGCTTAATTGCGAGTTCTGTGATGACGGCGGTATATATCAGCTCTCGCCAAGAACACCTCAGCAAATCCAAAGATTGGTCTAAATCACAGTGATCCTAAACGCCATTCGACGCGACACTGAACGCGTTAAAAGCGCCATGCGCGTGCATGACGTCAACTCCCCAAAGACTATGACGACTACACCCATCCTCTCAACTTCCCAAAAACCCCCCTTAAGATCACCATCTCCTCCAAACCCAACCGTAGCTCCATCCCAACTCCCAAACACCGCCAACACCCCCCCAAAACCAAAAAATGTCCACCAAATCCCCCGCCACAAACCCGACTATCACCCCGGACCCAAAAAACACAGGCTCCACAATCCGCAAAGCCTTCCTCACCGAAGCAATCGCAAACCTCTTCACCATCCCCTTGATAACAAACACGCACCTCGTCCTCTCCTTCCTGCTCGCCCACCCCGCCCGCGACACAACCCCCTCAACAGTCCTCTTCGCGCGCCTCTTCGGCGGCATCGTCGTTGGCGGGTTGACGTCCGCGCTCTTATCCGGGTACTCCAACACGCGGAATGGGATTGAGAGTCGGCGGCCGACGTACTTGATGCTGGGGATTGGCGAGGCGATGTTGATTCCGATTTTGGTGCTTGAGGCGCTGAAGGGGGGTGCGGCGGGGGCGGCGTTGACGCCGAGGGTTGCGTGGGGGAGTGTTGGGTTGCTTGCTCCGCCGTTGGTGTGGAGATTGTATGTTTTGCTTGTTAGGCCGGATTTGTTGGGGAGGTATACGGATGGGGAGGGGAAGAAGGGGGGAGTGGATGGGGGGAGTGGGACGACTTGTGAGTTTTGATCAAGGTTGAGAGGGAGTGAGGGTTGCTGACATGTTTTTAGATGGCTCGTTGTAGGTACTTGTGAACTGGGCTTCGCAGGGCTGGGTCGCTTGGATGGTTTCGGCGATGTTTCTATGAGGGTAACGTTATTTGGATCTGGTTATGGTCGTAGAGGCTCAATGATGTGGTTTGGCAGATCGATTGATATGTTTTAAGCACAATCCCAACCTTTTGTAATATCTTTGTATATGTATATCTCGCCGTGAATAACACTCACGAGCGTGTATATATGCTCTCTTGCAAACGTCTTCCGAGGACAGAGTTCCAGTAAAAGACAGTTTGCTAACTGCTATTGCTTGTGTTACCTGCATAGTGACGTGCCTTGATGTTCAATCCAGATTTGTTCCTTTCCATCCACATCACGAGAACGCAAACGGACATCTTCCCCTCTCGCCCGACAGAAGCCGGTCTCGTGTGGCCTCACACTCACCCAAGCCAGACTTTTCAAGCTTCTTAGGACCAATCTCAAAGATCTTGTAACCTTCAGGTTTGTACATCTTGCCGTCGGGGTAAGGGCCGCCAATAGCCCAGCGGAACCAGGCCAGGGGAGAATTGCGGGAGAAGAATGTCGCCTTTACATACCTGTTTAGAATTAGTACCTTGCATGATTATGAAGAATTATGTCGGACTCGACTTACCAAGGCTCGCTGTCGTATTGGCTCATGTAGTATCTCCCCGTCTTCGGATCGGGTTCATCTGATGTAGGGTCGAAACGTAGAGCATACGGACGAGGCGGGATGAGATACTTCATGAACAGTTTCCGCACGCTGAACACGAACTCGATGGTCTTGAGGTATGCCGGGGACGGATCATCGTACAGCATGGCACGTCTCAATCTCTCGTCCATGAGCGCTGCCACACAGTCCTTGCCGAAGAGTCTGAACGGGCCTGGTACGTCGGCGAGGAGGATGCGGGTTGTTTCTTCGGCGAGTTGGTGGTTGTGCTTGTTGGGGACCATGCAGCGGCGCTCGTAGACGTCGGCCCATTCGCGCATGTCTTCGAAGAATTCGAGGCCGTCTTTGAAGGAGGTGGGTCCGTGGCGGAGTTCTGAGTAGTCGATTTCCATGGCGTCGCCGATTACTTTCCAGTGTGTTCCTCTGGGGGTGTGTTAGAGGGTGGTGTTTTTGATATGATGTTGTGCTAGGTATGATGAATTATGCTTACATTGCACAGATTTCCATGGGTGTCAGTGTCCTCCATTCGTATAGTCGGACCCATCTTTCTACTTCTAGAACAAAGAGTGATAGCGTGTAGAGCATATCGTCGTTGCTGATTAGCTTCGCCTTCTGATATCTGCTATGGAGGTAATTCATGCGGGCAATCGCTGAAGTAGCACGCTCAGAAGTGGGAGAGTGGCCGAGAAACTCGATGATGAGAATACTTGTGTCGGTATAGCGTCGTCCAGCATATTCAACGTTGCTAAGCTGCTGGGTGTCGCAAAGTAGTTTCGAGATTGAAGGGATGCCATAAGTCCTGGGACGCGTGTTAGTAGGATCCAAAGTAGTGGTAAAGATTGATGTATTTACTTGAACAAGGCAAAAGCTAGGGCTTTACCACTCATCCATGGGAATTCAAGACTTTGGACATATCGTATGATCTGCCAGGCGTCCTCGGCGGTCATCTTCTGGAAGTCCTCGCGGGTCTTGTAGGGCAGCTGGGCATGTTTCCTGTCGCGCCGAAGATAGCGCAGGCCTCTGCAAAGCGCGACGTAGCATACAAGTGCACCCAGACATGTAGTCGCCCGGAATCCTAGCTTCCCAACGGTTTGCTCCTTGATTAGAGAAAGATCAATGTATGGTAACTTCATCGTGTAGCGTAGTCAGCAAGACTTTGACGTCCAGCACTCAACCTCAGCAGGGGTTAGGAAGGCCCGATTCGACTTTGGATGTGAACTGGTTGTCAGTGACTCTCTGAACACATGAAGAAGAAGAGGAACTCTGCTGTAGATCAATGTCAGAGAACATTGAGTCGTTAATTAATCTACGGATTGTTCCGATGCCATCGAACCATTGATGCATGGGTAGAACTGGTTGAACCCTGCAAGTCCATGGCTGCCACGGCATGCTATTGCATAAGTGTACACATGCGGACAGTGAGATGTACAAATGGGCACAAATGGGTCGATAAGGCTGACACACAGGACTGAACCCTGACGAGATGCGGCGCCTGCTGTCCCGGCGCCCCACCACTCCCCGCACTAAAACCACCTACTGGTAACTTACAGCCAGGCCAGCACGTGGATGCACACCGACTCGCCTACCGCCTGCATCATTCTGCCATCGCAAAACCACCAACGTCGAGAGAGGACCATGGGCCGCCGACCGAACCAGCTCATCCTCGAGTACTTTGAGCGCGGCCCCAAGCTCGAAGATGCAAGCAACCGCTACCAGCACACGTGCAAGTCGTGCGGCGAGCGCTTTGCCAAAGGCCGGATCGACAGCCTCACAAGCCATCTGGTGAGGACAAGGGCGTGCTGGACGGCGTGCGGGACCAGCTAACATTGACTCTTGGTGAAAAAATGCCCTGCGCTGCCCCTCCGCGACCGCCAGCGCGCGCTGCTGCAGTTCCACGAGCTGCCTCTGCCCGACAGCATGGCCAACGGCCACGGCCAGATGCACACCGGCCAGAACATGCGCCTGCCCTATGCGCCCTCGAAGCAGCTCTCTGCCCTGGAGACGCTGGCCGAGGTGTCGCGCCAGCACCTGGACCTGTCGGGGAAGCGCGTGCAGGACAAGCACGGCCTGCTCGACGAGTTCCTCGTGCACGACGACCGACCCGAAGGCGCCCATGATATGGCTGGACTGTCGCAGGGAGATGCGCCCGCACTCCCCTCCGTGTGCCAGTTCCCAGGCCCGCTGCACCACTCGCCCACCAACTCGCCGCACATGGGCCACATGCCGCTGTCAGGTGCTGCATCAATGGCGCACATGGCTCCCTCGCTCGTCATGGCGGCCTCGGCAGCAAACGAGCTCATGCCTCTGACCAACGGGCTCACTGGGGAGTCGGACATGAGTCTGGGGTCAGGTATCAATGGCATGTCGGACAAGCTGTTCCACACCCAAGGCCGCTCGCCATGGCCACCTCTGCAGCCGAGTCCGCTCGAGTCGTTGCTGCAAGACCACGGCAAGCATCCGTTGCTGCCAAAGGACGAGCATTCAACCCACGACATGTCGCATGCACGACCCCTCGCCATGAATCCGAGCACCCAGGCACACTTCACCACCGACTTCAGCATGAACCAGAAGCCACTGAAGCCCAAGGTGAGGGGGCGCTTCTCCGACTCCAGGCGCAAAGAGGTCCAGGAAGTACGGAAACGGGGCGCATGCATCCGGTGTCGCATGCTGAAAAAGCCATGCTCTGGAGAAAACCCATGCAACACATGTCAGAACGTCGAGAGCGCGCGGTTGTGGAAGCAGCCCTGTATACGCACTCGAATCGCCGAAGAGTTCAATCTCTACAGCGCAGGCCTGCATGGAGTTCTGGCGTACCACGTCACCAACCAGGCGAAAGGGCAGATACGGCTTGATCAAACACCAGGGCGCATAGAAGCTACACACCATCCAGATTCCGGCATATTCGCGACTTTCACACCGCTGAAATGCCAACACGCTCAAGCGTCTCAAAACGCCGACATCGACCCCGCCATGTTCGGCGCAATCCCCTCGCCAGACGTCGAACTAATCGACGGCGACGACGACATCGGCGGAAAACTCGACCTCTACATCAAGAAAATCAGCCCCTACTTCTTCGACACAGAAGACTCACCTTTCATGAAAACCACCCAACGCACAGCCTCCAGCATGATCCCCCCCAACAACACCAACCCCGACGGCCTCCTCCCCAAAGCCCTAGAACTATGGACATACACCCGCATCCTCACCTCCCCCGACACAGCCTGGCACCTCTTCTCCAACCCCTCCCTCGCCCCGACACTCACCCCCGCCGTCCTCTCCCCACCCGACTCCCTCTCCCCACCCCGCACCCCCATATCCCCCTTCGCCCACCCCACCTCCCACAACCTCATCAAAGCGCAACTCCTCGGCGCAGCCGAAAAACGCGCCGCAGCCCTATCCCGCACACTCATGAACGACCTGGAGCGCCGTCTGCTGCAGCGCCAACAAGCCAACCCGTTCGAAACCTTCCTCGTCGCTGTCATCCTCCTCGCCTGCGTAGAGCGCATGTGCTGGCTCTTCCGCACCTGGGAACTCCCCACTGATGCTGCGACCCGCAACCCCAAATGGCCGCTCGATAAACCGCCAGCCTTCTTCTCGCAGCAGGGCGAGCGGTTTAGCGATACGGTGAATATGCTGCTTAAGATGCGGGGGGTGCCGCCGAAGCCTGTCCCGAGGAGTGGGGATGGGGTGTTGGTTGTGTGGGGGGAGGAGGGGGATGGGAAGGTTAGGGAGTGGTATGAGGGGATTGGCGTGTCGGGGGGGATGCTGGATGAGCGTGCTGCGGCGCGGTTTGTGGGTGAGGGGCCGAGGGAGTGGGAATTGAAGTTTGTGGGGAAGATTATTCGTGGGGATTGAGGGGGGTGGGTAGATGGAAATGTGTTGTTGTGCTGTTTCGCTTCTTCATGATGTGATCTTTTTTTTTACGGCAGTCGTCAAACAGACAAGCGCAATTGTAGAAACTCAAGACAAATACAAAGTCAGGGTCAGACGGTAAAATGTATTTTCTTCCAGTCATATTTCATATCGTAGCTCCGCCGGGCCAAAGTTCCGAAGAAAGAAAAAAAAAGCCTCATCATGCGTTTTCCCACCATATTTCCATTCAGAATCGCTGCATCGCCTCGCGGTGACGGGGGGGTGGGGAATCTTGCCAGTCATTCATTCATTCGTAAGGACGTAATGGGGTCGTCTAAGCAATTTCCTCAATCTTGGGCTTGTCGGTTGCCGCGGCTGGGACGGCCACAGGCTTGTCCTCGTCGTCCTCGAGCGCGGGCATGTCCTCGTCGTCGTCATCGCTGCTCTCGCCGCCGTCCATGCCAGCCATGCCGGGCATGCCGCCCATTCCAGGCATGCCGCCCATGCCACCACCGCCCATACCGGCCATCATGCTGGCCATGTCCATGCCGCCCATGCCACCGGCGCCGCCGAGCTTGCTGAAGTCGATACCGCCGAAGCCGCCGTCGCCGCCGGGGCCGCCGGGACCACCAGGGCCGCCAGCACCGCCCATTGGATTCATCTGGTTCATGTCCTCCTCGGGCGCCTCATCCTGCTCGTCCTCGTCGACCCACTGAGAGGCGTTAGCATTTGATTTAATATATTCTTACAGCAAAGACTCACCTTGTCGAAGTTGGTCTTGAGGAAGTGCATCTTCTTGTTGTCCTTGAGCAGACGGGGCCAGTACTCCTCCTTGAGGTCCTTCTTGCGCAGTACCAGCGAGACGTCGCGGCCGCTGTGCTGGATCTTGGACTCCTTGGGGTCGATCTCGGCGAAGAACTCGAGGTCGATGGCGTATGTGACCTTCTTGGACGTCGAGGCGCCCTTGAAGGTGAGCTTTGTGGGTTGCAGGTCGAGCTTCAGGTCCGCCTCGGGGATATCGGCCGCGACAATCGTGACGAAGACGTAGTTCTTCTCCGGGTCGCTGGTCGATGAGCGCTGGGCCCAGGTGACTGCGCATGTTAGCGTAGGGACCGACGTGGGCTGGGGCAAGGCTGCAGCTGCAGCGTACCTTCTGGCGTGACGGTCGACATGGTGGATGTGGTGGGGGTCCAGTCGCGAGAGGGATCCAATGTGTGTGTATGTGGGTGTGTCGGGGAGTGTGAAGGCTGAAGAAGCAGGTGTGTGTGTGAGTGTGTGGTTAGTGAGGGAGGCGTGTTTGTTGCGTAGTGGAGTTGAGAGAAATGCGTGTTGTGGAGGGACTAGCGTGGAAAGCACTAGAAAGCCAAAGCTTCACCAACAGGACGACCCGACTGGCGCAGCGCGGGCAGCTGTCATCATGAGCATTACGAGCTTCATGGTCACGGGATTTCACAGCATAGTCAACTCGGGATCCGCCATGTGAAGACTGTGTGTGGCCTGCCAGCTCTTCTACTGGCAGCTGGTCGAGGTTTGCAACGTGCAGAGGTACGCGGGGCACGAAACGTCACCACTGGTCCGAGCGAGCCCCGGCCCCGTCGCTCTCTCAGCATCCGGACACGCCAGGCACGCTGGTCTCGAGCAGACACCTGCATACCCTCACAACAAAAGAGCACGCGTTGGATTCCGGCACCATCAAGCCCGCCACCCCGCGACCCGCACTGCGGCCCTAGACACACTGCGCGCCCACTATGGAGACCATCCGCGGTCTCCTGTGGAAGCCGACGCCAGAGGAGCAGGTACCCACCCTCGTCCCCAACTCTCCCCAAACCACACCCCCTAACCTTCCCCCGTAGAAGCGCAAATGCAACGCCCTGGTGCGCCAAAACGTGCGCAAACTCGACCGCGACATCCAGCAGCTCAAGGCCACGGAGCAAAAGACCAAGACGCTCATCCTGCAGTCGTCCAAGCGCGCCCAACGCAACCCCTCCATGGCCAAGCAGGCAAACCAGGACGTCCGCATCTTCGCCCGCGAACTAGTGCGCATCCGCAAGCAGAACTCGCGCCTGCAGACGAGCAAAGCACAGCTGCAGTCCGTGCAGATGCAGGTCAACGAGGCCTTTTCCGTGCGCAGGATCGAGGGCTCGATTAAAGCGTCCACGGGCATCATGCGCGACGTCAACAGTCTGGTCAGGTTACCCGAGCTCATGGGCACGATGCGCGAGCTGAGCTCCGAGCTCATGAAGGCGGGCATTATTGAGGAGATGGTCGATGATACGTTGATGGATAATGAGATGCTGGAGGGTGAGGAGGGTGAGGCTGAGGAGGAGGTCGATAAGGTGCTGTCGGATATCCTCAAGGATCGACTGCCGGCTAGCAAGGCGAAGGAGGACGATCTGCCAACGCCTGCGCAGGCAGAGGAGGAAGACGAAGAGGAGGACCAGGCGGAGATGTTGGCCCAGATGAGGGGCAGGCTGGAGGCGCTCAAGAGCTGAGCACTTGTTTTGTGGATATGACAGTACAGTGGAACGGCGTTTGGGAGCGTCATGCACAACGTTTAACAGGCGAATTGAGGGATACCAAGAACCGTGTCCAGAAAACGCATCTAATCAATGACACTATTTCCGCATTTGCATTGGGGTATCTTCTGCACAAGCGCTCACTTCCCGCCGGCGTTCTGGTCAAAGTTCATGCTATACCCCCCACTCTTCTCATCTTTCGTGAATTGGAAGTTCTCCGTACTCAACCCAAACGGCTTCAGCATCCCATTCCCCAACTGCTTCAACTTGCCCATCATATCCGCCATCTCACTATCCTTCGCCTCATCCAACTCGCGCGGTAACCTCCGCATCGCCACCTGCACAGCCTGTCTATCCAGGCCAGAAAGCTGATGTGGCGGCCGCACCAGCGCCTGATAGTCCTCCAGCGCGCCCTGAAGAGACGACCACCCCCCGACCTGATGTCGCGCCTTAGCACGCCGTAGCATGGCCTTAGTCCGCAGTTTCTGAACATCGTGTATCGAGTGATTTGTACGCGTGAGCGCATCGAGCAGGACTTCCGTGCTATCGTCGACCTCGCCCACCACGCCGCCCTCGCCTTTTTCCGCCTCAACCCCCCCTTTCTCCCGAATAAGCGGCGGGTCGAGCTTGTCCAGCGCGTCGAGGGCCTGTGTCGCGCTCTCGACGGCGTGCTTCCATTCTGACAGCTTGAGCTGGCAGGCGGCCATGTTGGAGCGCAGGACGGCGATGTCGTATTCGAGGTAGGTAGGGCATAGCGCGAGGGCTTTTTCGTAGCCTTGGATTGCGGAGCTGTAGTCGCCTGAGGTGAAGGTTTTGTTTGCGGAGGACTTTTCGGCGTTGCTTTCCGAGAGGAGTTGGTGTTCTTCTTCTGGGGGGAAGATTTCGGGGATGGGCGCGTCGGAGGGCATTTTTCGATGGTGGGTAGGGAAGTGAGGGTGGGTTTGTTTGCAGGGTGTTGATGTGTGGCTGTTGTGGTGGGGTTGCGACGGAATGTGCCCCGCTATGTGGGGTACATCGACGTCCATACATCTGAGTGTTGACATGAAGTCTGGACTACAATCTCCAATTGCACCACCCCGACAACCCCAACCCAGCACCACCTCTACAAAACACGTCGCCATGGCCTCCCCCAACACCACCGCCAACCCGCCCCCGCCCCGCATCCGCGCAGCGCTCTTCGACATGGACGGTCTGCTCATCGACTCGGAAGACCTGTACACAATCGTCACCAACACGATCCTCGCGCGATACTCCCGCCCCTCCCTCCCCTGGTCCATAAAAGCGCAACTGCAAGGCCGCCCAGGCCCCCAAGCCGGCGCAATCTTCCACTCATGGGCACAGCTCCCCATCCCACACGAGCAATTCCTCGCCGAGCAGAAGCAGCTGCAAACCGAGCTCTTCCCCTCCACACAACCACTCCCCGGCGTCACGCAGCTCCTCCCCGGCCTGAAGAAAAGACACGTTCACATGGCCCTCGCGACGAGCAGCCACGCGGCCAACTTCCGCCTCAAGAGCGCACATCTGACGGATTTATTCGCGTACTTTGCGCCCGAGCACCGGGTTTTGGGCGACGATCCGCGGATCCCTGCGGGAAGGGGGAAACCCGCGCCGGATATTTATCTGCTTGCGCTGTCGACGCTGAATAAGACGCTTGAGGAGCGGGGGGAGCCGCTTATTAGGCCGGAGGAGTGTCTGGTGTTTGAGGATAGCGTGCCGGGTGTTGAGTCGGGGCGTAGGGCTGGCATGCAGGTTGTGTGGTGTCCGCATCCGGAGCTGTTGCTCGAGTATAAGGGCAGGGAGAAGGAGGTTATGGCGGGGTTGACGGGGGCGCATAAGGAGGGTGAGGAGGGGCAGCTGGAGAAGACGGAAAGGGATGTTAAGGAGGGGAAGAGGAGGGTTGGGATGCCGGGGGAGATTGATGATGGGTGGACGAGGTTGCTTGGGAGTTTGGAGGGGTTTCCGTATGAGAGTTTTGGGATGGTGGAGTAGGTGTGGGTAGATGTAGAGGGAAGACTGTTAGAGATAGAAATAGAAATAGAATTACAAGTAGACTCACCCCTGATGACAGTCACAAAGTGCAAGCCCAAAAGCTAACTTTTACCAGAATCCATATATACCTATATCCCCAAACTTCTACGCCCTACACCCTTCCTCAATCACCACCCACCCCCGGACTCACTCTCCGTCCCACCCTTGCAAACACACACCAAACCCCCAACCCCACCACCAACAGCCCAAGAACCGCATACCGAAACACCCCAATCCCCCACCCCTCCACAACAGCCCCAATCCCAAACGGCAACAACCCGCCCCCAACCTGCCCCACAGACGCCACAAACGACACACCCGCAACATGCATCTCCCGCGGCAACACCTGCGTCAAAACCACCACCCCAGACGGGAACAACGGGCCCATAACAACCCCCAACACGCTCATAAGCACAAGCGACACAACGGGCCCCCGCACCACAACAAACACGCCTTGAATCGCAATTGCGCATGCGAAATATAAGATCGTAGCGCGCCGCACTCCGATCCTATCCGTTGCGGGACCCAGGCTGAGACGCCCGATCGCCATGCCGGTCCAGAAGCCCGAGGACGTCAGGCCGGAGAGGTAAGGCGAGGCGTGCCGGCTGCGCTGCATGAAGGATACGACCCAGCCCGAGATCGCGGTTTCGACGCCCACGTCAGCGAGGAAGTAGGCTGCGCAGAGCCAGGTGGCGGGGTGCGTGAGGAGTGCTTTTGTGCTGTGTGAGGTGGCAGAGGGGCGGGAGTGGTGGTACACAACTGCGCTCTGGTGTCTGAATGCTGTGGTTAGGGATGTGAGGGATAGTAGGGAAATGCCGGCCTGGGTGCGTGTTAGATGTATATGTGGAAAGGTTTCTGCGAGACGTACAAGCACATAGTACCACTCGAACCACGCGCGCCGTCGAGCAGTCAAAAGCGTAACAATCAACGGACCGACCGCCGCACCCGCAGAATACGCCCCATGCAGCAATCCCGACACCGTATTCGCCCTCTCCATCGTGCCCGCCCACGCGCACCACGACCCATCAAGGAGTCCCGAACCCAGACCCTGCACCGCAAAGCCCAGCAGCACGACGCCGAAACGAAGATGCGCCCCAATCAGCCCCGCGGCGAGTATCTGCAGCAAAGGCCCTAGGACCGCGATCCCGCGCTGCCCGAATTGGTGGTGCATTGCACTGCTTAGTTGCGCGGCGGCGATGTAGCCCAGCGGTCCCGCGACGAAGATTAGTGATACGTGGAGGTCGGTGAGGGTGTAGTGGTGGGAGATTAGGGGGAGGGTGACGCCCGTGGAGGAGTTGAAGAGGCCGAGTGTGGTGAAGGAGAACATTGCTGCGGCGATTTTTAGGTTTAGGGGGGCGGACTTTGGGGGGAGGGTGGGTTTGCTGGTGCTGCTGGTTGGAGTGCTTGCGCGGTGGCCGAGTAAGGGGGGGTAGACTTCATCTGGGGGGCTTTGGGGTGGCATGTTGATGGGTTGGGTGTTGTGGGCTATTAGAGTTGATGTTGATATCGCTGTTTGTGTTTCAGTGAGGTTGTGGGTTTCCACAGGGCCATTGATGGGCACTGCTACTCTATATCACAGGCCGAGGGAGACTTTCAGTACTGGGACGGGGAGGATGTTCAAAGTACTTGCGCCGGTCGGACTGTGTAGTCGAGGAGTTTAGTATGGCTTGGCTAGTGGCTGGTACGCGTGACGTCATCTTTTGTCTATATGGTGAAGGATCGCCTAACCAGCACGAACATGATCTGTCATCTGAAGCATTGAGAGTCCTAGTCCATGAGCAGTGACAGCCTCAACAGTGTGTCCATAGTTGCCAACTGCTTGCGCTGCCCTATCCACGCTTTCTAATGAATAATGCAAGCATCCCACACCTAAGTTCTGGCAGCCAAGACGAGGGAGACCAAAGTAAGTGCATAGCGAACAGATTTTGGCGACAAGTCAACTACGGCAAGTACATAAATGTATTCGAGTCCCAGAACGATCGGGGCGAGTACACCCGCCGAAGTAATGGCATGTCAAAGGGATTGAAGTTCAGAGGACTGTTGCAGACGCTCAAGTGTTTCACTGGCAGTTCTCCTCACTTCCCGATGCGGTAGTCTCGAGTTCTACGATTCGAGTCAACTGTAAAGCTCTGGGAATCATGATTGCTACTTACCCAAATACACTAATGATAATTCAAGCCAGCGTAGCTGGGCTGGGATTCCTCTTCCCTGGCGCAGGCTTTGTAGTCGTTTGCACAATTCCTTCCATTCTGGCTCTCGTCGTGACCCTGCTCGCGGTAGCAATATATCAATCCAACACGCGCGACGACAGATACACAAAGGAGACCTTAATGGAATTCGTCGTTACAGAAAACGCATGGTACGTGTACGACATCCACCGCATAGCCGACGCTGTCTTCACAACATGGACTACAAACCTACACGCTCTACCCATTTCCAGTGGCTTTTAGCATGAGAAGAGGAGTAGGAAAACCTAGGAATATCAAGAAGGAGCCTCACACCTCGAGAAAACCCCCATTACAGAATTTTCAAAGTAGCACCAGCGTAAGACGAACTCTCATTTTTCAATTGCCCCATCAACGAGCACCCCATCCTCCCTCCAACACCACCCGCCTCAAGGCCACGGCGGATTCTCCACCCTCCGAAAACACGCAACAAACTTCAACCCCTTATTTCTCTCGACCTTCTTCCCCTCCTCCGTCTCGCTCCGCATAATCCTCACACACTCATCCATGCCCTCGCCCTCCTCCCCGCTCCCCTCCTCAAACTCCCTCTCCACGCGCTCAAAACTCGGATGCTTCTCAAAATGCTCCTTCATCCACTCGTGCAAATCCTGCACATCGGTAATCGTGTACACGACGCCGCCAGGTCGGAGCACATACGCGTACTCGGAGTTCAGCGTGTAGGATACGATGCGCGCCTTGTGCTTGCGCTGCTTGAAGTGCGGGTCCGGGAAGCAGAGGAAGATTTTACTCAACTGGGATTTTTCGAAGAAGTTGGGCAGGAATTTCATCGTGTTGGCGCGCAGGCAGGATACGTTTTGGAAGCCGGATGTTTGTGCGTTTTGGACGCGTAGAGCGCGGATCTTGTCTTGCACGTATTCTGTTACGGAGGTGCGGATCTCCATACCTGGGGTGGTGTTAGACGGTCTTGGTGTTTGGCTTTGAGAATAATGTTGATTGGGAGAAGGTGGGTTTGGGGATGAGAGAATTAAACACACCCAGTATCAGAGTATCCGGGAACTTGGGTGCCAGCGCAAACAGCAGTCCACCAAAGCCACATCCAATATCAGCAATCTCAACCTTCTTCGTGATCGATTTGACCTTCCGTGGCTCTTCCTCATGTGACTTGTCTTGTGCATCTGTCATCTCCAACTCTTGGCTTTCAGCAGCATGTGCAGGGTAGAATTTCGCCCAGTCCATATCCGCGGGGCTACTAGGACTACACATTGTGAGCAAAAAATCATGCTTGGCAAGAGCAGGATGTAAGTACTAAGTCAAAGAATGATCCGAGAAAGGGTTGGCGTGCGCGCGCTGCCTGTAGAATTTCTTCTTTGGCAATACTGCATTTTGTTCATCCTGAATCGAGCGTTTGTACTCTTCGCGCTTTTGGCGCTTCGCTGGCTCACCGGGCATCGTGTCTTCGTGCCTGGGTAGTCTGGGGAATTATATGTGAAGTGGATAGAAAACGCAAGTTAGCAAAAGAAGTCTGGTGGAGAAACGAGTGAGTGGAAGTGGATTGGTTGAGTGTCGCGAAGCGAGGCTGAAGGTGGAGTCACACAGGCTGTTTTTAGTTCAAGGGTCCACGGCTCATTCTCCCACCACGTGTGTGGAGGTTGAGGCGATCTAGTTGCGAGGTATCAATGACGTAATGTTTGCTGCTATCAGATTGCCTTGAAAGCCATTTGGGCGTTGAAAGAATTCCTAATCTTAGGCAAGAAATGCGGAGTGCACCACCATACACAACACAAAAGACCGTGGTCGAAAGAAGACGGATGCAAGAAGCCAAAACCCAATATCGCGCCAAATGCCAGTATATACCAATTGCTCCCGTCAATTGCAATCACCGAAATTCAATTGCGCCTTGACACCCGTGGTCCTCTATGTGCTCTAGTTGCAGCTTCTGGAATCTGGAATCTGTCAGCAACGCTGCCGGTCTTCAGTCTGCACGCGCACTTACTTCTCACTCTTAGCATGGAAGTAGATGCCTTCGATGTTTCCTGAAATCTGATTGAAGCAGATGTAGTAGAACCCCTCAAAACTCGCACCCGAGATTGATTTGACCCGGTGGTCGGGAACGAGGAAAGATTCCTTCCAGCGCATGAACAAGTGTTCCTTTTGCACCCAATCCTTTATTCCCAGATCAGATCGCGAGGAGTGCTTCGAAAGAGGTTTGTATGCCGGGAAACGTGCCCAGTGTTGGCGATCGACTTTTTCATTCGAACCCCACTCGGGATGTTGCGTGATGAAGGTATATTTGCTCCCGATGATCTCAGACTCGAAGAATGTGACCAGACTAGGATGGTCCTCGGTCAATCCTATTGGCGCGTTAGTCCAGGTTTGCCAGCCAGCCATCATACCACGATGCAACGGTCGAGCGCACCTTGAATGCGCAAGTATCCACACATGAACGATTCGCGCATGTCGACATATTTGATCTCAACCTCCACTTCGTATTGCTGGCGGTCGGACGTCTGCGTGCCCTTGAAACGGCTGCCGGGGCGGAGGCGCGACGAAGATGTGTTGGGGTGGAACTGTGCTGGGGTTCAGTAACTCTACTTGGCTGGTATGTCGTGGTTGTGAAGAGACAGTCGTACACACCCTTTGAGTTGGATATGGCAATGATAATTGACTGGCGAGCAATGATGTGGGCGCTGGTGTAGTCGTGTTCGCAGAGAGCGGTGAGGTTTGAGATGCGCGTTGGTCTTCGGTGCCATCATCGGTTGCAGTCATGGGCGTGGGAGTGTCCCTGGTTGGGGTTTCTGTGTGTGTGTTTGCAGGCTTGAAGTCGACGGATAGTGGTTGGGGTGCGGGAGACACTTCCGGCGGCGGTGTGGGCTGCTGCATTGAAGGCTCGAGGGCAGACGCGGCAATGTTGTTGGTCGCCATGGTTCCAGATTCCATCATTTCAACCGTAGAAGCAATGCGCGACTCGTCTGGCGGGCATGTTGCGTGGCCAGCGGTGCTCCCATGCTCCACCGGCGGCGACAGCATCGCATCATTGGGCGTCGGCATGTTCCGGGGAGGAGTCGCGTAATTCACTGGCAAAAAGTTGTCGACTGAGCATGAGACGAGACGAATGGAAAAATACGACGGTCAGTATGTCTAGGTAGCAAAGGTCGCGGCGATCATGATAGTCTTCATCGTCACGCTGGATTCGGACTTCTGAAGAGAAGTGGGTCTGGCGTACGATTTCGCGGGGAAGGATGTGCCCGCGTTGCAGGGGTTCGCGTGGGCGTGGGGGACAAGTCCAGAAGCTCACGGCAAGATCTTGGTCACACGAAACGGTGGTCGGGCGCCGTCTAAAGATGCATGAACGTCATTGCTTTTGTTTGGAGAAATTGGTCATGTCAAGTTCTGTTCTTTTGTAACTAGATTGGCATGTTGCGAATGCTACGGCTGTATTGTCTTTTGTATACAACTACAGAGACAATCTTTTGGCATACCGTGGTACTCGAGAAACCATGTAGAGACACAATCTCCAACAGCTTTCTAGATAGACTCCAGACGCCGCACTCCGCGAATCTACTCCGATGTCTCGGTCTGTAGTTCAGCCATGTTGGCTTCTCACTGATAATAGCGAGCCTTATTCTCTGACGCCTTCCCATGTGATGCCATCGATTAGATGGGCTTGATCTGCGAGCTTGTGAGCCAACCACCAGGCAACTTTAAAGCACGGAAATACTGACCTTGAAGTGCAATGAAATCAACGAGAAAACCAACGCCTTCAGATCCTGGACTAGATAGTAAAAGACACGGAGACCCTCTGGGTCTGAAGAGTCCTGCACATCCTGTAATGAGCCGATCTTTGCGGTCTGCGAAATTTCAGTATGCATGGAAGCTTTACATGAAGGGCGAGGGTTGTACCTCGAATGAGATGTGCTCGCTGCCTAGTCGGATCTCTAGCTCTTGACGGCCATCTTTGTTCTTCTGGGGCCACTTTGTGTCATCTTCCCTGGAAAATTCAGATCAGCGACCGATCCGCCTGGCAGAGTTTAACTGTGAACATACTTCAGGATGTCGCTCTCCTTCACGATACGCTTGATCTCAGCTACCAATGCATCACTGACACACACTGAAAGGGTTAGAGGAGAAACACATTGCGCAAATAGTTTGCCTTACTCTCTTTCCGGATTAGAGAATCGTTGCGGTAGTTGGAGTTGTTCGCATATCGCGCAGACGCGCTGCGGCCGTCTCCAAGTACGCGAAAGTCAAACTCTGCAAGAGGATGAGCTTCAGCATCACAAAAAAGATGAACGTGTTACTGACCCAAGAACTCATGGCCAAATCGGCCCTGGTGACCAGAGCTGCAAAAAGTTATTATCGAATCAAAAACATGCTATGGGCGCGGCCGAGGCTCACTAGTATCTCAGGTAGAACGGCTCGTTTGTGCTCATCGTGTACGCTGTGTGTTGAGTTGTTGTCGCGTCCAACCTGGCGTCGAGTGTCTGGCGTGGTGAGCCCTGACGGTTGTTACCATGTTCGGTTGTGGAACCCTGTCGCTTGGCACTCCTGGGATGGACCACTTTCTCGACACCTGGAAGACGAACACGTACAAGTGAAGGGCTTCACGTCGAACTCGAAGAAACCACCGTTGTGCCCAGGGCAATTCCTCTCCTTCTCTCACCCAAACCCAGACCGCAGTTCCATCCGACTGCACCGTCTCACACCGCCGAGTCCCCGAAAGTAACACAGCATCCCACCTGCCCTCGACACGGCGGGCATCAAGGGCTGACGACCGACACTGGACTCGACAGCCATTGCAGGCAGCGCGAATATCGCATCATCAAACAGCAGAGGGATCCGCTAGACCAACGCCATGGCGACGTTTCTCGAAAATGCATACAGTCTGGTACCGAACACCTGGCCGCATGCACGCGGAGCTCGGGAGAGCTGACTGGGGGACAGGTTCACCAGGACAATGCGGCCGACGTGCCCTCGCAGAATGAGCTCAAGCAGGCGCTGGAGAAGGGCAGCGACGAGCACAAGATCGAGACCATGGTGCGCCCTCGCTGTTGCGACTGCCCCGCGTGGCTGCTGGCGGCTGTCTAACAAGCCTACAGAAGAAGATCCTCTCGACAATGCTCAACGGCGACGCGCAAGAAGGCCTGCTCATGCACATAATACGATTCGTCATGCCCAGCAAGTCGAAGCCCCTCAAGAAGCTCATGTACTTCTTTTTCGAGGTCTGTCCCAAGCACGACGCCCAGGGCAAGCTGCGCCAGGAGTGGATATTGGTGTGGTGCGTATACCCGCCACATATACGTGCGAGCACCATGGCATAGGCTAACACTGGCACAGCAATGCCATTCGTTTCGACTTGCAGGCGCCCAACGAATACGTACGAGGAAACACACTGCGCTTCGTGTACGCCTCCAGCCCAGCCTGCTAGAACTTTGTTGACGCAGGAAACAGAACCAAGCTACGAGATGCTGAGCTTGTCGAGCCGCTGCTACGTGAGCTGCTCTCCGCACCCGCCCTGAGACTCAATACTGACAAGTGTTCAAGAACCGGTCCGACAATGTCTTACACATCGACACGCATACGTCCGAAAGAATGCCACCTTCGCAGTCGCCGCAATCTTTACCCACCTTCCAGAGCTCATGCCCGATGCGCCCGATATGTTGACCACGTTCCTGGATGAGGAGAGCGACCCGACCTGCAAGCGCAACGCCTTCGCCGCCCTCTCCTCCATCAGCCACGAAAAAGCTCTCGAGTACCTGAGCAGCATCTTCGATACGATTCCGAACCACGAAGAACTGCTGCTTCTTGCTGAGCTGGAGTTCATCCGAAAAGATGCCGTTACCAACCCATCGAACAAGGCGCGCTATCTCCGATTGATCTTCGACTTGCTCGAGTCACAGGTGTCGACTGTCATGTACGAGGCTGCACACGCCCTGACAACCCTCACCAGCAATCCTGTTGCGGTGAAAGCTGCTGCAAGCAAATTCGTGGAACTCGCCATCAAGGAGCCGGATAACAACGTCAAGCTCATCGTGTTAGAACGGGTGAACCAATTACGACACAAAAATGAGGGCGTTCTGGACGACCTGACAATGGAGGTTCTCCGCGTCTTGTCAAGTACCGACTTGGACGTGCGCAAGAAGGCATTGCACATTGCGATGGAGATGATCTCGAGCAGGAACGTCGAAGAGGTGGTTTTGCTTCTCAAGAAAGAGCTGATGAAGACGGTGGATGAGCAGTACGAGAAGAACACAGAGTACAGGTCGATTCTCATCTCCTCGATACATCAAGCGGCCATCAAATTCCCAGAAGTTGCAGCAAGCGTGGTAGGGTCGCTGATGGACTTCATATCCGACGTGAGCAGTAACGCATCTGCTGTCGATGTCATTTCCTTTGTCAAGGAAGTCGTTGAGCGATTTCCTGATCTTCGGCAGTCGATCGTTGAGCGTTTGGTCTCTACCCTCGGTGAAGTCCGTGCTGGAAAGGTTTATCGCGGTGTTCTGTGGATCATTGGCGAGTTCGCTCTTGAGACTAAGGATATTCAGGAGGCATGGAAAGGAATTCGTTCGTCGCTTGGCGAGATTCCCATCCTGTCGTCTGAGCAAAGGTTGTTGGACGATGCATCGGAAGGCAAGGAAAGCACTGATCAGGTCAACGGACACGCAAAATCGACTGCAGCTCCCACAGGATCACGCAAAGTCCTCGCCGATGGCACATACGCGACAGAGAGCGCGCTTACGTCGTCAGCAGCAGCAAAGGCGAAGCTGGAGGCGGTCAAGAACTCTCAGAAGCCCCCACTACGCCAGCTTGTCCTCGACGGTGACTACTACCTCGCCACTGTTCTTTCCAGCACTCTTACCAAGCTTGTTATGCGGTACTCGGAGATCTCCAAGGATGCCGCACGCACAAATTCTCTGCGCGCTGAGGCCATGCTTATTATGATCTCGATCATTCGTGTTGGTCAATCTCATTTTGTCAAGACTTTTATAGATGAAGACTCGGTTGATCGTATCATGTCGTGTGTTCGGTCACTGTCCGAATTTGCGCAAAGCAAGGAAATTGAAAAGGTTTTCTTGGAAGATACACGCAAGTCTTTCAAAACCATGGTGCAAGCCGAGGAAAAGAAGCGCGCAGCAAAGGAAGCGTCAGAGAAAGCCAAATCAGCTGTCAACGTCGATGATTCGTTCAACATCCGCCAGCTCAAGAAGAAGGATGCGGATGGCAATGACGAAATTGAACAAGACTTGGAAAGGGCAACAGGAGGTGACACCGCAACCGAGGATATGACATCGAAACTCAGTCGCGTCGTGCAGCTCACTGGTTTCTCTGACTCTGTATATGCCGAAGCATATGTCAAGGTGCATCAGTTCGATATTGTGCTCGACGTATTACTTGTCAACCAAACAACCGAGACACTGCAGAATCTTACGGTCGAGTTCGCGACGCTTGGTGACCTCAAGGTTGTCGAGCGTCCTCCAACTCAGAATGTCGGCCCACATGACTTTATCAACCTCCAGTCCACCATCAAGGGTAAGTGATCGCGAATACTCTGTTCAAAGCCAGTATACTGATTGGTGTAGTTTCTTCAACCGATACTGGTGTTATCTTCGGTAACATCTTATATGAAGGGTATGCTTATCCGTGCATGAGAACATACCGGCCAGTACTAACACATACACAGTGAGAAGGGTATTGACTCCAATGTGGTCATCCTGAACGACGTCCATGTCGACATCATGGATTACATCAAACCCGCACAATGCACAGAGACACAATTCCGGACAATGTGGACTGAATTCGAGTGGGAGAACAAAGTCAACATCAACTCCAAGGCAAAGACTTTGCGCGAGTTCCTGAAGCAGCTCATGGCTTGCACAAACATGAGTTGTTTGACACCCGAGGCGTCGATGAAGGGTGATTGCCAGTTTCTGTCAGCCAACTTGTACGCTCGAAGCGTGTTTGGTCAGTAGCTTCTCCCCTATCTTGCACTTCGTTTGGCTAACTGATTGCAGGCGAGGACGCGCTTGCCAATCTGAGCATAGAAAAGGAAGGAGAAAACGGCCCCATTACAGGATTTGTTCGTATTCGAAGTCGATCACAAGGGCTGGCGTTGAGCTTGGGGTCGCTGAAGGGCCTCAACAAGGTCGGCGTGGCATGAGCAGACGGTTGTTACAGGATAATGACGATAATGGATGACGATACTCTATGTTGAAGGAGAGCACGCATGGCGAAGGATGGTAAAAGCGTTGTTCGTCACACGGGTTTTGTAGGTTTCGGACACGATGCGTACTGAGCGTAAAGCCATGACGGGCGCAGTGGCCGGGATTGTAGCGTTGGAGTATCCTCAACGAGATGGGATTAGTAGCAGTTGAATACCACAAATATCCCACATGTTGTGTACGTGCAGATTGCCAGTCAGGACAGTGACGCTATAAGATGGTGCCTTTGTTTGCAGGAGTGTTTTCGGATGTAGACGCGTTCGTAGACTAACGTCGATCCGGCAGCATCCGTAGCATAAGCATGTGAACGCCTCAGCACGTGCTCACGTCTGATCATCTCACGTCACTCGTTTCTGTGTATGGTCTTGTACTCAAGTATGCACGCGATTCTTTTCGGTCCATTGCGATAACCATGTCTTCCCCGGTGAGCACGACAGACGACCCTTTTCGAGACCCTTTATTAGCTCCGCAACCTCCGCAGGCTGCCCAGCCAGACCGCGACACAAACGGGAACGCGAACGAGCACATCAATGTGCCCGACACACTTGCTGTGGGCAGAGACGCGTCGCTCACACTAGCAACGGATTCTCTGATAGTACTTGGTATGATAGTCGCGTAAGCGGTAAGCATGCGTGCTCACTGGGACCAGATGAAGAACTGCTAGGCACCAAAAGCGCGAATTGCTGCGGTCTCTCTCCTGCTGGCAGTAAGCTCGACAGCGTGCACTCGCGTACCCGGTCGCTCACGAGGTACAGAGACTGACTATACGCGCTCCATACCCTTCTACAACATCCTCTGGGCCGAGCACTCTAGCGATGGCGAAGTCACGATACAATATGCGCAGACGGCGTCAAAGAACGCCGTACGCCCCGCCATCATCAGCTACACACTGGACAAGCCAGACAGCCGGCTAGCAGAGGCGTGGATCGAGAAGCTGCTGGACCGCGCATATGGCGCGTCTCAGCGGCGCAAGCGCATCAAGGTGCTTATCAACCCCTTTGGCGGCCAGGGCGGGGCCGTGAAGATGTACCACAAGTCCATTGCGCCCATCCTGGCGGCAGCGAGATGCGAGCTGGACGTGGAGAAGACGCAGCACCAGGGTCACGGCGTGGAGATTGCACAGAATCTGGATGTGGACGCGTACGATGTCGTGGCGTGCTGCTCGGGCGATGGCATACCGCATGAAGTGTGGAACGGCTTGGGGAAGAGACGAGATGCCGCGGGGGCATTGCTCAAGGTCGCTGTCGTCCAACTACCCTGCGGCACAGGCAACGCTATGAGCCTGAACTTCAACGGGACGAATAGCCCGAGTCTGGCTGCTCTCGCCGTCGTCAAGGGGCTACGCACTCCCCTGGATCTCACCTCGATAACCCAGGGCGACCAACGCACTCTCTCCTTCCTCTCACAGGCAGTAGGAATCGTCGCCGAAACAGATCTTGCGACCGAGCACCTGCGATGGATGGGCGACCTGCGCTTCACATGGGGCTTCCTTGTGCGCCTCCTCACCAAGACCATTTACCCCGCCGACATCGCCGTGAAAGTCGAGTGCGGCGACAAAACCGCCGTCCGAGAAGCCTACCGCGCAGAGTCCTCCAAGGCCCCCCGCGGCCACGACGACCGCCCCCTCCCTGCCCCCGACGCCGGCCTACCAGCCCTAAAATACGGCACCATCAACGACCCGCTCCCACAATCCTGGGAACTAATCCCACACGACCACCTCGGCAACTTCTACGCCGGAAACCTCGCCTACATGTCCGCCGACACAAACTTCTTCCCCGCTTCCCTGCCCGCGGATGGCTGTCTCGACCTCGTCCGCATCAGAGGCGATATCCCCCGCTCCACCGCCATCAAGACACTCATGGCTGTTGAACAACACACCTTTTTCGATATGGATCATGTCGACTACCAGAAAGTGAGCGCGTATCGCATCATCCCCAAACAGCGAGAGGAGGGGTATATCAGTATCGATGGGGAGAAAATCCCCTTCGAGGGGTTCCAGGCTGAGGTACATAGAGGGTTGGGCACAGTGTTGAGTCGCAGCGGCAGGCTGTGCGAGGCAAGAGGTGTGTAAGTGTGTCTAATCGTACAGGTAAAGATATGGAGATGGTGTCAGGTATAGAGGCGGAAGGTTCTAATCGGGACGCGCGTGAAATACCCTGGAGCATGCATGGTGTACTGTAGGATTCAGTTTGGTATACCATTTTCTTTCCTCATACCAATTCGCCTTGTCTTATGGGGAGTCGTACAGTTTGCTTGCTCAATTTCACATTTCACATTCTAGACTACGCTCAACACTCTCAATTTCTCTTCCGACTGACCTATCCCAACAACCCTCATAATAGTTATTACCATCCACGTCCAACACTCCATATCCACATCCTACCCTATGAGTCACCCCCCTCCCCCAGGCCCAAAAAAAGCTTTCTCCCGCCGCCCCATCAGACCCACCCTCTATTCAAACTTCCCTTCCATTCCCTCTGGCAAATCTCACAGTCTATCATCGTCGCCGCCCTCGAGTTCTGCAAGCATGGATACAAGAAAAAAATTCTGAAACTGTCTATCGATCAATGGAGAAACACAAAAAGCTACTTGGCGCAGTGGAAGCGCGCCGGGCTCATAACCCGGAGGACCTCGGATCGAAACCGAGAGTAGCTATGTTTCTTTTTGGAGTTTTTGTTCCCATCCGATAAGTCTGACGTTTGTGTAGTCTCAGAGTGTCGCTGTGTTTCGATCCAAGTTTGACTGGTTTTGGTTACTTGGCGTGTGGCTTGTCCTTTTTCTTCATACTTTTCGTTGGATGTTGAGGGCTCATGTCAGCTCACATGTATCTTACTTTCTGGGCGTATCTGAGATGTACCGTTATCCGAGTATGAGGTTCTGGACTATGTTTATTGGATCAATGGCCGTTGACTGGCACGAATCGTGAGTCTCTGTGGTTTAGTCCAGCTGCTACACAAAATAGGGTGATCCAGATACATGGAACAAGATGACCCGAGGTGATCTGGATAGTGAAGGCATGCCAGGTCGTACACAAGGCTGAAACTGCCTTGTTGGCTTGGTGCCAATCATCAACCGTGTATCTCAGCCTCGAGCACGAAAAGCGGCTATGATGTAGTCTCATATGGGGGCCGTTTCGCAGCTTACAATCCATCCGATCTTGATAATCTGGCATATTCCCCTTCTGCGTTGCTTCACTCAATTCCCTCGAGTCTTCCACGTATATCCCTTTCCCAGCTAACCACCACAATGAAACCACACTCCCTCGCCATCTTCTCCGCATTACTAGCCCAAGGTGTAATCGCACAAACATGCCGCTTCCCCAACGGCACCGCCCTCGTAGACACCTGGCCCGGCACCGGCTACCAAGACTTCGCACCCTGCGCTACCCCCTCGACCATGTGCTGTGCGCTCAGCCGCGACAACCCGCCCGACGGCGACGTCTCACGCGGATTCACGCAGGACATATGCCTTCCGAGCGGGTTGTGCGAGAACAGGAATACGGAGAATGGGATACGGGGCGTTACATGGGTAAGCTGTGTGTCCATACCGTCGTCCGAGATACAAGCTAACAAAGGGGATTTGAAACAGTGGGTACTGTACTGCACGGAAGCCGACATCAGCGGAGGGGCATGTCTGGATATATGTTAAGAGTCGCGGACGTTTACTGGGAGTGCGCAGATCACGCCGTGTTCGGGCACGGCGGAGAGCGAGAAGTGGTGCTGTGGCGCTTCCAACGTGTGTTGTACGTCTAATGTGGGCGTTGTGCGGCTGCCGCTGGTTCTGGGTGGGAGTCTTAATTCGACGGCGACGGCGACGACGGCGAGTAGGTCTTCTTCGGCGGTCTCTTTGGCATCTACTTTTTCTTCCTCGCGATCAACGAGCTCGTCGGACGCTACGCCCGCTGTAACCTCAGTGTCAAAATCCACTTCCCTCCCAGGTGGCGCCATCGCGGGGATAGTCATCGGCGCTGTAGCCGGCCTAGTGGTACTCGCAGCAGCCATTTTCTTCGCACAGAGAGCTAGGACGTGGAAGAGAAAAGCGTCGATCGCATATGCGCCGTACAGACATGAGCTGGAGACATCATCGGAAGAAATGTCGCAAAGGCCGCAGAGTCCGGTTGAACTTCCACCCGCAGATCCAAGTGAGCTACCTGCTGGTGCGTCGTGGATACCGCCTCCGTAGGGTTCGAGGTGATGGGTACATTCCTGTAGTGTGCAGTGAACTGTAGATGGTAGCTGGAAAAGGAGATATCAGTAACGATAATGCAGGAATGTAAGACTTGAGGTGTTGTGAGGTTGCTGATTCCCTTATATAGGCATTCACACCTCTGGGAGTGACTGACACTTGCTGTGTTAGTGTCGATGGTTGACTGATGAAATGAAGATTCCGGGCACAGTACCAGACGCGACAGGTCAAGTTAAAAAATCCAAATTCTCCATGACGACGTAAATGCTAAACAACACTATCAAGCAATACCCTGAATCTTATCCTTCGTCTGCTCCTTCTTCTCCTTGACCTTCCACTTGATGTCTCCTGGCTGTGGCCACCGGTAGTTGACTGGCGACTCACCTCCAACAAAGATCAGTAGATCGTAGATGAACCCTCCAAAAAGCGCACCACTGATAGATGCGCACCAAGGTCCATATGCCCAGTAACCACCTTTGAACGCATCGTCATACCCTACCCACAAAGCCACAAGTCTGGGCCCGAGGTCTCGCGCTGGAGATATCCCGAGACCGGTGTTGTATCCCAACGCGACCATGGTCAGGTAGCCAGCGAAACCAAAGATCAAGGCCGTCATACCCTGACCCGGCGGCGAGTTCTGATCGTCTCCGAGCGCGAAGGTAATGCAGATCCACACTGCCATGTACACGAAATCGTTGAAGAAGCCAGTGACGGTCGAGAAAGCGGGGCCCTTGGGGAAAATGGCTGAGCCGGTAATTTCTAGCGTAAGCCCGGGATCTACGGCGTAGATGGCGTCGCGATATAATCTGATCTTCGTTAGTAGGGTTTCTTCCTGAAACGATGAGGTACTCACGCAAATGCTAAGGCTCCAGCGGCGAGTCCCGCTAACATTTGTACGCATATGTACAGAACGGCCATTCTCCAAGGAAAGCCGCGGTAGACGAAGAGGCAGATTGACACGCATGGACTCAGATGAGCACCACTCGTACCACCGGCCATGTAGATGCCGATCATGACGGCGAAGCCCCAACCCCAGGCCTGTGTCTCAAAGCTACCGGTAGTGTTTTGAGAAGTAGCAATTGAAAGATTAGTGGTCAAACCGAGGAACAAATAGACGAATGTCTGTAAAAAATGTCAGTGCTGCTTAACGACTTGGTGTTTGGTAAACGTACCGCAAGAAACTCCGCCGGCGCCTGAGGATATTGGGCACGGAGCCGGGCAATTGGATTACGATAGCGGTCGTAGTATTCTTTTTGCGCCTCATGTTCACGCTGCTCCACCCGATGCTTCTCTTTCTGGGTTTCTGATGTTTCGTGTGTGCCGACCTCCTTGAGTGGATGAAGACCATCCTGGAGACCGAATTGGCCGCGCTGTGTCCCATTACCCTGGTTTTCAGTCAACCCGTGCTCATTGACAGGCGCACGAGGATGGCCTCGGTGGTCCTGGCTCTCATGGTCCTGGCTCTCGTGGTTCTGGTGGCGATTGCCAAGTACTTCGTCCGCTTCAGCCGTCGGTAGTCGCCTTACATTAACCCTACGGCCGTGGATGGTTGTCTGGAATCGATCCGGATCCTGTGACCCGGGCTCGCCTACAATCGTTCCTTGAGAGCCGTCGGACTCGTCATCAAGACCTGTCCGTACGTTCTGGCTGGTAAAATAGTCGCCGTTGAATCCCGAGGCGCCCCCTGATGGTGCCGGCTGACGTGTCTTTTCCTCGAAATCCAATCCGTCTTGCCTCGCAACGCCATCATCATTCTTCTCTTCGTCAACCTTGTATAAAGATTTACGCAAATCCCCTTTACCCCACCACATGCCCTTGCGTAGAGTGTGAGGGAGCGGTGCGGCCAGGCCAAAGACCGGCTTGTCCTTCTGTTGGTTGTACCATGGATTCAGCGCAAAGTAATCATTGTCAACGTCAATCATCTGTTCTTGCTTCTTTTCTGCTCTATAGTGCGAATCTTGTGTTCCGTTTGTCTGAGTAGTGTTTGTTCGAGACATTCGCGTTGGCACTTCTGGCCGCGTATTGGTCGACGACCCAATACGAGTAACATTTGATCTACCCATACTGGAGCCAGTGGCCGCACTCATGTGCTGAGGTCTCGGTGGCCTGGTACTGGATGCAGTTTGCGATCTTCGCCCGGCCATGGAATGGCTGGACGGCTGCAGATGCGAGCCATTATCCTGCTCTATTGAAGTGGTCAGCACGAGTAGGATCAATGGATGGCCTCCTAGCGATCGATCGACTAGGTTACTACGGTGGAGTGAGCTCACCCCCTGGAGTATTTGGCTGATGCGGTGGCATCCTGAAAAACCGCGGTTGAAAGTTCCGAAGGTAGGGATGTTGGGGAGAAGTGATGTAAGATTATGAAAATCATGAGCTGACTTGTCCAGTCTTATTATTCTGATCGAGTTTTCCACATCACCATGCTGATAAGGGCAAATCAACAAAATTCCATGTGTGATGTCATTGTATGGAGATGTTTTGCCTAGTTCTCCCAATATCTGTGGGCCTACAAAAATCTCAGCGTCGGTGCAACCAAGCACGAGAGTGTTTTCTTCATGTTCCAAATGCGTGCCTGCAAAAACCCCACCTCATGATTCAACGATGGCGAAATGTGGTGGCGTTGACGAGTCTTACGATAGCGCTATGGTGTTACTGTGTAAGATCAAGTTGCATTAAACGGGTATCGTCGATGCTGAGGTCCTGCGTTGTTGTCTCGGCAGGACCCACCTCATAAAGCTCAATATTTACCAATTAGCGGTGAAGTTGACTGGTAGTTTTTCGTTGTGATTTGTGTGTTGGGCTGCACCACGTCGCCCACCCTCTTCCTCGTCAAGTTCCACACCACGGTGGTCACGGTCCACAACATGTCTTTGCTGTGCAAGGGCAAGAACCTTGTGATGTCAAGCTAGTATCAGTCAGTAAAAGCTATGTCTGAGAGCCAATCGTGAAATTTGATGGAATGTAAAGTGGAGGAGCTTCGTGAGGACGTTCGCGGTACTCGGCAACGATCGTGAAGTTCGCTGCCCGGATTCGGCACTCGCTATCTAGATTAGGCATCGGAGCCGGCAGGTGCTATCCGCACCTGTAGATGTCGTTGAGCGAAACCGTATCACCGCGTGCATATTAGTAACTATCTCTCATGCCCAAGCCTGGTGGGAGATTGACTGTGATACGTGAGGATGATGTTGATCTAACCTAAACGCAACACGAATAAAGCTTAATCAAGCTTACTGTACATGAGTGCCTGCAGAATCATGAATCCGGAGAGTTGACTTTGCGTTTCAACCGAGGGAGTCTGGATTTTCGGTCGATAAGAATTAGCGCGTTGGGCCGGAGAAGCCGCTGCACGAGATGTCAAGAAAAGCTCGATGATCCACAGATGGTGGAGGTTAGCGTGGGGGTGACGGAACAAGTTACTTCATCCGTTGAGCCGCATGGGCGATAATTACTATAAACGGTATTGCTACAGTGGTATCTACACACGCTGAATTGTGGGGGAAAGATCGTGAGTGAGGTTCTGTCCCAGTGCCACGGTCCTAGCCCCCAGGAACCGTCTGCCAAGGTTCGAGACGAGGCTACTCCATTAACTTGGCAGTATTTGGAACCTATCGCGAGCGTAATGATGGCTTGCCTACTGATGCATCAAGAAGAGTCTGTAGCTATCCTTCATGACACTGCCATGAGCTTGTTCTGTTCTTGAGCCAAAGTCAGCCCTTCTGGCGCTTGTCTGAACAAAACAATCTCCGACTGTTTAAAGTATCGTCGCGCGTCTGGGAGTTTGTCAGTCACATCACAACTATAATATTGGGGAGGCTCGGATCGAGCATGAGCGGATAAAGAGCACAGGGCTGATTGAGGTGGATAGAGACGACTTGACGTACCTTCGTCAATGAGGACCAAGCTGAGGTAGTATCGTGTTGAGTACTTTTTATTGACTTCGCGGAAGGTGGGTGTCAGGTCAAAGCCGCCCAAGAACAACCGGATAGGGATCGTCTCTCCTGCAGTCTGGTCAGTTCCATAGTTCGGGCAGAGGCTACAGATTGCAGATGCATACCTCGCGAGGGCGAGCCATCCATGATCTCGAACCGGACTAATGTCTCGCTTTCGTTGTACTGGTTGGGGGCTGCGCCGGTCGTCTCTCTCCGAATGATGGATAACTCCATATGCTTGATCTTCAGCCGCACGAGGAGGAAGTATATCCTGCCTACAATGACGTCCTTGAGGTGGTATTTCGACTTTGAGTACTCAAACTCAATGTGTAGACAGTCCTCAATTCCCACGTCCATCTTGATGGAGCTGTTCGTCTCGGGCGGTATCCGGTACGAGTAGACCCAGAGATCCTTTTCTCTCACCACATCCGCCATCCTGCGCGACACAGTGACGCGCACAAAGTAGCGCAGCTTGACGTTGATGCCATTGTACGACTCGTATTGCTTTTCGACGTTCTTGAAATTAAACTCGAAGGTTTGCGGGTGCTGCAGCTCGCCGGGTGCAGCCAATTCCTGGCCGAGGGAGAGGAACTCGTGGTGGTTGCCGCGGTCGAAGAACATTTCTGAAAGTGGTACATCAGCATGTAGGCGCTTGTACTATAGCAAGCCATCAAGCTGTCGCCTGGCTGCAGAAGAGGGAACACCCACCGATTGTGCCTATGAACTGCACCTTGATGCCCGTGTGCTCCAGACGCTTGCCATCTTTGGGCCGTACGGTGACCTGGCCCTTAACCGACTCGCCATCAAGGTACAGTGGCACCTTTTCTTTACGGCTTTTCTCTAGCTTGACATCAACGGCAGAGCGATCATCGAGGTCCTCGAGCACAATGTCAATGTCGACGGGGGTGGAGAAGAAGTAGGACATGGTGACCTGGCGCGTTCCTGGACGGTGCAGCTGCCTGCGACACGATGATGTCGTTCAATTTAGTCCGTGCGTCGTCACGTGCCGTAGCCATGGCCCAACCCCCATCATCCATGCAGACTTACATCATAGCAGCAGCCGTGTCGTCTTGACTTGAAAACAAATCATCGCCCATCGTTCAGCATTACCGGCCACAGCATCACTCGTGTATGCGCGCGGAGATGGCCTGCAGCGCGCACACGATCAGATGTACCAGGTGCCAACGTCGGGACCTTTTGCTCCAGGAATTGGCGTTGCTTGGATCCACTCATCGAAGCTTTCCGCAACGCTTCCAGGCTCAACCCCCACGCGCTATTATCAACCACACTTTCTCACAGCCACGCAGCCACGCAGCCGCACCGCCAGCTGTAACGAGGTGATTTGCACATGCACGACGCCTCTGCCATGCCAGACTCAGTCGTGTGCTGGGCTGCTGTACAGCATGCATGCTGCGCTGCAGTAGTACCTGACGCGACTGGGGTTGTAGAATGCGGGGAAGAACAGCTTACCAGATCCGCCGCTTCCATCACCCCACGCTTTACGGGGGCGCCCACCCGACTCTTCAAACGCCGACGACGTTCAAGTATTTCCGTGCGTCCATGTCTGATTTACGTCCGTCTCATGGCGAGGGGGCGCTTGGTGAGAAGAGCGCTTTGCACGTCGCTGCAACCACCTCGGCTTCATCTCCAACCTGCGAGCGAAGCCCTGCGCACGACTCGTTCAGTCGCACACGATCCTCTGGTAGTGACATCAGGCCTTGGCTCCTGAATCTTGCATCAAACTATGATCCCACCCTTGCCGTCATGCGCTACGGCGCGGGTGGAATTTCCAGCCAAGTGCGCACCTCCTTAAAAAAGCACTGCCCCGAGTCCGATCAAGACTGCCGATACAGCTTACCATCAGCATACCTACATTTGGTTACATCCGACGTACCAGTACTATATATCTTCCGAGTCGATCCCTCTACTTTGTGCTTTGACCCAGTTCGACAATCACCTACCGGCGCCCTCTACTACAGTCACCTTTAGCAAGCTTTGCTGTTTTTCTGTTTTTCTGTTTCGCCATCGTTTGTCAAGCAAGCCGTTCAACATGTTGCAAACCTTCGAGCAAACACATTCGACGCCGACGATATATTATGCGTCACCGCCAACGCCTCCAGTCTCTTCTGCACCCTCACCTTCTATTTCATCGTCGTCTCTGAATACCGTCAAAGCCGCCAACATGATCGTTCCCAGCCGCCATCATATTCTCATCGTCACTGGTCCTGCAGGATGCGGCAAGAGCACCGTCGCCAAGCTTCTTGCTGACCGGTACGGGTTTCACTACATTGAGGGTGATGATGTAAGTGGCCTCTCAACCCTAATCTCCCGCAAATTATTCACAGCGTACAGTTTCACCCCAAAGCAAACGTCGACAAGATGGCCGCGGGTATTCCTCTGAACGACATGGACCGATGGGACTGGCTTATTCTTCTCCGCGATCAAGCACTGAGTTCTTTGCAACGCGGAGAAAAGGGTGTGGTGGTTACCTGCAGCGCATTGAAGAAGAAGTACCGCGACGTCATTCGAACTGCCCGACTGTACGATGAGGACCCAAATGCCAACGTCCATTTTGTCTACCTCCGTGCCGACAAAGAGACTCTTCTAGCTCGTGTTCGAGCCAGACAAGGCCACTACATGAAGGACGCCATGGTCGACAGCCAGTTCGCAGCGCTTGAGGAGCCCGACGATGCTGAAATCAAGCAGCTGAAGGATGTAGAGATTGTTGATGTCAAGGGTAGTCTGCTAGATGTACAGAGACTTGCGACTATTGCCGTAGACAGGGTTCTCAACTCCAGCTCGCAACGGTGATGATTGATGGGAGGCCAGCTGGTTCTAGGTTCTTTTCATTTTGTGGCATTCAGGTTTTGGGCTTACAGATCCAGTTCATCTGAGCATTTAGCATGACAGGCGTTTATTGAGTGGGGTTAGAACGGCGCATTAGTGCACTATACCCTGCAATAGTTGGCTATAGGACAATTTAGATTTTTCACATCCAACGACGTATTGCTTCTTCTTCACCATATGACTATATACAAGTTGCATAGGACATTGATAGAAGACGTGCAGTTATATGACTTGGACTTGTGCAAGTACCAAGTAGCTGGGAGCAACTACTGCATTTGAGGTGATGTGGTTCGCATGGTGGTGGGATATCGGGCCGTCGCCCCATATTTTGGCAACGAGCGCCAAGTCGATGTGTGCACGACGGGGAGATTCATGGTAAGCAATAGACTCAAACAGTAAGAGATGCAGGTAGTGAATGAACGAGTATGAGACATAAACAACTGGTCAACTAAGAAGCTACTGTTTGAACGCAATACTGAACGCTGACGATTGTAGCCAAGATTAAAGGCACAACTGCGGTGAAATACCTGACCTGTGTCAAAATCTATAATTCTCATCAGCCCGCCATTGCAGATGGAATTTGGATGAGTTTGTACAATAATGGCTGGGGAACGGGCCGTCCCTCTGTGAGCCAGAAAGTGATTTTCGCCCCACAGCCAAAGGAGGGGGAGTGAAGGGTGGTAGAAGTGATCCGAAGGAGGCCCAGCAAGGAAAGGTGTGACGGAAGTCTCCGGCAAACGGTTCTCAACGCACATGCGCGTCGACATTCGCGTATGCACGGCGATGGCAAGGATGTGGGCGTATGACGAGCTTCTTATAATGGGGACATTCGGCACTACGATTGCGACTTTGAGGGGTTGGTAGGGTAGGTAGCCTATGCGAGTACTGCATTGAGGTCAAGATGGAGAATTGGACATGGTGAGTCGGGTGTTGGTGGACATGGGATGGTGGAGCATACAACGGTGACATGACAGTGGCGAGCGGATGCAAATCCGTTAGGTACAGCAGGCCTCGAACAAGAAACTTTTTTTTTACGCGACGCCCAAGCTCAGTTTCTCAACCGGTACCGTCAACCGGCGGGCACTGGCATCTAGCTCTGAAGGCCTTTTAGCACCATGCTGCCCGCACTTTTGCGGACACTGCACCTTTTTCTCACACCAAGCGCATTCCGCGACGCGCCGTTTACACTTGCACGCGTCTTGCCATGCTTCTACTACTAACCTTGTAATCGTCTTTTGTTCTTAGCTTAGCGACAATGCCGTCCCATGTGTTCGCGCGCCGCGACTCGGACGCGGCAGAGCAACAACAACTCCCCTTCACAGGCGACAACGTCCACGATGCAGACTTCGCACCCGACCACTCGCAGGCAGAGCTCGGGTCCGTCCATGCACGCTCGACGCCCATTCGCCTGAGGAGCCAGTCCAACGCATCCAACACGCTCGCTGGCTCGTACTCGCGCAACCCCATTCGCTCTTTTGCTCACCAGACATCGCATTTTGCCGGTATGCCGTCATCTCTCTCTTGTTCTCTCCAGACCTGACGCCTTGATCTTCCCAGACCAGACGCCAGCACGTGCTAAGCAGTGCCACAGACCCCCCGCAGTATTCGTCCCAAGGCGTGCGTGAACGCAGCTCCCAATTGGCATCATATGCCCTAGACTCGGACACATACCAAGACCGCCGGCCCAGCTATAGCCATGGCGACGCAGACTCGACCCGCACCGACACGATAGAGGAGGACAGCGAGGCCGAGACACCCGAGACGGTTATTGGGGGACCACAGCACGCCAGCCAGAGCTTCTTCAGTCCCAGATTGCTAGCCGACGACGACTCCAGCAGACGGCAGAGCCTTGCAGTCCAGCATGACGAGCGCACCCCTCTGCTGCCCGCCGCCAGGCTACCACGCGTCGACTCGCCGTCCAAGCAGTACCCCGCTAAGAGCTCCTCATCAGGCCAGCCTCGCCCGTCGACCCTCCCATCACGCGTCAAGGAGAAGATCACCTCAGGACAGCAGCACCTCGCTCAATTTGGTCGCTCCCTGGCCAACCCCAAGAACTACACCACACATGCTCTCAAATCAGGCGCAGTGGCCGCAGCCACCCTGTCTTCTGCAGTGTTCCTCGGACTGCTGTTGAACCTCCTGGATGCGCTTTCCTACGGCTACATTCTCTTCCCCCTAGGGTCGCCCGTTTTCAGCCAGACGGGTCCCGACGGCATTTCCATGTTCTTCGTCAGCTGCATCGTCTCTCAGCTGTGCTACTCCCTCGGACTCTCTGTTTTCAAAGGCGGTGTGGGCTCCGAGATGATCGAAGTCGTGCCGTTTTTCCACAAGATGGCATACTCCATCATGGCTCGTATGGAAGGCGAGCCCGCTGACGCCATCATTGCAACCACCATTGTTGCCTACTGCCTGAGCTCCGTCCTCACTGGCCTAATATTCCTGGCTCTGGGATGTTTCAAGCTCGGCAACCTCGTCAGCTTCTTCCCCAGACATATTCTCATCGGCTGCATTGGCGGTGTTGGCTTCTTTCTTGTTGTCACGGGCATTGAAGTCTCTGCGCGTCTCAGTGGCAATCTGAACTACGATCTCGCTACCATGCAACACCTCTTCTCCCCGGACACCTGGTACTTGTGGATAATTCCACTTGCCCTCTCTATCTGTATAATGGTCCTGCGCAGACTTTGGGACAGTCCTGTTGTGCTACCAGGCTTCTTCACACTGGTGTTCGCCCTCTTTTATCTCATCGTCAAGGGTATTATGCACAAGGATCTCGAGGCAGTCCGCAACGCTGGCTGGATTTTTGAGCAACCTGAAGCGGGTGTCAAGTTTTACAGATTTTATTCTTACTTCAGTAGGTACAACACTTACTCATCTGTTGAAGTCTCTACTAACGCAGCAACCAGAATTTGGAAGCATCAATATCTCAGCCCTGGCAAGCACAATCCCGAGCATGTTCGCCTTGTCTTTCTTTGGCATCATCCATGTACCCATCAACGTTCCGGCTTTGGGTGCCGCGGTGAAAGAAGATAACCTCGATGTGAACCGCGAATTGATCGCCCACGGCATCTCAAACACACTTTCAGGACTCTTGGGCAGTATCCAGGTATGCGGCACAATCATTAATCACTCTCTCTCGACAGACGAGCTAACAGATGGCAGAACTACCTCGTGTACGCAAATAGTATCATGTTTGTAAATAACGGCGGCAACAGTCGCGCCGCAGGTCTGCTACTTGCTGCTGCCACTTTCGGCGTCTGGGTGGCAGGTCCCGCCATGATTGGATATATGCCCATCTGCCTGGTCGGCGCTCTCATCTTCTTACTCGGTATCGACCTCATGAAAGAAGCGGTATGGGACACCTGGGGCAAACTGCACAAGCTCGAGTATCTGACTGTCCTCGCTATCGTTCTGATCATGGGTGTCCATGACTTTGTTGTTGGTATCTTTGCCGGTATTGTCCTCGCCTGCGTCAGCTACGTGGTACAGAGCTCCCGTCATCCTGCTATCCGGGCATCATACAGTGGTGTTGTTGCCGAATCAACTGTCCGCCGTCCACGCGCCGACGTTCGCTACTTGAGTAAGGTACGCGGGCAGATCCGCGTCATCAAACTTGGTGGCTTCCTTTTCTTTGGCACCATCGTCTCGGTCGAAGACTATATGCGGTCATTGATCGATGACGACAACTTCGACGAGCATCCTGTTAGCTTCATCATTGTCGACTTCACCCATGTTGCCGACGTAGATTTTTCCAGTTCTGAAGGCTTCCAGCGCATCAATCGCGTTATGAGCCGCAGGAACGTCCAGATGATTCTCTCGGGAGTCTCGTTCGCAAACCGAGTTGGACAAGCTTTGCAGAATGTGGGATTGCTGGATAGCACAGAGTGTCCTCCCCCAGAGGTCTTCGAGGACCTTAACACGGCACTCGAATCTTGCGAAAACGAGATGCTCGAAGTGTTCCACAAACACTGCAATATGCAACCCAAAAAGCGACGACAAATCACACCGCCAATGACTATCAACGGCCCCAGCGATTCGTCTCCAAACCAGCCAATTGCCACCGGCGGCTCTCCCACATCCTTCGGCGCCAGTTCTCTCAACCCCGACTTCGCCTCACCCCGGCGCGGCGCCCGTCTGATAGCCGCCCGTTCCACAATCCACGAATCCTCCGACTCGCTCCACCCCCCCGGCCCATTCGATTCCTTCCCCTCGTCCAACCTCGCGCCCACACGCTGGAAGTCCTTCGCCCAACCCCTCCGCATCATCCTCCAAACCTTCGAAGACGTATCCACGAAAAACGAAGACTTCTGGCAAGTCGTCGCTCCCTACTTCGAGCGCAAAGAATACCCCGCAGGCACCGTCCTGTATTCCCGCGGCGACGATCCAAACGGCTTCTACATATTGGAGAAAGGCCGCTTCCGTGCTGAGTACGAACTCGATCAGGGCAGCTTCTCAGAGGTCATCTTGCCCGGTACGACGTGTGGCGAGCTGCCGTTCTTCAGCGAGACGGACCGTACGGGGACGGTGGCTGTGGAGAACGACTCCGTTGCGTGGCTACTCACGCGAGAACGGTTCAGGGAGCTGGAGAAGAAGGAGCAGGATGTTTCGAGCGAGATGCTGAAGGTCGGGTTGAAATTGACAAAGGAGAGGATGGATGCTATTACTAGTTATGTGCTTGTTATTGCTAGTTAGATAGTTGAGCTTTCTCTCAACACAAAAAACTTAATGGGCGGGATAAGGTTTTGGGTGGCTTCTTTTTGGAAAGAGAAAAAGCGCAGGTGTGGCTGTTTGTCCTAGATTTTTGTGCGGATAGATTCACAGTTCGTGGCGCTGGGGTTTATTTTTTATTTTGGGGAGCAGATTGACTGCCAGATTGTGTTGATCAATTGAGGTTCTTGATGTTGTGTTCTTTGTACTGGGTTTCTTTTTTGCTTTCATGCTGTGGGGCTTCTTTGACTCCGATGTTTATAGAGTTTCCTGCTTTGGTCATTTATGCTGAATGATGTGTTGGTGGGCGACCTGCATCTTGATATCTCTGATCGTGGGTACTTGTTTGTCTGAATCTCGAACCATTGGACTGGACTTTTCACCTTGGTGAGTGCGTCGTTCCTGAAGGACATGTATAGCTACGATTGCGTGCGTTTTGGTGTCAGTCGATGTGTCGTACCAAGCAACACCCTTACCGTTCAGCGAGGTGCTTTGAGTGACAGTCCGGAGACTTCGTTCTAGCATATTCACACTCTTTCGTTTTCTTTCAGCATATGCAAAACACATAGATTCAGCATTGGAAGATCGAAACATCTGTGTTCATGGTTATTCATATATCATCTATACTCTAGCATTCCGTATATCTAAATACATGTCATCTTTGTAACGGTCAAAAGCTGCTTTCTCGTTCTACCACTTCTAGATTTTCCCAGCCATCTTTACTTCCACGACAACACGCCTCACAACTTCGGAAACCTAACCCTCAAGAACTGATTCGGCCACGCAACCTCCACATCCAACTGCCACGCAACCCGCAACACCCACTCGGGCTCGCGCATAAACTGCCTCGCCACCAGAATAACATCGGCCATGGGATCTTCCCCATCAGTCGCTTCCGTCATGCCCACCGCAGCCTGGGCCTCCTTTTCCATCTCGACAGCCGCGGCGCGAGCAGGACGCGAAGCACCCTCCTCGACAATGCCCCTAGCCTGCTCGGCCTCGGTGATGAGTCCCACAGCGCCGATAAACATGCTCAGATCCTCCTTCCTGAGCTCCCTTCGGATCTGCGACGCAATGCGTGTCTGGTAGTCCTTTGCGTCGAAAGCGTTGAGTTTCTGCTGCGGGTGGTTTCCTCCACTGCTTACGTCGAGCAGGTCGACGCCTAGACGTGCGACCACCTTGGAGAGGCGGATCGAGCTCGCGACGTCCCAGCTGCCGTGCTTCTTACCTAGGTCTGTGTCCTCCATCCACTCTGTGGCGCTGATGCGCAGGTACAAGGGCATAGTTTTAGGGATGACGTCTCGGATCGCTTGGATGATTTCGACGAGAACACGGGCCCTGTTGTCGAAAGACCCGCCGTACTTGTCCGTCCGCTGGTTCGTGATGGGCGACAGAAATTGGTGGATGAGGTATCCGTGCGCGCCGTGGATTTCGATGACATCGATTCCTGCGTTGACGGCTCGTTTGGCTGCGCTGGCCCAGTCTTGGACTAATTGTCCGACTTCTTCCTCGCTCAGAGCTCGAGGGGCGCAGTACCCGCCGCTTTCATCGTCTAGCTTCTTCTCGTCCCAGGTCCACTCTTCACCGCCCATTGGGCCCACCACGTTCTCCGGCCATCCACCGGCGTCTAATCCAGCCCTCACACTGACCTTCCTCTTGCCTCCTTGAGTTCGCTCTCCGGCAATCCAAGGGGCACATGTACTTCCCTTACGACCCGCATGTGCCAACTGGATAGCACTGAGGCTGCCCTGGCTCTTGATGAAATCACTGACCCTTCTCAAAGCCGGGATCTGAGCATCACTCCAGAGTCCTGGGCAGTTTGGCGAGATCCGTCCGTTGGCCTGGACACCTGTAGCCTCGACCATGACAAGGGCGGCACCTTTGAGCGCATAGTGACCCAGCGTAACGACGTGGTAGTCTGTCAGAGCGCCAATCTGGGGGCCGTCGGGTGCAGTGCTGTACTGGCACATTGGTGCTACGAGGACGCGATTGCGGAGAGTTGTTCCACGGATGGTAAGGGGCTTGAAGAGTGTTGGAGTCGGCTTTTCAGATTTGACGTCTGGCACGACCGACCCAGGGGAGACGATATGTGCTGGTGTGAAGTAGTCGATGTTAGGGACACCGCGGTTGATGTCTTGTGGTGCCATTTTGGATGAAAGATCTTGCTATCGCTGACAGACGGGAGAGAAGATGTCTAGTTTTATTGGGAGTTGCTGGACACAGTGAGGTAGATCTGGGAGTCGGTGTATTATGATTGAATTGGCCTGAAGAAATAGTTGTCTTTGGGCACGCAATTATGTTGATTTGTCAGGTACTGTTGTACCCCATAGAGCCATCTGCCAATCACCACACTGCGCATGCAGCGCTGTAGCCGAATGCGACTGCAAGAGCTGAATACAGCCAATCGTGTTAATTCAGTGCTCACGGCTAGTTTCCAGGTGTAGTTGAATGTCCGATTATTGCCGAGGTTCACCGTTTTGCCCTGAAGATTCTTCCGCAGGTTCTACCAACCAGATTGTTCCAATATCAGGTCTCAAGTGAAGTAGTCGTTGATTGTTTTGATAATAGGTACGGTTGTCCATGTGGAAGTATGTCGTTGCCGAAGACAATATTGCCTGCTGATGTCCTGGGTGGTTAACATTCGAGTCGAGGAAAGATAGAAATGCCAGGATCAAGCCAGCACCGACTGAGGTAACGTTGAGCTGTTACAATTCTTGCCATATTTATGAAACATCTTTATCAATAGTAGACAGAGTTGTGTTTGCGTCGTCCTGTTCAAAAGACATGGTAGATGGCGACTCCACGACGTTGGTCCAGAGTATATATCTGCATTCGTTGCTTCTTCGAAAGAGTAAAGCAATGAGACTACGAGCAGTTCCAGTGATCTGGTCGTTGGATCTGGTTCCGATACGCCTCCAACGCGTCTCCATGTGATGTCGTTTTGTGGTGACGTCACGGTCTGCAGTCAAGACATCATATAGGAAGGCGCGCCCAACAACTGGAACGACATAACATCGCTTTAAACAACCTCCAAAAGCACCAAAGACCTACCCAAATATCCAAATCAGCAAGATGTCTGCCAACGACCAGAACCAGCCCGGCCTCATCGCAGGTCATGTTCAATATGTCAAGGGCGCCGTCGAGGTATGTACATCGCCGTCCACATATTCAATACAATTACCTTGCTCGCCACTAACACTCGCATAGGCGACCATCGGCAACGTAACGGGCAATGAGGCGTGGAAGTCTTCCGCTGTGCAAGACAAGTCGCAAGCGGTCGATTCGATGAAGGCGGCGTCGGAGAACAGAGACACAAGCAAGGGATTTGGTGGGGTCGAGGAGAAGGCTGGAAGTCTTGTCGGGTGTGAGGGCATGCAGAAGGAGGGCGCAGAGAGCAAGAAGCAATAAGCGTGGAGAATGGGATGGATGAAGTCAGCGATAGGATCAGATGAGCAAGGATCACGACATATTAAATGAAGGCAATCTCTTGACCAAAACATGCAACCATTTTGGATTGTAGACTTGCTTCCTCAATCATCATCGTGTAGATTCGAGGAAAGGCGAGTGTCAAAGACCGAGTGGAGGAATCCCTGCTCTCCCTAGCGTCAGAGCTTCAACATTGCCAGAGCTTCACAAAGACCAACACCACAACTCCGTATTGACGCCCCACAGCGCAACGCGTAATACAAGACGCGAGCTTACGTGATTGTTAGTCGCTCAATATGGCGCCTCCAACCCGAGCCCGTCCGCTCGCAAAGGCGTCCTTCTCTCCTGCTTTCTCGAAGCTCAAGACGTCCATCTACATCGACAATATGCGGCCTGGAAGTGCTGTGTCGTCGTTACACTACATTCGCACACTCTCATGGAATGCGTCAGGCACATTCATCGCGACAGGTGCTGCAGACAGGACGCTACGCATATGGAACCCCGAGAAGACGAATGTCAAGAACTCGACAGAGCTGCGCACGCCAGGCGCAACAGGTGCCGTCTCACTCGAACGCGTCGCTTTCCACCCGATCAACGAGAACGAGTTAGCCAGCTGCAGCACGGATGGCATGGTCAGGTTCTGGGACATACGCTCAAAAGCTAGTGTGGGCGAGGTCAAGGTTGGCGAGCAGCCCTTCACGCTGGCCTGGACGCCTGATGGGACTGAGATTGTTGCTGGGAGAAAAGTAAATTGCTCGCCCGCCAAATACATACCCGGTGCTGTGCTGATTAGATGCAGGATAACACGTTGGTGTTGGTTGACCGGGCAGCTCTGCGCGTCATCTCCGAGCACCGTCAGCCAGTACAGACAAACCAATGCGTCTTCGACTGGTCGGGCAACCACCTCTTCATGACCAACGGCGACGGCTGCGTCAAAGTCTTGCGCTACCCTTCCTTCGAGTCCGCCCTCACGCTCAACGCACACACGTCCTCCTGCTACGCCATCACCATGTCGCCAAGCGGAGAACACATGGCAGCAGGCGGAGGTGACGCCCTGGTCTCGATATGGGACACACAAGAATGGATTTGCGTGCGCACCTTTGACCTGACAACAGAACCTGTTAAGAGCGTCGACTTTTCGTTTGACGGAAGTTACATTACTGCTGGCTCCGATGACAAGATAGAGAAGAAACTGAAGATTGCACACGTCGAAACGGGGGAGATTGTGCACACCATCAGCATCGCCAACCCGGCGGCGCATGTTGCCTGGCATCCATGTCGATACATCCTCGCGCACTCGGCGGATAGCCAAGGATTGAAGATTGTTGGTGGCATTAGTTGAGGACATCTCTACCTCACGACTCGAGTCGGGCGTTTACACGGTCACGATACCCCTTCGCATTAAATTCTACGCATGAACTACTCCCATTACCACTTTCCCGGTTCCGCGGCCTTCTTCCGCTTGTGAGTGACGCAATTCCGACATTCCACTGCGGGAGAGCAAATACCGACGTCGACATTACCCTTCTCATTATATCACTGCCCGTCGACCTCCAAATTCCTAGATCCAACACCGAACATTCCAACATACCAACCATGGACGTCACAGCACCCTTCAACCCGGCGGACCTCTTCTCGGCCAAAGGACTGGTCGTAGTAATCACTGGAGGTGGCAGTGGTACGTTGCTGCTGTTCCCAAGCTACCCCTGCATACCCCGCGTTCAATCACCATGACGTTCATCGTAGCAATAAATTGTGATACAAACTTACGGTCTCAGGACTCGGAATCGCAATCGCATCGGCGCTCCATCAAAACGGCGCGTCGAAGATTTTCCTTCTTGGTCGCCGCCTCAATGTTCTCCAAGACGCCGTCAAGACCCTCGAATCCTCGCCCTCAGCACCCAAGTCCTCAACTTGCGTGATCTCTGCTGTATCTTGCGATGTCGCTGATCTCGAATCTGTGAAAGCAGCCGTAGCACAGATCGAGAATGAGACTGGATACGTAGACGTGTTGTTCAACAATGCCGGCGTCGTAGGACCCAAGAACGGACAAGAAATCTACCAAGTCGATTCGATTGACAAGTTGCGCGACGCAATGGTGTCCGGTTGGGATGGCTGGTCAAGCACAATGGCGATCAACACGCAGTCTGTCATCGGTGTGTCGGCCTCGTTTCTGCCCTTGTTGGAGGCCGCGAACATGCGCCGAGGTTGGGCACCAGGAAGGGTCAACGGTCCGGGCAATACTCGCGAACAGGACAAGTCGAAGCTGGAGGCCATAGGGGCTGACGCCGACGACGACCGCATGGCGCACATCATCACCGTCGCCAGCGTAGCCGCGTTCAGTCGATGGGTCTCTGCCGGCCTTGCCTACAACGCAAGTAAAGCTGCGGCTGTGCACATGGGCAAGATGATGAGCACATTCCTGAGCGAGTGGGGTGTTCGTAGCAACGTTATTGCGCCTGGGCCCTACCCAAGCGAAATGACAAAGATGAACGAGAACCGATACGCCACCAACCAGCTCCCGCAAGGCAGGATGGGGGTTGCAAATGATATCGCGGGGTTGGCTTTGTTCCTTGTAGGAAAGGGCGGTGCGTACCAGAATGGGACGATGCAGCTTACTGACGGAGGGAGGGTGGGTGTGATTCCAGGTACATATTAGGTTGCTGTTCAGGGGCAAGGCTTTTGTAAGCTATGTATTGTAGTTACTTGCGTGCTCTCGTTTGTTTGTTTTACTTGTGATCTGGATGTGGGCTGTGCAGCTTTAAACCAATTTACATATAAACACGACATCACCAAGATAACTTCAAAACAGCGAGCTTGCTTCCTTCCGCTCCGCACATATTGACAAACGCAATCATTCAGCTGCCATAAATCTATCGAATCCCAAACTCAGAAATGACCAACTGTCCTTCTTACAACATCATAACAAGTCTTTATCCCATAGATCCGAAACCTGCCATCATAAGACCGATGCACGTCTCAACATCCGTGCCCGCCGCAATGAGTGAGTTCTTCGACATAAGACGTGAAAGTCGATCGCGGCTTTTATTATACCTGCCGTTTTCAACAATGGTATTATACACCGCTTTGTGAATGAAGACTTCACGAAGAACACCTCGATGTGATGTTTCCACTTATGAAGGTTGAGTTGCAATGTGCAGTATGCAGTATGTAGGGTTGCGATGGGACTTCTTCTAGACACTGAGATGTTGGGTGAGAGGAGGGAAAGGACAAGGTACGGAAAGAATTCGGCTGTGTTCGAAAATGTACACATAGAAAATTTGGGTCGATCTGCTGTGAACACAGTGTGATGTTCACGTTAGTCAGTTTTGTAGTTTTCGTCGACTATGGACAGGAAAGAAGTTGTCCGGTTACTCTATTATGTATGTAAGCTCCTTCTATAGTCCTTCATAGTATATACAATTTTCAAGAGTATACAACCTACCTAGGTTAGGGTTGCTTTCAACAGTGTATTCCAGGAGGTACGTTATAGTTCAGTGAGAAGAAACTATTCAAAGGCTGGCTTTCCTTTGTTATTTGTATCGAGAGTGATAAGTCACTTGGTCCAATATTTCTCACTTGTTCATCTCATGTGTTTTTGGCTGATCGGTTGAAGTGACAGCGGTGTTCTGTATGCTGGTCGTTTTGCTCACTTACTCACAGTCGGCTCATCTTACATTCTGGGTGTTATCAAAATACCCAATCTTCTTGCTTTTGACTTATAGGACTTCATGCCAGATGTGGAGCTCGGGATAGGAAGGGTCAACAAAACACCTATCATGCCTCGGATCAACGTAGAAGATCGGGTAGTCTGGCTGCTAAACGTGGCTTATGGGCCACGCGGTTTCCCCTTGAATTTCAACCGGGAATAAAAAATATGCTCAAACATGCACGTACCGAAGCACAGTCAGAAAGCTAAGAGCACCGGTAGGTGTGGATAAGTTAGGGATGGATTTGCGAAAATGTGTCCCGAATTGCCGTAGATATCCTGAGATTCTTGATGACTAGTAGTTCGTAAGCACAAACTACGCGTGAAGATCAGAAGCCACGCATACGTATAGTATAACATAATGAGAATCGCCCAAGACGTCGACACCCATAACCCAACACAGTAAGCACTCCGGTCAGCTTTCGCAAGCCACCTACCTACCACCTGCACATCATCGTGCATACAGGCGTAGTAATTAATCCCAGTCCACGATCGACCGAAACCCCTCCACCGCCTTTCGCCATGCTGCTCAAAATCCGTATTCACACTCCCCATTCTTACCCAATCAGTATCCCCGCATTCCAACAAAATCCATCATCTCCAAGCCTCCAAGCACGCACTCGCTCACCCTCACCGATCAAATACGGGACCCGCGGAGCCACAACATACCTTACCTACCCAACGAAGGGAGCTGGGAGTGTCGCACACGGCTCGGCCGCCACCACGGCACTCTTCTTCCCCAGTCGTATCGCGCGCATACACGAGCCTGCACGACACAGATTCGAGGTCCCTAAAAAGGAGCGTGAACGCGTCGAAACAGGAGGGCTTTGCGAGATCGGACGCGCATCGGTTTAGGGATGTATGTATGTAAATATGTAAGTCCGAGGTCTTTTGGCAGAACCGTGTAGGAGATCGGCAAGTCGTGTATCGGCAATCTATTCGTGCTACCTAGGACTTTTTTTTCCCTATCGTTGCGACGGGTAAATTCACAACCGTGGCCTTGTTTCGGGAAGGAATAAAGTAGGTAAGTTTGATAGTGGTGAGATGGTGATGTAAATACATACATACATGGCCCAAAGCGATATATGCAATAAACTCTATGTATGTCTCCATGTCTATACTGCGCCACCACGCAATACCAAATACAACCCTTTGCCACCAATCAAGCAAGCCCCAACACCAAAAAGTGATCCGCAACATATTCTTCCAAATACTCAAACTCCAAAACCTAACTACCCACACACACACAGGAAAAAGTCACGATGCCGCAAGCTGAAGAACCTCAAGACTCATGTCGTCATACACCCACAAATACCAATATATCGGCAGCCCAGCCCCACCAAACACCGTCTCCAGCGCCTACACACATCTACACGGTACAAAATATACACCACCATCGAAATCCCACACAGCCTACACAAGAAAAGCAAGACCGCGTACCGCCACCCAAACCCCTTCTGTCTCTTTCTATTCCCCCAGTCTACCACTCAATTACTCAATCAATCTATGTATATGCAGCAAGGTCAGTCCGTCCGTGCAGCGCAGTGCAGTGCAGCGCAGTGCATCAGATACGAGCGGAGTACATAGATCTGATAACCGCTCTACCCTGCGTCGTATATTTTGCCGTCCGACAGTGGCGTCATGCAACTAGCATTGTATCCCTGCATCCCATCGATCCCTGTCTGTAGGCCCACTCAACCCAACCCAACCTAACCCCACCCCGCTAATACGGGAGCGAGCATCACCACCAGTAGCAGTGGTAGTAGCAGCAGTAGGCGAACCAGAGGTATGTCGATCATGGGACGCGATGGCCCCGCATATTCAGTCCGGCCGGTCTGTTTTCGCGACTTGGGAGATGCGGTGAATAAGGCATGGCATGTATGGCGAGGCTTTGCGGTGAGGGGGGAGGTTGGGCGAGAGATGCGCTTGCGCTTGCGCTTGCGCTTATGCTTGGGGAGTTGAGCTAGGTGAGTGTCGAGCGAGGAAAGCCGGGGCTAATGTTGACGTGCAGTGCGGTGCAGTGCAGTGCAGTATGCGAGCGGGCGCTCTGACGTTGGGCTACTTGTCTATCTGTCTGCCTTAGGTACGTACCGATTGGAACATGTCAAGATCGAGCGGGTGTGTGCTAGTTAGTTGGTTGATTGGCTGGTTGGCTGGAACGACTTAGGCAGGTTTTCGAAACAGTAGCAGTTGTTTTGGGTTTGGAGAAGTATTGGATTGCGCAAGCAAGGTGGGCTCGTGCTGAATATGGTAATGTGGACTTTTGGACCGGATACTTGCTTGCTTGCATGCGAGAGTCAGAAGGCCGATAAGATAAGCTCGACAAGGCGGGGTGTGTGTGGAGTGAAGGACGATGGAAGTAAGACATTGACAAACATATGCACTCGTGATCACAGAACATAGACACACTGCGCGAGATGGAGGTGCCCTAGTAATCCTTCACGTGAACATATCTACACTGATATTCTGCAGTTTGACTTCACGAGATAACGCGAGGGAGCTACACAAAGGGGAGTGTGGCAGAAAGTTGGAAGATGTGGCGCGCTATACCCTAATCTGGAGCCATGTGTGCCACTCTTCTCAGGGAGCATGTGAGTAACGCGCCTACCGATCAACGACGAGCTGATCTCGAGCCACAAGACGGAGGTGCGCGTGACGCTACGACGCAATAAGTAGAGCAGCGACAGTATCAAGGGATATTTCAGCTGAGTAGACGGTATACTTCAGGGATACCATTATTGAGATCCTTTGAAAGGGGGGTTGTTGTATGTGGCGACGCACGTTCTACTGTCTTGTCTCGGGTATATTGTTTGAGGATCCGCAAGATAATGCAAGTTGTCGTACTGGTTTGTTTTGCAGTGCCATCTTAATCATTCATCCATGCTGCAACACGGTTTCCTCCAAAGCGCGCAGCGAATCGCAACCCGGTTGACCCCATGGGAAAGTAGGAGACGATATACCAGACCAAACAAATCAGCTGTGCGATGACCGCGACGAAGGTGAGGATAGTGCTGTGAAGCTAATCACGCGGACATTTGTCAGTAAATCTGATTCGCGTCGCCAATCCAAGTTGGTGAGATGTGGGTGGGAAACGACAGGGTCTACGCAGTGTGTGGATTGTTTTGCAAGGGTTAAGGACAACAGGGATCAATGACTTACGCCGAGAGAGAAGTAGAGAGTGAGAGCGATGGTGCCAAAATAAGCACCCGTAAACGGAAGCCTCGGACCAGATGTAAGATGGTGGACTGGATGAATTGTCAGCAACAGTATTTTCAATCAAAGTGTATGACCACTGCTGAATTGAGGGCGAGGCTTACAGTATTGCATGGGGCCCATCAATACACCCCAAGCTCCTAGGAAGAGAACACTTCCCATAGACCATCTGAATCAGGCAAAGATCGTTAGCACTAGCGCCGTTTAAGCAATGCGCATGGTATATGTGAGAACGAGGTTGGATTTAAGCAAGGACGCTGCTGCTGCACGTTGCAACGCGCCGAACCTTACGCCCGCATGATCGCTGTGGAAGGCTCCGCACGATCGGCGGTGGCTAAAACAACTATTCGTCGAAGCCGATAGAAGAAATGATAAATCCTTGAACGAACTGCATGAGTTCGCATAGCCGGGTACAGTACTTCGAAACAGAAGCGGTGTGTGCTACTGCCTGATTCGCCTGTGACGATTTTGCGAGAGCAGGCTGAAGGCAACTTGCGCGGCGGACTTTGACTGGTTTGGAACGAAAGTGCTCAAGACTTACAGGATGGCAAACTTGCGCGGCCTAACGATGAATACGGGAGTGAACATGAGTCCGACGCAGGTAGCAAACAATGCCAAGGCTGCAAGCAAGAGACCGCCAAAAACAAGCAGTCGGTCCCACCGACTCACTGCCGAAAGTTGTCAGCAGAGATCGACAAGATTGATAGTCGAACGATTGGGCAGGTATTTTGCAACCAAAACAGGGCATGCAGGAACTATCTTCTGTCACATTCACTGCCGTTGCCCGGTCGAGAATGGTAATGCAGGGCCAGATGACAGCCGCAGGTCTCGGAAGAGAGAAGCCCACAGAATCCAAGATGCTGTTTTGAGAAATTCGATATGCTGAAACATGTGTGGAGAAAGGGAGTGGCTTTGACTAGAAGTGAAACTAGCTTCACCGCGGTGTCTTCTGGTGCAGTCACGGGGTGACAATACGACTCATTATAGCACTCGAACATTTTGAGGGCGATCATACTCTGGCCCGCAGTATGTAGGCCTCACGATATCGGAGTGCCTCCGAAGTGCATCAAAAAGTAAAGTGCGTGCATCAAGACGCTTGCAGAGAGGTTGCCACATGATGAAAGATGGAGACTTACGCGCAAACCAGCCTTCCTCCTCTTCTCTCCTTGTCGGAGCCGGTAGAGGGGCGCCGGGGTTTGTCTCTGTGATGGGCAGTCTAACATAGCCCCCTTCTCCAAATGGGTTGAGGTTTTGGATTCTGCCCAGCAGTGAGGGTGGTGACGTATTCACGGACAGTTCTGGCTCCCTCCTGCTCCAACCCAGCGAGTTCATCGAGTCGCGGAATGAGTTGGAAGCCATATCTGCTGCTTGGACAAGATCAAAAGCAAGGTAGTCGACAGGGGGGTTTGAAGTGTGTGTGGAAACTTGTTTTGCAGCGCAGGAGTAGGATGGCTGGAGCTGGTAGTGGCGAGCCTGAGATGCAATAGCGTGTGGATAGAAGGTTTACGAGAAGCCGCAGCAGGCGACACAACGATACAAACAGATGGTTGCCCAGGCTAGCTGCTCAGGGCCTCGGTAGTCAGCCTAATGCTGATGTGGGAATGCTGTCGACGATGGGAGAAGTTGGACAGCTGCGAGAACGGGCCGGAGGATTTCGTGCAGATGATCTTCTGCGGTGAGAGAGGCAGAGGCCCAATGACTGGTGCGCGAGGCCGTCTACGCGTGGTGGTGCTGGGGCGTCGACGGCGAAGGGGGCACTTGCGATGGGGACGGCGTGGAGGACTCGGCAAGGCAGGCCGTGGTGGGGGTGATTGGCTGGCGCGCCGAGCAGAGGGACGCGTTGGGCTCGTAGGGGTGGTGGAGGTGGAGGGTGGTGGTCTCGTTAGTGTAGTCCTGGCAGGCGTGCTAGGTCGCCTTGGGGGGGGAGCTCGGTCGCGTCGGTCGCCTCGGAGCAGGTTGCAGACGGACGAACGTGCAGACGAACGCTGCCATGACGAATGCGCTAGGTGGTAGGACGACGGGGTCCCGCCCCATGTCTGGGACTAGAACTACTCCATGCTGAGCCCACCGCTACGCGCACGCCCGCGAGTGTGGCCAAGGCTGCTCGCCCGACTGTTGCTGTAATCGATGTTCGGCGGAATGTTGCGCGCAAGTCGCTGTGAGTCACATCGCGCCCTGGATCCTGGAACCTGTCTTGCACGCGTTTCTGCTTCCATCCAAGACACCTCGCCCACACCACCCACTGCGCCTGCGGGTGACCCTTCCAAGGCCGAAACGGTCGCGAAGGACCGGGGAGGGCAGCAATACGGATGCCTGCATAGTCGTAATCGATCAACGGGGCGGGCATGAGCCACAGCGCGACTACGGCGAGCAAGAGAGCCGCGCTCAGCGTAGAGTATAATATGCACGAGTGCCCTGCGTTGCTGAGCGCCCAATAACCCTCCAGCCCCTAGCCCTCTGCCCGTCTGTGAGTACTTGATATATATATTCATCCCATATTGCCCTCCACGCCGGCCCGAGCTCCCTCAGATACCTCTCTTCACCACCTTTGCCCCTACGCCCAGCACGCCCAACTTGCACCACCGTCCCCGCCAACACCAGCCGTCTCCCAGCTACACCGCATCGTCGCCGCTTGTTCTTTTGCCGTTTCGTGCTCGGTTGCCGCGCCCCGCCGGTCCTGTGTCCAGCGCCCTGATTCGCTCGCCGCCCGACCTTCTTGGCGAGCCGCGCCTAGCGACCATCCTTCTATTCTCTGACCGCCTTCCGGTCTGGGTCCTCCTGTCTTCGCTTTAGGTGTCCAGTTCTCCTCTCTGGAGTCTGTTGAAAAGACGAGACCTTGCTCACTCTGCCCTCTGCACAGCACCGACCGTGCGCTGGATAAGACTGGGGCATTCTACCCGCACCTATCCCCGCCATACCCTGCCGATCTACTCTATATCCCACTTCCCACATCCCACCTCCAAATCCCGTCCACTGTTTCACCCACGCCCGGTTCCACAAAGCCTCAGGAAGAGCGCGCACTCGGCCTTTGAACAGCGCTTCTGGTCGACGTCTGTGCCGCATTTCTGCCCAAGGCTGCCTACCACTCCTCGTGTCGACTCAGTAAACAAACCTGTAGCACCCACCGCCTTTGACGGGTTTGCTGTTCTCGACCACTGCACGTAGCCGACAGCAATATCCCACTCCAAGTCTCGAAGCCAGTGCATCCGCCGTGTGCCGCAAGCCTAGTCGTTGTTGCCCTCTTCACAGTCGCAAGGTGAGTCAGCCCCCCCACCGCTCCTTCCTCTTCCACCACCACCACCACCACCACCAGTCAGCCTGGCCGCAACGCATATTCCCAACGGCACTGCGGCTCGGTGTGACTGTTTTGCCGCTTTGGCTGCCTGTGCCACTTCTCCACAGCGCCGGAGTGCAGCACGGCATCTGTCCGCCGTCGCTCGCCTCGCTGGCTGCCTGCCTGTGCGCCACACCTATGCAACCAACCTTGGAACTGCTCAACACTTCTCTTCGGTAGACGCTAACACTCTTCTTTCCAGGCCCGTATCGACCATCACCGCCACGAGCACTCACCACGCCTCCCTACAGAAAGTCCTCCCTCAACAGGTGCAACAATATCTACATCCGGTGAGTCAAACACTCCAGAGGGACGTTGTATGCATACAGAGACGCGGGCCTAACGCCTATGAAGCAGGCAAATTCTAGCCTGATCTCGAGAACACACAGGGATTGCTAGTGAGCATCAAGCATCACAAGCGAAGACCCTAGCTTGCTTCAGTGTCTTGTGTCCTCTGCAGAGCAATCGACTACCAGGGTCCTTATATGATCACAGACCGTCTCGTGTTGCAATCATCTTGCAAGCCTGCGAGTGCCTTCCTTGGTCACTTGCTCGATTCGAAGACAGATCGTTTCAGATCTAAGAGCCTAGGGACCGATACCGGCCCTCAGTCTCATACATCCACATTCCCGGGTCATCGCAACATCTAGTAATGCCAATGCCCAGTAAGTAACACCCCAATCTACACTGTCATGAGAGTAGTCCTCCTGTCTTGCACCTGTTCTTATATTGCGACACTCCGCCTGCACCTTCCTTCCTCCTTGCACTCTCCTATCCGTCTATTTCAATCGTCTTTCCAACAGTCTCTCCAACCGTCTTTCCAACCGTCACTTTCGTCATGTTTTACGAAGCCATACTGACTGTCCCTCAAGCGGACGCTCTCTTCACTCCTCCGTCTTCCTACTCTCCTCAGAAAACCCTGGCCAGGCTGGACCTTCGATTGGACTCACCCTCTGACGACGCTCTAGACGCTGATATCTTTAACATGCTCGGCACAGGTTCTCCTCAGCCATTTATCAAAGAAGAGGTCGACGAGCTCCAGTTCAACCCCAATCGATTCATGGCCCAACCCGGATTCGACATGAACCAACAATACGGCGGCCAGCAGTTTGCCTCTGCTCACGACCACAATGGCATCAACCCATCTGATCTCACCATGCACATGAATAACAACCAGTTTGGCTCAGCCAGCTATATTCATGGTGCTGCAAATATTGCAGACGACGAGCTTGCTGATTCGCTTGGTACCTTCGACCAGCAACAGGGATTCAACGACTTCAACAACCAGAACAGCGTGAACCAACAAGACTTCTTCCACGGAAACGCCGGTGGCTCCAACATGAACCAAATCTACTCAAACACGCCAGACGATCTACCTATCCACAGTCCGTTTGTTCATCCTCAGGCGTTTGACTTCAATCAATACCAATCTGCGCCACATAGAGCAGCATTCCCTGGTAGCATGCAGACAGGCTCCATGCGACAGCGTATGGCGATGAGCAGGACCGGTTCTGACAGCCGCACTCCGATGTCGCCAAAGACCCCGGCCATGGCTGGGCTTCATCTGGGCACACCCGATTCGGGCAACTTCGCATCCCAGCCCATCATGACCAACATGCACCGCCATCAGAAGAGCGTGTCTGGCCAGTGGGATGGTACCCCCGGAAGTGCTCACTCCTGGATTGATTCACCGACACAGTCCCCTCACACTACGACGATGCATCATCAACAGATCTCCGAAGTTCTGCATTCAGGCAAGCATGCTTCATTACCTAACAAGGTCGACATTGGTCAGACGCAGGATGCCAAAAAGCGTCGTCGCCGTGAATCTCACAACCTGGTGGAGCGCCGTAGGAGGGACAACATCAACGAACGAATTCATGATCTGTCCCGTCTGGTCCCACAACACCGTCTCGAAGATGAGAAGATCCGGAAGCACATCAACAACAACGGACCTCTTTCACCAACCCTTGCTGCCACTGGCATGTCACCTCCACAAGCAACTTCCCTTCTGGCTGGCGGCAGCGGAAGGCGGGCTGCTGGAAACATTACACAAGGATTGCCGATGGAAGAGAAAGACAAGGGACCCAACAAGGGTGACATTCTCAACGGTGCTGTCAGCTGGACTCGCGATCTCATGTGGATGACGTACAAGAAGATCCAAGAGTGCGAGGAATTGGCTGCCCGACTCCAAGAGGCTACCGGTGAGGAATGGCCTACCGAGCAAACCGAGGACGAGAAACGCATGAAGACAGAGATCCTGGATGCAATGGACAAGAACGGCACCGGCACCTTCAGGTACTCTCGAGGAACCGGCTCAGGCCTGCGAGTGCCCAAGCATACCAATCTGGCTGGCGAATCCCTCAGTCAAATCTCGCCACAGAGTCTCAGCCCAGGCATGCAGAGCACCGGTAGTGGATCGGGCTCCAACCAGCCGCAATACTGGTCAAACCAGAGCCTCAAGGAAGAGGATGAGTACGGCATGGACATGGGCTGAGCACTTCCAATCTCGTTCCTCATCAGGGTCTCCTTCCCTTTACGTCGTTATTGCCTTTCCTGTTTATGATACCCCGCGACATCCCGCACCCCATCCCGCATACAGCTGGTGCACCTGCCAAGAGTGGCTCAAGCTTCCCATGGCCCCCGCCTTTTCTACGAGTCTTGTCGCCAGGGACCGCTTCCAACGACAGAGATCACGCTGTCGCTTGCCTGTGCCACTCCCGCATGCCGTCTGTCTCTGCTGGCCAAAGACCGACGAAGCTTCCAGCCTACATCACGACACTGCCCATCTTCTTGCATAACATGTATCGACCCCTCTCGTCATACACCCACTTCCCTGGCGTTCGGAGTATTACATTTAGCATAGCCTGTGACAGACACAGCTCGTCTGTTGTTTTTATCTTTTTGCTTTTCTTTTCTTATCCGCGAGGCTTTTTCATATCGCCACTCGAACATTTATAATACCTGTATTTCCTTATACACGGGGGATGGTTAGCATGATTCTGTGCATTGAGTGGCGGTGTTATGGGAGTTGACATTACGTTGCATACGGAGAGAGACTGCTAGATGCGTTGCAGACTATCGGATGATAGCAGCTGCGATCGTCATAAGGGTGCTAGGTATTTGTTTTTTCGGTCGCTTTTCGGTGCTTTGTTCTTCCACATCCACGGGGCTGGTTATTTGCGTTAGTTTTAGCAATGTCATTCATATCAAATCACACTCTGATACATATTGCAAATGTGGAATGGAATGTGTGTGTCTACGACTAAGCTACTTACCTTTGGAATACTAGTTAACGACTACAACCACTTGACTCTGTAGCCAGACAATAAACGCCACTCCGTTGAAAGCACACACTACTCAGTCACCCACAACGCCTATCTACCTACCGCCACCACCACCCTCAGTAGCGCGAAATCGTGTCCCACGCCGTGAACCACCGTGGCGTAAACCTAGCTTCCGAAACCGCTGGCAAATGATGTGGTGTATTGTGGCGTATAGGCGGATGGTGTGGCTGGTACAGATAGATACACATGTGGAAGTGGATGTAGTGTCCGATGATGCAGGTATGTCTGAGAAGGGGAGTGACAGCTGTCGTGGCGAGCTCGTGTGCGTGTGGGTTGGGACGGAATGGAATAGAGACGGAGGGATGGCGATTCTGTGCTGTGCTGTGCTTGACACCATCCTCGTGTATAGCGGATTGAATAAGGGCGTAGATACACTGCGTGTTGGGTGCTGAACTGTGTCTGGGGAGTGTGCAATGTGAGTTTTGCAGACGGGCGTTTTTGCCGCAGCCGTTGATGGGAAGGTGTGCTGTCTATTGTTGTGTTCGGGCGGTGAGCTTGCTTGTCAAGTGTATGTATGTATATGTTTTACAGCACGTTGATAGGTGTGTTGGGCTTGTAGAGGGTGTATGGGCATGACATGTGCTGCACTACAGCTGCGTTTGCATATGCAGTGGTTTGTGGAGAAGGGAGACAGCTGGGCGATGTTCAGACAACCTGCTATCACTTCGTTGATCAGTCCAATTGTCTGGTTTGCTCGCACATCATACTCTCTAATCCATCATCGCTTTTACAACACAGTCTCAAAACTCACAACACACCACTACAAGAGTCAGCCAACCGCCCTCGCACAACTCTAACCTCAAGTCCAAGAACAAACTAATCAACAAAGCCCATCCACCACCGACGTCACGATCGGAAGGCACCCAGTGTTTCAAACCTGCCGTGCACCGTAGCCGCAAAGTAAAGCAAAGCCCACGGTGCACATGAAGTCTAAGACCCAGCCCGGGCCGCACACTTACACAGGGATGAGGGGAGCTCGGCAGTGTCAGGGAGCGGGATGTACGACGTCCCACATAGATCGGCGGAGTGAGGTCTGGGTCTGGGTGTGAGGCGGGGCAGGACAGGGCAGATGATGGGTGTCTCGGGCGCTATGGGGGTGGTGAGCTTGGTGTTCATGTTTGCTCAGGCTGCATGACAGAGTATGGGAAGTGTGGCTGTGATGGCAAGGAAGTTTGTTTCATAGATATTGGTATTCGCTATGAGGTCGCGGAACATGATGTTCGCTGCCTGTTGAAAGGGTCTTTAGGTCCACGGAATGCTGTGGTGGCTTGCACTGCCTCGGAACTCACCTGCTGTGGTGCGACTATGTCCCGCGTCATGGCTGCCTGCAGGCTACAACATCTGCCTGTTCTGTGACTCCAGGCTGTCTGTCCCTTGTTGCGCCTCTTGTATTCCCCCCTCTGCTTCACATGCCAGCCTCGTCGGTTTGTGATCTTTGTCTCGTTGCGAGTTCGCATTGCGAAAGGGGACACGGCGTGCTGCAGTGCTACCGGCCTAAACTGCCGCAATGGCGGAAATATCGGACACTTTTATTCCCAGTGGATTCTCGTGTCTCATTTGATGGAGAGGGTGTGAAGAACAACCTGGCGTCATTGGTAAATGCATCAGACGCTGCTGATCCACGAGCCGAGAGACATCTTCGAGACTTTTCGCCCTGATGGTGCCCGATAACTCTACGACGTGCGAGGTTGATTTTGTGCTTGAGATTGTGGTGTTTGTGATGGATTCGCAGTGACCGCGCTGGGGTTATCGCTGTCGTCACCAAACCCGAGGTTTCTGAACGAGTCGGGAGCCATGAGATTCCTGATGATGAGTTTGGTCAGTATGGTCATTTTCGAATTTACAACCATCAAGTGGCTTGTTTCAAGTATGTATAGTCCAACAAGGAAGTAACGAGAGCTCATTACGTACCGATCCATGCGGCAAGACAAATACGACTTGGAGAGGTTGCGGCATTCGTCGTCGTTTGTCCCTCGATGGGATTTAATGCATTTTAGGTACGATAGCATGATATGCTTGCACTCTCCTAGAAGACAGGATTAGTCGCCAAGGAGAATATAGAGCTCAGGTGGGTTGAGAAGCGGTCTTCGTCATGGATGGATAGTTACAAAGGGGAGCGTACCATCGTGATCGAGAGGAAATGAACCGCGCTCAGGTCTGCATAGGCGATGCGAGTTAGCAGAAAATCCTCAATAAAAGTACTTCAGGTGATTGCAGGAGTAGCGGCATCGCAGCGCAGCACAATGATTGACAAGTGAGCGTTGACATACGGGTTTGGCCTTTGGATCTTCTGTCCCAGTCCTGCTCCGCCAAAGGAAGCCATATCTGGATATCAATTGGAGTCAGCTCGTAAGCAAGAAAAGTTACACTATGCTGCAACCAGATATAACAACGGTGTCGTCGTGGATGAGGAACTCCAGGCAAAGCAGCGGGCGGGATGCATGATGTTCAGCTGGCCTGTGCTTTGTCGCGTGTTGATGGTTCGTTCACGGTCCCTGCAGATCTGGGATGACGCACACTGTGCATTGCAGCGCGGCTGTATCGTAAATCAACATCGTATGGACTGGTGGGAGGGATTTGATTGGCAGGGGGCGATGCATCTATCAATTCGGGGGTAGGTTGTGGTAAAGATGTTGATCTATCTACGTATATTTTATTGCTGATCCTCTGTGTGTTAGTATCACTGCTCTTCCTATCTCGCTCAAATCTTGGTCTATACGACTCTGCAATACTAATACTAGGCTTCGTACATGTCAAATGCGGAAGGTGATTGGGGGATGGATGTTGCAAGGGAGGAAAAAAGGAGATACACAAGTGAGTGACAAGAATGACGAAAATTGCAGTTGTAGTATCAATGCGTATTTGGCTTCTATAATTACGTTGAATGTTAATCAGGAACTTGGTCTATAAGGGCATTGTTTTGGACGAGACAATGAAGAATGAATGATTAGAAATGAGTGTTTGTTTCCCTCTCGATGTTGGTCGAAGTGGGATGGATGGACCCCGCTGCGCCACAGCCAGAGTCAGAGCGGGTCAGCCCTGTGATCTCATCGCCAAAATGTACAAACACACGAGCACAAATAAACACTGCCTCGAGCCTAACGCGTTTGCGCCCTTTTTTGTCTACTATTTATCGTGGCGCATGGAAATCTGTTAAGGTGCGCCCTTGGTTGTTTGAGTCATCGTGACAGCACATTAAGCGTACATGGCAGTGGCATTCAAATACCGCCTTCCCTTCCTTCGTTGTTCCTCACCTTCGCCTTTCCCCCAGATACTTCAACGCTTGAGAAGTTCACACACGCTCTCCACGCTCTCACTCCCTCGTCCCTCCCCATTCGCACTCGCACGAGCATCAGCACCCACATTCGCAACCATGGCGCATCGCAGCACGGCACCGTACGCGGCGCAGGATCGAAAAGAGATCCTCGCCTTGGTACAGGCCCTGGACGGTCACACAGGCAAAAAGGGCAAGGGCGGATTCTCCGTCCGCAAGCACACCTTCACATTGCCCACCGGCCGCACCGTCGACTCGTGGAAGATGCAAGACTGGGACTACAAGAAGGCGAATCTGCCCACATATGCGCGGGGGCTGTTTACATACAAAACTATGGACGGGCAGGTCGAGATCGCTGTGAGAGGATACGACAAGTTCTTCAACCACGGCGAGGTCGGGAAGACAGAGTGGAAGAATGTGGAGCGGGACACGAGGGGCCCGTACGAGCTGAGTGTCAAGGAGAACGGCTGCATCATCTTCATATCCGGCCTGGACGACGATACGCTGCTGGTCTGCAGCAAGCACTCGACGGGCGCGCGAGGCGATGCGGAACTCAGCCATGCCTGTGCAGGTGAACGCTGGGTTGAGAGGCACATCGCGACTGTGGGCAAGCGGAAGGAGGACCTGGCCCGCACACTACGCGCCATGAATGCGACTCTGGTGGCTGAGCTTTGCGACGACGACTTCGAGGAGCACGTACTAGCATACACCCCCGACCAGGCCGGCCTGTATGTCCACGGCCTCAACCTCAACCTGCCCGAGTTTGCCACATACCCTGGACATCTGGTCGACAAGTTCGCAGATGAGTGGGGCATGAAGAAGGTCGTCTATGTCATGGAAAACGACATCCAGAACGTCAAGACCTTCCTCGACAAAGTCGCTGAGACAGGCAACTACGACGGACGTGACACTGAAGGCTTCGTCATCCGGTGTCAGGCACGAGAGACCGAGGGCGCTCCCTACGTTGACTGGTTCTTCAAGTACAAGTTCGAAGAGCCATATCTCATGTACCGCCAGTGGCGTGAGTGCACTAGAGCATTGATCGCAGGCAAGCCTCCCCGCTACAAGAAGCACAAGGCCATCACCGAGGAGTATCTCGAATATGCTCGAAGGCAGTTTTCCCAGAACCGAGGGCTTGCAAAGGATTACAACGCGAACCATGGCATTATCAAGATGAGGGATGATTTCCTGGCTGCCCGCGGCACAACCGGCGCAGAAATCATCCGACAGGAGCTGCAGAATGGAGCGACCGAGAGCAAGAACGTAGCGAGAGATATCGTTCTCGTGCCCATCGCCACTATTGGGTGCGGAAAGACTACACTGGCTCTTGCGTTGGTAAAACTCTTTGGCTGGGGCCATTTCCAGAACGACAACGTCACAGCGAAGAAGGGCCGTGGTCAGGTATTTGCCGACACCATCTCTGCCATGCTGGTCACCAATCCTGTTGTGATTGCAGACCGAAACAATCACCAGAAGCGCGAGCGAGACCAGATTATCACAGACATTTCACGAACGGCACCTGACGCTCGTTTCGTTGCTCTACACTACGTCCACGAGCGCTCCAACTACGATGCTATTCGGACTGCGACACGGAAGCGCGTTCTCGATCGTGGCGACAACCACCAGACCATCCAGGCGGGATCGAAAGGCTCGGGTGAGATCATTCAGATCATGGAGGGCTTCATGCATCGATTCCAGCCAGCCGATCCCTCAGAAGCTCCAGACGAGCTGTTCGATCTGATCATCAACATCGACCCGACTGTAGACTCGCGTGAGAATCTTGAGGTGATTATCAACAAGATGTTCGAGACGTACCCTGGTCTTTTCGAAGGCAAAGAGATGCCGACTCACGCCGACATGGACGCTGCGATCCAGTGGGCCATGGACGACTACAGGCCAGACTTCAAGATGGATCTGTCTCGCAATGGCGGTAACGGCAAGCAAAGCATGGCGAATACCCAGAATTGGAGGCAGCAGTCTCAGCCTGCAGCAAAGTCCAAGAAGGCACCGCGAATGGAGTACTTTTCCGTCAGTCTGGACCAGTCACGCATCACCTCAATCCTCGACGACCTGTTTAATGACAAAGACGCGAACACTGCACGCCTTTACAACCACATGAAGGAGGCTCGCCGCATCCAGCCCGAATTCCACGTCACACTCATTCACCGCGCCTCCGCGCCACAGAACCAAGCATACTGGGACAAGCTTATACAGCTCAACGAGAGCACCCAGAACGCGCAAGCCAACACCGGGGCCTGGGAACCCGAGCTCGGTAAATGCGGCGTGCACATGGAGCGCCTCATCTGGGACGACCGCATCATGTGCTTCGTCGTGCGGCTCGACGGCAACGCTGCAGAGGACCTGGTGTTCGAGACGACAAATCCAATTGCTCACGTTACGGTCGGCACGGCGAATTCGAATATCAAGCCAAAGGAGAGCAATGATTTGTTGCAGCGCTGGCTAGCGCAGGGATCTGGTGGGGAGACGGGGATCGGCGAGCTGAGCGTTAATGGGAGTGTGGTGCTTGACGGGAGTGTGCGGGGTGTGTTGGGGCGGTTATAGACGTGGAGGAAGGGTGAGGGGGTGGAAATGAAAAATGCGAGCATGTATGGCGTAACCAGAAGGCATCTCACCGCTGGTCACACATTACAAGGGGGGGATGAAATCACGACACGATAGTTTAAAAGCGTGCAAAAAAGTTTCTCGCATGAACCAGCTTCTTCATTCGAACCAAATAACGCATAAATTTCTAACACTGGTAACCGTACGTGCATGTGTGGTTCTTGGTGCTTGAACTGGTACCGCGTTTCATGGCCCACCACCACTCCCATAAAATATATGAATCCAAATCACTCCATCTCCCCTTCCCCTCTCACACCATCCCATCCCACCCCAGAACTAACAATGAAGTCCCTCGCCCTCCTCATCACACTCACTACCCTGGCAACACTCGTTACCACCGCCATGGCAGCAAACGCAAACGCAAACCCCCCAGCTATGCGCGACCTCCTCGATGCCGCGTCCAAAATGCAAGACCTGGAGGGGAAATGCGCGGTGCAAGCTTGTACGTGCCCCCGTTACAACTTCCCTTCCCACCCACGACATAATATGCTAATGAATTCGTAGGCAAAACAATGCATCCCAACGACAACGAGGAGAAGGTGTGCACTGTGGAGAAAATAGCCACCTACCGCGCAGCGTGTCGACGGATCCTAGTTTCCGCAGGGCTAGTGCAGGAGGGAGAAAAAGGCAAACTAAGTGCAGAAATGCACAGCCAGCTGCGTGAGAGTCTGGCGAAGGCGAATCTACAGATTAGACATAGCGAGCTATAGATAATAAACCCATCATCTACCAATGCCGCACAACAACCAACCACCCCCTCTCCCTCAGCGCCTGAAACACACCAACGACCTTCTTCCGCTTCATGCCCTCCCGTGGCGCCACATCCTCCACCGCGTGCCGCCCGTCCAGATGCCGCAGGAACACGGGCCAGTGCTCGCGCAGCTCGCGGCCGGGGATGCGCCCACTACCTCCACCATCGAACAGACTCTTGGGCGGACTCGCATTCTCGTTCTCGTCTTGTGTGGTGGTGTCTTCGTCGAAGGTCTGGCCGATGCGTTCGAGCCAGCGGGCCTCGAGGGAGGAGGCTTTTTGCGGGGAGAGGACCAGCGAGGGCGTGTAGTCTGCGGGGGAGATGGTGGGCTCGGGGGACGGCGGGGGGTTCATGTGCAGGGGTGAGGGACGGTGAGGTTTGTTCTCGCGGCCTGCGAGGGCGAGGGCGAGGTTGAGGTGTGAGGAGGGCGAGTCGGCGCGTGGCGGGTGCAGCGCGATGGTTGTGCCTGTGCTTCCTGCGTCTGAGACGGCGCGGGCGGGGGAGCCGCGGTAGTGCGGCGTGGGGTGATTGCGCGGGCTGAGGATGGTGCTGGCGTCCATTTGCTCGTCTGGCGGCTCGAGTTTGTCGCGCCGCGTCGTGGTGGTGGTGGTGGTGTTTGTAGTTGTGCGGCGGAGTGGCGTGGACGAGCGGATGGTGCTTGCGCCTGTGCCAGCGGAGAAGAGACTAGACCGCTTGTCTGACAGGATGGAGTCGGCAACCGACCCGTTATCGCTCATCAACTCCTTCCGTGCGTCTTCTGCTTTCTTGATCCGCTCCTCGCGCGCCATTTCCATGGCGACCTGGGCTTTGATCTCGGGCGTAACGCGCACCCATGCGAAGGTGCGCAGCTGCGTGACCCAGCCGCCGCGCATCAGCCAGGCGAGGATCTCCATGTACGCGTCGCGGTGGTCGGCGGTGGGGATGAGCTTTTTGTAGGGATACGGGGTGCCGGAGAGCATGCTGAGGATCTTGGGCAGCGTGGGGAGCGTGGGGAAGCGCTGGGCGTAGGCGATGACGGCGGAGGGCAGGGCCGTCATGTCTGCGTTGGGACTCACAATGTAAGTATCGCGCGGGGACAAGGGGGCGATGAGACGCGCGCGCCTCCAGTAGACGAGATGCGAGGCGATGTACTCCATGTCCTGGGCGAGGATGTTGTGTGTTTTGGAGATTTTGAGCAGCGACTTTGTGGGAACGATGGCGCGGATGTAGAAGGCGATGGCGGCAGCGTTGGCGGCCGAGTCACTGCCCAGATGCTTGATCAGCGTCTCTGCGTCGTCCAGCAGGAGCAGGGTGGCGTGCTGCGTCATGGGGGCCTCGTCCTTCTCCAGCATGACGTTGGACGTGGTCAGCCAGAGGCCGGGCATCTGGGGCTCGAGGGCGTTGGGCAGGTAGGGCGTCGAGTCGGGCTGGGGGATCTGGAAGGACGTGTTGAAGGTGGCGTCGAAGTGGATGTGGGCGATCTTGTCGTTGGAGATGGCGTCGAACATGGTGGCAATCGACTTGGCCAGGGGCGACATGGTGGTGATGTTGCGCCACGTGGCCGTGAGCGACTCGTTGGTCTCCTTTGCGCGCTGCTTGAAGTCGATGATGCGTTTCGACTCGCGCCACACGTACTCGAAGCGCGCCTGCTCGTACTTGAGCGCCTTTGCGTACTTGCGCGTGACGTTGTCGTACATCTCCTTGACGCGCTGCTGGTACTCGAGGGCGGGCGGGTTGAGGACGAAGACGACGTTGAACATGGTCATGTCCGGGTTGCTGTCGTGGGTTGTCGAGTTGCTGCGCGCGTCCGATGCCTCCGAGGGGGCTGCCGAGACGTCGTGGCCGTAGCCGGGCTCGAAGCCTGCCGGGTAGACAAATGGCTCTGCTATGGGCGCCCGCCCTTCTTCTTCGTCGTCGTATCCATCGTCGTCGTCGTCGTCGTCTTCCATGGCCAGCTTCATCAGGTGGCTGTCCTCCCTCGCGGCCTTCTTCCGCCGCCGCCGCTTCCGCTTCTTCCACAGCCCGTCGTCGCGCACAAACATGGGCGCGCCGACAAAGACGATGCTCTCGACGGCCAGCTCGAAGCGGCGCTTGTTGTACTCTTTCCCCGGGCTCAGCATCTTCTCGAGCGCGTCGACCTTGAAGCCCAGCACGGTGCCCCAGTCGTGGTCGCCGCCCCTCTGCCGGCCGCCCCCGCTCCCATCCTCGCCGTCCTCATCGTCCTCCTCGTCAATCGTCTCCTGCTTGCCCCACCCCGCCACCCCCAGCCTCGACTTCTCGCGCTCCCGGAAGCTGGCTCCCGTGCGGCCCGACGTGCGCCCCCCGCTCGTACGACTCCCTATATCGATGTCGCCATCGTCCTCATTCTCGGTGCTGCTGTCCCAGTCGCTGTCGGAGCTCTGCGACGCGACGCTCGCGGTTGTCGTCTCGTTGCGGAACCACGCTGGGTCTTTGGCCGCTGCGAGTGCTGCTGCCGAGGGGGATAGCGGCGGGTAGTGGAACACGAGGCGCGGGCCGAGAGAGCGCGATTTGCTGACGAGGAGGATCGCGTGGAGATTGGACGCGGGCGGCAGCGAAGTCATGTAGATTGGGATGGTCGTGGGTTGGTGGGTGGACGAAGGCGCGAAAGAGAGTTGCGGGGACCGGGGGATCTAGCTTGATGGAGATTCGACCTTTCACCCTAACATCACAAACTAACAAATCGCTGACGTATGGTTGGTGGACGAGCATATGATTGGGTCGGCCTGAGCTTATCACATGCTTGGAGGCAGGATGAGATGTGACGCTGAGTCATTTTGAAGATGGAACGATGCGACTACACGTAGGTTCGTTGTTGGCATATCGATGCCCATCGCCTGACATTGCCAGTTCACGATGCCGCATATCTTCAGCCACATTGTCATCATCCCAACACGATGCCTACCATACATTCACTCACACCCCCAACACCTTTTTAAACAAATCCTCCCCATTCCCCCACCGACCTCATCCACACAACCCACCATGATCCCGCTAACCCCCCAACCCCACACAGCAACCTACCTCTCGCGCATAAGCCTCTTCATCCTACGCGCCCCCCACAGCACACTAACCGCCGCCTTCGACCCCCACTCCAACTGCCCCATCTCCTCATTAACCATCACCCAACCCTCCCCCAGCCCCGCCACAAACCAAACCTGCCAAACCCTCCTCCGCATCCTGCACGATCCCAACGCTCGTGCAAGCCCCGCAACAATCCCATACGCACTCTGTCTCCTCCTCCGTTTCCGCGACGCATCCGATGCACTCCCCATCCCCTTCGCCCCGCCCCATTTGCTGATTACAATCGCCGTGTATATTAGTTTCAAGATCTTGAGGGACGGGGGAGACGCGCCGGGGCGTCCGAATCAGTATTCAGACAAAGTGTTGATGTGTTTTGGGGTTGATGCGTTGCGGCATTGGTGTTGGCATGTTGGGGTGAAGAAGCGGGAGCTGGAGGATCTAGAGAGGAATTTCTTGGAGGTGTTGCAGTTTAGGGTTTGGGTAAGGAACGAAGAGTATGCGAGGTTGGAGGCGAGGATGAGGGGGTTGTGGGAGGAGGTTTTGCGGTTTGGGGGGAAGTCGACGTTGCCTGTAGGGTGGAAGGGGATGGGGAGACAGATTTGAGGGGAGTGAGTGAGTATGCCTTGGATTGTGGGTGTGTTTTGTTCCCAGGTGTAGAGTCATCAGAGTGGTATAGTAGCCCCCGGCACGGTGAAGGATCAAGCAGGTTTCGCCTGACTAATAAAGTATCAGACAGATCAGAATTGCTGAGAATATGTTGTAGTATCTCTTCTTTGCTCTTGTCGGCCATCCATTTTACGCGTATTATTCCGTCCTCGTCAAGTCGTCGAAGACACAGGGTGACCATGTAAGAGGTAAATCTGTACCTTGTCGAGTATCAACAGTGGTATGTATCTGTTTACCCATCTCCGTTGCCATAAGTGAATTTCTGACAGATAATAGATGTGTGCGAGTGTTTTCATCGTCAACACCTAAGAAAGGCTCTTCTAGTGATCTGTTCAATATAGCTCGCCTTGTAAATGTGAGGTCGTCAGCAGCATTAATCTTTATCCATTGCGAGCTGCACGACATGGCAGCGAACTTCTGCAAGCACGAAGATGCAACTATGCGAAGAGAAGTGAGGTAGTGTCATCACTCCCTGTCTCAGGGTGACAAGGCGTACATCTCTAGCGCGTTTCCTGAGCACGCGCTGTCACGTTATCGCTCGACCTGCTCTGTGAATTCATCTTCTCACGCAGCATTCATGATTGATGTCGGAGAGGAGATGCAATTGAAGAGGAGGAGATGTCAGTGAATCATATCTCCGATCTATCCGCATCGGCACTGACCGCTGCATCTTTGGATCATGTAGCAGGCACGGTGCATCGCGTCTCCTCCGCGTCTTCTCCTTAACGACACAGCATCGCATACCAATCCGTCACCTATACCGCGCCATTATATCTAGACCATTCGATATCTGACGATGGACCCTCGATCACGATGCGGTCACTGCGACCGAGGACGAATCTTGACGGCACGCAAGGCCATGTTTCGTCCCTTCGGTGTACATGTCTACATCAAGCAACTGACAGGCACGGCGAGAGCGGCATTGATGAACGATAGAATGCACAATGTTAGTTCGAATACAGGCTGAGTGACATGCATTGCAGCGTCCACATCAATGGTGTGTTTGATTTGGCTAGGCGATCGTACCAAAGTCTGCACACGCGGTCTCGAGTGATGGTGTTTGGTTGAGAAGCTATCTCTTCTCACTTCGCACAGTACACTCTGACTACTCCGCGCATACGAAGTCCAGGCCAACGATCAACAGTTCGGACCTTCGGAGGCGCAACTGTGCGACACCATAGAATCATCTCGCAAGTCCTGCCACGTTGGTCGCCGGAGCTCCGATCGGATCTTCCCGTTCAACGAATCATGAGTCAGCACCGACCGAGGCATCACGTAGCAACCTCAGCCATACACAAGGCTGAAAAGTGGCTCTGTCAACTACGACGTTGTCCGTGGGTTGTTTCAGTCAGCAAAGCATGTGAAGAAGAGCGGACAAGGCTAGGTAGATATATATGAACAACACCTCACCCTCCAAGACACACACATACTCGCACACTACAATCAGTTATACTCCATCTGCTCGGATTCTGATCTCAATACTCTTCAGCCTCATCTCATTCCAGAATAACCATGGACCCTGTAACGATTCCTGGTCCTCCTGGGCTGCCGTTTCTGGGTAACGTTGCAGACATCGACCCCGAAAACCCAACAGTCTCCCTCTGTAATTTGACAGACAAATATGGTTCGTTACTCTCAAACTCGATCCCTCTATCCAGGATGTCTTAGGCTGTAGCTGACCAGATTAGGGCCAATATGGAAGTTCTCAATGGCTGGCGCAGAACGCATCGTCATTGCCTCACAGGCCTTGATGGACGAAGTTTCCGACGAAGAACGCTTCTCCAAGGTTGTTGCAGCAGCGCTCGAACAGGTGCGCAATGGTATACACGATGGGCTGTTTACGGCACATGGGCCTCGTGAACAGAACTGGGGCATCGCACACCGCGTCCTCCTTCCTCAGCTTGGGCCTCTGGCTATTCGCAATATGTTCGACGAAATGCACGATATTGCATCACAACTCGTCTTGAAGTGGGCACGACACGGCCCTGAGCCTATCCTTGCGACCGACGACTTCACAAGGCTGACGCTTGACACACTCGCACTGTGCGCTATGGACTACCGCTTCAATTCTTATTACTCCGAACATATGCACCCATTTGTGGAAGCAATGGCCGACTTCTTGAAAGTTAGCGGAGACCGGGCAAGACGAGACGTCGTCTCACAGATGTTTTATCGTGCTGAGACCCAGAAGTATTGGACTGACATCGAGCTCCTACGAAGGACAAGCCAGGACGTGATCGACACAAGGAGGAAACACCCAGTCGAGAAAAAGGATCTGCTGAACGGCATGCTGAATGGGGTAGATCCGAAGACTGGTGAGAAGATGACTGTAAGTATCATACCACGACAGGTTTTGATCTATCTCACTAAAAGCTTCGTAGGAGGGGAGTGTGATTGACAACATGATTACGTTCCTCATTGCCGGCCACGAGACGACTTCCGGATTGCTGTCGTTCACGTTCTACTATCTTCTCAAGAACCCAGCCGCATACGAGCAAGCACAGCGGGAAGTAGACGAGGTGGTCGGGAAGAACCCCATCACGGTTGAGCATCTTACCAAGCTTCCGTACATCAACGCCGTCTTGAGGGAATCGCTACGCCTGTCGCCAACTGCCCCAGCCATCTCGCTCACTGCGAAAGAAGACACTGTGCTTGGCGGAAAATACCCCGTCAAGGCTGGAACCCCAATAGTTGCCCTCTTTCCCAAGGTGCATCGTGATCCTCTTGTATATGGAGAAGATGCCGAGGAGTTCAGGCCGGAGCGTATGCTCGACGAGGAGTTTGACCGCCGCAACAAGGAATACCCCAATTGCTGGAAGCCCTTCGGTAATGGGATGCGAGCCTGTATTGGAAGACCTTTTGCGTGGCAAGAGGCTTTGTTGGTGGTTACTATGCTGCTGCAGAACTTCAACTTCTCTATGGACGATCCATCGTACCAACTGCATATCAAACAGACACTCACCATCAAGCCAAAAGACTTCTATATGCGCGCCCATCTACGAAATCATATCTCAGCTACAAACCTCGAACGGGCTCTCTCCGCAACCACCATCGACGACTCACGATCAAAGGCTAATGCGCCACGAACCAGTGCGAAGGCGACTGGCAAAGGCAAGCCGATGGCCATATACTATGGCTCAAACACCGGAACATGCGAGTAAGTCTGACTTTGGAAACGATTGAATAAATCATCTTTCTCAGCGAGCGTAATTTGCTAACATGATTTGAAGGGCTCTTGCAAACCGGTTGGCTGATGACGCTGCAAGTCATGGGTTCAAAGTTGATGCATTGGGCACTCTGGACGCCGCGAGAGAGAATCTGCCGACAGACAAGCCTGTCGTCATTATCACGGCGTCATATGAGGGTCAGCCAGCTGACAATGCAGCGCACTTCGTGAACTGGGTTGGGACACTCAAGGGCACAGAGATGGAAAATGTCTCGTACGCGGTATTCGGCTGCGGCCACCGTGATTGGGCCAAGACATTCTTGAAGATACCACGGACTCTCGATACTTCGTTGAAGGAGCGTGGCGGTACACAGATTGTGGAGATGGGCAATACGGATGCCGCACAAGGGGATATCTTTACAGACTTCGAAACCTGGGAAGACAAGCAACTGTGGCCTGCCATGCGCGAGAAGTATGGCTCAGCCGAAACAGAGGGCGAGGGGTCGCTTGAGGCCACTATCGATGTCGAAGTCTCCACGCCGCGATCATCGACGCTGCGTCAGGACGTTCGCGAGGCTCGCGTTGAGGAGGTTGAAGTCCTCTCGGGCTCTGGTGTTACCGAGAAGAGGCACATCGAGATCAGTCTTCCATCGGGTATGACGTATTCCGCTGGAGACTATCTTGCCCTTCTACCACTCAATCCCAAGGACAATATCCATCGCGCGATGAGGTACTTCGGTCTTTCGTGGGATAGTATGCTTACAATTACCTCTGCCGGCCCGACTACATTACCTGTCGATACGCCCACCAGCGCGATGGACGTTCTTGGTGCGTACGTCGAGCTTGCACAACCCGCCAGCAAACGCAACGTCCTTGCGCTTGTTGATGCGAGCCGCGATGAAAGCACACAAAAAGAACTCACACGCTTGGCTGAAGAGGCCTTCTCGGAGGAAATCACAGCAAAGCGCGTCTCAGTCCTCGATCTGCTTGAGCGCTTTCCCTCCATCCGTCTTCCCTTTGGCATTTTCCTCAAGATGCAGCCGCCTATGCGCGTCCGACAGTATTCCATCTCATCTTCGCCGCTCTGGAATCCGAACAACGTCACTCTCACATACTCGGTCGTCGACCAGCCGGCTTTGAGCGGCCAAGGACGATTTGTTGGTGTCGCATCCAACTACCTTTCCAACCTTGCGGCAGGAGATAAGCTGCACGTTAGCGTGAGGTCCAGTCATCAGGCATTCCACCTGCCTAAGGACTCGAAGAGCGTTCCTGTCATCATGATTGCTGCGGGTACCGGTAAGTCCTCAAACTCATATTCCTCTTGACTTTGTGAAATACTAGAGCAAATATTGACGCGTTCGAGGTCTCGCTCCCTTCCGTGGATTCATCCAAGAGCGCGCCGCGCAGATCGCAGCGGGTCGCTCACTAGCGCCTGCCCTACTTTTCTACGGCTGCCGCGCACCAGATAGCGACCTCTTATACGCTGACCTCCTCAAGCGTTGGGAGCAGCTCGGCGCTGTATCGCTGCGCTGCGCATTCTCCCGCAAACCAGAGGAGTCCGAAGGATGCAAACACGTGCAGGATCGCCTCTACCACGACCGCGCTGATATCGTGAAGCTGTTTGATGACGGCGCGAAGTTGTTCGTTTGTGGAAGTCGGGCTGTTGGAGATGGCGTACAAGAGACGCTCATCCGTATGGCGAAGGAGGTGAAGAAGGAAAGATACGGGCAAGATGTGGATGATGCACAGGCGAGGGAGTGGTTCGAGGGGCTGCGAAACGAGAGGTTTGCTACGGATGTCTTTGCTTGAGTGGGATGATAAGACTGAAAGCTGGCTAAACGTGGAACGGCTGAAATCATCGGCTCGATGAATAACACAAGCATTTCAACTACTGTTCAACAGCAAGCCTTGAATGCGTGTTGACAACAGGCTTTGGTCAAGACGCTACCTTTTCGCTCACACGTCCCCTTGTAGCCGTCTCCTATTCAAAAGACACCGTAATACATCTGACTGTTGGCAGATGTTATGTTTGATACGCGTCATGGATACTACCCTTTGCAGGTATTTGAACAGCTACGTTGCGACTGACCTCCGATTACAGACGTAGTGCCTCGCTAGATTGGGTAAGTCTGGGTGAGGTTCCACTTGGGGCCTTTGGCGCACGCGGAAAGAACTCTCCATCTTCACCATGATTCGCCAGGGATGGTCCGTCGTATTTTAAGTCTACGCTGTATGGTCTTTCTCGAGTGCCTTCAGCTGTTGATATTTTCATCGCCGTTCACTCCACTGTGTGGGATTCTTTGATGATGTCAATTCGACTTGACCCATCGTAAGATGTCCAACATGACGATCCTTCGATATATTTGGAAGGCAAAACCCAGGGGCCGTACCGCACCTGCCCCATCGTAGTTGCCAACTTTCGTCTCGTCCGCTGCATCTACCTTGTCAATCTGACCCCAATCGCACTCAGGGTCACGCTATCGTAGTTGCCAACCATGGACCTGGTTGCCATTAGGATTATAAAACCCATACTCAAGACCGTTTTTTCTCCCAAATCCCACACATTAATATGACATTGCACGTACACCGCGAACTGCACATTCAGCTACATCATGGCGGCATTCGGTGTCTGGTTCAATGATTGCACTGCGCGATTACCGGTGAGGAATCGTCCAGGACCAAGCGAGGAAAGCCAAGAGCCTGATGGGAGACCAACGTATCCTATTCGACAACAACACAATACCCTCGACCTGTCCGAATGGCAATCCATTGCTCAACCGCCATCACTCGAGGGAGGGCCTTGGCCCCCTCGTTCCATCGATCGTCTGTGCAAGGAATATGACACCAACCAGAGCCGTTGCTTGGGCTGTGGGATGTATACACCCTGCCCCTGCGACATCAACTCATGGCGACTGTACAACAGTTATATTTTCACATCGATATTGTGCCAAGAGCACATCAGCGAGATGATCCTCTGTCAACCCCACGATAGTAGATCCTGGGTTGAACGGCCAATTCTTTACATCTATAACATGTATCACCAAGGCATTCCCCACCCAAGCCTCTTCACATGGCAACACATCCGAGAAGGCCAGATCATCGGGGAGATAACAGGACAGCTTCGTCCGGCGCACTTGCTCGAGAATTCCAACCCCGACAACAAATACGAAGTGTGGCCATGGTTCCTTGGGTCTCGAGAGTGGGCAAATCAGCACCCTGAAGTTTCTCACGACGCCGTCATCGACAGCACGAAAGCAGGCAGTCTGATGAAGTTCCTGAATCACTCGTGCTCTGAGAACTGCACAGTGTTTTGGGGTCGAGTCGGAAAAACAAGAGGCTTGTTTGTGAAGGCACGCATGGATATCCTTCCCCGGAGCGAACTGACAATCTGGGATCAACGTTGTGCACAGAGTTTGGATGTGTGCTGCAGGAGTCAGATATGTTCATGTGCTGTTCGAATTCAGAGGAACGACAACGTAGTCACAGTTACCGATCCGGCGGAGGAGGAGCGCCTGGCGCATGAGGCGGAGGTGCAGCGAGAAGCTGCGGTGACGCAGAGATTACGCGAGGCAGAGGAGCAGCGCCTGGCATACGTGGCCGCTTTGGAGACGCTGATACCCGCATTTATCCAGCAGGAATATCAGTACATGTCTTCTAGTGGACAGCAACTTGTATCTCGTGGCGGGCATCAGTTCATGCCTCCCTGGGAGCAACGATTCATATCTACCTGGGAGCAACAGCTCATACCCCCTGGGATGGATGATTCGACAACTCCTGGATCGCTTGAACTCACAACACCTGGGACCAATGAGTTCGTCGCGCCAAGTTACGCAATAAATGGCATGTTGCCAGAGTATGGACCGCTGCCACCCAACCCATTCGGAGATGAACTACAGACCACGCATGGAGCAAATGAGAGGACGTGGGGGCTCGGCTGGACGTATTGATAGGAGAACATGGTTGGATTCAAGATGCGATGTAACGATTAACGACAAGAGTAATGTGTAGTAAAAGGTTCATGTTTCGTTTGTGCATTGCGTTTACATTCTATGTAGCTGGTAAAGATTGCTAAGAAGCATCAGGTGGGTAATGCAACAGTGCCGTGAGCCGGACAATTTGGCCTGGCGAGTGCACTTGATGAATAATGACAGGAAGCAAGAAGTTTCACTCGATAAGTTGGGGAGTAGTCGTTGGCGTAGTTAAATCAATTCAACGTTTTGTCTGAAACTCATCTGGTGATCATTATAATGACTATAGAAACCCTGACACAAGAACACCGAAACACGCGGTTGACGACACGCATTATTTAGCTTGAGCTCGAAACTTGACCTAAAGCACAATGGCAAACGTCCATTCAATACGCAATTAGACGCCTACAAATCCTCCGGGGGTTGCGTAAGCTTCGTCAAATAATCACCGTTCAGCTCCTTCATAATCTTGCCGAGGCCCTCATGACTGTAATCTTTCTCATTCCACATATCCTTGTGATACCGCACCTTCCCCTCCTTATCCAGCGTCAAAGTCACCAAACTGTTCACCTTCTTGGCAATCGGCATCGGCAGAGGCGTGTACTCCTGCTGCAGCTTGAAGATGATCTCATCGGGCTTAGAGGAAAGCACCTGTGTCTTGATAGTCCTTGATGACTTCATGATCTTGGGAATACCTGAACGGTATCATATCAGCAGCTGAGAAACGCGGCTAGAGAAGCGGTAACGCAAATCGAAGTCACTCACCATACCACTGTCCCGCAATCTTGTACCTCGTATCGCAATAACTCCACGGGTCGTCGTAGATCGCCTCTTCCGCATACACCATCATATCCTCCTTACTCGCGCTACCAGAATATAGGTTGCATATCGATTGGACTATCTTCTCCCTTTCCGGCTCTAGCGGTATGGACTTCTCCGGATATGGTTCGTAGTCTACTCCCGAGGAGCTGTTCTTTGAGGGGTCAGGGTTTTGCGTCAGCGCGACGGGATCGGGGCGCTTCTCGAATTCATCTTCTAGGGCCTGTGCACGGGTGTCTTTGCCGCCTTTGCCTGTGAGTGGGAGGGACATGTTGAATTGGCGAATAGAAATGTTGTCGTTTTTGAAGAAAGGATTGGAGTTATTTTTGGTGGTCATTCAGATATAGTGGTACACTAGGGTGACGTCATGATAACACCTCCATTCATTCCACTTGACGTTTCTCTTGTTAAGGTGAAGCCTTAGGTGATAGTTACACAGCATCGAGAAACATAGTGAGCAGGCGTACAGAGTGACAAATCCCGGTGATGATACACACGTCCGTGTGATACTACATGTCCGCTTGTCTCTTGCCATTTTCGATCCGCATGTCATGAACAAATCACAGAACGGCTCGATGTTCAGCATCTCGAAAACGTTTACAATTCAATTGTTTTGGTATTTGCCTCAATATGAACTTGTCGCCACATGTACTGGATGTCCATCGCAAAATTTCCTGCGCGAAGAGCGCTGCACTGCTTCGCTCCTTCGTGTAACCATATTGTGCCAGTCCTGACCCAACAGTGATGCTGTAGCCACCAACACCGACGTATAGAATACCTCCGATCAAGTTGAAGGACCCGAACGAGTCCTATCTGTTGATATTAGCGCAGTACGTGCTCTACTGACAACAGGGGACTTATAAAAAAAAAGAACTGGCCGTCTCGAAAGACGGCGGGCACACCACCCACAAACACCGCTCACCACAAAGCCCCCCTTCTCCGCCAACGACCTTCACCACAACCTCAGTCAGTAGCTGTGTCGCACAACTTCCCAGGGTTTGGCTAAAGGTACAGGAGAAGAGAAACGGTACGATGGTCAACAAGCATACTTAAGCGAGTAACACCAGCAGGGCAACGAGTTGTTGCAAACGCTTTCGACGGACAGGCCTAGACCTTGAGCCTCACTCTTGAGAGGTCCCGTCTCCAACGTTTTTGCGCGATCCAACTCGTTGTGACCTGCGATGCTTCTGCCGGGAATACTACGACTGACCAACCGTGATTCTCGACCTGTTGACCTCATACAAGAGCCATTCCCCAGAAAACTGATTAACGCTGCCCAGATGTGAAGTGAGCGAAAGCAGTGGCGGTTTGGAAGAACTCCATAGTCACATCTCTGTCGCACCAGTACACTGTCCACCGTATCATGACCATCGTTTCCGTAGAATAAGGCTCGCCGTCAACAAATTCCTAATCCTCGCAGCAGAACGTCGCACAACTCCTTCCTCTCGACTCCGTCATCTTGGGTTGTCAAGCCAAGAGGGTTCTCTCCGAATGTAGTGGCATGGCTCTCTGAGACTAGTCTTTGATTCCTCTCCGTCTGAGTGAATTGACGGAAGGCATGTGATACGGACAAAGGACATCCTCAAAAGCCGCATTATTGCCCGCAACAGTCGTAGAAACTGTTCGAGCAGAGTGGGTAAACGCTCACCAATGCAAATGCACGCTAGACGTACATATTGGCGACTAACGCGACTGGCCGAATATCACAATTGGTGACTAGTGTCTGATGACGAGCATCGAGGCACAGGCTTCGTGGTATCGTCGAAAACACGCGAGATTGGAGATCTGGTAAGGACTTTCGTTCGTGTTGGAGAGATGTACGAGGTATTTGTCGTTGCTGCAATTGTCCATTCGAAGTGGCAGTCGCTTGGTATTGGCGCTGCTTACCAGGTCCAAATACACAAGTATCCATCGAACAGTTCTTGGGTGACCTTCAGAGCTTCGGATCAGGAGCGTGACGGTCCGCCATATATGACAATACCAACTTGAGACGCAATGAGACCTCGCTAGGCTTTCGCCTTTCCGACGAGTGGATCTCGCGCCAGCCGAAGCCGAACAAGTTGATGCGTCTGTGTGGGAGGCTCGATCAGAGATCAAGACCGTGCTCTTCCTCGGCTCATCCAGCGAAACCAAGCCGTCGATCGGAGCAGTGCTTGATGTTGGCACCTGGCGTGACAACTTCCATGCGACGCCCAGAAACGAGCGACAAAGGCGTCAACGGCGTGTAAAACCTCAAACACGATCCTCGATCGAGGTATGCGACATCTCCCTCCAGATCTCTTCTCATTGTGTTATCGTGACCACCTTGAAGCTATTCATAGCGACCAGAGTCTGTTGCACGGTTGAGAGTATCGACGTGGTCCTCGTGCGAGAACTTCAACGCCCCAACAGGCACATGATACTCCAATTTGAGCTTGCGCTCCCGTACCTCGAATCTCCCTTTCGTACACCATTCACAAGGCAACAACCTTGAGAGGAAGTTGGCGAGCGTCCGGGACTAATCGGAAGGTCGGCGACATGACCGCGAAGCTGTTCATTTCGTATAAAGCGAAACGAATACCGAAAGATGATTAGGGTTAAGATCCGAGCCTGCCCTCCTCACGCGCGACTCCGCTGTTTCCAACGAAGTGCACAAGCCAACATGCAAACGACCCATTGAGACCATGCTAAGAGGCTCGGGTGTGTGTCGACCATGCAGTGCACGTGAGGTGCGGACGAACCGCATTCCGAAGGGAAGACAGACATCGGTAACTGTGGGGAAAGCGACATGCGGTGGAGCTTGCAGAGAAGCGAGAGAACAAGTGGTGTCGGAGGGGAGTGTTGCGCGACCGTCCCGCCGTTGTGGACATGGTCAGAGGTTGTTGATGAAGTGCACGAAATCCAGGATCAGGTAATGACATATGTGAACAGTCGTAGTGGATTGGCCAGAGATAGACGCTGTACGGTTATTGAGGCGTCGGGGTGGTTGTGTGGGAGGTGGACAGAAGGACCGCGTTCGCGTTATCGTAAAACACGCTAGCCTTTCGCGCTAGTACCCGCGATCACGCCCCATGTTTACTCAGCAATTTCACGTATGTGCTCCAACACCGCCACCACTTTGGCTTCACATTTTAACTTTCGGTGAAAGTGACGGAGATATGGGAGCTATCGAGGACGCCGTTGATGCAGCCGCAAACTTCGTGGGCCCGTTTGTGGATAGAGCCAGAAAAGAGAATGAATATCAGAATGGCCGGACGGAATTGAACTCTGAAGACCTGGTAGAGCAGGCGTTGTCGCACCTTCAAGCCATCAACGCCGCAGATCTGACCGCAGATCCCAATGCTCCATACGATGCATCCCTTGCTGGTGTTGTGTACGCGCTTCTGGATTTGATCACATCACTCGGTATCCTGCCATACGTATCTCCTGGCCTCGCATTCAGTCAGCGGCCAAAGTCCGTGTTGACCATATCGATCATACCATGTCCGAACCGAACCGAAGATACTTTGGTTAAAGTGATTCAAATTCTACTTGTTATACTGGAGCAAAGAGGATCCGGCGTCCAACCGCTCATCTCTCAGCGAATCTTTCCAGATGTAGTATCTGCACTCGTAGAGCTCTCGATGTCCCCCGAGAAAAGCCTAGAGACTCGTTCTACATTTGAGCCCTTCTACAATAACACAATTTCAGAAACACCTACCTCCCGACTTCTTCTGATTCTTACCACCTTCCTCCAGCAACCACTCCCATCGTGGACTAAGCCTCGCCTGTCCAAAGAGTTGGCAATGGTTCCACTTCGCAACAAAGGAGTTCGACACACTATCGAGTTTCTCTCTCTCTCGTACCTGAACAAGAACTCGCATGTACCCCAACAAGCCGCAGGCCCATCATCTCAAATTCCGATCCCCTTAGAGGCTATCACTCAAGCGTCTCGACTTCTAGTATCACCGCCGAGTGGGATTGCTCAAGATGATTGGCTGAGAGGCCTGGAACCGCAGCTCTGGAACCTGCTGGATGGCGATGAGGGGAAGGAACTCAGTAGGGCTGCAGGTCAAATCATCGCTGGTGGGATCTTGAGCAAAAAGACAACTGGTGCGCCTGGCACCATTGGGTGGGACTTGTTTGCGCGACCAATCTTGGAAGCAATATATCCCAGAAAAGCTTTAACGACGACGACTAGACAGAGTACGAATGACCAGATTGTAATGCCCGAGGAAAGTCTCAAGTTGGCTTTGGAGCGGCTATACGCTATAGCATCGTCGTACTCGCATGCCGGCTTGTTGAAAAGACTCGTAGGTCCTCTATTACTCCCACTCTGGGCCTTGTTCAACTATGCGAAAGCGCGGCCGTCGCTCAATCAAGAATGGAGTAGATTGCCACGATCCATACTGCTGCGTTATATGGCCATTGCCTGCGACCCCAAGCAGACCAACGCCATCGCCATGAACCTTTTCTGGGAGGGAGATGCGTCTTGGATATTTGGACCAGGCTCCCAGGGCGGTGTTGAGATACGAGTTCGATCGATAAAGTCGGATGGTACGGACGCTCTCCAAGACATGGACAGCATTCTCTCGCGCGTCAGCAATTTGGATGAACGCGTAGACCGCCTTGTGTCTCTTCTCTCGGAGGCTGACGTAGCGGACGATATGGCAGGGACCATCTTCGTGCAAGCAGCAAAGCGCTGGCTGTCCCCCACGAAAGACAACACCCAGTCGCTGACTGATGATCCGGATGACGATCCATTGGCCGCCTTGACAAACGCAAAACTGTCTGAAGCCATGGCAACAAAGTTCAAGGACAAATTTGTGAAAAGTCCACAACATATCGTTGAACTTATGGGACAGTTGTTGCAGAACTACACGACTGAACACAGATCCAGAACCGCAAAGTTGGCAAAATCGAAAGCTCCACGCCGCGCAAACCTGGACAAGATTTTCCAAAAAGATGGATTGGATAGGGAAATTGATGATGGTACTGCAGATGAAGAGCTCATAAGCTTTGCCTTGAGTATCATGAAAACGCTCTTAACATCGCCAGAGTTCAAACCGACCGCCGCAACAGACGCGTTACTTCCAGACCTTCTCGAAGAACTCCGATATCTATCGCAACAACATCCACAACTTCCAATCTCGCCATTGCTCACCAATTCAGCTTCAACCTTAGTGCACCTTCTCGCTCCTACGGTTCCTTCCACTTCGTCACCCATCACAGATCCCCTTACCGAGCACCGCGCAACCTTGAAAACCATATCAACAGAGCTCACATCTGCCGAGCCCCCAAACCGCACCTGGGCCCTCCACACGCTCCACAAGCTCATACAGAACACATCTGCATTCCCCGCCATCGACATTCCCTCAATAGCCCACCTTCTCCTCTCAGCAAGCATAGCAGACCCAGAATCTTACGTCCACACCGCCGCTATACCCGTGCTGGTCGACCTCGCAGTCCGCGCCCCCAAGCCCACCGTGCGCATCATCGTCGACGCCTTCATCGACATCGACGAGCAATCGCTGAAGCTGACACGAGGCAAGCCAACAGACGAGAAGGAACGGAAACTCCAAGAAGCGTTGGACTTCCGCCTCCGTGTTGGCGAAGTACTGCATAACTTCATCCTGGAAGATGCCTTCTGGACACACTGCAACGACACGACTCCCCTCCGTCAGATCGTTGAAGCAACACTCTCCCTCGCAAGTCGCCGCGGTCAACGCAAACAGACCCTCTCTACCCGCAGTCTCTTATTTGCCGACGAGGAACGCCTCCGCGAAGAAGGTGAAGCAGCATGGGGCGGTCCATTGCCCGACCTGCTCTCCCCCGACGCCTCCTCCGCACCCGATCCAGACGTCGACGCGCTATTGAAGCTGGTGCAAGGCTGGCAGGAAACAGGACTAGAGGAGGACATCCGTCTACGCACTTCAGCACTCAGCATCCTGGGCACGATCTTTGAGCATCGACTCCCTCTGCTCAGCCAGGCGGTCGTGGATGCAGGGCTACAGACTGTGCTCTACGTGCTTACGCTGGAGAATGCGACCTCGAAGGCTATTCTGCGACGCGCGGCGGTGCTGGTTGTGATGGGGTTGTTGCGCGCTCTGGACGCTGCGCTTGAGCATGGGCGGGAGAGTGGTGTGGGGCTGGGTGTGAGGCAGCGGGGGGAGGTGGAGAGAGTGGTCAGGTGGGTTGGGGACGAGGATGGGGATGCGCTTGTGAGGGACCATGCAGGGAGTGTGGTTGAAGGGCTGGAGACGCTGGAGATGAAGAGGCTGTATAGGGTTAGAGATGAAGGGTTGCGGCTTGGGCTTGGACCTGATTTGGGACTTGAGGGTAGACTGAAGGGTCTGGATGTCGAGCTGGATGTTAGTGGGTCGAGTGCTGCGAGGAAGAGGATGGTTGTGGAAGAGATTGAGTAGATAGCTGTCTCACGATGAATCGCGCGACATGGTCCAACACACGAGGTTTCGAAATTGCTATATCGTGGCAACCCAAGTGTAGACGTGTTGCAGCGCCGGTTGCGCCTTTTGGTACGTGAACGAGTTCGATTTGGATGCTCCCTTCCGTGTCGAACGCGCCGTCTGCTCGTCCAGATATGAGCCTCGAGCTCACACCCCTAGCTCAATCGATAGTTGGCGCATAATCTCTTCCTCGACATAGTCCGCTTGCCGTCGTCGCGGCGTCTGTCCTCTAGATGCTCCTCTCACCGCATCGCTCATCCACTCATGGCCGTATCCTTGACCTGCTTGGGCTCCACCTCCTCAGCCTTGCCAATCCAAAGCACGTTGTTGCACCGTATCAGCACCTGCCCCAGCGTCCCCGAGCTCACGCCGCCAATGAATTCCTCCGTGTTGGACAGCTGGATGTTCATGTAAAGATCGACAGACACGAGTCTGCCCTTGTACTCGGTCTCGCCCCACTTCAGGCGCACAACGATATCCTTGTCGACTCTGCGCAGTGTTAGAAGCTGATTGTGTGTGTATGGGTGTAGGCAGGGCAGGCGCGCGACGTACAGGCTCTGAAGCAGCGGTCGGGGGTTGAAAGGTGCGACTGCCTATTTGTGGATTAGCGTTACCCTTTTGGCTTGTGGGGTGAGCTGTCTTACGGCCATGTTTGCGACGGTGTGCCGGTCGGTGGAAAAGGTCAGTCGTGGGGGTCTGGGTGAGGCCGTCGAGAGAGCTGCACGGTAGCGCGCGTGCAGCAACAGCTTCGAGAAAGCCCATCGGCGAAACGTGGCGCCGGGCTGCCGATTGGACAGGGACTTTGGACGCGGGGGAGGGGCGAGCGTCGAGCAACATCTTGGAGCAGCTCGGTGCACGCGCATTTCCCTCAGTTACTCCCAGCTCGTCAACATGGTGCTCGCGCTAGCCTTGAAGGCGGAATTGAACGGGTGCTTCTTTCTCCCCCTCCATCCCAGTCACCTCTACTAACGACAACCCTAGCGTAACAGACCTCCGCCCCCTCGACACGGAAGACTCGCCCTTCTTGTACACCTTCAAAGTCCAATGCACATCATGTCGCGAAACACACCCAAACCTCGTGTCCGTCAGCCGCTTCGAAGTGAACCAAGTCAGCGGCAGCAAGGGTGAAGCAAACTTTGTCTGGAGGTGCAAGAACTGTAAGGTCTCTCTCCCTCTCCCTACCCTACTACACTCTCCTCCACATAGGCAACTTCTGACACGCACCACCCACAGAGGGAACACTCGGCGAACATCAAAGCCCCGCCCGCTACATACCCGCAAAGCGACCCCCCGAAGACGGTCAACATCCTCGAGTTCGACTGCAGGGGCCTCGAGTTCACAGAGTTCAAGTCCGAGGTGCGCAACACAAACCCAGCTCGCTGAGAACTAGAGAAGAAGGAAGGCGTTGACAGTATACAGGGAGAGTTTCTCGCCTCCGGGGCAGAAACTACGACAAAATTCGCTGGCATAGATCTGGTCGAGGGCGAGTGGTTCGACTACGATGAGAAGGCGGGCGAGGAAGTCAGCATCACGAATGTGACTTGGGAGATTCGGAGGGCTTAGCATGGGACCAGTCATTCACAACGACTTACAAGGAAGCAAAGTGCAGCTTCCATCGGCACAGCTTCTAGCGCAGCAATCAGATCAAAACTCGAAGACGAAGCATCATCCACATTACAAATATCGAGTGGTGAGGTTGATGTATTCCACAATGGCCAAAGCCACATACTAGCAACACGTTTTGTCCCCTTCTATCGCGTACAGACGACCATCTATACAGCCCAACCGATACATGCTGATGTACACCAAAACGCCTATCTAATCCCTTGTGCGTACAGTACACCTCACTTCCATACAATCGTGAACAAGAAGACCTCCGACAACTCAAAGCTCAGGATCCTTCGGCCGCTCGCCAAACTCGGCCTCGACCCAAGACGCCCACGCCTCTTTTGGATCGAGAGGAGGCTCGTCGCCCGCCTCCTCGAGATCAGGAGTCTGCTGTGCGAACAAGTCATCCTCTTCCACCGATTCCGACCGCGACCCAGGCGCACATGTCTTGACATCGTCCATATACGCCGACACAGCGATCATGAGGTTATCCGCGACCCATGGCGGGGCCAAGTTCCCCTTCCTGCGCCGCGCCTTCTCTGTTGTCCGCTCAGCCGCAAGGATGATACTTTTCCGATCGAAACCGCGCTTCACAACCTCGCCTAGGACCTGGTTGAATGCGACTGTGTTGCCCGTAACAGAGCACAAGCTCAGCATGTGATGGTACGCCCTTGCCATGTCCCGCGGCGTAGCCTTGGCCTTGATGCTGCTGACTTCCTCCCAGAGGTACATGCCGCCCTCCCAGTCGGCGCGGTGGATGCAGTCTGCAAGCAACGTGGTGAGGCCACGCATGTCGAGGCCCCAGCCATCCGCCTTCATCTCGTAGTAGATATCCAGCGCGCGATCGAAGCCTGCGAATCGCAACACGCCCGATATTAGCGCATTGAAGACCATAGGCGTCGGGTGCACTTTCTGGTACACTTTGTCGTCGATGCGGATGAGGCGGTCTTGCCCGGCTTCGTTGATGGTGATGGCTGGGTTGGCGAGCATGAGCGCGTCGCCTACGCCGCGCATCCGTGCCACGAAGCGCGAGAAGTCTTGAGACCGATATTCGTGCGTGTAGTGCCCGAGGATCTCTCGACATGCTATCTCGTTGGGCCGGATTTTGGAACCGTACATGGCCGCGATGATGTCGTCGACCAATTTGGGGCGCCGCCACCGCTTGAAGCCGGATAGGAGTAAGTTGAAGGTCTGCACATCGGGGGCGGCAGTCGAGACGAGCAGGTTGTGGCAGATTTTCGCTACAGCGATGGCTTCCTTGGTGTCGTTGTCTGTCGTTGTCTCCTCGAGAAGTTGCTTGATGCCAGCGTTCATCTGTTGGCAGATGTCGTAGAAGTCGCCATCAGCGTCTTGGAGATAGTGTGGTATCCCAGGCTGGTCGACATGAATGCCAGCATTAGCAATCCATTCTGCAGAACTTGTGACATGGGTGGCGTGTAGTCTTTCGATGTTGGTCAAGATCTCAAGGCGGGCCTGGTCAATTTGCATCCTGCTGAACACGGCAATGTCTTGTATCTGCGGAGATAGGGATTTCACGAGCGGTAGGATCTTGGCGAAGCGTGCGTAATCGATGCGACTCATCAGAGTGTGGATCATGAGGCCTGTAGACAACTCCTGCATGGCTAGCTTTTTCCAAGTGTGCCGTCTCCGCATTGCCGTCAATCGGACAGCATCATGTGCCCACAGCGATTGGGGAGGCAGGTGATGGTGCACAATTGGTCGACCTGTATTCACAGGCCATTCCAGCAGTTTTGTGCCCGGCCGTCTCGAGTCGAAGCGGAGGTCGTCCCAGGCAGAGTCGTCCAGATCAGGGCTAGGCGATTGGATGTCTTGCTCCCCAGGAACATGGTCCATGTCGTCCACGAGCTCCATGCCCGCAGCACGCTGCACGACATCCCAGTCAAGGTCTTCGGGCAGCTCCTCCCTGGTGACCCCATGATCGCCGTACGAATCTTGAACGACGGGCCGATCCAACGCCTCCCTCAGATGTGCGAATGCCTCGTCCCATTGCTTGTTTCTGCGCTGCTTCGCCTTGGCATCGGTAGCCAACCCAGCGACAAAGACGGTCGTGTATGCGAAGGTTGACGTTGGGGTGCCAAATGCCCACACACGGCGAATACCGCTCCGCCCTCCGCGTCTGGCAACTTGGGGCACATTAGAGACGCAGGATATACATCTACAGGTACCCGGGGTCTGTGTTGCCCGGGACCAGAGTGCCAGCATTGCTACCGGTGCATGCTGCACCGAGTGCGGAGGGGCGGCCACGAACCGAATCGCGGAGGGAGAGGCTGCGCGTTGCACCTTGAAGATAGAAGTGCCTCGAAAGGTACCTTCTTAGACGTAGACACGTTCGTTTGGCCGGGTCGGGAGCTTGTGGATGTGCATTGCGAGCTTCACGCGCGGTCACAAGATTTGTCGTTCTATCAAAAAATAGTTCGCTTACTAACGGGATAGCAGCGCGTCACCCCCAGAAGCGATACTTAAATGTCGCAACCGATTCTGGGCAGAGGTCTTTGGGTATATATGACAGTAATGAAATTTGTTTTGTCTGTGACTTTGACAGCGACGGAATGCACAAGTGGTTGTGATCGCAACTTCCTCAAGACAGAAGTGGGGCTAACGCGATGCAGCAAGCTGTATGATGAATAAGCGTGTCCTTGACCGCTGCCTCAAAATCTCAGAACGGTAGACCATCGACGATTGACATAGCTAACGCCGGAAGTCGATATCTAGAAATTCCAATATCTCCACGTATCACATCGCGAACTACGCATCACTTCTATCCGCACCGAAACCCAACTCATCGTCGTATTGATACGAATACGTTGCGTTAACGTCAATTCGTATTGGGAACAACAACAACGCAATCGATTTTCCGTCTTTACGCTCAGTGTGCTTCAATCCCCCTCAGTGTCTGACCTGGACCGTGAGCTGTTCAAGCCCGGATTTCACGTCAACCTCGCAAACTCCTTTTCACCAGATACCGTTCTGTGTAACTTAGTCATCACCACCCTCGAACCTCTCCCAACATGGTCAAATTCCACGACTCCCTGGACCAGTCCCATGTCGAATTTATCACCTCCCAGCCGCTCTTCTTCGTCGCCAGTGCACCTTGGGCCGGTTCTCACATCAACATCTCGCCCAAGGCGCATCCCTCGAAGACTTTCTCTATTCTCGGCCCAAACACTGTTGCCTACCTCGACGCCACTGGTAGCGGTTGCGAAACAATCTCGCATGTGTACGAAAATGGTCGTGTTACCCTCATGTTCAGTTCCTTCGGTCCCTCTCCAAAGATCATAAGGCTGTATTGCACTGGCCGTGTGATTGAGAAATGGGATCAATACTACCAGGAGCTAAGGGCGAAGATGGCAACGGAGAACGGCGATGAAGTCGACTTTACGGGTGCACGCGCCGTCATCGTGCTGAGAATCAAGAAAGTGCAGACGAGCTGTGGGTTCGCTCTGCCAGCCGATGGCATCGAGGGCGACGCAACCGCCTTTGCTGACCACGAGCATTCACATTCTCACGATGACGTCTCCCGACCACGTGAAACGCTCGAGGTCTGGTCGCGCAAGAAGCTCGAGAAGCAAGAGATGGCCGACTACCAGAAAAACATGAACCACCGATCTCTCGACGGCCTTCCAGGTTTGATGTCCGCCCGCCGTACGCGAGACGAGAACTTCGCCGTTGAAGATACAAAGGCCTGGCTCAGGAAAGTAAACAAGCAACAGGACGCAGTGGCTCTGGGCATTGGGTTTGGTGTGTTGCTCATGTTGGTCCTGCATGTTGTGGGTGTGCTGCACATTCAGCCCAAGTTCCTCTACACTATCTTAGAGTATCAAAAGAGGCATTTGGGAATTGTGGACACTACTGATATCAAGAGTGAGCTTTGAGAGGAGGGCTCATGGACTAATATAGTTGTTCCGTAGTATGAATTTCCTTCTTGTAGAAGTTTTCTAGGGCTTATTTGGGCATTACACGAATCACTCAATATCACTGTACCACCTTGCGTGATTTAGAAACACTTTTGCATGCTTTAATGTTGTACATTGTTTCAATGAATGCTACAAAGTTGATATTGATATGTAGACAATGATGTTCCTTCGGCCTGAATAAGCTACATCCTAGTTTTCCAGTGCTGCAAACATCGCGAAAGTCCAGATCCTCGCGATAAAAGCCTCCATTACGACGAAGTCCATATATTCCTGAACAAAAGTACTTCCATGGTACTTCGCCCAACCGATAAATACAATGCCAGTCTGCAGCCCATATCCTCTCGGAAAGGAAGAATCTTATGTAGTTTTTGTTGTTGGATGATACTATGAGGCTTCTCCTAGACGTCTGCAAGATGAGCTGGTTTCCGGAGAAGATTTTCGAACAGCTTTTGGCATGGGTGATTTGATCAATCTATGTCGTGAATAACCATTGTGGAGATCTCGGCCTTCATTTCCATCGTGTTGTGCTTTGGCATGTTCTGCTGCCCTGGCGCGTTCGGTTTGTTCGCGGTGCTCGGCTTGGTCGCTGTGCTCGGGTTTGTCGTTGTGTCATGCTTTGTCGTCCACTTCTCTTTCATCTTGGTGCGGTGATTCGGACAGGTCGGATAGCGTGCGTGGAAAGGGTTCAACTGCAAGTAGTTGATGGGCACAGCCATAAATTGAGACGGTTCAAGGAGAATAGAGCGTCAAAAAGTCTTCTGTGTCTCTATGTGTCAGATCGCTATTCTTACAAGAACATTGCCGCATTATACCCCCGCCCTCGTAACTGTTATATCTGTCGTTACCATCACACTATCTTTGCCTTCCTCTGTTGCTATTTCGGCTATTGTTCCGGTTGAACTCGGGCTAGCTTTTCGTTCGAGATAGACCAGTTCCATCTCGTCGTCTACTCTCCCGGCCTGAACGTGTGATCTCGTGGTTCCGCCCAAATTGCTAAAGGGTTTGCTGGAGCCTGCGTGCACGTATCCGGTATTGCTGCGATTTGATGTATTTCCGGGAGATGCTCGCACGATGAGGACTTTGAAAGTGGGTAGACAAACGACGATGATTGCTGTGCACATTTCGCCTGTGCACCATGCATCTGTCATTATGTTAATCTTTGATCGACCGACAAGGTTTGTAGCGCCATCAACTTAGTCGATATTTTGCAGGGGAAAAAGATGAGGGTACCTACTGCCAGAAGTGTCGTCAATATTGAAATCTGTTACCGTGTATACGACGAAACGGGCGAACGTGATGGACATCGTGATGAGTCCTAGGGAAAAAACACCAACTAGACCGAACTTCTGACGTCGTTGAAGCTTGAGGCGAGTGATGAAGAAGAAAGGAAACGCAAATACTAAAAGTGAACACTCGTCAGCGGATAAACCTAAACATTCATGGTGGAATGCACATACGTAGTATGTCGCTAGAAATATGCAACGACCAGTTGATGACGAAGGCGGGATATGAGTTCCAAACGGAGTTTAACTGGTTTTCGATGGACCTTTTTCCGTTGTCAGCTATTGAGTTTTCTTGGGCCGAGGGTGCGAATCAAGCCGTACCAGTTGTCAGAGATCGAGGGTGAAATGAATGTGTCCGTCAATATTGATGCCACAAAGACAGCAGCCGTGTATGCCGTACACACATACACCCATACACGAAGACGCCCAAAGCTAAGTGGGATCAACCACCAATAGAATGCGATGAGAGAGGCCTTGGGAAAATAGACTCCGACATCGAAGAAGTAGGATGCTACAAAGACCACCTGGTAGTAACGTGTCAGTCAGCCAGTGCTCTCTCCAGACTTTCTCACGGCCAAAACTCGTACGAGATGTGCCATGTACGTACCTTCAGATAGTCGACGGAGTTGGTCACCAACTCTTCCCCTTCCAAAGGGAAATCGATTTGAAGATGGAGTGCTTTGATGGAGCATACAACCCATCCCACCACACATATCAGTCCTCCAAACACAAAGTAGTCGGCGAGAGTCAAAGTGCGGCGTTCTAAACGGAGACGGATCCAGCATCGCAAGCCAACAACAACGAATGTGAGACCGAGCAGCAGTGCCTGTATCGCCTATAGCAACCATTAGTATTCTATAAAGGCCTCGAGAAACCTTTGAAAGACTCACGATAGACGTCGCGATCTCCATTGTTCTGTCAATTACATAAGTACATAGGGAACTGTGGGCTTCCAAGACTATTTGCGCATCGATGTTGTTGTGTGATCCACAAGAGATGGAGGATTACGGGTGAAAGGGCACCTAAGCATCTTGACAGCCAAACCCAGCGAAGAAAGTTTGAACGGGAGCGGCAGAAAGGTCGGCGTGGACCAGTTCACCCCCATGCAGCCCGATAATTTGGTACAAGCATTTGCGCTATGTCGCATCGGATTCTTACCCCCGATGTGCATGGTCTCAAACAGCTAGCAGCGTTGGCCGCGTATCTGTCGAGCGCTGATCTTTCGCACTTGCAGGCTTATCCCTTTACACACCCCTTGTGAGCTCAACGTCGCGACTGCATTGAAGCGCCGTTTTCGTGTCGTATTTCCAATCTGAATTAAGCATAACAGCATCGCGATTGCAGGGTCAAAGAACCCTGGAGTGTGGCACATTTTGAGGCTTACGCCCGGAGCGCATGCCAAGGTACTGACTGCAGCGAACAGTCGCTTCTGCACAGGTTCCCGCCCATGACAGTGACATACTTTAGTGTCGGAGACTTGATGGTGACATCGAACCATGATTCCGCTGCTGACCACTGCAGATATTGGGCATCTTTGGCATTGAGCTAGCACAGAGCGCATGAAACTTCGGCTACAAACCTAATCCTGGTAGACTTTGGAGAACTCTAATTGTCCAGCTGCCTGATAAGACCTGAACCGCTTCTGGTCTTATCTTTTGGTAGCTTGATTCAAGAGAGCCCAGCTGATGCAACAGCCTCGGAAATGAATGATCTCGTCGCACACCGGTACTGGCGAAACCTGGCTGATGCGAGTGCTTCCAGAGCAAACTGTGCATCAAGCATAAGCAGGCATAGCTTTGTAGGTGTGGCCGAAACCCGGTTGGCTAGATTGTATTTCTCGTCTGTGGTTCCTGCTCGGTACCTGGAGATGCGCATCATTTAAGCCTCCTCGGTAGAGGGGTCAAGGCGCATGAGGAATGTAGATCCAGGATCTGTCTCGGGTCCACGTGGCGTTTTCCCAGCATCGAGGATCCTTGATTGACAAACTTCTAGCGGGCCTATCGTTCCACGGGAAAAGTCTTAAACCAGGTAGACTACCCGCTGTCGCATTGTCGGTATCGCTCTGTTCAAAGCGAACAACGTCGGCAGTAGGAACCGAGCGATACTTTACTCTAGGCAACGCCCACGTCCTTCGGTGCCTCGAAGCAGAATCTGTTCCGGGGTCTGCAAAGTTAATTTCGACGCTCGACACCACTTCGCCACGCGACAGCATTGAGCGAGTCATCTTCACAGCTTGCGACTAATGTGATGGCGCCACTTCTCAGAAAATCCTCCAATCAGGGCTGCAAAAAGCATAGTCCACTAAGACGCCCATGAACGGTGTACCATCGAGTCGAATACGCTCGTCCGGTAGTTGTGAAGTCAGACACTGAGCGCTGAATTTTTCACTTTGCCCCCCGGATATACAGACGCAAAGGCCCGCCAGAAGACTATGCGTTGCAGGATGAAAAATGATGTGAGTCTGTGCCGGAAGACGCGAATGCTTGATTACTTCCAGCTGCTGGTGGGTTGGGCACGCAACTGTCAATCTCGTGGTATACCGCCGAAGGCCGAGGAACAAGGAAATGTTGTATATAAGGGCCGGTTAGAAAAACGCATCGGATCACCACACCATGGTGATCTTCATTGTTTGCATTGTGCTTGAGATGTGCAAGATTGTGATTCGTATGTCGTACGATTTGCTGCGGAAAGGGTAAGTCACTGTGCAAGACGAGAATTGACTTCCAAAGAGCCATGTCACTACTATGTACACCTCTTCCTTGGACTAGTCTTGGCAACTGTGGTTGTCCTCGATTCTATTCGTGGGGATGTTCTCTTTACAGTGACGGATGAGTTCCGATAAGGCTTATCAGTGGCTTCTACGTGGCGTACTTGGACAGGAATATGCCCGTCGCTGCAGTAAGTTTCCGTCGCCATCAACGCAATGTTCCGCCGCCAACTTTTAGCCCTGCACTAGCAACTAGTGCCGCTATATTGCCTTTATCCTCATCAATATAACCAAGGTACCTCACGCAACCTCCTTGTGGTCATAGAAACTATCAAAGAATTTGCAGAGAGAACATGGGTATATCAACTGAGCTAGGTGTGCTGTTGTATTAACATGCGGTCTGTGCAAAGCCAATTAATCCTTCATCAAGTCATCCCGGATAAGGACCAGAGTGGGTACTTGGCCGTGCTGTTACACAAGACTTTGAGAGACAAACTGGCAACACAACAATAGTCCTGAATGAGAATCAGAGGAGAGAACACTATCGTTAAGTATGTGTCAAGATACCGTCAGACCTGGTCTTGAAGATGGCAAAGCGCAATGTGTTATTTGGGTTTACTGACTGATGGCTTCGGCAATTTGAAGATGGTCTTTAGGGACAATTTGAAGGAGATGAGTAGACAGGATGCGTTGAATGATAGGACTACGTTAGTGGAGCCTGGGAAGATGGTCAAGGGTACGGCAAGGAATTCATCTAAGCCGCTGCCACACGTTATCATGGCTGTAATACGGCGGTACGTTGTTAATTTATCAGTGGTTGTGTTTGTTCGATCCTACGCTGGGTCATAGATTGAGGGCGATAAATGCATAGCGGTACATCTTGTGATGACTGGCGAGAATCAAGGCTTCTACAAATCAGTGGCAAAGCATGAGACGCGCATTTACACAGTTGTTACGATTACAGAATGATTATCTCGCTCTTTTCCCCATACCAACACTACGCTCGAGCTTCGCCAAGAAGAGCAAATGAATTCTCCGAAACTGCTGGGAAAGTCTTTGATGATACGTTGGACTCAAGTCAAGTGGAACCCCTACATCAGATTCCATCGGGCCCCGCAATCTTGATCGGCAAGGATGTGGGAAGGAGAGTAATGAACCCAAGCAACGCTCTATCTGAGTGGTATGCCACTGTAGATCGTGACTCGTAGTCGATGCCTCACTCTGAATATACCTACTCGACCCACCCCGTTCAACAGCATCGTTGTGTATTACCGACGCCAAATCGCATGTTCCCTTCACAACTCCACCAACCCGTGCTGAACACCAAGAACTCCGCCCCAGGAGGGACTTATCTCGTCTCATTGAGTCTAATCCGACAAAGTTGCAGGTGACTAGGGCAATACTGTATATATCCATAGGTAAGCGGCGCATATTCTGCTTTAGGAAGGCAGCGGTTGCGCAGATGTCCATGACACGCCGATAACTATCGAACTCGCTTTCCGCTACAGTCCTTGTCCAGCCTGTCCAAATTTGCGCAGCGAGGCACGAGCGTATGAAGAGTACTCGTAGGTTCATCAAAGAGAGAAGTATGGAGCCGATCTATTACGAGCTCAAGATCCGAGCTGACGGTTTTAGCTCAAGATTCAAGCTCACAACGGAGGTTACAGTGTCAACTTAGATTGCCAGCTCGGAACAGAGCGTAGAATACCAGCACACAAATCAGCTTTCGACTAAGCTGCTCATTAAGTTCTCAATTAAGCTTTTGATTACACTTTGGTGACCCAGTCTCTTTAGATTGTGCAGGTTATAGATAGAGGCGACTTTTATTGTTTGTGTGATCTACTTATTTGCTTTTATTGGAAGACGAGTAACCCTTAGACAACTACCTTATGGGGAGCATCTTTCTCCTCCGGCTCTCCAAAGATATTGACCGGCCATCGCGGCTTGTTGGCAACGTATGGGATGTTGAATCGGCGTGGCTCTTTCTTGCCAATGCTCTCAATCTTCTCAAAGTCCTCCTTGGATAGCTCAATCTCCTTGAAGTTCTCCTGGATGCGAGATGTGGTAACGGACTTGGGAATCACACTGTGGCCGCCAACCTGGGCCCAGGCGAGGATGACCTGGGCGGGGGTAGCGCCAACACGGCTGGCGACCTCCTTTACGGTGTCGTGCTGAACCAGTAGGGGAACGCCGAACATGTTGTTGCCGAACGCCTGTGAAAGTATTAGCTTGGTTGAGACAGCTAGAGGGACTGCTTACCGAGTATTCAGTGACATGGATGTTCTTCTCCTTGCAGAACTGAATGAGCTCTGGCTGGAGTAGTCGCGGGTGGCGCTCGATCTGGTTGGCAGCTGGGGTGACGCCAGTGCCGTCGATGAGAGCCTGCAGGTGCTCCTTGGTGTGGTTGGAGACGCCGACAGCACGTGCCTTCTCCTTGGGCAGCTGTGTCATGGCTTTCCACGTATCGACAATGGAAACATCGTCGAGAATCTTGACATCACCGTCAGGCTGATCGGACTTGTCCTGCATGGGGAACAGGCTGTTGTTTGGGTCGCTGCGCTCATCAAAGGCGACCGGGAAGTGCACGAGGTACAGATCTAGATAGTCGAGGCCGAGCTCAGCCAAGCAGTCGTCAAGAGCTGCTGGTACATCCTGCGGGCGATGTTGCGAGTTCCAGAGCTTGGATGTAATGAAGACGTCCTCGCGCTTCAGACCAGAAACCTCGCCACCAAAGGCCTTCTTGAAGGCTTTCGCAATCTCCTTCTGGTTGCCATAGACCTTGGCGAGATCGATGTGGCGGTAGCCTGCCTTGAGCGCCTCGAAGACGGCAACCTCAACCTGGCCTGGCTCAGCTTGCCAGGTACCAAACCCTAATTGACTGTACCACTACTGTAAGCATTGATTGCACATTCGTAGGGGCTCTGCTCAGGTACGTACGGGATGGTGTTTCCGGTGTTCAACTTGACTGTTCTTCCAAGAGACATTTTTGGTGTGTGTGAGAGAAATTGTGGTGTGTAAGGAGGGGGACCAAAGAAATCAGCGGGGGAATTGTCTTTGAATGGTGGGGTAGTCAAAGTGCGTGTCGTCACTGATCACATCGGCGTCATCTCCGTTGTGTCTGCGCGTGAACTTGCTCCGAGATGCGCTTCGTCTCCGAGGTCTTGCGTCTTGGATTGGCTCGCTTTGCCCAATCCCTGCTCGACGTTGCCAGACTCTCGGGCTATCTGCATGCAACACGGCACAATACAGCTCTCGAGGCAAAATAACATGTAAAGTATTTCAGAGACATTATCTTGCACTGCAAGAAATGAGCGTTCCATCGCTCTACTCGCATTTCTGACCGAGATTTTCATCGCCACCGTCGCATTTACGACCGCCCGTGGCCCAGCTAGACTGACATAGGTCCACTATGACAGTAATAATGACCGTGTACGTTTCTTCAACGATTACGTTTGTCAAGTCCTCCGGCAGGTGTCGTCCAGCCGTCGAAAGAGGAAGACAACCCCACGGCGAGGTCGAGGTTTATTCGTTAGTATGAATGCTTCCTCTACCCACGTCTGTTTATCGACGTCTAGTCTACAAATTCGCCTAGACCCTGCTGAAGCTGCTCATCACTTCCCTCCGTCTCGGAAGATAAATCGATTGGTCACAACATCAACCCACTTTTCTCTCGATATCACGATAGTAGCTCAACGCCAATTTCCTTTATCCTTACCATCTCAACCTAACAAGTTGTAACTCTCTCTATCTTCATGCATATCTCCCTTATCCTCCAGTGCACAACCAAGATTGATTTTATAATTTAATTGGACGCCAAATACCTGGTCTTATTCTGCGCTCAAGATCCACGGTGCAGTTATGTTTTTGCCTCTCCAATTTCCAGACAAGAAACGAATTGGACAACCTAGACCAATAGAGAAGCTTCAAACTGTACCGCAAGATGTTGGCAGATGAACACAACAGATCCAAGCCTACACAAATTGTTATTGATACTGTTGCCGATCAATGCATACTACATTTAATGTGCTATTCAAGCCATTCCTCGCGTCGACGTCACCACGTGAGTCAATTACTACTACGATTGCGGTACCATCAAACGATCCACATCGGGCCCCCAAGTTCCAGCTATCGCGACTTTGATCTCATTCGCACCCTGCTTCAAGTCTGCATGCAAACTGCTCGACGCAGGATCTCCTCCTCCGTGCGGCAGGAACGCCAGCCTCTGCGTCTTTCCGTTCACGCTGACATCCGCATACCTCTGGGCTGAATCGCCGTTGAGGTGCTTGATACGGATCGTCGTCCTGGTCGTTGCAGCAGAATTTACATTAGAGAACACAACCATACCTTGGCTCGCACCGCCGATGTAGCCCGCAGCGTTCGAATTCGAGCACGTCGAGCAGGAAATGGAGCGGGCGCCGTTGGAGAGCGTAGCAGATTCGCCTTCGTACTGCGTCTCACTTGGACCTCCAGTCATCGATCCTGATGCGGGGTCGACGACCCAATTGACGGCATTTTTCATGGTCGCCGTCGTGCCGGAGATCTGTAGTGGGAGCCAGACGTACGTGCTTCGCATCAGGTTGTCGCTGACCCATCGGTCGCCCATGTACATGAAGTTGTCTCCAATCGGGAGGACAAACGTCGTTTGAGAGGAATATGTGTTCGATCCGGAGTCGGCGAACTTCTTCCAGGCAGACCATGGCCCAGAGAGGGATGTCGCGGTGCTATACATATTGTCATTCGCATTCCATCCTGTGAGCTGCGACGAGAACATGAAGTAGACACCATTCTTCTTGATGAGTGCGGGTGCCTCGTATTTCTCAGCCCAGGTATGGACGTTAGATACGACTTGAGTATAGTCGTTGGAGAGGAGATTGATACGGAGGCCATTCTCACGCTTGAGAGTCATTAGCATGCTTCTATGAATATCCATGTTGGAGGACAGTCGAGGACCACAGGAACTTACATCTTCGGTCAACATATATCCCTTGCCATCGTCATCCACAAACGCGCCCGAATCTCTACTCTGGAAACCCAGTGGCCTTGAACTGCCGAGGTACGTGTACTTGCCACACACGGAGTCTCCTACCGCAACACCGATCTTTGCATCTCCATAGTTCGAGCTTTCAATGTGCATCCACAGCACATACTTGTTCGTGCTCTTATTGTAGATGACCTTGGGTCGCTCGATGACCCGGTCAGGGCCTGTGTCACCAGATGCCGTCCGGGATAACAACGCGCCTTCGTAGTTCCATTCTACCAGGTTGGTCGACGAGTAGCAGTTGATGTTTTGGAATGCGCTGCCGTTTGTCTTGTCTTCACCAACCCTGTTGAATGAATGTCAAAGTCAAGAGATATACGGCGCATGTAGAGAACATACCAGTACCACTTCGAGCCAACTTTGATCATGCCGCCGCCATGAGCCTGGATGTGCTGGCCTGTGTTGGTCTTAAGAAGAGGTCAGGCTGGGTTATAGACACCAGAGTACATGTCTTACTGCTGTCCATGTCGCGCCAGGTACGATCTGAAGCGTTGCACCAACCACTGAGGCGAGTAGACCAACAGTTGCGATATAGAAGGAGCGCATTGTGGAAAGCTACAATGTGTCTTGCAACTCGTCGGATGCAGCACACTTGAGGTAGGCTTTTGAGAGACTTTATAGCATCTTTTCATACAATGGAGTTCGGAATAATACGTCCCGCGTCTGGTGGGTAATGACCAGCTCGGGTCCATGGTCATTGAGAGTGCAAAGAGTGTTTGTTGTCACGAGTGTTACCAGCCCAATAAAAACCAAGGAGGGTATAGTGATTCTTTCGGCCATGTGCAGACGAATTGCGGGGAGCATTAGTGTCCGCCTCGTGTGCTGACGAGTGGGTTTTATTAAAGGTTCATATTGCCATGTTCATACATGTGCCGATGCCCGACGACGATCATGGTCTGTCTGTTTGCAACCTCAGATGTGATTGCGTCCGATGAGTTCCTTTCTAAACTCCGTGGATGAGATAGAGCAAATAGGAATTGGTTCCGATTTTTATGACAGATCATACATGCGGCAAAAACTCCGACCTGTTGGAGAAAGACCGGTGGGGAAGGACGACACGTAGGCGAAATTCCGTGAGATTCATGTAGAGGGGTCTTTGTACTTGGATCTGATGGAAACAGGTCCCATATGGTTGCTGAAGGTGAGGTCTGCCGGTAAAGACATGACGAATTTTCTCCTGACGAATACCCATCTTACTCTATTGTGTCGTCAAAGGTCCCTACTCATAATCTCTACACACAATGACTCTGGTTCATACTCATCTACGCACTTTGACGAAGGTGACGTTTAATATATTCGTAACTTCGCCATGTAGGATGCCGATGTCTCCCGAACTTCTAACAGATGACCCATTAGCAACTGTGATCCACAAGAGTTGGTTGGGTTAGCTCGTGTCTCTCGTTATATTAACAGTGCAGCAGTCTCAGCATATCCACAACATTGCAATGAAGCTTGTTAGCTAGTCCTATACGAATTTGCATGTTGTAAAATTCGCGGTGAGAGATGATGTCTGTTCCATATCACGATTGCTCGTTGTTTTGGCTTGCTCCGTCTTGATGTATGCCTTCTCTCAGTGCATGCTTGTTTTCTACCTTCCCAAGCCTTTGAAGTGATGTCGGGACTCTAGGACGTTATCTGTAGGTCGTCCCGAGCGACGTTAGGATGGCACGTCTCGCACACAGTTTCTTCATGCTGCGAGATACACTTCCTCTCATCTGTCCTCTCGCTCTGAGCTCCGCGCAGACGCAGCTGCACGTTTTGGGCTCATGAGAGCCCGTTCCTGGCATGTGTGGAGCTTGCCAACGATAATCGTGTGATAGTCGTGTCGTTGTCAGGCATCTAGTTGATACAAACGGTGTTCTCTGCATAGTGTTTATTGCTCGTGCCGCTCCTGCATGTGTGTCTTCTTGATGGTGCATGTGGTTTTCTTCTCCATGGCTGAAGAGTCGGTGGGCACTGCGAGACTACGCGCCTAACCGCCATCATATGTGCATACCAAAATACTGGTTATCATTTCGTTGGGCACCTGGTGAGTCGGGTTGTTGTGCAGAGCATGTTCCTGATATCAGGTCGTGGTCGTGCTTGTGCTGGCGTTGCGTCTCGTTCCCAGTCCCTGCCAGGCTTGGCAGCGACAAAGCTTCCGCCACAAGACCCGCCGACAGCCTCGGATCGACGTCCCGACCCCCACGACACGACGCATTACCCCGACAACGTTTTCATCTTATTTGCGGCGTCTTCACCCTCTGCAAGCCTCTATCATCTTCACCGGAACCTTCAGAATGCTGTAGTCAGTTCCAGGTCGTGGAGCCCGGCGTTCCTGTCTCGGCTCAGTCCAAACCTGTTCACGCTCTCAAGCCGACTTAACATGGCCAAAACCCTTTTTAGCAGGCTGTAGTATCTTGCGGGTCCCCTCTTGCAGGTCTCGTCGATTTTGATATTCCAGTGGCCCTGTTGAAAGGGCTGGAGTTTGGTGACGCCCCGTCCGCCGCCACGTTCATGCCCGTGAGACGAGCTCGACAAGGGGTTGAGAGCTATTAGAAGACTCATGGGAAGGGTGTCTGGGCAACAGAACGTCGGTTCCTGCCGGGGCGAGATCCAATTGCGGCATCTCTACAATCTTGCACGCGAATCCGACTTTGCAACCGATACATCGAGTATGAAATGTTGCCTAAAGTGCTGTCAAAGCTGACGACGGTTATGGTGGCATCGACCGCTCTTTGAACCATTGCGTGTGGCACACCGAAATTGGACACGCTCCTCGACAACTCTAGAATGAAATGAGCACAGAACCTCTTTTGAGTTTCATTTCTCTACACGCACAGTTTGTCTTTTCCCTTCTATCGCCTACATTAGGCTACATATTCTATCCCTTTGCTCTGTGTGTCCAATTATCTATCTATATCTTGCGGTCTTCCTTTCTGGTCCATGCCAATAGCAGCTTAAGTAATACCTTGTCTTGTTTGTGGGTTCCCATGTACTGTTCTATCTTTGGTTGTGCCTGCTGTCCTTCTGTTGACAAAAGTTCATTCATTGTGAATTGTGCTCCACCTCCTTGTCAGTCTTGCCTCGGTTTCCCTCCCTGTGTTCCTATACTACTTCACTCAAGTCCAATATGACATCACTACTCTGTTTGGAGGGTCTCCACTCTATGCCGTTGTTTCTCACAACCGTCTTTCAGCTGTCATTGGACCTCGAAACTACATAATTATTCAGAGTCGCGTCAGTCATCTTCTACATCAGACCTATAATCGGGAGCTAATCAGCAACCTTTCTGGCCCACTTGTAGCTTACTATGCATGTCGCGTCATAAACTTCTACAATACAAGGAGTCTGCTTAACGTTTTCAGCATCCTGCATGTGCAAGTGGAGATTTGAGCATAGACTTTTTCTGGCTTCCTTGAGCCTATTGCATCACTTGTGTTCATGTTCATTGCCTACAAAGAGGCAGAGACATACGTAGCAATACAGTATGTTTTCATACTCCAAAACCAAATACTCTCCTAATCTGCCAGAAATTTCGAACCTCCCTATGCCCCATTGTGACAAACAGTTGCTGTTGCGAGTTCTGATCCGGACTGCGCTCTGAGCTTTTCTAACATCGCATATTGAGCTTTCATGTAACCAGCCGACACATAAGTATGATCTGGATAATGGGTTTGTCGACACCGACAACCCTAAAGCTTAGGCTGCAAACCGTGTCAGCAACAAATCATTATTTAATGATGATGCAAAGAACTCACCTTCTTGCAGAACGCGTTCCGCGAAAAGATGGGCTCATCATCCTTCTGAGCCCTACACGCCTCTTCGATGCAAAGAAGCCCTTTCTGGCAAACAAGTTCGCTCTCCTTGAGATCAATCACGGCAGCATTATGCTAGTCGTGCGTGTCCCAGACGTTAATTTGCAGGTATAACAAACAAAGGCCTTGCAGGTCTTCTAGAATCTGACAGGTTTCAGACCATATCTTGTAGTTGTCTGGAGGAAATATCTTGTGCTCTAGCTAGTATTGTTTGGCGGTGAAGGGAACACATCAAGTCTGCTAAGTTCTTAAAGGAACACGAATAGCCAAAGAGATTACATTCGATGGCAAGACACAAGTATTGCCAGCAGCTTGTCATTCGAACGAAAGGTAAACCGGCGTTTCCGCGAAGAGCCATCCCTCTCCTACCAGGTCCCAAAGCATCTATGTTGCCATGTCGGGCCTAGACAATCTTCATCCTCACGGCGCCGACGTCCCACACGTTGCGACTCATCGTCCAAGAAAATGATATGCATCAGACGATTCGAATCGCCTAGAACGGCTTCAAAAATGATGAGACGCAGTTCTACAAGAAAGCGTGAGCTGAAGAACGGTGATTCGGCTTGTTCATTGCGCGGTTGCAATGGGATTGGTGGTCTTGAATTGATTTGGGGGTTTGTTGGGTTCATTATCCCGGGACGTGGCCTTCGGCGCGTATTGAACAGTCCGTTGTAGAGCCGAGTATCCATCATAACGGAGCGATGACTGGGGACGAAAAGAAGATGGGGATAAGGATGTCGAGGGAGGTGCAGTAGTCCGTCACACCTAAGCAATCGCTCAACTGTGCCATACAATGTGTTGCGACAAGTCTTATCATGCTTGATCTGAGGGCCGTTGACCACCACTTTTCAATATTGACGAAGTGATCGAACGATCGATTCTATGAAACTTTTCAACCGTCTATGCAAGATCATAGTCTCACTACTTTACTCGCACGCTTTCGCGACGCGTCTGTTAACATCAGAACAGAACTGACGAAATCGAACCCTACAGCTTAGTCGAAACTGGTTAAGTCCTCATGAAGCTCAGCGGGCCTATCCGCCTCCACCCGTCTTGTTCTCCCAGATCTTCAGAAACAGCTTCCATAAGATGGAGAAGAGTATCCCCTGCAATCCATTCGCAAGAATCCTCGTCCTCAAGCCCCGTCCAAACAGTCCCAACCTTCCATCTTGACGAATAACCCGTCTTGCAGCTTCAGCATACGATATCCTCGTATCATTGACCTGTCTATACGTTTTCACAACCCTCAGCGAATTCGAAATCGTGTCTGACACAACGGACGCACAGAACCCGATAAATGCCGCTCGAAGCAACCACCATCCGATTTGTTCCTTGGATGGCTCGGTAAGAGTGTCGGAGAGGAAATTGTATACCGCAAACCAAGGATAATGTCCGACAAACGTCGCAGCAGCAGTCGCGAAAGCACCCCACCAAAGACTCCCAACCCCATCGGTTCGGATGCGCTGCCGGAGTAGAGCGGTACCGCGGGGACCCTGAGCTTGGAGCGTGGTTTTCAGCGTGTCAATGGGCATGAGCAGCATTCTGAACGCCGCAGCGCAGCAGGAAGCAAAAACCGTCTGGATCGGTGAGGGAAGTTGTTTTAGATATCCGTTAGATTGAAGTAAGGCCAGGATACCAGCATTGGCGGCCGTGTCCCCGAAGCGAGCAACAGGACCTTTCGCGTTACGGTCAGCTCATCTGACGCGAAGAAATCAAGGTGTGGAGGCAGAGCTTACCTTGAACGAGAGCAGCTCCCATGCCCTGATAGTATCGTCCTAACCCCCCATCTTGATGCAGTGTTTTCGTCGCGACGGATAATGATGTTCCATGACGGTATTGGTAATTCATGATGGTTCGAATGGGCATCAACAGTAAAACCTGAAGGACCATCGCGGCTGCGCCGCTAAGGCCACCACCCAACGCTCGTTTCAGGGCGCCTTTTAAGTCAAACTGTATAATGCATTGTCTGGTCAGCTTCTGGATAGCTTACTCTGAGGCCTAGGGGTACTCACATCGAGGTCATCCGCGCTTGTCCATCCCTTCACAAACACCGCGATGGCAAGTAAAGCGATTACTACTCCAGCTCCTTTCCACACGTACTGCAACCTCCCCGAGATAGGTTTAGGTGGCTCAGAGAGTGGATCTCCGCCATCTGGAGATGCGCTTGTGTCGTGATGCAAGGCATCGTGCGTGAGCAAGGCGGTACGCTCATCTACCACTAAACCGCCTTCAACATCGCGATGTGAACTCATCGCGTTTATGGAACTGTCGTTGGAGTCCGACATGATTCAACTAATGTAATGATGATGCGGGCTGAGATTGTGACTAATCGAATCAGCCAATCACGTACTCTCGGGGGTTATTGTGAGCCGAAGACCAAAGTCTACTCCGCAACAACTGTGTGAATTGAAGACTTCAAAAATGAGAATGGGAACCTCTTCCGATTCTTACCTTACAACTAGTCTTGTTTTCAGGTAGCAAGGTGGTGTATATAACGCCGGTTCTCCGCATTGCATCCATCGCGCTTGTTCACTTCCCGTAATCATTCGCACAGTCTCAGCCACTCAAGCTGTTAGATGATAAGGCTGATCAAGCAAAGGTGGAAGCTCGTGCCTTATTTAATCTCGCAGCAGATGGTAAAAGGACAAAAGACGACCTTTGGGTTCAGCGAGAGACGACATGAGACTAGCACGCAACGCACTCATCTCAACTTTGACTTATCTAACCTAAGATTTCCTAGAAATAATAGCTCTCATAAAACGATGGGAGCGTCCAATAGAATTATCTGTGACTCGTGCAAATGCATGTGCGCGACAGACGGTTACCTCTGATTCCAGAACCAAAACGCACCAACAGATTTCGCCAACTTCGTACCCTCCTGGCAAACTAACATGACAACCTCAAGATCTGTAGGTAAACAGATTCCAAATTCTAATCATGCGTTCGATTGTACAGCAGGTTCGCAAGCATCTCATGCAACCTAGTGACGTAATGTGGTGTTACACAGAGAGGGGCTATCATGCAATTTATAACGTCGCGGTTATATATTCACTAATACGAGTAGAACTAGAGAGACCGACTCATCAACATGGAGCACCAATGTCTCGTCTGCAAAAAGCAATTTAGCAAGCTAGCTGGCCTCCAAAGTCATACTGGTACCCACGATGTCTCCTCCTGTCAACCGCACAAGTGCAATGACTGCGAATTGATATTCTGTAGTGAGCGTGCCCTCCAACAACACCAGACGTCGCCTGCCCACGACATTATGTTCAAATGCAACGTGTGTAGCGGTGGCTCCAGGCGAAAAGGCGGTCTGGAACAGCACGCAAGTTCCGCTGCGCATAGATCACGTAAACCCGTAGGACATAGGCTAGCGACTAAAAATGATCACAAAAACGTAGGTTCTACTGAGGGAGCTCTCATGACTTCGTCTTCGATGCTAATACTCGTCGTAGCCTTCGCCCCAGGATCATGTCGAGGACGAAAAGTCTATTCCGCCTCGTGACTCAGTCCCGGAAAGATACAATCCAGTACCGTCCGTGAAAGCTAGAGAGAAACCCAAACACTCGAAGAAAACAAAAACGCCGATGGTGCGAACTGGGTGGACGGCGAATGCTGTATGTAGTTCGGTTATGAACATGGACCAGGACCAGGATTGGATCTTGTGTGACGGGGACTGTGGTTGGTGCGGACACTGTGGGGACAATGTGAATTATTGATTGTCTCTCTAGTAGATGAGCACGACGACAAGAGATATGGTGTAACGACAAACACAACAACTTGCTAGACGTACTAGACTTTGGCTGTAAGTTGTTTCTCCTGATCAGCAAGCTGGTACCCGGCTGCCTTTGATCACTGTTGTCATTTCTGTTGCTACTGCCCCGCAAGGGGCGTATACTTTTCTTCCAATCATGCGGATTGGATCACATTTACACGAAGTTGTATTTCAAGATGTTCCCGAACCCATCTTCTACCGCAATGGCTAACTCGGAGATTCGCGATAGGAATGAGTGGCTGGCTCAAGATTGGGCGGTGATGGTGAAAACATGGGCCTGGGAGAATGGTGTAAATGCTGTAATTAGCCCCGACAGCGACGTTACTGGATATAGGTCGAACAAGAAAGATACCGCTGAGGTTCAGATACGTCAAACGAATGGGAGCGAACCTTCTCCATGCGACTAACGTTCGCCTGATAGAGGAGATGCTCGAATGTCCTGAGGTTGAATGGAGCGTAGGGATATATGCGGGACGCACGTGACATGGCTTCCACGCTAGCAAAATATCTCATCTCGACGCTCCGGGACCACAACAGCACAACGCAAGGCACAAAAACGATGAGCCCAAAGATGGCAGAAAGAAGAAGCCTGACGTGGGGCTCAAACCCACAACCTTGAGATTAAGAGTCTCACGCGCTACCGATTGTGCCAGCCGGGCTTGTTGATGTTCGATGGACGGGAGAGGAATTTGAGATACTATATCCCACGCATGCCGTCTAAGCCCACCTTCCTGGAATTCCACATGCGACCCTTCATCTTCTTGAATAGAGCCTGAGACTTAGGCGGTAGTGGACGACATTACAAGACTTTTAGGTTGGCGACAGGGATGATCTACGCCGTCAGCTCCTCAAATTAGCGTCTCATTGTGGACTCTCGGGACGCGCGGGATACATGGAACGAGATTGTTCTCCACGTTCATATATGACAACCGTCCAGAAATGAGGACAAGAAAACAACACAATCCAAATGATGCACTCCTGAGCAAGAGAGCAGCCTAAGGACCGAGGGATGAGTTCAATTATATCTGACGTCGAGACAAGACTAACGGTGAATAGTACGTGAAAAGCTCATTGGCAAAAATGACCGAGCAAGGGCCAACTCAGGCTTCAGTGAAACGTTGATCGTTGAACAATAAAAAAGTTATATTCTCAAAGGAAGATACAGGTGATGAAAAATTATGATCTAAACACGTATGTGCGTAGACGATACATTATGTGGTAATAGAATAATCAACAAACCGAAGATTCTTCAAAAAGTAACAAGACGCCAGCGCCAACATGTGTTTGTGTTGTACTTTACAGAGTTTAAGCACCTACCCTCGTTAACGAAAATGCAGTTGCGATTGCTTCTTGTGCCTCGCCTCCACCGTTTGAAAATACAAACTCTACTATGACTGTTGTCGTTGAATTTCCAGGAACAAAAGTTCCAACAAACTCGGCAGGCGTACTAGATAATGGGCCTTCTTGGATCTTAGCACCCTCGGCAATCAACCTTATGCTAGCATCGCCTGCCAGAGCATACGCTCGCCGTGCGGTAACCTGTAGACTATACTTGGCACCTGGGCAGACTGCTATGGCGTGCACAAAGCGTTGAGGTTCGTTGGGCGAAACATTGATGGCCAGCACATCAAGTATGTCGGGATCGGCATAAACATCTGCCCCACCAGAACCAAGGGCTAGCCATGTTTTGAGAGGCACTGTAGTGGCTGATGCACACGCCGGAATTACGGTAGTTGTTGAAGTCAAAGTCTGTGTCGTGACAGCAGTTATTGTAACGTTCTGAGTCACAGCAGGAATAGTAGTCGTAAGGCTTTGAGTGAGAGTTTGCACAGGCAGGGTTGCCGTAGCGGTGAAGTTTTGAGTGACGGCTGGGGCGGTGATCGTGAAGTTTTGAGTCAAAGTTTCTGCAGGCAGGGTGGCTGTCGTGGTGAAATTCTGAGTGACGGCTGGGGCGGTGGTTGTGAAGTTTTGAGTCAAAGTTTGTACTGGCAGGATAGATGTAGAGATCTGGGTAGTTGTTATTGTTGAGTTGACTCCTTGGGTTGTTTGAGTCATTGTGACTGTTGCATTTGCACCCAGGACGGTGGAAGTAATGGTTGAGGTGGCGCCACGAATGGTAGAAGTAATGGTGGAGATGGCGCCAATCAAGGTGGACGTTTTTGTCAACGTCAACACAGTTCCAGTAATAGTCTTCGTCGTAGGCTGACACATGGCTGAAGTCGTAACTGTCTTGGTACCGAGAATTGACACGGTTTTGGCAGGCGCTGAGCAATAGGCTTGGCTTGTCACAGTCTTGCCGGGAAGCGTTACTGTAGTGGTGGAAGTCGTCATAATAGTCTTCGGGGCCGCAGAACTCAACATGGAAGAAGAGCGTGAGGTGGAAGGCGAGTGAGCAGGCGAGCCGTACCCATCACCATATGGTACGGCATGAGCAATGCCCAGAAATGTTGTTAACGTAACGAGTGGAGTAAACAGCATTGTGATGTCTCGGAAGATGTAAAGACAAAAGGATTATGAGTGAGACAAAAAGAGTGTGCAGTTTAGAGAAAAGGTATACTGTCTTTGTATTTATTTGTGCGATCTTCACATAAAGGCTGGAACATCTGATAGGGGAATTGAGGCTGGCTGAGACTAGATTTGTTGCCATGAGACGAGTCCACAAGAAGTGGTAGCGCGTGAAGTTGCCAAGCATACATCGCGTGCACGGCTGACGAAGTCGAAATTGCGCGCAAGCCACACCTTATCAATATTACTGGCTGTTTTCTGCACAACTGGAAACAGTCAGTATAGTATTATATGTCCTCACTCTGTACGGCACTACGTATGCTGTGAGTGGAGGATTATCTGCTTCTAGCAGCTTCGACCTGATGTTTTTGCTGCACATTAAAGCGCCCAGCTCAATTGTAAGTTCCTACGACGCAAAGACAGTAAATTGCACTGAGTCTTAGTTCGAGTGCAAGGCCCTCTTCCTGAATCGGCTTCGGTTTTGACGTGCAAGGCTAATCGATAGTTCTACAGTGTGGCTGCGAGCTTAAACCAAAAAAAGCTAAGTCAGGGTCCAGCTGCAACGCACCCAAGTGTGTGCCAGATGATCGATCACATCGCGAAGCTGATGCAGTGTGAGGTTCGATATGTCGTGTTCTAGTTAGTGAAGGTAGATTCCAAAGACGCGTATTAACAGTCTGGACAACGCAAACGGATGTTATTTTACATTGTACTCGGGATTAACTTGACCGCGATGTACCCACCGGCGACGACGCCGGCGATGCCAAAGTAGCTATTGAAAGCGAGAATACTCAATACAAAGCAGCCCTTAGACGCAGCTAGATGTGGGAGGAGAATGTAGCCAGGCTGAAAGCGGCGCGCATTATCGAATGAAACCGAGGCGGGGTATAATCTCAGGTAACTCGGAGGCAAAACAGGATATCCTAGGAACTTCTAGAATGTAGTAATGTTATTAGAGTAGAAGTTTAAGAAGTTAACTATAGTTATTTGTAATTCTTAGTAGACTTTAAAGTATTTTTAATAGTTTAAGTAACTATATAAGTACTTAGATAGTTTATATACTCTTACTAAGACTATAAGTAAAGTAGACTTATCTAAAATATTTTACTTTCTTGTTTTTTTACAATATAGACCTATAAATATTTACGCTAAATAAAGTAAGCCTTAGTTATAGTAAGATAATTTTTCTTTCTACTATATATACGTTAAGCTTTTTATTATTAGAGCTACTTTTTATCTATAGTACTAACTACTTACTTATAGCTTATTTTATTCTACTAACTTCTCTTATATTAGCTCTATAAAGGTATAGTAATAATAATTATTTACTTTATAAATACTTTACTAGATTAGAATTATATTAAAAGCCTTTACCTATATATATTAAAAGCTAAAGCAAAGTTAATTTACTAATATAAGAATTAGTTCTTCTTAATAATATCTACTATATATATACTCTATATTTACTTTACTATATTAGTAACCTTCTATATAGGCCTCTATAAAGCACTTTAAGTAATACTTTACTAATATTAGGATTTTAAAACTTACTTTATAAGTTTCTATTTTACTAGAAAAGTAGAATAGAAATAATATATCTTTACTTTTTCTTCTAGTTCTTTTCGCGTTGCGTTTTAAATTAGTTTTTAATTTACTTAACCTTTTATTAATTAATAGTTATTTGTTTTTTTTCTTCTTTTACTTTAACTATTACTATTACTAGTACTCTAATACTTCTTTTATTACTACTAATAGTATATATAGGTTTTATACTTACTAAATAACTTCTTTTAACTTTATTCTTTAATATTAAAACTTAAAACCTTAATACGTTTTCTAAGTTAAGGTTTAGTTTATAAATAAAGTAGTATTAGTATACTACTAAGTAACTAGCTAGTAAAGTTAAAAATACTAGCTCTTAAAAAAAGCCCTATTAGCTCTATTAACTTATATAAGAAAAATACTTATAATTAGCCTCTAATTAACGTTTAAGTACTACTAAGAAATTAGATTATTTATATAAAATATATTACTACTATACTTACTAATACTCCTAATCTATAATTACTTTCTAGTTAGTTTTTTATACTTCTTATTTGTATTTCTTAAAGAATTATAATAGAATAGAAACTTATTAATAGTTATTTATAGCTTAGTTTAGTACTATTAAATAAATAGCTAAAACTACTTAGCAATAAAATAGTCTAAACCTATAGGTAACGAATTTTTATATATAGTATAATAAGATTTAAGATTAAATTTAAGATATTATAGAATACTTTTATATATTTAAGATTCTTGTATTTTAGATTAACTATATTATTAAACTTACTTAGCCTTTTTTAAAGCCTATCTTTACTATATCTAAAATTACGTATAAAATAAAGACTTTAATATTTTACCTATAGTTTTAAGTTAAAACTATACTTTAAAACTAAACTAAAATCATAATAATAGCTATTATTTTTTTTTTAACTTTAAGGTATTTATAGTTAAGGTATAAGTAGATAAATATAATATAGTAAAAATTTTATATAGAAATATAGTATATAAGCTTATACCTAGCCTCTGTTTAGATAGTAAAAATTAGTAAGAGTATATAAAAATAGAAATAGAAAGCAAGTTAATAAGATATATCTTTTAAACTAGGTACTACTCTAAAGAAAAGAAATTAATATATAATCTTATTATTAGATTTTTACGTACGAGGTTTAATTATTTATTAGTTTTTATTTACAAGATTAACTTAGTTATAAGTAGCTTTCTACTTTCTATTACTATTACTATTACTATTACTATTACTATTACTATTACTATTATTTTAATAGTTACTCCTTATACTACTAAGAGTATATATACGTACTATACCTACCTAATTACCTTTACTAATCTTATCTTCTAATTATAATACTAAAACTTTATAAAAGCTTACTTAAAGTAGCTCTTATCTAGAGTAAGAATAGTATTATTATACTACTTAGTAGTAAGCTAGTTAAGTTAGAAAAGCTAGGTATTAAAAAAAGCTCTATTAGCCTTATAAACTTATATAAAAAAGAGCTAAACTTTAACTTTATAAAGCTTTACTTAAAGCTTCTTATTAACCTTAAGGTACTACTAGATTTCTAGATCTTTTATATAAAATATATTACTATTATACTAAGTAATACTCTTTTTTTTCTTTTACTATCTAGTTAGGTTCTTAGAAATCTTACTATAGATATCTAAAGTACTATAGTAGTATTAGGGATTATATATAGTAATTTATACTTTACTAGAGTACTATAGAATATAGTCCTTAAATATCTAGGCTTTAGTAATATTATTATATTATTAGTATAAAATCTTAGTTATAGAAGAAAAAAATAAAAGAAAAATAGAAAATAAGTTAAAAGGCTAAAAAGTTTAAAAAATCTTTATATACTAGCTTACCTATATAAATTATTATTACTTAGACTTTCTTTAAAGCTACTTAGTATATCTTTAAAATTACTAATTAATTAAAGAGTTTTTATAACTTAGCTACAGTTTATAATATAAACTAAGGTTTATAACTAAACTAAACTTTACCTAACAGCTGCCTAGGCTTCTAAATACGTATCTATATTAGTATATTAAGTAGCTAGTTATTAAGAAATAGCTAATTAGCTCTTTATTACCTTTACTATATACTTCTACTAATATTTACTATATAAAAAGGGGCTAGGTATTAGCTTCTAAACTAAGTTACTATATTAAATTCTTACTATATTACGTCTATCTACCTGTACTATAAGCATAAATACGCTATTAACCTAAAATAATATCTACTTTATTTCTTATAGTAAATAATATAGCTATAGAATTTTAACCTCTCTTTAATTAGAAAACTAGTATTTAAAAAAAGTAAAGAAAATAAGTACTAAACTAAAAGCTTTAGAAAAAAGAAAAACTCTAGATTAATAAAAATAAAAGTAAAGATCTAGTATAAAAAGAAAGTATAAAGTACTAAAACTACTCTTTATACCTAATATAGTATTAGTAGTATTAATAAGTATTTATATCTAGAAGAAAATAACAGAATAAGTAAAGAATAGAAACTATAAGTATAAAAAAATATAATAATAGGCTGATAGAATTAGACTTAAGTAATAAGCCTACTAGAGTATACTCTTTATAGGCAGCTATAGAAAAGAAATTAAAGAAGATTAGTACCTAATACTTATATACCTAAATTTTATCTATATTAAAAACTAAAAAGTTATTAGGTAGTTTACTAGTAGAGAAATTATAAACTATAATAATAAAAAGCTAATAGAACTTAAGGTAGAAAATAGGCTTAATACTAATATAAAGTATATAGTTAATAACCTTATCTATATATATTAAATAAATAGGCTAACTATATAGTATTATAAGAAACTATAAAGGTTAGTTAAAAAGTAAATAACTGTAAATAGGCTAAACTTTTAAGTTAATACTATAAAAAAAGTATAGAATAAAAAGATTTAACTAGTTAATAACTTAACTATTAAACTAAATAGTATAAAAGAAAGAAGTAACTAGAAAGAGTAAGCCTAAAAGTAATAACTACTTAACTTAAACAAGTTATAAAAAATGTTTTAAAGATATATTATAAATTATACTGCTCTTTAGGTAATAAGTTATTAAGTTACTCTAAAGTACCTAGTAAAGATAAAAGTACTAAAGAAACTATTTCTATAAGAAGTTTTAAATACTTTATAAAGTTTTTCTATATTAGGAATTAGCCTTAAGCTTTAACTTTAGTAAAAGTAGATAGATTTATATAAATATCTACTCTTTAGTATAAACTAATACAGTGCCCGTTTAAGTATAAAAGAAAAAGATTTTCTAGTCCTATAATAGCTCTTTAATAAGGTATAGTAGATAATTAAAGAATATATAAACTAATAGCTACTTAAGTATAGTAAAAGCCTTAATAGTTATCTATAGTTTCTAGTAAAGAAAAGAAAACA